CTCGGCCCGCACCACCACGTCCACGTCCACCACCACCACCACCACCACCTCGACCCGACCCTCGACCCGACCCTCGCCGGCCTCCTGCGCGACGAGCCCACCTCGTCGTCGTCCGGGGCCTTCCCGGCGGGCGACATCCCCGTCGACCCGTCCCTCATGCAGCTCGCCGACGTCGCGACCGCACCGGGAGGACCTGCGCCCGCTGGGTCGTCGGACAAGCCCAAGAAGGAGCGCAAGCACAAGGACAAAAAGGACAAGGGCAAGCGCAAGGCCGACGACGGCGCCGACGACGGCGACGGCGCCGACGAGGGCAACAGCGTCGAGGCGACGGCCGCTACCACGAGCACCGACAACGGCGCCGCCGCCGCCGCCGCCACCGTCGACGCCTCGGGCGAGGGCGAGGGCCAGGACAAGGACGTCGAGCAGGGCAAAGCCAAGGGCGACGACCACAAGGACAAGAAGCGCCGCGGTCGCCCGCCCAAGATCAAGGACGCGACGTCGTCAGCTGCCGGCGTCGCCCCTCCTCCTCCAGCCGCTCTCGGCGGTCCCGTCCTCGCGCCTCAGTCGCAGCCGCAGCCGCAGCCGGCGCCGAGCCTCGCCGGGAGCGCGGCCGCCCACTTCTACGAGGACCTCGTCACCAAGTGGATGAGCTCGAAGCAGCTCAAGGACCTCGCCGACGCCGCCGGGTGCACCTACTCGTCGGGCAAGTTCACGACGACCGAGGACGCCACGATCGACACGATCGTCGCCGCTTTTTGCGCCGAGCGCTCGTACTCGCCCGACGACTTCCGGTCGTTCCTCGTCGTCAAGCGCGCGACGGCCGACAAGCAGGCGCAGAAGGCCGACGCGCACGACCTGTGGGAGCGGCTCGGGCGCGCGTTGGGCACCCGCCCGCTCCTCGCCATCTACAACCACGTGCGCGCGCGGTACCCGGCGCCCGACGCGTTTGTCGCCAAAGGCGAGCGGTGGACGGCAGACGACGACGAGCGCCTGAGGGCGGCCGTGAGCGAGATGGGCAACAGCTGGGAGAGGGTCGGGACGGCTGTCGGGCGCGCCGCGACGAGCTGCAGGGACCGGTGGACCAAGCAGCTCGTGGGCGGCAACAGCGACAAGAAGAAGAGCGGCGCGTGGACCGCAGACGAGGAGGAGCGCCTCAGGGCACTCGTCCAGGAGCACGGCAACGCGTGGAAGATTGTCAGCGCAAAGATGGACGGCACGAGGTCGGCGACCCAGTGCCGCACCAAGTGGTGCGTCCCACACTCCCTCTCTCTCTCTCTCTCTCTCTCCTCGTCCTTGCCCTCGTCGCCGTCGCTATCGTCGCCGGCACTGACTCGAGCTCGTCGCCCACGCGCTCGCAGGAACGACTACCTCAAGCGCCGCGACGTCCTGGGCGCCACGACGGCGACCAACGGCGGCGGCGGCGAGGCCGACAACGGCGCGGCCGACTCGACGGCGACGCCGGCGTACAAGTGGCGCCCGGAGGACTCGTCGCGCCTCGTGCACCTGTGCGTCTCGCCTTTCCTCCTCCCTCTGTCTTCCACCCTCGCGCACTCTCTCTACCTCGTCCTCAAACTCCTCCTCGCCGCTGTCACTGACAACCCGGCCCTTGCCTCGTTCCCTCGGGCGCAGCATCGCGTCGCACCAGCCGCAGCCGCACTCGCTCGCCGACCTGCCGTGGGCGGCCCTGACGCCCGTCGACCCCGAGCTCGAGCCGCACGGGACCAAGAACCTGCGCGACCGGTTCCGCACGCTCGCGAGCTACGCTGCGAGGGCGATCCGCGTCGAGAGGGGGTGGGGGGAGGCGGACGAGGTGGCGTTCTCGGGTGCGTCTTTCTCTCTCTCTCTTTCTCGCGCTCTCTCTCTCTCTCTCTTTGCGCCTCTCGTGCGCGTTCACGATCGAGAATGAGTCCTGACTGCCCGCTTGGCCCCCTATTCTCCTTCCTCCCAACCTCTCTCGCACCACGGCTCCCCCTCCTCCTCCTCCCCTCCTCCTCCCCTCCCTCCCTCCCTCCTCGCCTCGCCCCGCCCCGCCCCGACAGACATCCTCCCGCGCCTCATCGCGCAGCACCCCTCGCCGACGGGCAAGCCCCTGCGCCGCCCGCGCGCCGACCCCAAGCCAAAGCTCCCCAAGCCGCCCAAGCTGCCCGCGACCTCGGGCTCGGCGGCGGGGCCTGTTGTCGAGGGCAAGGGCAAGAAGGCCAGGGGCAAGGGGAAGGAGGGCGCGGGCGAGGGCGGCGAGGGCGACGGCGACGGGACGGGGTCCGGGCGCGCGGTCAAGGGCGCGTACAAGAGCAAGGAGACGGTCGAGACGGAGGACGAGGCGAGTGCGGGCGACGAGGACGACGACGAGGACGACGACGACGGCGAGGAGGACGTTGCGGTTGACGCCTGAGGAGGAGGGCGCGAGGGCGAGGGGGCGAGGAGGAGGGGGGAGGAGGAGGACTTGGGGGGGTCCGCCCGACGAGCAGGGCTCGCGGGTCGCGTTTTCTTGCTTGGCTTGGTCTCTCCCTCTCTCTCTCTTGAGTGCAGCAGTGCAGTGCAGCTTGCTTTTGCCCATCTCTCACCGGCGGCGGCGGCGGCGTTCGCGGCGCTCGAGGAAAAGCGCGCTCTCGGACCCCTTCTCTCGCTCTCGCTCGCTCTCTCTCTCTCTCGGGGCGCACAAAGGAGTCGATCACGGACGGCATGCGGGTTACAGCGGGTACAAGGAGCGCGCTCCCCTCCTCCTCCCGCCCCTTGGCGCAAGGAGGAAAGAGAGGGCGAGGACGCGGGCTGGCGGCGCGAGGAATAGGGTAGACGCGGCCGGGGCGAGGAGCGCGAGGGGACACGGAGAGCGGGGAGGCAGGGAGGTAGGGGGGGCGTCTAGGAGGCGGTGAACTGCGTGGGGCGAGAGGGGGACGTGAGCTTGCGGGACGAACGAGGGAGATGGGAGAGAGGGGGAGGACGTACCCGGAGGATAAAGTTGGTGACGACGGCGGCGAACAGGGCGAGGCACAGGACGGTCGGGCCTGCGAGAGGAGCGGGTTTAGTCCTCCTCTGCGAGTGTCCACTCGCTCGACTCGAGATGGAGAATCTCGAGGCGGAGAGAGAGAGCGTGAGGGCGAGAGTGACTAGACGCACCGAGCCGGTCGTCGTAAGGCCCCGAGCCGCGCTTGCGGATCGCGTTGGCGCGCCAGTGGTACGTCACGAGGCTGTATCCGAGTTTGCGAGAGGGTCAGGTTCTGCCTGGGTCCGGTCGACAAGGGAAAGGGGAGAAGGAGGAGGACGCACGCATAGATCATGATGCTCATCGCTGTGCGCGACACATGCAGCTGGAGGGTCAGTACCGACGGCCCGAAAGAGGACTCGCTCGACCCACAGCGACCGGGAGAGAGCGAGGGCGCACCGACAAAGGTGAACATGCCCGCGCTGATCTTGCCGACGCGGTCGCCAAAGTTGAGCAGGCCGACGGCGAGGCCGCCGAGGACGACGCTGCGGGTCGTTGGGGCGTCGGGTCGAGTCGAGTCGAGTTCGAGGGGTGATGGCGAGCGGGGACAGGCAGGGCGGAGGAGAGGGACGGCGGGAGGGAGGGAGATTGTCAGGGTCTTGGCTCAACGAAGGAGGACGTGGGCGACGCACGTAAAGTTCAGCCACGAGAGGAAGGTGCGCTCATTGGCGAAGAACACCTTGGGCTCCTGCAGTGCGCGCCGCACGAGAGCGTGGTCAGCTCTCGTCGAACGGGGCGAGGTGGGGAGAGGGAGGGAGGAAGGGACGCACGACACGGACGGGGAGCGCGATGCGCTTGTCGCGCGAGCGCTGCAGGAGGGGCTGGGTGGACCTGTGTGCGCGGCCCGGCAGGCGAGAGGGGTCAGCTGTTGTCGCGGCGAGGCGGTCGCGCGGAACTGATGGGAGAGGAGAGCGAGGGTGGGACGAGGGGGCGGGAGGAGCGGCGGCTCACATGGCTAGAGGAGGTGGTATCGGGTGCTCGACGGTAGTGCAGGGGCGAGCAGCAGCAGGCGAGTGGACGACGAGAGGTGCTGGCGAGCTTCGTCGTCGTCGGCCGCCGCCGCCGCACGTGGGCACGTCGTCGACCTCGTCGCAACACTCTCGAGCGTGTTCACCAGCAGCTTGCACCTCTCAACATGCTCACACGACCACATCCCTCGCGCACGATCACTCGCAACGCGCCTCGCAGAACCGAGACAACCTTGCTCGCTCTCGCTCCTCTCGCTCTCGACGGCTCTCCCACACACGACCTGCTCGCTCCCTCGCCCGCTCGCCGAAATATGCGCACGTCGTCCATGTTGCAGCGAGCGCCTCAGGCCGTGAGGCCTGTCCGCGCCGAGAGGAGCGACACCGGGTACAGCGCCGCCGCGACTCGGCGCCCTTCTTCCTGCAGCAGGTTGTACGTCGACGCCGCGTTGCGCTGCGCGTGCGCAGGGACAAGTGTCAGTGCTTGTTCGAAGAGGGGGACGAGAGAGAGAGAGAGACGCAGGGACGCACAGAATCGAGGACGTCGACCTGGATCCCGAGGCTGTTGAGGTACTTCTTGAACTGGGGCGGCGCGAACTGGGTCGCCGTGCCCGTCCCGACGAGGAGGATCTCTGTACATCGCACCGCCCACATCAAAGGTCAGTCCGCCGAGCTCGTCGAGAGCGAGAGGCCTGACCAGGGAGAGCGGGCGCGCGACGCACCTGGCCGCGGGCTCAGGGCCTCAAACACCTTGACCTTGTCGACGGTCCAGCCGTCCCACTCGAAGCCGCGCGGGTCCTTGCCCTCGTTGGTCGGGTGGGCGACGTCCCACAGGAAGCACTGGCCGTCGATGAGGAGGATGGGCGAGGGGACGACCATGCCGTCCGAGAGGGTGAATCCGGCTTTGGGCGACAGGGACGTGATCGAGACGGGGTCGTTCGGGGTCGAGTAGATGATGTTGGTCATGCTGTGGAGCGGTGCTGTCAGTGCGGGTGTGGCTTGAGGCGAGGAGAGGAAGGGGGGAAGAGTGGCGGGGCTCACTCTTCTGCGCTGCGGCGGGTGGCAGTAGTGCTCAGAGGCTTGCTGTGGAGCAGTCCTGCGCTCGATCGAGGCCATGCATCGAGTTGGCGGGTCGAGGTCGAGCTGGCGAGTGATGAGGATGGGCGGACGAGGTGGGAGGTGAGGGTGGAGCGTGCGGCGGTGCGCGCTGCCGAGGCGACAGTCGAGTGCAGGGAGCGTGCAGTGAGCATGGCTAGTCGGTAGCTGGTGCGACTGACGAGTTGCCGGTCGACCCGGTCCTCGCTCCTCCTCTTCGCCGCTGTCCGCCGCCCCACTTGCTCTCACTCCCTTCCTCTCCCTCCAGCTCGCTCGCCAGCACGCACAAGCTGCGCACACACACCCAGCCATGCCCTCCGCCGCTCAAGACCCGCGCATCCTCTCGCTCGTTCGCAACCGCCTCTCGCGCTCCCTCCACGCCGACTACGGCGGCTTCGCCTCCGACCAGGCCCAGCTCATCAAGCTCGGCGACGTCCAACTCGACGGCGTACAGCTCGACGGCGACGACGACACGGTGCGCCCCCCTCCCTTGTCCTCCCTCTCCCGCGCCCCTCCCTCGACCTCGACCATGCGCGCTCACCCTCTACCTTGTGCTGCAGCAACCGACCCGCGGCGCAACGGCGACCGTCACCTGCCACCTGACCGTCGCCGAGGCGTGCTGCAACCCGTCCGGCAATGCGCATGGTGGGTTCATGGCCTGGCTCGTCGACCACTGCTCGTCCCTCGTCCTCCTCGCCCTCGCAGGCCCGGGCGACAGGTGGGTCACGAGCGGCGTGTCGACTCAGCTCCAGCTGTTCTACGTCGGTGCCGCACCGGTGAGCTCCCTCCCCTTTTCCCCCCTCCCTCGTTCCCCTCCCCTCGTGCCCATTCACCCTCGACTGACGCCGCGCCTCGCTCCCCAGATCGGCACAAAGATCCGCATCGTCAGCACACTGCTGCAGCAAGGGCGCGTCACGGGCCTTCTCGAGACCCGGATAGAAGACGAGTGCGTTCCGCCCCTTGGCTCCCTCGCTCGCACCCCTCCCCCCTCGTGCCCCCCCTCTCGAGCCGTCCAGAGACGCTCCTTGAAGCGACGACTGACTCTACCTCGTCGTTTCCTTCTCGCCACCTGCAGAGCGACGGGCAAGCTCCTCGTGCACGCGACCCACACCAAGCAGGACCCGCAGCCTCGGTCCTCAAAGCCTAAGCTGTAGAAGCTCGAGCCGGCGGGGCAAGGACGGGCATCCGCGGGCGTGCGGGAGACGCAATCTCTTCATTCTGTGCCGTACAGACTGTGCGCCTCGCGCCGCGAGAGAGAGGCTCGAGAGCGTTTCCGAGAGCCTTCCCAAGTCGCTCTCTCTCTCTCTCTCTCTCTCTCTCTCTCTCTCTCTCTCTCTCCTCGTGTCACTCTCCCGAGCACTCGGAGCGCATCAGGAACGTCACTCTCGTCGCAAAAGAGCACAGCTACAGCCCTCTCACCGCCCACCCCTCGTCCGCCCACCCGCACCGGCCGCCCCTCCCGCCCCACCTCCTCCTCCTCGGCGCCGCACGACGCTCACGCCGTCGACCTCGTCCTCGTCGTCCTCGGGCAGGGCCGCGCCCGCGCGCCCGAGCAGGACGCGGCGCGCGCGACGCGGCGGCGGCGGGCGCTCTGGCGCGGCGGGTGCGGCGGCGGGAGGGGTTGGCGCGTCGGGCGCAGCTGCGGGGGCGCGCGAGCGGGATGCAGCCGGGGCGGGCACGACGCGCGCTCGGCCTGCCTTGCCCGCCGCCGTCGAGCGGGACACGCCGCTGCCCTGCTGCAGAGCCCGCTCGCGCCCCGGCTCAGCACCGCGCACGGCCCCCTTGCGCCCGCGCGGCACCGGCGCGCCAATCTCGTCCTCGTCCTCGTCCTCGTCCTCGCCGCTCGCACCCCTCGCCGCCGCCCTGCTGCGCGTCGCGCGCGCCGGCCTCGTCAACGCTGTCGCGCCGCCGCCGCTGCTCGCGGCCAAGCTGCGCCCGAGCACGCTGCTGCGGCTCAACACGCCCCGGAGGGGCGCCTTGCCCTTGCCCGTGCCCTTGCCCTTGCCCCGACCCATGCTCCTCGACGACGACGGTCCGCCGAGCCGCACCTCGTCGTCGGACCCGGACCCCGAGCTGGGAGGCGAGCCGAGCAGGTCGTGCGACAGCTGCGCGATGGCGCCCAGGGCGCGCGCGCGCGGCGTGGCGGCGGCGGCGGCGGGCGTCAGGGCGGGCGTGAGGGCGGCCGACGAGGTGGCGGTCGCGGTCGTGGTGGAGCGCTTGGAGGACGACGCCGAGGGCTTGAGCTTCTTGAGCTGCGGCGGGCTCGCGACAGGCTCGTCGGCGGCGGCGGCGGTGGCGGTGACGGGATCGGGCTCGGGCGCCGACGGCGCGGCACGGGCGCGCTTGCGGGGGGTCGCCGTCGTCGGCCTCGCCGTCGCAGGCAGCGGCGGCGCACTGCTCGTGCCCGTGCTCGTGCCCGCGCTGTGCCGCGCGCTGCGGCGGCGCGGCGTGTCGCGCTCCACCTCGCGCTCCTCGCCGTCGTCCTCGAGCGCCTCGCGCTGCGCCCTCGTGCGCTTGGTCGGCGTGCGCGCAACGACAGGCGACGACGACGACGACGAGGGGCCGAGGGCACCGAACGCGCCTGGAGGAGCGGGCGTTGGCGGCGGGAGGGGCTCGTGCGCTTGCTCCTGCTCTTGCTGCTCCTCTCGCTCGTGCACCCGGCCTCGGCGCGCCGAGCGCGGCGTCCCCCCTGCCGCAGCGCTCCTCCTCCTGGCCGACGGCGGCGCGTCCACCTCCACCTCGACCGCTCCCCCTCCCTCCTCCCCCTCCTCCTCCACCACCTCCTCCTCCTCCTGGCGGCCCGGCCCGCGCGCCCCAGACCTCCTCACCCGCTTCGCCGCCGGCCCAGCAGGCTCGTCGAGCGCATGTGCGCGCGCCTTGCCCTTGCGCTCGGCCGCCGTCGCGCGCGGCGGCGGCGGGGCTGCGGGCTCGTGCGGCGGCGCGGCGGCGGCGGGTACGGGTGCGGGTGCGGGTGTGGGCGCGGAGGGGACGTAGGGTGTCGGCGGCGCGAGCGGGGCCGTCAAGCCCGCGAGCGAGGGATACAGCGACGCCGACGCTGCTGCTGGTGCTGCTGCGGGGGAGCGGCTCGAGGCGGCGGCCTCGACGGGAGGGCGAGCGGCGGCAGAGGTGCGCGGGACGGGGAGGCGCGACGGGCCCGTGCTGGTGGACGGTCCCGGTGCGGGTGCGGGTGCGGGTGCGGGTGCGGGCGCGTGGGCGACAGGAGCGGCGAGGGAGGACGAAGGACGCGCGGCCGGCGTGCGGGTGCGGCCGAGCGGGCGAGCGAGACCGGCTGGCCTCGTCGCGGTCGCGGCCAAGGTCGAGGTTGAGGGGGGAACGACAACGACGGGGCGGAACGGCGCCGTCGACGTGACGGCCGGGCGCGGGCCCTCGTCCACCTTGTCGCGCGCCGCACCTCGCTGCTCCTGCGTCGGCGCCGGCGCCGGCGCCCTCGCCGGCCGGAACGGCACCTGCTGCACCCTGACCCTCGCCACCCCCGCCCCCGCCCCCGCTGCCGGCGCCTCGATCACAGGGCGCGACAGCCTGGCGCTGATGGCGTCGGTGTCGCCCCTCGAGCGCTCGATCGAGTCGGCGAGCGACTGGGCGAGGCGCGGCTGGTGCAGGTCGCGCAGGCCGCGCAGGATGGCGGGGACCTGTGTGGGTGTGTACATGCAAGGGGGAGGAGCGAGGGTGAGCTGCGGGTGCGGGTGCGGGAGAGGGAGAGAGGAGAAGGAGGAGGGGGACGCACGTCAGGCTCGGCGCGACGGGCCCGGAGCTTGCCCGCCGCCCACCGCGGCATGAAGAGGACGGCCGCGACGAGGATGTCGAGGACCTCGCCTGCGACGAACCCGACGGCGTCGAGCGGGCGCTCGTACGGCCGCACGAGTGGCCGCAGCACCTTGTCGTACACGAAGAGCGAGCCCTGGCGAGTTTGCGGTGCTGCGTCGTCAGTCCGGGTCTCGCTCGCGTGTAGGTACGCAGAGAGAGAGAGAGAGAGAAAGAGTGGACGCACTGGGCCTCGCCAGCACACGACGGTCGCGAACACGAAGCACTTGAGCGTGCCGTACAGGGGAACGACCCACGCGACCGTCTTGTCGGCCGCCTTCTCGACGAGGAGGACGCACACCTGCGTCAACCGACCGCCCCATCAGCCCACTGCCTCGTGCTGAGAGCGGGAGGGGAGGAGAGAGGACGAGACGCACGAGTACGACCCAGTTGGCCACCTCGTCCCGCACCGCCCTGCGCCTGCTGCGCTCGGTGCGCCCCTCGCGCGCCGGCACGCCACGAGCCGAGCCGCGCGCCTTGCGCTGCGCGGGGCGGAGCGCCTTGAACGACGAGCGGATGTTGAGCGAGATGCTGCACACAGGCGGGGGGACGAGGAGGAGCGGGGTGGGGGGTGAGCGGGCGCGGCCCGGTGCAAGGGGGGAGAGCGGGGGACGCACAGGAGGAGCTTGAGGAGCCCGGCGAGCATGGTGAAGAGGTGCTCGCGGGCGTGGCTGAGGAAAGAGGGAGCGTCGGCGAGCGTCACCTCGAAGCTGGCTCGAGGGGAGGCAGGCGCGTTCGCTTCGCTCGCCAACTCGGTGGGCGGGCTCGCTCTCCTTCCCTCGGTGCTCAGCACGCTCGCTGCGAGTCTCTCACAAGGAAGGACGAAGCGCCTCGCGAATGAGAAAGAGCCCTCGTTGCACCTCCGCTCGCTCGCGACCCGCGCACCGACCTCGCGCCCTCACTCACCCCTGCCCCCTCGTCCTCCTCCCTGCTCGTCCCTCGCCGTTCCCCTCCTCGCTACGTCAGGGCCGAGAGTGTCGAGAGGGGCGCACGCCGTTTGTCGTCGCCGGGCGAGAGCGCAGCTCGGGTGCGCGGCGAGCCGCAGCGCGGTTCGACGTGGTGCTGGTCGCCCGAGGTGCCAAGAGCGCACGGCGCGCCTGCTGGACGAGTCGAGGGCGTCGAGAGAGCGGTGTTGGGCGTGTCACAGACAGGGTCGGGCGTGCGAGGGGGCGGGAAGGAAGCGGACGAGCTGCGGGAAGAGGACCGTCAGGCTCGGCGAGGGAAGAATCGGGAGAAATGCAGAGACGCACCTCGATAGTCTGCGCTCGTCGCATGTTCGACATCGCAAAGGCGCAGCACGACCCGGCTCAGGATCCACGCCCGCCCTCATCGTCGTCGACGCAGCGCTCAGGCCCGACGACATGAGCGCCCTCGCGCATCCTCCTGAGCGTGACGCTCATGCGGGTCCCCCTGCGTAGCACCATGGGCTCGCCCTCCTCGTCGGCGACGACGTCCTCGTCGCGGTACGCGATGCCGTGCGACCAGTGCCAGCGCGCGTCACCCGACAGGACGACGACGTCCCTCGGGCGGACGCGGAGCGCGTATGTCGGCGGGGCGGTCGGCGGGGCGGTGGCGGGACGAAAGTCGTACACGGTCGAGCTGAGGAGCGAGATGGCGACGATGCCGTCGGTGTAGCGGGTGGGGAGGTCGACGTGAGGGGAGATGCCCTGGCCTGGGCGGTACAGGTTGAGGATGGCCTGGCGCGGGAGAGGCGAGTCGAGGACGAGGTGCTGGACGTCGGGTGGGAGGAACGAGAGGGCCGAGGGGAGCCAGGCGAGGAGAGGGTCGAGGAAGGGAGGGAGGGTCGAGGACGAGGAGGAGGGGCGCTCAAAGAGCATGACCTGGTCCGAGTGGCCTGCCCAGACGTGTGCCGAGAGGTGCTGGGCGAGGTGGTCGTGCAGGTGCTGAGGCAAGGCGTGGTGGAGGACGAACAGGCCAGGGATCGGAGGTGGGGACGACGAGGCGAGGGTCGAGGGCGAGTCGTCGGTGAGGGCAGGGTCGTGGTCGAGGTCGGTGTCGGGGTCCGAGTCGGAGCCAAAGAGGCTGTCGGGCATGGCTGGCAGTGCTCTCTGTGCGAGAGCGAGAGAGCGGGGAGCTCGTCGTCCTCGTCGTCCTCCTCGTGCGGGGTTGACCGACGACCATGCTCGGATGACGGCCACGTCGCTCAGACTGGCCTTGGTCGCCATCATCGACGACCTCTTGACCCTCAACTCGACCGACCACCACACCGCCCAAGCGCTCGACCGCCTCGAGGGCGTCCTGCACCCTCTCGCCCTCGCCGACCCCTCATCGTCCAACAAGCTCGACCGCTTCCTCGACACGCAGGACTCGCTCGACCTGAACCTCACCACCGTCCTCCTCCAGCACCTCGCCCGCTCTCTCGGCCCCAACCACCAAGACTCGCTCCTCGTGTGGTCCAACTGGACTCGCTCGCTGCGCCTCGTCCAGGGCCTCTTGCTCCTCCACCCGCCGAGCCAGCGCCTCTTTGCCCGCCGCTCGTCCTTCGAGGTGCGCCCCACCCTCCTGTCCCGCCCCCGACCACCCTGACCTCGCTCGTCCACCGCCCGCAGTACCTCCTCGCCATCCTCGACCTCGCCCGCACCGCCCTCCCACCGGCCTCACCCTCTCTCGCGTCCACCTCGACCTCGAACCCCGCACCCCTCCCCTTCCCCTCGCCTGTCCTCTTTCCCCCAACCCCGCTCTCCTCCCCTCGCCTCTCCTCCCAACGCGCCCCTCCACCACCCGACCCTCGCGCCCTCGCCGCGACCCACCTCGCCCTCGCAGCCCTCGACGTCGTCCTGTGCGCCCTCGTCGACCGCCCGGCCAACGTGCGCGTGTTCGAGGACCTCGACGGCCTCGCCCACCTCGTGCGCGTCCTCAAGGACAAGGCGGTCGCACAGCCTGTGCGGTGCGTCGGGCGCTGTCTCTCTCTCTTTCTCGGGGACTCGGTCACTCACTCTGCCTCTCCTGCGCCCGCAGCATCAAGGTCATCGAGCTCCTGTACTTCTACCTCCTCCCCGAGGCGAACCCGACCTCGACCTCGAGCGCGCCCGACCCCGCACTTGCTTCGTCCACGTCCGGCGCGTCGGCTCTTGACGAGCGCATCCTCGGCATCTGCGGCCCCTCGGGCGCGGGCGCGAGCGCGAGCGACGCCACCGCCGAAGCGCTCCCGCGCCTGTTCGCCGAGACGGCCGCCTCGTTCGTCCCGCAGACGCCCACACGGCAGCGTGTGCGCCGCACCTCGTCGTCGTCGGCGGCGGCGGCGTCGTTCGAGCCGACCCTCTCGACGCCCCGGAGCGCCATCGAGCGCACGCCGTCCCGCGCGGCCTCGAGCGCCACCGAGCGCGAGCCGCCCTCGCCGAGCCTGAGCGCGAGCAGGAGCGCTATCTCGGCGCCGACGACGCCACGCGCGTTGCGGCACCAGCGCTCGCAGAGCCTCACGTCGCTGCGGGACGTCGGCGTCGTCGGCGGCGGCGAGCGGCGCGGCGCCGCCGGGCCGCTCGAGAGCCCCGGTCGCCTCAGCAGGTACCTCCCGCCGCCACCGGCGTCGCCGCGCGCTGGCGCACCGGCTCGTCCTGCGCCTCCTCCTCCTCGTCCTCCCTCGCCGCGCGCGCTGCACGAGCCGAGGCCGCCGCGAGCGCGCCACTCGACCCCGTCGTCGACGACTTGTTCCTCGTCGTCGTCCTCCACCGCGACCACCACCACCGCCACGAACCTCCCCGAGCCAGCCAACGACTGCTACGCCTTCCCCGACCCGCCCACCGCCTCGGCACCCTCGACGCCCCGCGCTCGCGCTCAACCGCCCTCGCGCCCCAGCGCCGCGCTCGAGCCCCTGCCGCCGCCGCAGCAGCAGCAGCAGCAGCCGGTCCCGTCCCCGCGCCGCCCGGCACAGGCCCACCGCCGCGCCCAGTCGATGCTCGACATCGTCGGGCTCGGTCGGGCCCCGAGCACGAGCACGAGCGGCGCTCGTCCGCCGCCACCGCCGCCGGGCCCGGCCCCGAGACGCAGCAGCAGCTCGTCGGCGGCCGCGGCGCGCGAGCCTTCGGGCCCGCTCGTCGAGCGCACGAGGGCCGAGCGCGACGCCCGTCGCGAGCGCGAGCGCGAGCGCGAGCGGCACGGCGCCATGCTCCCGCCGCCCGTCCCCTCCTCGGCCTCGGCCGCGCGCCCCGGGCACGTACGCGCGCGCTCCTCTGCGTCGAGCACGGGCACGGGCGCGAGCACGGGCGCGGTGCAGGCGGCTGTCGAGCGCCTCGAGCGGCGCGCGAGCGTCGATGAGGCGGCGGTGGCGGGGCGGGCGAGGGGGCGCCTTGGGTCTGGGTCGTCGTCGTCGTCGAGGGCGGGGGGCAGGGGGCCTGGAGCGGGAGTGGGAGTGGGAGTGGGAGCAAGGGCGGGCTCAGGAGCGGCTCGAGCGGGCTACGACGTTGGCTCGAGCGGCTCGAGCGCGTCGGCGGGCTCTGCGCGGTCGGCGAGCACGGCCGCGACGACGGCGGCGTACTCGTCGAGCGGGACCGAGGGCAGCGGCGGTAGCGCCGGCCATTGGCGCGCCGGGTCGAGGCCGAGCGCAGCGTCGTCGAGCAGCAGGCGCCCAGCGTTGGCGGCGGCGAGCACGCGGACAGAGCTCGAGAAGAAGGAGCTCTTGCGGCGCGTCATGCCCAACGTCGATGCGCTCGAGGACAGGTTCCGCGCCATGGGGCTCGGGCTCGCGCCGTGAGTTGCCGGGCGCGGCTCTCTAGGAGGAGGACGAGGAGGTTGGGGTTCGTCGCGCTCGTTCGGTCCGTCTTTGACCTTGTTGTGCCCTTTCTCCTCATTCCAACTATCGTGTTCGTACACCGGGCCGAGCGAGAGAGCGGCTGCGAGAGAGCGTCTCCTCTTGCGAGCGCTCGAGCCTCGACGCACCCTCCTCTCGTCGCGGCTTCCTCTCTCTCTCTCTCTCTCTTGCTGCAGCGAAAGCTCCCGAGGTGCGCACATGCTCTCGAGTGAGAGCTAGTCGACGAGAGAGCTCGGCCAATACAGCGCGCTATGGTTCACAAGGAGGAAAGGGCGAGAGGGGATAAGGACAAAGGAGAGGGACAGACGGCCGGCGAGGACGGGTACAGGGTACAGAGAACGGCAAGGAGGGGGGAGAGGGAGGGACTACAACTCGCAGTCGGGGTGCACCATGAGGACGGGCTCCTCCTCGTCGGCCGCCTCCTCGTCCATCGCGGCGCCCTCTGCGCCCGCCGCCGCCCCGCCGGTCGCCGAGCCGCGCAGCTCGAGCAGGTACCGCTCCTTGACGAGCTTGGTCAGGACCTTTTCGACGAGCTGCGTCTCGTGCTCGAGCTGCTCGATCGTGCCGAGCTGCTCCTCGACGCCGTCGAGGTACGCCTGGACGACCTCGCTCCGGGGCATGCCCGACCCGGTCGCCGACTCGTGCTCCGACACCATGTAGACGATGCGCTGCATCATCTGCATGTACCTGTCGTACGTGATCGACACCTTGGGCTTCTTGGCCGCCGCCGCCGCCGCTGCGTCCTGGCCCGGACCGGGCGTCGCCGACGCCGTGCGCGCACGAGCGCCGGGCGACGGCGCATCGGCACCGACGTCGTCGCCATCGTTGTCGCCGTCGCCGCCGCCGCCGTTGGCGCCGTCGAGACCGCCCTCGTCGTCCGAGTCCGAGTCGATGTCGACGTCGTCCTTCTCGACGTGGATGATCGACTGGCTCAACAGGTTGTACGCCTCCTGCACGAACGGCACCGTGATCTGAGAATGCGAGAGAGAGTCAGGACGTGCGGGCGAGGGAGGAAGAGGGAGAGAGAGAGAGAGAGGAAGGAGCGGACGGACCTCCTCGGTGCAGTTGGCGCGCGCGATGGCCTCGCTGAGGCGGACCATGCTCTCGAGCTGACGGACCGTGACGCGGTACGAGCTGCGGCCGTACCCTTGCGCGTCCTCGCTGCGCAGCTTGCCGTACAGGATGACGAGCTGCTTGGACGCCGCCGGCGTCAACTTGGGGTTGAAGGTGCGCGCGTAGCGGATGTAGCGCTGCAGGTCGTCGGTCGAGAACTCGGGGTTGATGGCGGCGTTGCGGTGCATGTGGACGTTGACGATGTGCGACGCGAGCTTGAGGTCGACGTCCGGGTTGCACTCGTCGAGGATGACGAAGAAGAGGTCAAAGCGCGACATAATGGGCGCCGACATGGCGACGTTGGCGCGCAGGCTCATCTTCTTGTTGTACCGGCCGCCGACAGGGTTGGCGGCAGCGAGGATCGACGTGCGCGCGTTGAGCGTCGCCTGGATGCCCGCCTTGGCGATCGAGATGGTTTGCTGCTCCATGGCCTCGTGGATGGCGACCTGGTCCGAGATGTCCATCTTGTCGAACTCGTCGATGGCGCAGATGCCGTTGTCGGCGAGCATGAGCGCGCCGGCCTCGATCGTGAACTCGCCCGTCTCCTCGTCCTTGACGACGGCGGCCGTCAGACCCGCCGCCGACGAGGCCTTGCCCGACGTGTAGACGGCGCGAGGCAGGAAGCCGCACACGTACCTGCAGGACGCACGCTCGAGTCAGTACGGGCGCTCACGATCGAGGAAGGGAGAGAGAGGGGGGGGGGGGGGCAAGGACTCACTTGAGGAACTGCGACTTGGAGACGGACGGGTCGCCGACGATGCACACGTTGAGGTCGCCGCGCAGGTGCATGCCCTCGGGCGTCTGCTTGTGCACGCCGCCCATGAGCTGCAGGAGGATGCCCTTTTTCACAATCTCGTGGCCGTACACGGTCGGCGCGATGCTCGACACGAGGCGCGAGTAGATGTGGTCGCTGCGGACCATGGCCTCGAGCTGCTGCACCTCCTCGCGCGTGAGGCTCTCGAGGAACTCTTTGCGGTTCTCCTCGACGCCCTGGTCGTCCGAGCGGATGTTGGTCGCCGAGCTCTGCGCGGTTGACACGGTTCAGTCAGGGGCCCACTCCGAGAAGGGGGTCCGGACGCGCGAGGGACGTACCCTCGCTTCTGCGCTCGTCGCCATGCACGCGAGGAACGCCGTCTTGTACGTGAGGTCCTTGACGCCGAGGCTCTTGAGCCCGCTGACGCCCATGTTGCCGCCCATGGCGCCCGTGTTGCCGCGCCCGCCCTGGTTCTCGCGCATCATCTGGGCGTTCACGCCGGGCAAGCCGAGTGCGGCGACGTCCGGGACGACGATAAAGGTGCCCGTGAAGATGCACTTGTCGCCGGCCTTGGCGCGCTCGACGATCTCGGCCCGCAAGACGACGTCGAGCCTGCAGCGACCGAGAGGGGTCAGTTTCTCGTTCCTCCTCGTTCGGCAAAGGGAAAGGTGGACGCACGAGCGAGGCATCGAGCCCGTCGGGATCTCGTTCGGGTTCTCCTGGATGCGGACCTTCTGCCAGTCGGAGAACTTGGACTGCTCGATGTTGAGTTTCCACGCCGTGCGGTTGTTGCAGGTCATGTTGGGGCAGAGCGACGGCTGTGAAGGGGGGGCAGCGAAGGTCAGTCTCGAGGTCCTCGTGCGCGCAAGATAGAGAGAGAGGGGACGCGCCTCGGTGTACTTGAACTGCTGCTCGACGTCGCGGACCGTGCCGTGGCAGACGAGGCAGGTGAAGGTGCCGTACGTGAGCTCGGGGCGGACCTCGCTCGTGCGCGTGACGGTGCCGCTCAGGGCGCACAGCTTGCCGATCTTGTCGGTGCGCATGTCGCGGATGCCCTCGACCAGCGGCAGGTTGTAGAACGCGATGCTGAACTGGCGGACCGACAGGCCGGCCGCCGCCGTCGACGCGACGTGCGAGTTGGTGTACAGGTAGTCGGGCACGTAGGTCTTGACGAGGTTCTGCAGCGCGCGGCGGAGGTAGGGCAGGAACCTGCGCGAGACGAGAGAGGCGAGGTGAGCGAGAAGGCGCAGGAGAGGGAGGGGGACTCGAGGGGGGGACGGACCGGTAGTACTGCTGCGTGATGGCGCGAGCGAGCAGGTCGTGCGAGTCGAGGAGGTGCTGGTAGTCGACGTAGAGCGTCGTGAGCTTGAACTCGGCCATGCCCTTGACCTGTTCGATGTAGAAGTGGACGCGGGTCGCGGTCGACGAGGGGCCCGTCGTCATGGACGAGGTCGGCATGGCGCGAGGGTCCTCCTCCGAGAACCTGTCGAGAGGGCGAGTCAGTACGCGGTCCATCGACTGGGCTCAAGAGGGGCGAGGCGGCTCATCACCGCGCCGTGGGTCCGGAACGAGGGAGACGAGGACGCACTGCTCGAGAAAGCCCTCGAAGAGCTGCGCAACCTTCTCGCCGGTGTCGTCCTTGACCGCAGGGATCTCGCCCTGGTCGCGCTGGATGCGCACTCGCGCGCCCTTGCCGCCGCGAGGAGCTCGCTTGGCGCCCGCCTCGACGGCCTCGGGCTCGGAGCCACGGACGGTGCGCGCGTCCGACATCGGGTCGGTCAGGCCTGCGTTGGAGGCCATGGTGCTGAGCGGTGCTGGCGAGAAGCGCTCGGGCGAGGTGAGCGAGGAGAGGTGAGGAGGAGGAGGAGGAGGAGATCGTTGCTCGTCGCGACGCGTCCTCGCCTTTTTGCGAACGACCTGCTCTCGTGGCCGGCCTTGCGGCTCAGCGAGCGTCTCTGTCATGATGACTCTCTCGAACTGACTGTGCGCGGCAGGAGGCGGAAGAAACTCTCGAGGAAGCATGCGCTACGCGCCGGTGAGAGGAGGAGAGAACGCCAAGTTGCAGGGATGGGCACAATAACACGAGGGGGCACAGAGAGGAGGGTCGTACAGGGTCTATGTGGGAGTAGCAGGCGTGACGAGGCCGGGAGAGGGCGCCGGGGTCGTGGTCGAGCGGTCCGCCTTGCCGGCGCGGCGACCGCTGAACTTGTTTCGCGCGAGCTGGCTGCCGTAGGTCGACGAGAGGAGGACGAGGAGCTGCTCGAGCGGTGCCGTGACGCCCGTGTGGATGACGGCGGGGAAGCGCGAGCGCTGGAGGCCTGCGCGACGAAAAAAGAGGGGAGGTCAGGGGCGAGGTCGACGAGGGGAGCGACGGGCGTGCAGGCTCACCGAGCCATTCGAGAGGAGGCGTAGCTGCGGGAGGCAGTGAATGTCAGGGTGTGTGCGTCGACGATTTCGCGGAAAGAAAGAGGGAGGGAAAAGGAGCGCACCGTCGCCGAGGAAGGTCAACTTGGGGTCGGTGATGTGCATCTCGATCGCCTCGAACGTGAGAGAGCGCCGCTCCTTGGAGGCGACCTGGACGAGCGGGAGCGGCTTCATCTTGACGATTGTGCTCGGCCGCTCGAGGGTGGCCGTCGAAACGGCGGCGTCGGCTGCGGCACCATCGAGCGGCGGCGGCGTCGTAGGCAGGGCCGACTGGGGCGCCATCGGCGGCGAGAGGCTCTGCGACGCGGTGTCGCTCTTCTTCCTCGTCGACGGGTTGGCGATGCGGTCCATCTGCAGGCGGTACTGGGTCGAGAGAGCGCTCAGGTTGCGCAACAGGGCCCACTGCGTACGCGAGGAAGGCGATGTCAGCACCGGTCGAGCCGATCGGTCACGGATGGGGTAACGAGAGGGAGGGAGAGAGAGAGAGAGTGGACGCACGTTGAGGGCGACGTCGAGCTGGCCGCCGAACGCGAGGTCGAACCGGTGGCGGATGAGGAACGAGCCGGGCACCTCCCACGACTCCATCTTGACGTCGGTCGCGGCGTGCTTCATGATGTTGGTCTCCTTCGACTTGCGCAGGAGGGTGTACCACTCGTCGACGCCGAACTGACCCTCCTCGGTCGGCGTCACCTTGCGGTGGGCGACGCGCCGGATCGAGAAGAAGCCGAGGTACAGCGACAGGTTGCGGTGGACCTGCTGGTCCGAGTCGACGTCGCGCACGAGCTTGGCGCGGATACCGCTGCCGGCGTCGGCGCGGTACACGTCGCCGTCGTTCCACCGGTCCTGGAACATGGCGAGCCGGATCGCCTCGACGTTGAACTCGAGGTGGTTGACGATGCGGACGGGGCACGCCGGGCCGATGCCGCCGTCGCCGCCGTCTTGGCCGAGGCGCGACGCGACCCTCGAGATGGCGTTCTCGGCCTTGCTAGCCGACGTCGGGCGAGGGGGCAGGCCGGCGCCGGCGATGACGGCGTCGGCGGCGGCCCGCTTTTCGTCGACGAGCGCGCCGATGCGTTGGCCGACGCCGAGGATGGTGGCGACCGTCGCCGTCGTGCCGAGGAGGCTGAACGTGCCGCCGTCGACCTTGATGCGCAGCGACAGGGCCGGGTCGTGGTCGCGGGCGTGCGACCAGTCGTCGAGCACCTCGAAGACGACGGGGTCGCCGTCGAGCACCAGGATGCGGTGGAACTCGTACTCGACCGTTGCCTCGATCTTGCCGAGCTCGATGCGGAGGTTGAGCTGGGAGCGTAAGGGGCAAAAAGTCAGGGACGCCGAGGACAGGAGAGGACGGGCGAGAAAAGGACAGGTTGGACGGACCAGGTCGGTAGCGTCCGTCATGACGTCGTGCGCGCAGTCATGCTCGCGCATGCGGTTGAAGAAGCGCAGGCCGTCGACTCGGGCGGTGCCGCCGGCGCGACCTTGGCCCGACGACTCGAGGCTCTCAAACTCGAAGCTGAACTCGCGCGACACCTCGGGAGCTTGACGGTACCGCATCGCCATGCGCTGCGCGACGAACGTGATGCGGCCGATCGACGGGCCAAAGTCGCACGCGAACCGCAAGCTGCCCATCTCGGCTCGGACGAGGGCCGTCACGCTCGACGAGGTCGACGAGGTCGGGGCGGCCGGCGTCGGGACGGTCGTAGTCGGCGTCTCGGACGACAGGACAGGGCCGAGGTCGATGCGGTCGATCCAGACGGCCTTGAGGCAGAGCCAGTCTTGCAGATGGCGAAAGTTCATCGACGCCGACACGTTGGGAAGGTTGACGACGACCGACAGGAGGCGCGCCGCCGGCGAGTGTGCGCCCTCGAGCGCGCCGAACGACAGCGAGGCGGCGAGACCTTTCGCCTCGAGGCTCAGGCAGTCCTCGGGCGAGAACAGGTGGCGCAGGCCCGCCGACACGCCGTCGACCGACACGGCGAACGTGACGCCCTTGGTCTGCGGCGACGTCGAGAAGAAGAAGCCGCCGCTCTCCCACGTCAGGCGGGCCGTGACCTCTGCAGGCGGCGCGATAGACGGTGAGCTGGGTCCGTGCGCTCGAGAGAGGGAGACGAGGCGAGAGAGACGAGGCGAGGCGAGAGAGACGAGGACGCACCGGCGGCGGGCAGGCACGAGATCTCGAGCTTCGACTGGTCGATGCGCAGGCTGATCGTGAGCTGCAGCTTGCCGAGGGGTGCCGCAAAGTCGTCGAGAGGCGTCGTGCTGCTTGGCGAGGTCGGCGACTCGGCGATGGGCGACAGGTCGTGCGTCGACGGCTCGGGAGCGGCAGCCGCCGCCGTGGCGGTCGCGACGGGCAGGGCGCGCACCTTGACCTGCTGGACGACGGCCGAGACGAACGGGAGCAGGGTCGGGTACAGGGTGTTGTGGCTCTTGTGGATGACGCAGTCGACGTGCAGGCGCGAGTCGACCTGGTCGTCGTCGTCGTCGCGGTACTCGGCCCACATCGAGAGCGCCGGGAGGCGGAACACGTCCGGCGTCGTCTCGTGCGGCGCCTTGCCCGGCGCGTGCCGCAGCGTCGCGAACTCGCCGAGCGACTTGCCGCGGCGGTGCGGCTTGGGCCGCCGTCCCGGCGACGTCGGCGGCGTGATGCCGTCCTTGCCGCCGCCTGCGACCTGCACGTGCGAGTGCATGCGGATCGTGCCGCTCGCAAACTCGAACGTCGCCTGGACGGCGGGCGTGGCCGCCGCCGGAGCCGGTCGAGTTGGGCAGAGGCTCGGTCGAGTCGGCGTGTCGGTACCGAGACCGGGGCTCAGCTCTGGGGCGAACTTGGCGAAGCGCTCGTGGCTGAGGCGGTAGACGTCGATGAGGGCGAACGCGAACGCGACGACGGTCGGCTCGAGGTCGACCTCGAGGCCCGACACCTTCGAGTGCACGAGGACGGGCTCGCCGTGCGGCGACCGCAGCGTGCACTTCATGTCGGGCAGGACGATGCGGTTGAGCGACTGGTGCGTGTCGCCGTCAAAGTCCTCCTTGCGGCCCTGGTCAAAGTCGCCGACAAAGTTGGCCGAGAAGCGCGAGATGCACGCGCACCCGGCGCTGCCCTTCTGCGCGCCGAACTGGACCGACGCGAGCGAGACGAGGAACGCCGGGCGCGACTGGGCCGACTTGTGGCGGCGCTTCTCGCGGACGGCGGTGATGCCGGCGACGCCCTCGTCGCTGAGCGGGATCGCGACGCCGATGCTCTGGGCCTCGACCGAGACGACACACGTCGACAGCCACGACGGCTTCGCCTTGTCGTCGTCCTTGATGTCGAGCGTCTGCACGACCCGGGTCTGGAGCGCCTCGATGTCCTGCCGGCGCGACGTGCGCCGGTCCTCCATCTCCTGGACGTAGTGGTCGACGAGGTCGCCGAGCGCCTCGATCGCGTTGGGCTGGATGACGGCATGGACGCGAGGGAGGCGGACGTGGAGGTGCGGCGTGTCGAGGTCGCTCGAGCTGGCGAGGCCGGGGAGGTTGGGAAGGTCCGTGTGGGCGTTGCTGACGTTCAAGTTCAAGCGGAAGAAGGCGAGGCGGTAACGACGGTCGGTCGACGGGTCGAGGGCGACGTTGGCCTCGTTGTCGTCGTCGTGGGCCGGGCGCTGCGCGAGCGAGAGCGCGAGGTTCTGGACGACCGCCTGCCACCGCAGCTTGCCCGCCTCACTCGACGACGCCTGGGCCTCGAGGAGCTCGGTCTCGAGCCACTGGACGGCCTGCGGGCCCTGGACGGCGATCTTGAACCCGCGCAGGGCGACACGAGCGTCCCAAGTGATGCTCGGCGAGCTCGAGAGCCGGCTCGGGGAGGCGCCGCTCGGCGCAGGCGACGGCGACGAGGCTGTCGGGACCGCCACCGAGCACGAGTCGTCGGGCGACGACGGGCGCTTGGCCTGAACGAGGCGCACGAGCTCGTCGATGTCGTTGCCAAAGTGGCGCTGGACCGTGAGGACGTTGTCGATGATGTCGGCCGTGAGCTTGACCGAGATGGGCTCGACGGTCGTGAGGACGCTAACGTGCTGGCACGGACACGCGTCGGCGCGGCCGCTGAGGCGGATGACGGGTAGCTCGAACGACGTCTCGCTGGGCAGGGTCGGCGAGTCGGCGGGGCGGTCCACCTCGCCCTGGACGGGGACGAAGCGGACCAACTGCTGGCCGACCTGCATGCCGACGACGATCTCGCCGAGCCAGGCGTCGGGCTGTGGCGAGCCTTTCGTGTCGGCGAACGCCGACAGGTTGCGGACGACGTAGCTCGCCTGGAGGGTCGGGACGGCCTGCGCCGTGAGCTCGACGAGCGAGACGGCCGCCTGGACCTTGACGTCGGTCGCCTCGAACAGGTTCGACAGGGAGGACGGGCTCGCGCTGGCGAGGGCGCGGACCGAGCCGCCGTCTTGACTCGCCGGCAAGTCGTCGAGGCCGACGCGCAGGTCGGTCAGGAGCGAGTCGTAGACGGGCAGGCTCGACGTCCGCCAGTTCTCGACAAACCTGGAGAGGAGGAGAACAAGGGCGTCAGGCGACGTGAGGGCGGGAGAGAGAGAGAGAGAGACCGGGACGCACTCGTACGACCGGACGGCGTCGCGTGGGACGCTGAACCGGACAGCTTGCGTGCCGAGGACGACGTGCACCGTCTCGACCGAGCTCGCGCCGTACATCGCGCGCGTTCCGTGTGCCGTGACGAGCGCAGAAGGGCCGTCGAGGTCGGCCGACAGGAGGACCTCGCTCTTGTGCGCACGACGCTCGCGAGCGGCGAACGACAGGTTCCCGATCGTGGCCGACGTGCTCAAGTCGATCAGGTGGCGGTCGAGGAGGCCGTCGGCGTCGAACGCCGGGCGCGTGCGGGCAAAGATGCTCGTGGTCGCGTCCGAGACGACGGCTTGCGCCTCGAGCTCGTCGGCGTTGGCAACGGCGCCGAGGTGCCGCACGGCGAGTGAGGCGTCGAGGACGATGCCGGGCAGCGCCGCAAAGACGTCCTCGGGCGGCGCCGCGGTCGAGGTCGAGGTCGCGTCGGTCGAGGCGGCGAGGTCGCGCGAGAACCGCTGGATCTTGCGCTCGAACACGTTGCGCACGCCGAGGATGTGGCGGATGAGGACGAGCAGGTCGCGGTCGACGCGCGCATCGATGCCCTCGAGCGTCGCCTTGGTGCGCAGCCGAAGCTCGTCTTGGTCCGAGTCGAGGCCCGACGAGGCGAGGTAGGCGTCGATCTTGCCGACGGCGAGGCTGTTGCTCGTGCCCGAGTCGGTCCAGAACCGTGCGTCGAGCGTGCCCGTGCTCCACTCGACGGCGATCGGGAGCGCGAGGACCCAGTCGAGCGCGCTCGGGCCGTGCAGCTCGTGCGCCGCCTCCTCGCTCGAGCCGTAGAACCGGCGGACGAGCGGCGAGTGCTGGAAGTCGTCGACGTCGACGTCCCACGCCGACTGGCGCCGCAGGATGCGCAGGAAGTGGTCGCGCATCTCGCTCTGGTCGGGCCACGTGCCCTGACGAGCGAGGAGGTCGGCGACGTCGGCGTGGGCGAGGCGCAGGCAGTGCCGCAGGTTGTGGAGCGACTTCCACCCGTCGTCGACGCGGAGCGTGCCCGACGAGCCGACGAGGTACGACACGCGGTTGAGGAAGGTCGGGACGGTCGTGACGCCGGCCGAGTCGCTCTCGACGGCGACGGCGTACACGAGGTGGCGCAGGAACATCTCGCGCTCGACCTCGCGCTGCTTGATCGGGAGGATGATGTTGCTGACGACGCGCCAGCTCCACAGGGCGCCGATGATGAGCTCGGCCGCCTCGTCGACAAAGTCGAGCTGGGCGTCGCGGCCAACGAGCGAGACGAGCGCGCGCGCCGCGCTGTAGTCGACGCGAGCGTCGCAGCGCCCGAGGACGAGGTCGAGGGCGGTCGGGCGCTCCCGGACCTGCTCGTCTGCCCGAGGAAGGACGTGGCTGCGGCGAGTCGAGCCCGGGATCGTCGACTGCTCCGGGTGGAACACGAGTAGACGGGTTTGGCCTGCCGAGCCGTCGACCTCGAACTCGACGACGGCGCTCGGCGTGGGCACGAGTGGGCGCTCGACGCCGCCGTGATGGTCGACGAGCTGGCGGAACCCGAGCGAGATGGTGCTCAGGACGAGCTGGACGATGCTGAGCACGGTCGCCGAGGCGTGCTCGTCGACGTGGCGGTTGTCGCGTTGGCGGAACGAGATCGTGTCCTCGGGGCGCAGGACGTCCTGGATGAGGTCGACCTGGACGAGCGGGAGCGACGCCTTGACCTCGAGGTCGCCGAAGCGCGTCTTGGCGACGGTCTGCTGCGAGTCGAGGAACTCGGTGTACAGGTCGTCGAGGCAGTGTTCGAGGTCGGTGTCCTGATGGGCAAGGGCGAGTCAGGACGGCGTCGCTCGGCTTGGAGAGACGGGCGAGGACCGAGCACGCACGATGTTGATGCCGTCGAGCACGTCGGACCCGACCGATACAGCGACAGGCGTCAGGACGAGACGCAGGCCCTTCTGCGACGAGATGTCGATACAGGTGCGCGCCTCGGAGCGGTCCGGGTGCTTCGAGTGCCCAAAGTCGCGCAGGCGGTCCATCGTCGACCCGGCAGTCGTTGCAGGAGGTGATCGTCGCCTCGCGCCGTTCTGGGTACAGTTGCAGGAAGATGAGCGGCTGAACGAGAAGGGCATGGTCGAGAGAGAGAAGGGTGGGTGCGCACCTTGTACAGCCGCCGAAAGGTGGGACGATCCAGGAACGCCGCCTCGGGCGCACGCTCGCACAGCTGGAGGACGACGCCGTATGCGCTGAACCGGTCGCTCGCCTCGTCTCGACCGGCGAGACGCGTGTAGAGCGTGTGCGCGTCGTCTGCGGGACAGGGAGACGGGTCAGTTCGCGTCGCCGGTACGGCAGCTCGCCCTGGATGAGACGCACCGTCAGACGTTGCCGAGTCGTCCAGGTCAGAGCGCCCGTCGGACGTCAGGTCGGCCTCGGATTCCTCGGCGACGCTCTCGAGGCGGCCGGTTGACGAGGGCGAGCCGACGTGGACGGGCGCACGAGCTGCATGAGAGAGGTATCGTCAGGTGCGGCTCGTCCGAGACGATGAGGGAAGGAGAGCGACGCACGAAAAGAGCGAACAGGACCCTCGATGGCCGGGAGGAACAGGCTGCCGCTGCGGGACGACGCTGGAGGAGGAGGGGCAGGGTCAGTCACGGGATCGTGGCGGTCACGTCGGCCCGACGGAGGGTAAGGGGACGCACAGCTGTCTCCTTGGCCGTAGATAAACGGGCAGCGCTTGGTGAGGCCGTCCTGGAGCGCGACGAACGCGAGCTGCTCGCGCGCACGGGCCTCCCAGCCATTGTGCGACAGGCCGAGGACAATCGACAGGTCAACGTCGACCGAGGCGACCTCCATCCAGGGCGCCGAGCGGCCGAACAGGGGGGCGAGGGCCCGGAGCGTGAGCTCGGGGACCTCGAGCCGGAGGTGCTTGAGGAACGGCGCGGTGGCGAGGTCGTCGAACCGCAGGTCGACGCCTTGCGGGAGGTACAGCTGGACGGCGGTCGCGGTGCCTCGAACGGCGACGTCGAGCGAGCGGACCTGGACCGTGAGGGCGGTGACGTCCGGGTCGACCGGCACGACATAGTCGGGAGCGGGCGCGTTGTCGCTGTCGGTGAACGTGAGGCCGACCGCTCCTCCGGCCCGCACGAGGCTTTGGACGAAGCATGGCGGGACGCTGCCGACGATCGCGCCGATGTCGAACGACCAGATGCACAGGTAGGTCGCCGTCCGAGGCTGAGGGCCGAACAGGCGATTGGCGCCAATCTCGAGGCCGTCGACGCGCAGCAGGTCGCCTTGCTGCTCGAGGATGTCCCCAAAGTCTTGCTCGAGGAACGCCATCGTGTCAGACGTCTCGAGAAGGCGGAACGGGTCGACGTTGAGGGACATCTCTGCGCGGCGGGAAGGGCATGACGTGGTCAGGGCCACGGGTCCGGGTCGGCGACGAGGAGGCGAGCAACGAGGACGCACCCATGAAGAAGTCGTGGTTGCGCAGGTCGACGCTGAGCTGAGGAAGGGCGAGGACGATCGCCTTGGAGCAGTCGTAGATTTCTGCGGGCGCGACATCTCGTCAGGGTCGGCGCCGACAACGCTCCTGACGAGGCGGACGAGGTCGAGAGGGGCAGGACGTACCTTGAGGAAGAAGGAGCAGGCCGTTCTCGAGCTCGTACTGGACCGACACCTCCGAGACGTCCGTCTTGCCCGGGCGGTACTTGAGCTCGAGCGGGTCGCCCTGCAGGTTGCTGCTGTGACGACGCTTGTACTCGTCGAACGTGACGTAGTGCGTGAAGCTGCCGAAGTAGTTCTCCTTGAGCTGCGCGGGCCGAGGGAAGGTTCAGTACGGCACGCTCGAGCGAGGCAGGCCGAGGCAGTGAGAAACGCCGAGACGCACGTTGAACAGGTGCCGAATGACCCAGCCGAACGCCTTGAACACGACGTCACGATTCTGCGGGTATGAGAGGAGCCGTCAGGATCCGGAACCCAGTCAAGAGGCGCAAAGTGACGAGGGGGAGGAGGCGCACCTTGATGCGGAGCGAGAGCTTCTCGACGTTGTCCGGGTGGGCGTGCGCGTAGATGCGGTACGAGCCGTCGAGGATGAGCTCGGCGGCAGTGGCGAAGGTGCGGGTGCGGTCAGTCATAAAGGCGCTGTGCGTGTTCCAGTCGGGCAAGCTCATCGAGAGGACGAGGTCGACGATCTGCGGGTTGGACGAGGTCAGTGAGGCCCCCCTTACGAGCCCGACAGAGAGAAAGAGAGGCCGACGCACGCTGGTTGTGAACTGGAAGTTGGTGCACTCCTGGCGGTAGGCGTCGGACGGGATGACGACGTGCGCGTCCAGGGCCGGGCCGCTCAGGGTCAAGAGGGCGTTGTCCTCGGGAGCGGTCGCGTTGCTGATGATGTTGTGGTCGTTGAGGAAGAGCTGGATGGCGTAGTCGCGGACCTCGATGTCCATCTTGTAGACGAACGGGACAAAGTGGTCGTAGTCGCCGGCGGGGCCGCTCGTCCAGTCCTGCGCGACGTCGGTGAACAGGGTGACGTGGTCGCGCAAGAGCGAGATGTCGGGTCGAGCGATCTTGGTCGTGATGGTCCACGTGCGCTTCTCGTCCCACACGAGCGGCGACGGCAGGCCGCACCCGATCCGGCACGACTCGGCGTGGAAGAACGTCTCGTGGTTGACGCTCGACGAGGCGCTGATGTCGTCGAGGTGGAGCTCGAGGAGCGTGTCGTAGCCCGCCTTGGTGGCGACCATCGGCAGGAAGTAGGTCATGGTCGAGTTGGGCCCGAGCGCGACGTCGAGCCAGCCGTACTTGCGGACGACAGGGTCGGCCGAGTGCTCGGGGTTGGGCGAGTCGTACTTCCAGTCCTGTTGCGCGAAAGCCTTGGGTCAGTGATCGGGCGACGGCCGAGGGCTGGGAGGGGGAAGAGAGGGAGCGAGGGGACGCACCTTGGACGACTCGCGCGTCGGGACCCGCAGCGTCGCGCCGTCGCTGAACTCGACATAGACCTTGAGCGCCGTGTGCATGCGCTTATCGCCCGGCTTGAGTTTGGGCGTCTCGAGGCCGTTGAAGTAGGTCGCCGGGAGGAACGCGCTCTGGATCTTGGCGCGCTGGCGGTCGGCCCACGGGCCGTACGTGAGGGCGGCACCGCGCACGACGAGGTCGACGCCCCACTCGGGACTGAGGCCGCCGTTGCCGACGTCGTACGTCTCGAGCCCGGCGACGGGCGAGTCGCTCTTGCTGCGCTCGGGAACGAGGCCTGCGACGTCCGAGTAGTACGTCAAGTCGATCTCGTCCGACACGAGGAGCGTCGCCACCTTGGCGTACTCGACGACGTGAGGCGGCTTGCCGTCCGAGTCGACGCTCGCGTCGTCCTCGGGCGTCTGGTACCGCGGGAGGCCCGTCCAGCCGTCGTGCGACGACGGCCTCGCCGGCTCGTCGACGCCCTGCGCCTGCTCCTTCTCCGACTCGCCGTACCGACGAGCGCGTCGCTGCTCGCGGCGGGAAGGGTGCGGCCGGCGCATGACGAGGTCGCGAAAGCCGCGCAGGGTGAGGAAGGCGGTCGGCCGGGCAAACAGGCTCGAGAGCGAGAAGTGGCGGCTGCAGGAGAGGGAGAATGCGTCAGGCTGTTGCTCGACGACGAATTTCGTGCGACGGGGAGACTGAGAGAAAGGAGGGGGCGCACATGTCCTGGTCGAGGCGGTCCATGAGGTGCTGACCGTGGTCGGCCATGCCCTCCTTGTAGTCCGGGTTGGTGCGCCACACGATCTTGGGCCGGCGAAAGACGAAGTGGTGCACCTCCTTGTAGTCGTCGAGCTTGGAGCGGGCCTTGCCCGCCGAGTAGGTGCCTTGGGCGCCGTCGAAGCCGGCGATGAGGATCGACGGCGTGCTCGGGTTGCCCATGATGATGGCGCCCCGGCCGCACTCGAACGCGATCGGGAGCGCCTCGAGGAGCCAGTTGGTGCCGTCCTTCTTGCCCTCGTCGACCTGCTTGCGCCGCTCGCGCTCCTTCTCGCCCTGCTCGGCCTGGACCTGCTCGATCGACGAGACGGCGGTGGACGGCCTCGGCGACGATGACGACAGCGACTGCTTCTCCTTCTTGTCGAGAGATGACGCCGGGCTCGACGTAGACGACGAGTCGGACGGCTCGGACGGCCCGCGGCGGAGCGGGTCCTGCTCCTTGAGCCCGAGCTGCTCGAGGATGGCGTCGTACGACGGCGTGCGGTTGTACAGGAAGAGCTCGGCGCCGGAATAGGTGATCTGGACTCGACAGGGCTTGCGAGACTCTGCGCGAGGGTGCGTCGAAGCGAGGTCAGCTCTGGAAGGGAAAGGGGGCTCGAGCGAAGAGGACGACGAGCGCACCTGACGGCTTGTCCTCCTCCGAGCGCACATGACGAAGCCAATATTTCCACGTGACGTGACCTGAGCGACGAGACAGGCGTGAGTAGGCCGTCGACGGGACCGCGAGGACGAGGGAAAGAGCGAGCGCACCTCGAACGACGCGCAGAGACTGGTTTCGACTGATGTAGCGCAGGTCGTTGAACTGGATGCGTCCACCGAGGATGCTGATCTTGAGCGCGCCGATCTCGAAATAGGCGTTGCTCGACCGCCAGAAGTAGAGCCGCAGGACCCATGATGCGACGATGCCGAGGACCCGCTGAATGTAGAAGAAGTACTGCAGGTGGAGGCGTGTCAGGCAGGGCATCCCGACCGTTGTGAGGGCGAGGGACGTACGAAGAGGACCAGGATGAAGACGACGAAGCACTCGACCTGCAACGAGAGAGGGTCAGCGAGGCGGCGAGGAGGAGAAGGGGTTGAGGAACGGGACGCACAAGGTACAGCCAGTTCAGGCTCGCCGGGCCCGAGCCTCGCAAGGCATCGACTGAAGATGCTCGCGCGACCAGGCGGAACGCGGTCGAGTTGTGCGCCATCGTGGCCGAGCTGCGAGCTGCGCGACGAGGGCGAGTGGGTCAACACCGTTTCGGGGAGAGCTGGTCCAGTCTGTGCGGCTTCGTGCGGCTTTTAAACCACGATCGAGGCACTCGAAAGGCCCGCACGACGTCGTGGGCCGCTGCTGACGCCGGCTCCCCCACTTGGCGACGACCTCCAGCACTGCCACCCCGGCTGGCTCCGGGCACGTCTGATGCAGTGAACGGAGGACGCACCTGGGTCAGGAATACCTCACGCCGAGTCTCCTGCGTGCAAAGGGCGATGTCGTCCTCGACTTGGCTCAACTCGGTGATGAGGAGGCGGTTGAAGGCGTGTGCTGGCCTAGTCGGCCGAGCGCGGTGCGGTAGTGTAGTCTAAGCTGTGCCAGCCGTGGCTACAGCGCTCTCTGAGCAGTCAGAGGTGTGTCGAGGGCGAGAAGATCGAGCCACGTCTCGAGGCGAGCACCTCTCTCATCTCTCTCGTCCGATTCCGCGCGACGACAGCGCTCTGCTCGATGGTAACCAGCTCTCCGTCTTTTGCACGCTCCATGTCGATCTACTCAAGCCCGCTCAAACGCGCCTCGAGCGCGAGCGCGAGCGAGAGACGCTGCTCGAGCGACGCCGCCCCATCTCCCTCGCCGACTGCGCCGGGCCCTCGCTCTCGGTGCCCGACGCCGACTCGACGCCGCTGCTCGAGATGTCGCTGAGCTGGCGAGCGCTGCCGGCGCGAGCCGGCGGGCGACCGCGGCTCGTCGTCATGCCCGCCGTCGCCTTGGGCCGGCCGCTGCCACCCGCACCGACGAGCACGGCGCGCTCCTCGTCGCTCGAGCCCGAGTGCGACGCCGACGAGCCCTCGGACTCGCTCGAGCTGTACTCGCGCGGGGCGCGGCGCGGCGCGGCGACCCTCGACGACGACGCCGGCGCGAGCGGGAGCTCGTCGTCGTCCTTCTCCGGCGTGTAGCCCGAGCGACGACGGCTCATGCTGCGCTCGGCGGCGAGCTGCTTGCGCTCGTGGTGCAGGAGCTTGAGCGCGTCGCCGGCGTACGGGTGCCCGCTGCGCATGAGCTCCTCCTCGAGCTCTTGCGCCCGATGCTCCTCGACGTCCGAGTACTCGTCGTCGCTGTCGCTGTCGGGCGAGATGAAGAGGTGCGGGTGGAGCGTGTGGACGTAGGACGAAAGGATGATGGCGCAGTAGAAGACGACGGCCAAAGTTGCGAACACGGCCTGTGTGGGTGCGAGAGAGTCAGTTCTGCTCGCTGCGTTCGAAGGAGTGGGACACGCACAATGACGAGGCCGACCTGCAAGCCTTGACGGATCTGCCAGCACTCGTCGCCGCGCTCGCTGCGAGGAAGGGAGAGAGAGAAGCGAGGGGGTCAGTGCGCTCGCCGACGACGAGAGTTGCGAGACTCGACGCACCAGCCCGCCGCGAGGAACGCGTCCGACGAGAGGAACGACACGATGCCAAAGATGCCAAACGCCCAGGTCGCGAGCCAGGTCATCTGCGCGCGCAAACGAGACGAATGTGAGCAACTCGTCCTGCCCGCTGCCGCAGCTCGAGAATGGACGACGACGACGCACCCAGATCAACCTCGAGAGCCACTTTGCCGTCTCGGCTTGCGGCCAGATCGACACGACGAGCGCGCCGAGGCAAAGGCTGGCCGCCGTCACGGCGTACCACGCCGTGAACGCCGAGTACCGCGCCATGACGACGAGCTGGTCGTACTCGGTGCCGTTCGACGCCGCCTTGATCTCGGACAGCTCTTTGTGTGCGCGAGAGAGATCAGATGAGCTCGTGACGACGCGAGGGAAGAGGAGAGAGGAGCGAGCGACGCACCAAAGTAGCCACGCCAGAGCGCGACGGCCCACGCGAGGTAGCTCGCCGTCATGGCGGCACAGGCGAGCACCGATGCAACCTTGGTCGACACGGGGACGAAGGACGGGCAAGGGAGCGGGACGGCCCGGATGCGGCGGCCGTGCGAGGTCGACATCGAGCTGGACTTGGGAAGGTCGACTTGACGTGAGGCGGCGCTGTTCTCGCTCTGTGCGCGAGGTTGCGAGCAGGCGTAGAGGCAGAGAAGAGAGAGCGAGAGGCGCAAGGTGGAGGATTGAGGAGCGGTGGGGCAGGAGTCCGAACCGACGGACAGTCCGTGCGTCGTCCGCGCCTCCTGTACGTCGCGCGAGCCGCCCTCGCCGAGAAGCCGGTCCGTCTGGGGCGAGCGAAACGTGCTTTGAGCCGAAAACGAAAGAGAGAGGAGGCTCGAGAGCCGGCGGTGCTCACTCTCGCAGTCGAGCGCACGAAGGTGGATCGAGATCTCGTTGCGCGACGCGGCGACGACAGCTACAACACACCGAGGCCAACGACGCTGAAGACGGTGCCCAGGACGAGGCAGAGGACGAGGATGGGAAGGAGGACGACGGCGAAGGAGAGAAGGGCGGGAAAGAGGATGTTGTCGCCGCCGTCGACCTCGTGGCGGTGGAGCGGCCTGTGCGCGACGACGAGACGACCCTCCTCGGCTGCGCCCTGCGCGTCTGGACCCTCGCGAGAGTCGGCGTCGACGGGTAGGAGGCGCAGGGGAAGGTACTGGTTGCGAGGGAAATGAGGGAGGCCGGACGAGTTGAAGTCGGACGGGAGGAGGAAGTCGACGTTGATCGGGCGCTTGGTCTTGTGAGGGAGGAGAGACGGCGGGGGAGCAGAGACCGGGGCTGAAGAAGGAAGGCGAGGCGGTGGCGACGGAGGAGGGTGGGCGCGCAGGTGGAGAGAGGGAGGGTGCTGCGGCGACGAAGGTCGATGCGCCTCGGCCCTGGTGGCTGGTCCTGCTTTACACAAAGAGGGGCTCGGCGACGTGTCAATTGCGGCCGCTCGACAGGAGAGGCGGAGGAAGAAGGACGAGAGGGAAAGAGACGCACCTCGAGTCGCAGATACGGTCGTCCTGCTCTTGCTCCTCCTCTCGCCCGACTCCTGCGGCGGTCGACCGCTCGCTTGCTCGCCCCCTGACCCACTGCGAGCCAGTAGAGGGCGAATCGTCCCGCCAGGCCCGTCGTCCTCGCTCGACGACGCCGTCGTCTCCTCGTCAAGCTGCTCGTCCCGCGTCCTCGCGGCACCTCGCCGCTCCCGCCTCGGTGCCCCGCCTCGCCCCGTCACCGGTCGACGGGCCGTACCGCGCTCGGGCGATGCCGAGTCCCTCGAAGACCTGCTGGAGCCCGAGGACGAGGGCGGCGGCGGGCGATTCCTCCAGCCGCTCCTGCTGCGCCGACCTGCTCCTCCTTCCTCGTACCCTTCTGCGCCCGCCTGCTGGCCACCGCTGCTTCTCTGCCAGCCACTGTGCCTGCGCAAGTCGGCGACGACCGTCCAGAGCGCGTCGGCAAGCTCCGGGTCCGACTCGAGCGCTGTGCGCAGCTCGGCCAGGCGGCGGGCGCGGGTTGAGGAGGATGGGCGGGGCTGTCGTGCAGGCAGGGGCCGGGTCGAGGGCTCATTAGAGCTTGCTGAAGGGGGCGAGGCTGCTCTGGGCGGCGGTGGACGCGGCATCGTCGGCGAACTCGCGTGAGGCGATGAGGACGGGGGGTGGTCGGCGACAGGCGCGGGGCGAGGTGGAGCGGCGCGGCGGCTCGTTGGCGGTAGACGAGGAGAGTAGCGAGCAGCAAGCCATGGTCAGGAGGACCGAGAGCGGCGGAAGGGCCGCGGACGGACGAAGAGGCGGCCGACACCGAAGCTCGACGTCTCCCTCCTTAGCCCACAACCCGCACAGAGGCAGCACGGCCACCGCTGCCTGCTCAGAAGCTACACAGAGCTCGCCGACCTCCAACAAGCCCGCCACATCGCCCGCCATGGCCTCTGCTCCCTCGTCTTGTGGGTCCCTCCTTCAACGAACGTTCGCGAACGGTTCGACCTGACCTCACCCTCACACAGCTCCAGAGCGCGCCTGCGCTCACTGCCACAAGGACCTTGAGCCCGCCGTAAAGCTCCTGACCTGCTCCGCCTGCAAAAGCGTCTTGTGCGCCTCCTCCTCGTCCTCTCCTCGCCGTCGCGACGTGCGCGCTCACCTGCTTCCTCTCACAGCTACTGCTCTCCCGACGACCAGAAGGTGCGCACCCTCGATACGGAACCCTCATGAATTCCCGAGCCGACCTCGTCCTCGCTCGCAGCTCGACTGGAAGCGCCACAAGCCGGCGTGCCTCTCGCGCCGCCACACCGAGCCCTACATCGCCCACATCGACTATGACCGCTCTTCGACCGACCACTCGCCCTGATTCAAGCCCGTCCTCGACGCCATGCCCAAGCGCACGTACGCCCTCGTCACCAACGCGGCCGAGCTGCGCTCGCTCCTCCTGCACCCGATCCTCCCGACCGCCATCCTGTGCACCTCGGCCGACCTCGCCGACAAGAAGCACGCCAACGTGCGCGCGTCGCTGCGGGCGTACATCGACAAGGGCGGGCGCGTCGTCGTCGGCGGGCCGGGCGTCAACCACATGGCGATGGACGAGATCCCGACGCTCCTGTCGTCGCTCGGCGGCGTCGGGTGGCGGCTCGGCGGGTACCACCGCACGACGCACTTCCTCAACTCGGCGCATCCGCTGTACAGCGCCGCCGACGCGGCCGTTCGCGCGGCGCTGCCGGCGAGCTACTCGTGCAAGGCGATCGTACTCAAGGACGTCGACCCGGCCGACATGGTGTACCGCTCGACGCCCGACAGCGGGTTCGAGAGCCTCGCGATGGCGATGGACGGAGGCAAGGTGGCGAGCAACGAGGTGGCGGTCGCGACGGCGCACGTCGGCGAGGGCTGGCTGTCGTGGGTCGGCGACGTCAACCAGGAGGCGGGCTCGACGGCGGCCATGCTGTGGCTCCTCGGCCTCAAGCAGTAGCTGGAGCAGGTCGCAGTGCAACTCGAGCGAGTGTCGTTCCGTTGCGCGCGCGAGCCGGCGGCGAGGAGAAGAGAGCGAGAGGACCGAGCCCACGGCACGCCGCGCTCGAGAGGCGCGCGAGTCCCGAGCCTCGAGCCAGAGAGCAGAACAGACAAGCTAGAGCTGCAGCGAGCCGCACGAGAGCACAGTGTCGCAGCGAGAGGCGGCAGAGGCTGAGCTCGTCGTCGCTGGTCCAGTCGAGCTCGACCTTGGCCGCGGGCTGCTCTCGCTCTCCCCCTCCGTCCACCAGAGCATCAATCATGGCTCCCGTCTCTGCATCCAAGGCCAAGCGTCTCGAAGCCAAGGTGCGCCACAGCTCTCGCGCGCTCTCCCTCTCTCCCGCCCCTCCCTCCTCCTCTCCCATCACTCGTCGTTCTCGCCGACCCTCGCTCCTCTCACCCCACTCCTCTGGCCGGCTTGAGACCAGGACAGGGATCGCTCACCATGCTCTCTCCTCACACAGGCTGCCAAGGCCGCCGCCAAGGGCGAGTCGGTCTCGTCCAAGTCGTCGGCGCGCAACTCAAAGGTGTCGACCCCGCTCACCACGTCGGCCAACGGCTCGACCGACGACCTCAACGACATGGCCAAGCTCCGCCTCGCGACCGACCGCTCGGGCTCGGGCGTCCTCTCGTCCGACCCGCACTCGCGCGACATCCACATCGAGAGCTACTCGCTCTCGTTCCACGGCCGCCTCCTCATCGAGAACGCCGACATTGCCCTCAACTTTGGCCAGCGGTCCGTCCCTCTCCCTTGCCCCCACCTCACCGGTGTCCCCTTGTACTGACCCGCCCCTCTCGTGCTCCTACAGCTACGGTCTCCTCGGCGAGAACGGCTCGGGCAAGGTGCGCCCCACTTTCCGCCCCCTCCTCTCAGTCTACGACACGGCGACTGACACTCGACCCGCACACAGACCACGTTCCTTGAGTCGCTGGCCAACCGCGACGTCGACATCCCCGAGCACATCGACATCTACCTCGTCCGCGGCGAGGCCGAGCCGTCCGACATGACCGCCATCGACTACATCGTCCAGTCGGCCAAGGACAAGGCGGCGCGCATCGAGCAGCAGATCGAGGAGATGTCGATCGCCGACAATGTCGACGAGCTTGCGCTCGAGCTCAAGTACGAGGAGCTCGAGGCGCTCGACCCGACCATGTTCGAGGCCAAGGTCGGCGCCATCTTGACCGGTCTTGGGTTCGGCAAGGAGATGATGGGCAAGGCGACCAAGGACATGTCCGGTGGATGGAGGATGCGCGTCTCGCTCGCCAAGGCGCTCGCCATCCGGCCCCACCTCCTCCTCCTCGACGAGCCGACCAACCACTTGGACCTCGAGGCCGTCGTCTGGCTCGAGGCGTACCTGTCGACCTACAACCACATCCTCGTCTTTACGTCGCATTCGGCCGACTTCATGGACACGGTCTGCACCAACATCCTCGACCTGACCCTCGACCGCAAGTTCCTGACGTACGGCGGCAACTACTCGACCTACGTCCGCACCAAGACCGAGAACGAGACCAACCAGCTCAAGGCGTACGCCAAGCAGCAGGAGGAGATCAAGCACATCAAGGAGTGCGTCCCCCCACCCTCTCGTCTTTTGCCTCGCGACCGTGCACTGACCCCCTCCCACGCCACAGCTTCATCGCGTCGGCCGGTACGTACGCCAACTTGGTCAAGCAGGCCAAGTCGAAGCAGAAGATCATCGACAAGATGGAGGCGGCCGGGTTCATCAAGCAGCCGATGCGCGCCAAGGACCTGCACTTCAACTTCGAGGACGTCAAGAAGCTCCCGCCGCCCATCATCGCCTTCAACGACGTCGCCTTCTCGTACGACGGCAACCTCGACAAGGCGCTGTACCGCGACCTGTCGTTCGGTATCGACATGGACTCGCGCATCGCCATCGTCGGCCAGAACGGCACGGGCAAGTCGACGCTCCTCAACCTCATCACGGGCGACCTGCAGCCGATCCGCGGCTCGGTCAACCGCCACCCGTCGCTCAAGCTCGCCAAGTACTCGCAGCACTCGGCCGACCAGCTCCCGTACGACCAGTCGCCGCTCGAGTACTTCGAGTCGCGGTTCAAGCCCAAGATGCCCGAGAAGGACATCCAGTTCTGGCGCTCGTCGATCGGCCGGTTCGGTATCTCGGGCTCGCACCAGACGTCGCCCATCCGCCAGCTCTCGGACGGCCTGCGCAACCGCGTCGTGTTTGCCCAGCTCGCGCTCGAGCGCCCCGACATCCTCCTCCTCGACGAGCCGACCAACCACTTGGACATGAGCTCGATCGACGCCCTCGCAAAGGCCATCAAGGAGTTCACGGGCGGCGTTGTCATCGTCTCGCACGACTTCCGCCTCATCTCGCAGGTCGCCGAGCAGCTGTGGGAGGTCAAGGACAAGAAGGTCGTCGACCTGTCCAAGGAGGACATCACGATCGTGCAGTACAAGGTCCGTCTCGCTCTCGCTCTCCTCCCTTTCTCGTTCGTCCCGGCTCGGCGCCTCGTCGTCGAGCCGGCGTCGCACCCGCAAAAATCACGCACTGACCCTCTCTCTCCTTCCTCTCGCCTCGTAGCAAATCCTGTCGAAGAACTCGCAGGCCCAGATCGAGAAGGCCAAGCTCGTGTCCAAGCAGTCGGGCAAGATGGCCAACGTCTAAACCTCGTCCGCCCACCGTCGTCGTCGTCGTCGTCGTCGTTCGTCTCCCCGCCTCTCTTCGCTCGCCCGCCGGCCTCGCCCGACGAGGAGCCCTTCTTTTCGTTGTGCAACCGCATCCTTGTCATAGACCACCTATCCTCGAGGGAACCAGCTCGACCCACTTCTGCCCATGTTGTGTTTCGTTCCCCTCCCTCTCTTTCCTTCTCCGCCCCGCTCGCACCCCCTCTCTCACCTCGTCTTCCCTTGCTCTCCTCCTTTCCTGCCGTTCCCCTGTAACTACCTGCCACACGAGGTTGCCTCTCACACATTCTGCCGATCGGGCGACGGGCGACGGGCGAAGGAGAGCATGCGAGAACGAGAGAGACAGAGAGGGAACGAGAGATGCGTGCATGCGACAGAGAGCTACAACACACACCACGAGGCACAGAGCGAGAGAGGGAGACACGCGAGAGACAAAGGTAGAGGGGAGAGGAGAGAGAACATCGACAAGGAGGGGAGGGACGAGAGAGAAGGAGGGGGAGAGAAGGCGACGACGCGACGAGGTGTAGAGGAAGGAGGGCGAGAGAGGGGAGGTAGGGAGGGCAGAGATACTGTGACGGAGAGAGGGACACAGGCTCAGAGCCAGCCAAAGTACTCGTCCCAGTCCTCGTCGACCCAGCGGATCATCCACCCGTCGGCGGTGCCGGCGAGCGGATCCTCCTCGGCCTCCTTCTGTCCCGCGCCGGCCGTCTGCACGAGGCCGTCCTTGGTGAAGCTCGCTGCGGCACCCGACGCCTGCTTATCCTCGGCGCCGAAGTCGTCGCGGTCCCTGCGAGTCGGAAGGCGGGCCGAGGTCAGTCTCGCTCGACGGCGTCGACGGCGGCGAGCAGAGGACGTACATCTCGATCTCGGCGACGGCAGCCTTGGCTGCAGCTGCGTCCTCCTCGTCCTCGGCGGCGGCGAGCGCACGGCGGATCTCGGCCTCGGACTGGGTCGGGATCTGCTCGGCCTTCTGGGCGTCGTTGGTCGCCGCGTCGACGCCGAGCTCGGCGAGCTGCCCATCGTCGAGGTAGTCGCGCCAGTCGAGCTTTTGCAGGTGGTCGGTCGTGAACTCGCCGTCGGCGATGACCATCTGGTCGAGCTTGCGCTTCTGGTTCGCCTTCTTGAGCATGTTCTCCTCGATCCTGCGGGCCGTCGTCCCAGTCAGTACCTGTGCTCGAGAGCGACGAGGAGAGAGAGAGAAAGCGTGAGACGCACGAGTGCTCGGTGACGAAGCGCCAGATGCGGACCTCGCGCGTTTGGCCGATGCGGTGAGCGCTGCAAGGGGCTCGAGCGGGGTCAGTCGGGCGTCGCGAGAGGGGACAGGAAAGGAGAGAGCGAGACGCACCGGTCCTGGCACTGACGGTCGAGTGCCGGGTTCCAGTCCGAGTCGTAGAAGATGACGGTGTCGGCGCCCTGAAGGTTGATGCCAAGGCCGCCGGCGCGCGTCGACGAGATGAAGGCGAGGATCTTGTCGTTCGAGTTGAAGCGCTCGGTGATGATCTGGCGCTGCTCGATCTTGGTCGAGCCGTCGAGGCGCAGGTACCGGTGACCCTGGTACGACAGGAACTCCTCGAGGATGTCGAGGACCTTGGTCATCTGGGTGAAGATGAGGACGCGGTGGCCGCCGGCGCGACACTCGCGCAGGAGCTCGTCGAGCTTCTGGAGCTTGCCGCAGTCGTACTGGAGGAGCGAACGGTCGGGGAAGGCGACCGTGAGCTTGGTGGCGGGGAGGTGGAGGAGCTCGGCAGGCGCGACCTCCTCGATGTCGTCGATGTCGTCCTGGGTCATGCCGGGCAGGGCGTGCTGCGCCATGTCGTGGGCGCGCACGTTGGGCGTCGCGAAGCCGTACAGCGAGATCGTGTCGGCGAGCTGCTCGGCGCGCTGCTCGTTCGACCGGACGAGGGAGGGGAGGAGGGACGGCGTCGACAAGAGCTCGCGCTCGGGGCGGTCGACGTCCGAGGGGAAGAGGGCCAGCTCGCGCGACGGCTGGCGGAGGAACCGGAGGAGGGTCGAGCCGAAGTAGGGCGTCGAGGCGCGGATGCGGCGGTGGTTGACGGCGGCGAGGCGGTCGAGGCGCGAGATGGTCGCGCGGTGCTGCTGCCACGCGTGGTGCCGGCGCCAGCAGGCGATCGAGTTGACGTCGCGAGGCGGCTCGACGGACAGGTCGAGGCCGGCCGGCGGCTGGTACAGGGCCGGGAACGAGCCCGAGGCGTCGAGGCGCGTGCGGAGCTGGCCCGCCATCGACGACGTCGACTCCTCTTGCTCGGGCTTGACGAGCGTGAGCGTCGACCAGTCCATCTTGGCGATGGGCGCCTCGTCGAGCAGGCGCTTGCGGACGAGGAGCTCGGACGGCTCGAAGCCGGTGACGACCGACCGGTGCATCGAGAAGGACGTGACGACGGGCCGCGTCTCGAACAGGTCCGGGTGGTTGCACACCTTGCGCAGCTGCATGAGGCAGTTGATGATGCTGAGGAAGTGGCCCGACGCGAGCGTCTCGCGCGTTTGCGCGCGCGCCATGAAGTCGTCGTACAGGAACCGCTGCCGCTTGGACAGGCGGCAGTAGATGACCGACTCGGTCTTGCCCGGCATCTGCTTCTCGACCTCGGCCTTGAGGCGACGGAGGAGGTACGGGCGCAGGATCGTGTGCAGCTTGTTGACCGTCGCCTGCATCTCGGCGTCCATGACCTCGCCGTTCTCGATGGCCTTCTCCATCGGGTTCGAGAACCACGCCTGGAAGTCGGCGTGCTCGGCGAACGGGCCCGAGCCGTCCGTGATGAGGCCGTGCGGCATGAGGAAGTAGAGGAGCGACCACTGCGGATTGGCGACGGGAGGGAGGGGGAAGGCGGCCTGAGCGTCAGGAACGGGCACGACGGCAGGGCACGCTCGAAGGGGGACAAGGGAAAGAGGGCGAGAGAGGGGACGCACAAGTTCCATGAGGTTGTTCTGGAGGGGCGTGCCCGTGAGGAGGAGGCGGTGGCGAGCGTTGAAGCCGAGGAGCGTCTGCCACCGTTGCGAGCGAAAGTTCTTGATGTGGTGCGCCTCGTCGAGGATGAGGTAGTGCCACGGCTTGCGGCGGAAGATGTGCTGGTCGGCGAGGACGAGCTGGTACGACGTGATGCAGACGTTGAACGCGTTCTCGGCGCTCCAGCCCTCGCGCTTCTTCTTGCGCTCCTTCTGGGTGCCGTAGTAGGTGAGGAGCTTGAAGCCCGGGAAGAACTTGCGGAACTCCATCTCCCAGTTGAGCATGACGCTCGTCGGCACGACGACGAGGTGCGGGCCCCACTGGCCCTTGTCGCACGCGAGGTGGGCGAGGAGCGCGATCGTCTGGATCGTCTTGCCGAGGCCCATCTCGTCGGCGAGGATGCTGCACAACGTCGAGAGAAGATCGTCAGGAACGTGTCGCTGCGACGGAGCGAGAGAGAACGAGAGAGAGGGAGCCGCAGACGCACCCGTTGACGCCGCCGGTGTAGAGGCTCGCGAGCCACTCGAGGCCGGCCTGCTGGTACGGGCGCAGCGTCGCGCGCAGGAGGAACGGCGGCCGAAGGTGCTGGATCTGCCTGTCGGAAGGCTCGGTCGAGATCTCGTCGTCGGCGTCGCCCTCGACCCCTTCTCGCTCCTCGTCCTCGTCCTCCTCCTCCTCCTCCTTGGCGCTCGCCGAACCCGCGTCCTCCTCCTCGTCCTGCTCGCGCTTCGGCGACGCCGGAGGAGCCGAGTCGACGTCGCCGTTAGGCTCTGCCGAGCCGCCGCCGCCGTAGCCGTACTTGCGCATGAGCTCCTCGATCGGCATGTCGGCGTCCTCCTCGAGGCCCTTCATCTCCTCGTCGTCCGACTCGCCCTCCTCGGCCTCCATCTCCTGCGCGAGCGCGTCGTCCTCGTCGTCGCGCTGCTCCTCGCCGGCGTCCGAGCCGAACTCGGACATGGCCTCGGCCTCCTTCTCCTCGGCCGTGAGGTCGGGCGCGGCGGGCGCCGACGTGCCCGGCGTCGAGGGCGAGGCGGCGCCGGTCGAGCTCGCGGCGGTCGCGGCGGCGGACGGCTCGGTCGAACCCTCCTTGACGGGCGCGTCGGCGAGGACGTCCGCCATCGCCGAGTCCTCCTCGTCCTCCTCCTCGTCCTCGTCCCCCTCTGCCGCCTCGTCGCCCGCCTCCTGTTCGGCGAGCATGGCCGCGTAGCCCGAGCGCCGGAGCAGCTCCTCGATGGGCATGTCGGCCTCGTCGGCCAAGCCCTTGAGCTCGTCGTCGTCGTCCTCCCTGTCCTCCTTCTCCATCTCGGCCGCGTACGCGTCGTCCTCCTGGGCACGACGCGCATCGTCCTCGTCGGCCTCGGCGAACCCGACGTCGCCGTCCTCGTCGGCCTCGCCGGCGGCGGTCGCGGGCGAGTCGGCCGGGGTGGCAGAGACGGACAGGCGCGAGCGCGAGCGGATCGACTGGCGACGAGGAGGGGGAGCTCGTCGGCCCTTGGCTTTCGCCTTGGCTCGAGATGGGGCTGGGGACGAGTCGGCGGCAGGGCTGGAGGGAGCGACCGAGGGCGAGTTGACGGGTTCTTCCTCGTCCTCGTCCTGCTCGTCGTCGTCGTCTTCTGGCGCCGACTGATCGTCGCCGTCGTCGTCCGAGTCGGCGTCCTCGGCGCCCATCTCGATCTGCTGCGCCTGGAGCATGGTCGTCGACTTGTTGAGCATCTCGTCGAGCTGCTGCTTGCCGAGGCGCTTCTGCTCCTTCTTGTGCTCCTCCTTGCGCCGTGCGCGGACGACCTGCAGTTCAAGAGCGTGTCAGTCGACCGCAGTGACGAAAGGAAGAGGGAGGGACGGAGAGAGGGGACGCACGCCGATGGCGAGTTTCCACTTCTTGCGGACCTCCTTGATCGTCCACCTCGCGAGCGCCTTCTGGTTGCGCTCGATCTCGCGCTGCTCCTTGTCCTCCTTGCCGCGAATCTCCTCAAAGTGCTTCATGACCATCCTCGCCGTCTTGCGCGCGAGGGCGACGTGCGCCTTGCGCTCCTGGGCGACGAGGTGCGAGAAGTAGACGGCGTGCTCGACGAGCCACTCCTGGTGGTCCTTGGCCCGCTTCGACTCGTGCGACTGCGTCTTGTCCGGGTTGTACAGCTCGCGGCCCTCGGCGCGCACGGCGTCGGCCTGCGACAGGATGTCGTACTCGTACTCGGCGCGCGCGTCGAGCTCCTCCTCGGGCGGCGGCGGCTCGATGTCGGCGTCGTCGTCGAGCGACATGTACGAGTTGAGGAAGGCGGCGAGAGAAAAGTCGAACTGCGGGTCGGGCGGGACCTGGGCGAGGTGCGAGTAGGTGACGCCCGACTCGAGGAGGATCTTGCGGCGCTTGACGGCGCGCGGCGACAAAGGCGGGAGGTCCTGCTTGAGGAGGTTCGGGAGCTCTTCGAGCTTGGCGACGACGGGCTCGTAGGGCGGCAGGTTGGCGTGCAGGGCGATGGACGAGGCGCGAGACGGGGTCGACGCGACCGACGGGCGCTTCTTCAACTTGGTCGAGCCGGGCAGGGACGCCGAGGGCGACGGCGAGGCCGGCATCGACATGCTCGGCGAGTACGGCGCCGGGCTGCCGCTCGCCGTCGTCTGCGCCTTCTTGACCGTCGGCGCCTTGCGCTTGGTGCTGCCGGGGCGAGGGGCGCCGCCGGCCTCGACGGCGAGGATCGGGTCGCTCTGGTCCTCGGCGCGGCCCTTGCCCTTGATGTCCTTCTTGCGGGCGCTCGTCAGGTCGGCGACAGCCGCGTTGGGCGCGAGCGCGCCGACCTTGCGCTGCTCGGCTGCGCGACGGGTTCCTCGCCGACCGTTGCTCGCGCCGGCCACGTCGGGTGCGGCGTTGAGGAACAGGTCGTAGTTGGCCTGGAACGAGCGGAAGACGTCGGACCGATCGGCTGCACGAGGGGAAGGAAGGGCGTGAGGGGAGGTCTCGCGAGTGCGGAAAGAGGTCGAGGCGCACCTTTGGCGACGTTCGGGTCAAAGCCGATGAGGGTGACGAAGCGGTCGAGGTGGAACAGCTCGCGAACGTAGTCGTCGTGCTTGTCAACGATGGCGGCGAGCTGCAGGGCGCAATAGAAGCCGTCAGCTTGCGTGCGAAGGAAGCGTGTGGAGGAGGGAAGGGGAATGAGGCCGGCGCACCTCGTTCTGCTTGAGGTCGACCTGCTGCGCGCGCCACGCCTCGATCTCGTCGGCCGTGTACGACCGCTTGGGCGCCGACGCGTTCGAGGACGAGGGGATCGGGGGAAGGTTGGCCGCGGAGACGAAGGGGAGGGGAGGAAGCCCTCCGAGGTTGAAAGCTGCGCCCGCCGGAGCCGACCCAGTGCCGTTCTGCGAGGGCCCTGGCGTGGCCGACTGGCTGCCCGGTGTGGTCGTCGCGCCGTTGGCGTCGTCTCGAGGCATGGGGGCGGGGTTTGCTCGAGGTGTGCTGCGGCCGCAAGAGCGTGCGCGGCACCGACGGGTAGCTGGCGGGCGTGAAAGTCGAGTGGCGAGGTCGCCAAGTGCTCAAGACGTCGGGTTGTCGAGGAAGGCGAGCTGGGAGATCGAGGGGGGAGGTGGAGGGGGAACGCCGCTCTGGCGGGTGGATCGGCTGCTGCGCTCGAGCGAGGTGCACTGTCGAGAGTGCAGTCGGCGGGCTGTGGAGCGCACACGCTCAACGAGGGGTGGGGAGAGCGTACGGGGCGAGAAGGCTTTCCTCCTCGCTCTTCCCTCTCTCCGCCCGCAGCCGTCGACCGAGCCCTCCTCTCCCTCGCTCGCAGGTTGCTTCCCAGGTCACGACACGCTGCCAGCTTGCTCCAGCAGCTCACGTCGGGCGCGCGAGGCGCGCAAGAAGCTCTCCCTCGCCGCCCAGAAGCCGTCTCTCCTCCTCGGGCAGGCGTGACGGCGTCGTTGCAGCTCTGCAGCGCCGAGTACGAGCCGCCGACGGTCGCATCCTGCGCACCAGCTCCTCAAGCACCCGACGCCGACTCCCTCTCGCCCGTTCGGCCCGCTCGACCGTACCCTCCTTCCCCTCGACCTCGCCGCCGCCCGTGGCTCTCGCGCCCGCCGGCAAGCGCACTCAGACGCCCGACCGACCCGTCAGCAGCTTCTTGTCCTCGATCTCCGAGTCCGAGTCGGTGTGCACGGCGCCCGCTGCGTGCGGCGGGTCGTACGGCGGCAGAGTCGTGGACGCTCGGCTCGACGACCGCGAGAGGCGGCCCGCGACCGGCTGCGCACCGCCCGCGCCGTCCGACGACAGGCCTTCGCCGAGCTGCTGCGCCGCGCCGGCTTTGCGCGACGGCTTCTTGTGCCGCACGAGCTTGTCCTCGAGCCGGGCAAACTCGCGCTCGAGCCCGCGCAGGCGCCCGGCGCCGCCCTTCTTGCTGCGCTCGCTCGCCGTCTTCGAGTGCTGCTTCTTGGCTCGATGCGGCTCGTACAGCTTGGCCGGGCGCGTGTGGACGTAGCGCGCGCAGAGCGCGACGAGGAGGAGGTGCACGCCGGTCGCGATGGACGACGAGACGATCGAGACGAGGCGGACGCGCGAGTACCAGGTAGTGCAGTCGGTCGAGTGGGCGACGGCAGTACCTGTGGGCGAGAGCGCTGGCCGTCAGTCGGCGTGTCGCGAGGAGGACCGGGAGAGACGCGCTCACAGGCTCGCTGGACCCAGACGCCGTTGGTGAGGCTCAGCTCCCACTTGAGGTAGAGCGCGACGATCGGCACCTGCATGATCGAGATGATCTGTCGGCGCAGGAGTGGTCAGTCGGGCATGCTCGTGTGCTGCCGAGCCGAACGAGGAAGGCCAACTCACGCCGAACGCGATGACGGCGCCCTCCTGCAGGTCCCGCGACGGCAGCAGCAGCGCCGTGACGACGTCGACGAGAAGGAAGGCCATGGTGATGAGCCACAGGACCGCGACCAGGAGCGAGTAGGCAAGGCCGTCGAGCCCTGCGATGCCGTCCTCGAGGCTCCAACGCTGCAGAGCTGCACGACGACGAGGGGCTCGGGTCAGTGCGGTCCTTCTGCGTCGAGGGGATCATGGTGACGCACTGTTGAACGCGTAGGCCCTCATGCCGATGATGGCCAAGTCGGCGCACAGGAGGACGAGCGCGAGGAGGAGGATGACGCCGCCGAGGAACGAGTGCCGGTACAGCCGCACGGGCGAGATGCAGTGCACGCGCGCCATGTTGTCGTCGTCGTGCTGGTCGTCGTCGTCGTCGCCGGCGAGAGCCAGAGCTACAGCAGGCGGCGAGAAAAGTGTCGGCCGGGAACAGGGTCCGAGCGACGGGCAGCAGCCTTCCGCGGACTCGCCGAAGGACGCGCGCTCGCGCTCACGTCGTCTCCTGTCGTCGTCAGACCAGATCGATCGATGGGCCCGGTGTCGAGCTGCAGCTCGTGCGCGGTGACCGGTCGAAGATGGCCGACAGCTTGCGGTTCCGCGAGCGCGAGTCGAGATAGCGCCGGTTGCGGCTTACCGACGACGAGCCAGAGTGCAAAGCTCCGTCCGGTGCGCCCGCCACGGCCGGCGCCAGCAGAGGTTATCGACGCGCAGACAGCGCCGGACGGCATGCCGCCAAGCCGGCTGCTGGCCGGAGCGGAGCGATTCTTCGCCTCTCTCTCTCTGCTCTCTCGCTCTTCTCACACGCCCCAGTGCACCCCGAACTAGTGCGCCACACCCTCGCAGACCCTCTCGCAACCCGTGCGCGAGCTGACACGCCTCGACGAGCCCTGCAGCACCCACCCCTTTCCTCGTCCACCGACTCGCCTATCTCGCGCTCATGTCGCCTCAAGCCCTGCCCGACTACCCGACTGGCACCTCGCTCAAGCCCTGGAAGACGGTCAACGTCAGCTCGGGCGTCAAGCGCATCTCGAACCGTGCGTTCCACGCTCCCACTCTCCTTCTCCTCGGAGCCGCGGCTGAACCTCTCTCCTCCCTCGCAGCCATCCGCGAGATCCTGGCCGGCATCGACCTGTCTGCGCCTGTCGCCCAGGGCCCCAAGCAGCTCGTGAACCTCGGCCTTGGCGACCCGAGCGTCTTCGGCAACCACGCGCCCGCGCCCGAGTCGATTGCCGCCATCGAGGAGAGCCTCAAGTCGGGGCGTTCCCTCGGCTACCCCGAGAGCGTCGGGTACGCCGATGCGCGCGAGGCGGTCGCCAACTACTTTGACGAGGGCCCCAACGGCAACTGGAGGGTGACCAAGGTGCGCTCCACCCCTCCTCCCAGCTCCCCCTCGCTTCTCTCCCTGACTCTGTACTCTCTTCCGCAGAACGACGTCGTCATGACCCACGGCGCGTCGGGTGCGCTCGAGATGGCCATCTCGGTCCTCGCCGACGAGACCAAGAACGTCCTCTTCCCGCGGCCCTTGTTCACCGCCTACGAGACGATGTCGGCCATCTCGCGCTGCGAGATCCGCTACTACGACCTGCTCCCCGAGCAAGACTGGGAGGTCGACCTGGCGCACCTCGAGTCGCTCATCGACGAGAACACGGCGTTCGTCATGCTCAACAAGTGCGCTCAGACCTCTCTCTCTCGTTCCGCCCCTCGCCCTCGCGTACTGACTCGTCGCTCCCGCAGCCCGTCCAACCCGTGCGGCTCCAACTGGTCCGAGAAGCACCTGCGCGACATCGCCGCCCTCATGGCCAAGCACCAGACGCTCGTCATCACCGACGAGGTCTACGCCGGCCTCGCGTGGGACGTGACCGGTCCTCGGCCCGCAGCCGCCGACGCTCCTCGCGTCGAGGGCAAGTTCAACCGCGGCGTGTTCACACCGTACGCGTCCATCTGCGGCCCGTCGCCGTGCCTCGTCGTCGGCGCCGTCTCGAAGCGGTGGCTCGCTCCCGGCTGGCGCCTCGGCTGGGTCATCGTGCACGACCCGCTCGGCGTCCTCGCCGAGGTGAGGGGCGGCCTCGCCAAGTGGGCGTTCCGCATCCAGGGCCCCAACTCGACGATGCAGCGCGCCCTGCCCGCCATCCTCGCCAACACGCCCGAGCGGTTCTACCTCGACACGATGGCCGAGCTCAAGCGCACGGGCGAGGCGCTGTACGACCGCCTCGAGCGCATCCCGGGCCTCACGCCTCGACGCCCGCAAGGTGCGATGTACTTGTGCTGCCAGTACTCGGGCCTCGACCTCGAGGACGACAAGGCGTTCGTCACGGCCTTTTACGACGAGGAGCGCGTCTTTATCTTGCCCGGCGCCGCCTTCCGGTGCGTCCTCCTCTCTCTCTCTCTCTCCCTCTCTTTCGTCGACGAGCGAGCACTAACTCCTCATCGTTCGGTCCCTCCCCTCGTACACAGCCTCGACGGCTACATCCGATTCGTTACGACCACCCCTCTCCCCGTCCTCATGGACGCCTGCGACCGCCTCGAGGCTTTCTGCAAGCGTCACGTCAAGTCGGCCTAGACGTTCCCGACCCTCGCCACCAACACGCTCGCTCTCGTAGACTCTCCTCGCTCTCTCTGTTGCCCCTCCCTACCTCTCGTCGCAGTACACTCTCCCCTTGGTCGCTCCGTCTAGACTTTGCATCGCTAGAGCGCATCTTTCTCATTCTCTCGCAGCGCCGCAGAGAGAGAGAGAGAGCGCGCGAGCCCGCACTTGCGGACGATGTTCTCGAGCGACCACGAGGGTCCGACAAACAGATGGCATTACGACAGACCTCTTCTCGACGGCGACGACGACGATGATGTGGTACAGAGTGAGGGGTAGACAGAGGGGACGAACAGAGTCGAGAGGCAATCAGAGAGCCGCACGAACGACGCCTTCCTGGGTCTGCGAGGGGGCCGAGGCAGTCAGTAGCTGACCTCAAGAGCGACAGGAGGTAGGAGAGGACTCACACAGACGACTGTAGAGGGTACGAGGGGACGCAGGGCGAGAATGAGGGTCAGTGGCACGATCGGCGGACTCTGGGCTCGAGAGAGGTCAAAGCGCACCGGCGAGGGTGCCGTCGCGCTTGTAGATGCGGCCGTTGACGAGCCCACGACCGTTGGAGGTGACGGGCGAGTTCATGTAGTAGAGGAGCCTGCACGGGAGAGACGGCGAGGGACGGCAAGAGGTCAGTCGCGCTCGACGATGGCTCAGGGTGAAGAGAGGCGGCGAGAGAAGCAGAGACGCACCAGTCGTGAGCGTCGACGCTGCAGTCGTAGAAGTACATCGAGTGGTCGAGCGACTGTGTGCGGCGCTTGAGAGTCAGTCACCGTCGGAGAGAGGAGGGAGGAGGCGAGGACGCACCGCAAGCATGCCGAGCCTGGGCTTGGTCGACGAGCCGAGCCCGGTCGCACGTGCAGCCGTGCCGATAAAGTTGAGGTCGGACGCATAGGCGAGGACGCACTGCCGGGAGAAAGATGGTGAGCATGATCCGCTCGGACTCGAGGAAGTTTGAGCGAGAGACGAGAGGCGCACCTTCTGGAAGTCGGGGTCGGACCTGACCGGCGCACGGGAACGGAACCAGTAGAGCTGCCTGTCGCGAGAAAGGAAAGGTCAGTGACCTGGCCGAATGCGACGTGCGGCGAGAAGGGGAAGACGAGCGAGGACGCACTGCTGCGAGGCGGACCGCTCGAAGCTGAAGAGGAACCCTGCCTCGCGCCTGCGGAACAGGGAAAGGTCAAAATAGGCTCTGAGAGACCGACGAAGGAGAGAGAGAGGCGCACCTGTCCGTGTTGCGCAGCTCGATCGATGACTGCCTGCGCTCCTCGGCCTGGCGCTCGACGCTGCAGGGGGTTTGGCGTCGTCAGGGCTGCGACTCGTCGAAGGGTCGAGAGAGAGAGACCGGGACGCACAAGTCCTGCAGCTTCTTGGGCAAGTTCTTGCCCGCGGCGAGCGCGCGCAGCATGACCTCCTCGGTCGCGTCGCAGTCCTCGGGCTCGGGGATGCTGTCGCCGAGGTCCTGGCGCTGCGCCTTGTCCTCCTCGGTGCGGTGCCACCGCAGGGGCCAATGCGGGAGCGGGAGCGCGCGCACGGGCTGCTTGGGCTCGGGCAGGCAGAACGAGCACGTGAGGGTGAAGATGGGGACGCCTTGCTGCGTCGCGAGGACCGAGCGCGTGCTGTACGAGCGGCCGTCGCGCAGGCGTTGGACCGAGTACAGGACAGGGATGTCGGCGTTGCCAAAGTTGAGGAAGTAGCACTGTACGACGACCACGCGGACGGCAGGTCAGCGACAACAACTGCGAGGTTGGACCGGCAGGCCAGGTCGAGCGAGAGGGGACGCACGTGAAGAGAGTGCAGGCCTTTCTCGGTGTTGGGCTCGTCGCGCCGCACCGACTGCACTGCTGCCCAGGCCGCTTCTGCGAGTCGCGAAGGGGAGAGTGGGGAGAACGGTCAGCGAGCCCCTTTTAGTCGAGCCGAGAGGAACAGGGACGTACGGGCAATGATCTGGCCACCAAAGACGCCGCGACCTTGTGCGGGCTGCGGAACGTGCCAGCCGAGGGTCAACGGGGAGAACCACGAGCCGAGGTGGGAGGAGGAGGGAGGGGAGGACGCACCTTCCAAAGCTCGCGCGAGCGGTAGATGTCGCGGTCGATGTCCTCGAGGTCCTGTGGATCGTGGCGAGCGTCAGTGAGCGAGTTCTCGTGGTGGGCGAAGCCCGAGAGGCTCGCCCCGGCGGGGGACAAGTGGGACGAGGAGGAGGACGCACGATGGCGTCGGTGATGGATTGCGCGGTGGCTTCCGGGTGGTCGGGCATGGTGCTGGCGAGCTGGCTGGCGGTACAGAGAGCGAGCAGAGAGTGAAGCCGAACAACGAGCGACGTTGCCGGGTCGGCAAGAACGCGGTGCAGCTCCGGTGACCGGTCGCCGCACCTGGCTGAGCTGCTCGCTTGAGTAGCACGCGTACGATACTCTGATGCAGCGCTAGTGACCGACCAGGGGACTCGCCGACGTCGAGAGAGTGTGACCGCCCATCGAAACTGATGAAGACGGTCGCCCTCTCCTCACACGCACCCAACATGACCGACTCGCACCGAGACCAGCCGCTCGACAGCTTGCCCTGTACGCCCACTTCACGGTACCCGCCTCGCCGACCCGCACTGACCCTCGTGCCGTGCAGACTACGACAAGGACCTCGACCTCCATCCCGGTCCGTCTCCCTCTCTCGAGCCAGCGTCAGCGTACAAGCTGACCTTGTGACCCCACGCAGAGCTCCGACCAGCCATCAACTCGCAGATCGCCATCGAGCTGCGCTCCCTCCTCCCCAAGAACCCGTCCGCCAACCCGTCCAACCTCTCGCACCTCCCGCCGCCTCGCCCTCTCCCCTCTGCGTCCGACCACCCGCTCCTCGCCGCCGAGCTCTCGCGCGTCGAGTCCAAGCGGCCTCTCCGCGACGGCGAGGGCCTCGACACGTCGCGCTACGCCATGCCGTTCCCGGACGAGGCGTCGCTCGACAGCGTCGAGGCGTGGGAGCGCGCGTACGAGTCGAGCCTCGCCCAGCTCGAGCACCAGCGCCTGCGCAGCCTCAACGGGTCGCTCCTCCAGCAGCTCGGCGGCAACAAGTGGCGCGTCGAGAACTTTGCGCTCGAGAACGCGATCCAGCGCGTCGACGGCGAGGGCGAGGGCGTCAAGGAGCAGGTCGAGGAGGTCAACCGCAGGCGCAAGGCCGACCAGGAGAAGGCGGGCGAGACGTTGAGCAGGCTCGAAAAGCGGTGGACTGAGCTCGTGTCGAGCGGCGTCCAGCTCGAGATCGGCAGCGTGGCACTGTGCGTCCTCCTCTCTCTCTCTCTCTGCGCCTCCTTCCCCAGTCGCCAGAACTGACTCTGTCCCTCACCTGTCGCAGCGAGGAGCAGCTCGTCGAGTTGCGCGCACGGCATGCGGACCTGCAGCGGCGAGTGGCAGCAGTGTCGCAGTAGATCGGGCTCGAGACTGTATTTCAAGCCGTGCTTGTACTCTCTGTCACTCTCTGCGCGATCGAGAGCACTTCTCTGCGGCTCATGTGCGAGTTGCAGGTCGATACAGGCCCGAAGCGCAAGTTTGCGCGCCTTTTTTCCCTTCCTCGTCCCGTCTTCCTCCGTCTAGCTCACTCGCCGAGCTTCTTGAGCGCGTCGCCCGTCATGCGCATCGTCATCCACTCGTCGAGCTGCTTGCGCATATCGAGAGTGTCAGTGAGTCGAGCCCCTGAGCACGAGAGCGGCCTCGGCGCAGCCCTTCTGACAGGTCCGAGGCGAGAGAGACCGAGAGGGAGCGAGAGACGCACGTCGACGGCGCCCATGCGCTTGTAGATCTGCTCGGCGTTCTTGTTCCACCTGAGGAGGACGAGGACGGGCGAGCTGCGTCAGGATGCGCCTCGAGCTGATCTGGCGTGCGCCGGAGAGGCCCTGGCGCGAACGAGAACGTGGGAGAGCAGGGCGCAGCTCACTTGATGTAGACCCACTCCATCCTCGGCAGTCCTCGCTCGGCGCAGATCTGGCCGAGGTGCTTGAACAGGAGCTTGGCGAACCCGCGACCGCGGAACTCTTCCTCGACGAAGAGGTCCTCGAGGCTGCGGACGGGCGACGAGGGCGGCGAGCGCGCTCTCGGTCAGCAGCTGGTGGGCATAGGGCTCAGGGAGACTGAGAAAGGGGCGTAGAAGGGAGAAGGGACGCACTAGAGGCCGCCTCGGCCGGTCCACTGCGGACAGGAGGAGGGGGAGGGGAAGCGGGGTGGTCAGTCTGGCGTTCTCCCTCCTCCTGCGGGTCAGAGAGAGAGCCGAGGACGCACCGTCGAGAACGTGTAGTACCACACGGCCATGGCGACCGCCTCTGCGCCGTCCTCGCCCGGTGCTCCTCCCCGGTAGATGAGGATGCACTCGGCGTACTTGCGCCCTTCCTTGTCGCCAAAGAAGCTGTCGCGCAGGAGCTCCTCGGTCGCAAAGACCTCGTCGGGCGCCTTCTCGAACAGGGCGAGCGCCTTGATCAGGCGGAGCGTGGCCGGGATCGTGTGTTGCGAGTTGGCCGGGGTGACCTGGTGGAGCGAGAACTCGCTGTCGGCGGGGAAGGCGGCAGAGGTGGACATGTCGGCGAGACTGCTGGAGGTGGTGGCGAGCAGTGCAGGTGGCAGCGAGTGACGGTGGAAGGAGCAGAGGCGAGGATTTGAGATCGAGGTGGGGAGGCGGTGTGGAGCGGTTGCGGCGAGACTGACGTCGTACGCTTCTCGCAAGGCGTGAGCACCGCTGCGAATCTACTCTCTGAGCGAGGGCGGCAGCGAGAGAAATGCTCGAGCGAGGACACGGACAAAGTCTCGTCGCCGCTCCTCCTCGTCGACCCTGCACCAGGTCAAAGCGGCTCGCTCACGACGAGCTCTCGTGCTCTCTCGCTGAGCCTGCGTGATCTCGACGACGTTCCTTTGCACTCCGACCGACCCGCTCTACTCCTCCTCGCTGCCCACGTCAATCATCGGCATGCCCTCGTCCTCGTCGTCCTCCTCGTCGCTGTCCGCCGCTGCCGTCGCGGGCTTTGCCGCAGCCGCACGCGACGCCTTGGCGGTCGACGCAGACGCTGGCACCGTCTCGACGTCGACCGTGCCGACCGTGACGCCGGTCGAGGGCGCGAACGAGTGCACCGACGCCGGCTCGTCGAGCTGCACCTTGCCGCTCGTCGCCGACGCGCCAAACGCCGGCGCCGAGAAGGCCGCGAAGCCGTTTTGCTGCGCCGGTTTCGCCGCCGAGGAAGCGGCGAACGACGGCGCCGCAAAGGCGGTCGTCGCCGGGAAGGCCGTCTGCGCCGGTGCGGGCGCGAGCACGACGGGCGGCGCCGCCGTCCCCGGTGGCGTCTTGCGCCTGCGCACCGCGTCGCCCGAGCCGTTGCGCGCTCCATTTACGCCCTCCTCGGCGCCCGAGTCCTCCTCGTCGTCCGACTCGTCCTCGTCCTCGTCGGCCCGGCGCTCCTCGACCCGGATCCCAAACTCGCGCGCGCTGCGGTCCCACTCGAGCTCGTCGCCGACCCAGCCGCCCTTGGCCTCGTGTCGGACGCGCGCGAGCCCGGCGTTGGGCTGCTGCGCGGGCACGGCCGGGTGGGCGAACGTGCGCACGAGGGCGAGGCCCTCGAGGGCGAGCGCGCGCGCGTCGGCGTCGGTCGAGAGGAGCGACGCGCGGCGGAAGACCTCGGCGGCGCGCTCGTGGGTGCCGCTCGGGGCGCAGTTCGAGGTCGCGAGGGCGGCGACGAGGGCGGCGAGGACGGCGCGGCGGAACGAGGGCGACTGGCGCGCAATGTCGAGTGGCGAGAGGGCCGAGGTGGACGGGTAGAACGAGGTCGAGGTCGAGGCGACAGGGTGGACGACCGAGAAGGAGGGCGAGAGCGAGAGATAGAGGAGGAGGCGCGCCGTCGCGAGCTGGAGGGCAGGCGGGAGGAAGTGGGAGAAGGGGCAGCGCAAGAGGCGCTCGAGGGCTGCAGGAGGAGTACGCCGACACTGTCAGTGGTCGCTCAGAGAGAAGGAGAGGGGCGTGGCGGGCGAGAGGAAGAGAGAGGGGACGCACTGGCGAGACCGCGCTCGGCGATCTGCATGTCGACCTCGTCGAGCGCGACCCTCCTCGAGGCCATGCTCTCGCTCGGGTCGTACGTCTTCTGCCGCTTGGCCTTCCTCCCGTTGCCGCCCTTGCCCGCCTCCTTGCCCGCAGCCCCGGCCGCCCCCGCTCCGGCACCGACGACGACCGGCTCGACGGCGACGCCGCCAATGTCCTCGAGGACGGTCCTCCACACGCGCGCGAGGCTCTTCTTGGCCTCGTCCGGGTCGATCCCGCTCCCGAGCTGCTCGACGACGAGCGCGTACGCGCCGCTGAGGACGGGCCGCATCGGTTCGCGGGGCGCGTACGCGTTCAGGGTCGCGCTGAGCGCGCCGAGGACGGCCCCTGCGTGCGGCGCGAGGTGCGGGCCACTCGCGAGCGCGAGCTGGGCCGCGAGGCGCGCGCCGGCGAGCTGGGTGCGCGGGACGACGAGGGCGAGGACCGAGGTGAGGAGGGCTGGGTCGGTGCGCTCGCGGACCGGGGTGAGGGACGAGAGCGAGACGAGGCGCGTCGAGAGCTCGACGAGGGCGCCGAGAGGGAGCGGGACGAGGCCGGCCTTCTCAGTCGTGGGCGTGCGCAGGACGGCGAGGAGGACCGCTGTGAGCGACTCGAGGCGGACGAGGGCGGCGGTCGGCGCGTCGGACGCGAGAGGCGGCATAGCGAGCGGCGACAGGGTGTGGTTGAAGGTCGTGTCTGTGTGTGCGAGCAGAGTGTCAGGACGTGAGGCACGAGGAGGAGGATGAGAAGAGAGGGCGGGAGAGGGACGCACCCTCGGCAAAGACGCCGGCCGTGACGTGCGTCGTCAGGGCATCGATGCTGCCCACGAGCGCCTCGACGCCCGTCTTCCACGCCTCGCGCAGGCCCTCCTTGCCCTTTGGCGCGAGGAGGTACAGCGCCGCAAAGAGGGCGGCGCCTTGGTCGACGACGGCGGCGTGGCCCGCGGGCTCGGCGATGAGGGCGACGGCGAGGTTGTGGAGGCTCGGTGCGAGGGGCCGGAGGGCGGTCGGGAAGAGCGGGATGAGCGAGACGATGGCGGCAATGCAGGGGAGCTTGACCTGCGGGAGGCGAGGGAAGGTCAGCAGGCGGTCGAGGTCGTGAGAAAGAAGGGGGCGGGCGAGGACGCACGTCGCTGAACTCGACGTTGGCGGCGTGGACGAGTGCGCCGACGAGTTTCTGGACCTGCTGGGGGCCGACGTTGTCGCGGGCCCACTCGGGGTGCCAAGTCGACTTGGCGAGGACGAGGCGGGCGAGTTCGAGTGCGGCGAGGAACAGGTCCGGGTCGGCTTTGGGGTTGTTGAGGACCTGGACGGCGGCGGTGAGGGTGGCCTTGCCGGCGTCGACGAGGAGCGAGGTCGAGGCTTGGAACGAGAGGTGGGCGAGGCGGAAGCCGGCGTTGCGGACCTGGAGCGGGTTGACGGGTGCGACGAGGCTGACGAGGCGGAGGTGCCAGCGGTGGAGGAGCGGGCCGTGGATGCCCTCGTGGTGCTCTGCCTGTTGGAGGATGCGTTGCGACTCGAGGAGCGAGACGAGGTGGGCGAGGTTGGCGGGCACGGCGTCGTTGGTGGCGAGGGAAGTGGCGAGGCAGTGCTCGAGTGCTGCGGTGGCCATGGTCATGGCTAGTGGCACTGGCTCGATCAGGGACGGAGCTGAGGCTTGGGAGAGACGCTCGAGTGATGAGGACGAGCTCGCTCTCCCAACTTCATCAGTTGGTCGACTGCTGACACTCGCTCCTCTCGCTCCACACCCCACTAGCGACCATGAGCGCACCCGACCACTCGCCCATAGCGTCTACCTCGGCCCTCGAGCCCCCACCTCAGCTCGCCTCGTTCGCCTCGCTCGGCGTCGAGCCCTTCCTCGTGCGCGCACTCGCCGCCATGGCCATCCGCAAGCCCACCGCAGTCCAGGCGGCGTGCATCCCGCCCATCCTCAAAGGTCCGCTCCTCTCCTCCCTTCCCTCGCCCCATGTCCCCCTCGCCCGACCGCGACAGCTGACCACCTTCACCGCCTCCCTCCCCTCCTCCTTGACACACCGTCCACAGGCGCCGACTGCATCGGTTCCGCCCAGACTGGTTCCGGCAAGACGATCGCCTTTGCCCTCCCGATCCTCCAGGGCCTCGCGCGCGACCCGTACGGCTTCTACGCCATCGTCCTCACCCCGACTCGGTCCGTCCACTCGCCTTCTCCTCTCTCCCCGGCTCCTCGTTTCTCGACTGACGCCTGTTCCCCGACACAGAGAACTCGCGTTCCAGATCTCGGAGCAGTTCCGCGTCCTCGGCGCCGCCGTTAACCTGCACTCGACCGTCATCGTGGGCGGCATGGACATGATGACCCAGGCCATCGAGCTCCGCAAGCGCCCGCACGTCCTCATTGCCACCCCGGGCCGACTCGTCGACTTGATCAAGAGCAACCAGGGCGAGTGGAGCCTCAAGCGCGTCAAGTACCTCGTGCGTCCCCCCTCCCTCCCCTCCCGGTCACCCTTCTCGCTCGAGCGCTACTGACGGTGCTCCCCCTCGACAGGTCCTCGACGAGGCCGACCGTCTTTTGACGCCGACGTTCGCCCCCGAGCTGTCGTTCATCATCGACCAGCTCCCGTCGCACTCGGAGCGCCAGACCCTCCTGTTCACCGCCACCGTCACCGACCCGGTCCTCGCGCTCCAGTCCAAGCCCCAGGCGCCGGGCAAGCCCAAGGTGTTTACGCACGTCAGCCGCGACATGATCACGACGCCGGCGGGCTTGACGCAGCGCTACGTCTTTGTCCCGAGCCAGGTCAGGGAGACCTACTTGACGTACCTCCTCCTGCACCTGACGGACCTCACGGGTGCACAACCGCTCCACGCCGCCGCGCCACCTGTCGAAGATTCGTCGCGAGGCAAGCGCAATGGCGGCGGTGGCGGCAAGCGCTCGACGACGACCTCGACCGACGCCGATTCGACGCCCTCCCTCCCGCAAACCATCCTCTTCGTCGCGCACTGCCGCACCGCCGCCCTCCTCCACGCGCTCTTCTCATCCCTCCCCTCGCCAATCCCCTGTACCGCCCTCCACTCGCACCTGTCGCAGTCGGAGCGCCTCGCGTCGCTGTCGACGTTCCGGCGCCAGGCGGTCCCGCTCCTGATCGCGACCGACGTCGGCTCGCGCGGCCTCGACATCCCCGAGGTCGCCGTCGTCGTCAACTGGGAGGTGCCGCGCGTCGCCGACGACTACGTGCACCGCGTCGGTCGCACGGCGCGTGCGGGCAGGAAGGGCACGGCGGTCACGTTCGTCACAGAGGGCGACGTCGAGCTCGTGCAGGGGCTCGAGGAGCGCATCGGGACCCAGCTCGAGGAGCTCGAGCTGCCTGAGGAGCCGGTGCTCGAGCTTTTGAGCGCCGTGTCGATGGCAAAGCGCATGGCCAACATGGTGCGCCCCACTCTCCCTCTTTCCTTCTCCTTCCCTCGCCTGCGCGCTCGATCTCTCGCAGACACGGTCACTGACTCTTTGCCTCTCGGCACCGTTGCGCAGGACCTGAGCAAGGACGGCTTTGGCGCGCGGCAGGAGAACAACCGCAAGAAGCACGGCGGCGGCGGCGCGAGGGACAACAACAAGAGCGCGCAGGCGGCGGGCAAGGGCGGCGCGGTCAAGGGCAAGCGTGTGGGAGCGGGAGCGGGAGCAGGGGCGGGCAAGAAGGGCAGCGAGCGCGTGAGGAGCGAGAGGGGCGCGCAGGCGAGGGTCGAGAAGGCGCTCTGAGGGCGAGGCTGGCTCGGTTGCCGCGCGGGCGGTGTACGATGCAGAAGTGTTGCAACGAGTACGACGATGAGCAGCATGTCGAGCAGCTGGCTGTGCGAGGCGAGGTGACTTGGTTCGCTCAGGCCCCTTCCCCGCTTTCTCTCGGGCTCGTCGCCGCTCTCGCTTCCTCGTCCTCCCTACCTCTCGCTCGAGCTCTTGCAGCGCATCTACGGCAGCAGCACTCGCTTCAGTACAGCAGCAGCAGCTGCGCTCGCAGCAAGGCGCACACGCCCCCCGTCAACTGCACCGCCTCGTCCTCGTCCACCCTCATCTCGTCCCCCAACTTCGCTCCCCCTCGATGGCTGCCGCCGCCCAGGCCACGCATCGAGCTCCACCATCTGCCTACCCTGCCCTCGGCACCGCCTTCCCCGACCTCTCCTCCCTCAGCGCCCTCGTCCACTCCGTCCACCCCACCTCGCCTGCCTCGCCGCACACCACCCCCAACGGCAGCGCCGACTCGCCCATCGACGGCACGACCGCCTCGCCGCCCGAGCTCATCGAGCGCAGGAGAGGTCCCGAGGTGAGCTGGACGTGCAAGCTCGGGACGCGCAAGCCGGGCAGGAGGAGGGCCGGCGAGCGCAGGAAAAGCGTCGAGGAGCTGTGCGGGTGCGTCCTGCTCTTCCGCCTCTCTCTCACACGGACGCCGGTCTGAACTGGAGCGAGCGCCCCGCAGGTTCCGCCTCACGGCCGTGCGCCAGTCCTCCTCGAGCACCAGCTCGTCCTCGTCCTCGGCGCCGTGGGTCGTCACCTCGTTCGCGCCGCACGTCGCCGCCGTGCACGCGCAGGGCTGGGTCGCCTCCGAGGCGCACGACGCCGCCGTACGCGCCGGCAAAGTCCCGCCGCCGCCCGTCGTCCTGCCCAAGCGCGACGGCTCGGGCCGGTTCGCGCGCTCGCGGTCGGCGACGAGCGAGGAGCCCGGCGGCTTTTCTCTCGAGGGAGCGGTCGAGGGAGGAGACGACAGCAGCCCGCCGCCCGACACGATGCGCATGAAGGGCGGCACGCTCGTCCCCCTCGTGCCGCTCACGCCGGGCCTGCTCGGCGACCAGCGCGTCAAGCCCGTTCGGCCCCGGCGGGACCGCGAGCACGTCGGCGACGGGGCGTGGGACGCCTGGCGAGCGGGCTGGGCGGGCGAGAGCGGCGAGGGCGAGGACGAGGAGCGCAGGAGGGCGAGGAGGAAGGAGGAGCGGGAGAGGGTCGAGCGCTTGGGAGGGTACGGCGCCCTGCGCTCGTGGGGCTGGTGCGAGGGCCTGCTCGAGCCTCTCGGCGACGAGGGCGAGCTGCAGCCCGTGCAGCAGGAGATCGAGCACGCCGTCATCGGCGACGTTCCGCCGCTCGAGGACGACGCGGCCCTGCGCCGCCTCGTCTTCGAGGTCGTCCCCTCCTCGTTCCCTCCCACGCCTTCCCCTCCTCCCGACGTCTCGTCGACCCAGCCCCGCAAGCGCTCGAGCACGACCGCACGCCTCGCTCCCGGCCGCGGCGGCAAGCGCTCGCGCAGGGCCATCGACCCCGAGTGGCTCCCGATCCTCGCGCCGCGCAGTCAGCGCAGCGCGACACGCGCAGTCGCCATGCTCGAGGACATTGCCGAGACGTGCGACGAGGAGGAGGCGCAGAGCCAGGGCGGGCGCGAGGCGGACGGCGACGAGGAGGAGCAACACGGCGAGTCGACCTTCTCGAGCCCGAACGACCTGCCGCCCCTCAGGCAGTCGTCGCCCGTCGTCCACTTTGCGTCCCACCTCTCGTCGGCGGGACCCATCCGCTCGACCCTCGCCGCCCTCGCCCCGTTCACCTCGTCCTCCCGCCGCGCCTCGACCGCGAGCTCGACCGCCCTGTCGCCCTTCTCCTCGCCAACCGCGTCGCGCGACTCGTTCTCCCGCCACGACTCGACGACGACGTCCGACACCTCGATCGTCTCGTCCGAGCCGTCGCAGTTCCCGCCCAACGCCGCCGCCGCCGCTCGTGGGCCGACGTCGCTCCGCCCCCTGCGCCCTCGCCCGCCGCTCGCGCCCATCCTCGCCGCACCACCACCTCCCCCTCAGCAGCACCCCAAGAAGTCGAAGCAGCGCCGCAATCGCCAGGCGCAGCCTCGCGCCCGTCGCCCGTTGACGACCTCGCCGGGCGTTCACGCGAGCGCGAGCGCCGCAGCGGCCGAGGCGTACGCGAGTGCGCTCGAGGAGCGCTCGAGGCTCGAGGACGAGGCGGTGTGGGCGTTGGTCGGCATGGGCAGGAGGGCGAGCGTCGGGCGGGAGGGGTCGGCGGGAGGAGGTACGCTCGAGCCGGTCCTCGGGGTCGGTGCGGCGGCGGGTGGACGGGGAGGGCAGCTCTGGGAGCGGGAGCACTGGGGCGTGTGAGGGGGGGGGGGAGGAGGAGGTGGGTCTGTCGGAAAAGGAGGATCAGTAGCGCGTCGTCGCTGCGAGGAACGCTTGGAACGCTTGATCGAGAAACCTCTCTCTCTGCGCGCCGAGGCGAGAAAGGATGATCGGGCTGTCGTTGCAGGGGTCGTACAGAGAGCGTGTGCTCAGGTCGGCGGCAACCGCTTGCTGAGCCAGGTCGCGACGTCTGCAGGTGGCGAGAGAGGGTCAGTGCGGGCGCGAGGGGGGAGGAGGCGAGTCACGTCGACGCACCTTTCTCCTCCTGCACCGACATGTAGTGCTCGAGAGCTGCGTGGGAAGACAGATGTCAGTACTCGTTCGCCGGTGGCGAGGCGAGAGGAAGAAAGGAGCGCACCTGGGTACGAGTAGAACTCGACATCCCGGAAGCCCATCTTGTGCAACTTGCCCACGCTCTCCTCGCCCCACGAGTGCGCCACGACGTTGTCGAGGTCGCCGTGGCCCCAGAAGACGGGCAGCTCGTGAGCATGCGGCTCCTGCATCTGCGGGTCCGTCGAGAGAGGGTCAGTGCGCGCTCGAGAGGGAGAGAAAGAGACGCCGCGAGACGGACCGGATGCCGCAGCTTGCCGCCGTGCTTCTCGAGCTTGTCCGACATGGCGAGCCAGCCAGAGAGGCACATGACGCCGCCGAGCTTCTCCTTCGACGAGATGGCGGCGAGGAGCGAGATGACGCAGCCTGCGGTACGAGGCACGGGGGTCAGGTGCGTGCGCCTCGAGGACGAGAGCGAGCTGGGGCGCACCTTGCGAGAAGCCACCGAGCACGATCCTGTTGGCGTCGATGCCCTTGTCGAGCTCCTTCTGGATGAGGGCGTGCACCCTCGCGACGCTCTTGCGCATGCCCGCCTCGTCCTCCCTCGTCGGCATTGGGGGCGGGTCATTGGGCGACACGATGTTGAGCTCGTCGATGTCGAACCTGTCGCCGTTCGTGAAAGAGTCAGGACCCCATGGTGGACAGTCGCGCGAGGGAGAGAGAGGGATCGAGAGGGAGCTCACCACGCTGACATGAGCTCGCCGTCGTTCGCCGTCACGGGAACTGCAGGCCTGCGAGCATGAGTGTCGCGTGAGCTCGATGGTCGCATGAAGGCGAGAGAGCGGGCAGAGCTCACGCGCTCGGGAGGATCCACGAGACCTGGAGGAGGTCTTCTCGCACGCGCTCGACGAGAGGAAGTCTGCGAGGGGGGGGGGGGGGCGCGATCAGCGTCAGTGTACCGTCTACGACAGGGTGTACAGTGACGAGGACGGACCCGAGTGTACCGCTACCGCTCAGTCCGCTGTGAAGAGAGGGAGAGTAAGTGAGGTGCGTTCGAGGGCTTCGAGCGCGAGGTGCGGACCGAGGGACGCACTGCAGAAAGATGACGCTCGCCGAATGCCGTCCGATACCGAGCACCTCGAGGTCGACGCCGGACTCTGCGAGCGCGTGCAGCTCTCGGCCCATGGCGGGCGTCGACCACAGCGAGTAGAGCCAGAGCGTGACGAGCGCGGCAAGGCCATACAGGACCCAGCGGAGCGGCGTCTGTTGCTGTTGAGAGGCGCGCATTTGGCGTGTAGCAGGCGTGCGGCGCGCTGACGAGTTGTGACGAGGCGAGGAGGACGAGGAGGAGAAGGTCGGAGACGCGAGCCGAGCCAGCCGCCGCCGTACGTCCAGCGCGGGGTAGCGAGCGACGGCACGCGCGCAAGCTAGCCAGCGCCCAGCCAGAGCGGGCGGGTCGGTCGGCGCCCGTGCACGCGAACCGAGAGAGCCTCGAGCCCGCCTCCTCGAGGCGGACGTGCGAGCGTCCCGAGAGCGTCGATGAGGGGATCTACGAGGGTGAGACCGCACTCGATGAAGGCGCTCCGACGACCGCTTCGGGGCAAGTGGAGAAGTGGAGCCGAGTCGGCCGGTCCAGCCTCGTTGACAAGTGGCACCTTCTCAAACCGACCGCTCCCCTCAGATTGCGCCGCTCGGGACGTGGCGTTCCACGGCCTCGCTCGCTCCAGATCATCAGCTGGCCCTTGCACAGCGGCCCCACAGAGTTGACTTTGTCCAGCTCGGCCGGCGCAGTCTCGGCGGCGCTCCCGCCAGCCACTCTCTCCTCTTCCTCATCCACCCTCGTCGCTCCCTTCCTCTCTCTTGTGTGCCATGATTTCGCTGGCTGGCCAGTCGCTCCCTCGCATCGTCAAGGCCCGCGCACCGGCCCTCCACCGCGCCGCGACCGTCCAGGCGTCGAACCTCCTCGTCGCGGCCCAACCCTCGTCGCCTCGCGCCAACCCGGTCGCACGCGCAGGGCCGCCGCCATTCGCGACGGCTGCGACGCTTCTCGAGCCCTCTTGGCGTGCGTCGAGCCTCCCTCTCCCCCTCAAATCCGGTCGGATCGCTGACCATCTCGCGTCGACAGTTCGCGCCGCCGCCAACCTTCGTCAGGCGAGCGCCCAGGGCCGCATCACCCTCTAAAGCGGTTCCCCTCGCCCCTCAACACGCACACCGACACCATGCCCTAGCCGCGGCACAAGCGCGCTTCATGTACCGGCTCGTCCTCCTTCTGTACCCTCGTCCTCTCGACCCTCGTTCTTCCCACGGTTCCGGCTCGACGCCTGTAGCTCCCCCTGCCGTACACACTCTCGAGATTCGTCTCGCCCACATTCACTTGTAACCCACGGTCTTTGCCCTGCTCCTCGTCGATGCGGCCCTCGAGAGCTCGAGAGAAAGAAGCTTGCTGCGGAAAGAGGCGCTCGAGCGCACCGAGCGAGGCTCTCTCTCTCTCGTCTCTGCTCGCTGCACCAGTACGAGGTCGAAGGAAGACAAGAGACATTGCAGTGAGGCCAGCTCACGCCATGGCGCTCCTCGCCGTCTCCCACGAGAGGAAGATGGTCCACACGAGGTTGACGACGCCCGACAGCGGGACGCGGTACACGAGCGGGACGTAGAGGAACATGACGGCCTGCACGAAAGGCCAGACCTGCGCGAGTCGAGAGCGTCAGTCGAGTGTCGAAGGAGGAAGGAGAGAGGGAGAGGAAGGAGAGCGCACCTTCCAGTTGGTGAGGAGGATGGGCCACAGGGCGTTCTCGACCTTGAGGTAGATCTCGGACGGCGTGAGGAACTCCATCATGCCCATGCACACGAGGAAGACGATGAACGAGATCGGTGCCCTGCGCGAGAAAGAAAAGGCAAGGTAAGCGAGGCTCGAGCGGGGAGAGGAGAGGACGGGGAGGACGGACATGACGATCTGGTCCATGGCGACACGGCGCAAGAGGACGGCCTTGTTGACCTTGGGCACTGAGGGCGCCGACGGCGACGCGGCGTGCCCGTTGAGCGGCAGCATCGGCTCGGTCTCTGCTTCGGGCGAGTAGCCCTCCGAGTGCGACACCTGCGAGCTCGTGCGGCGGTGCGCCCTCGGCGCCGACACCTCGCGCATCTTGTCGATCGTGATGCCCTCGAGCTGGACCGGGATCTCGAGCGGGTCCTCGACGCTTGGTCGCAGAGGGTAGGTGCGCTCGAGGTAGGCTGCGCCGACGAGGACGAGTCAGTCCGGGTTCTCTGCGCCGATTTGCGAGGTCGAGGACGCACTGTTCCACATGACGGCGAGGGGCGCGATGCCCATGCCAAAGATCAAGAAGCGCAGGGTGCGGTACGGGTTGTAGGTGCCGCCGCTCGTCTGCGTCGAGAGGCAGAGAGGTCAGCTCGTCGCCGCCGACGGCGCAGGTTTGTGCGAGAGGTGGGACGCACGAAGAAGAGCTGTGCGGCAATGTCGGCGATGGCGTTGAGCGAGCCATAGATGACCTGCGAGGGAGGCGAGAGGGTCAGGCCGGGCGGGCGGTCGAGAGGGAGGGAGAGAGGTGGAGCGCACCGAGGTGCCCAGGTTCGGGTACTTTTCAAAGAGGACGCGGTGCAAGAGGCGCAGCATGGCACAGCACTGCTAGGTGGAGAGAGCGAGGGCGGAGGGAGGAGGAGGTTGAGGCGAGGTGCGGCCATGGCTGGGAGGCGAGCGCGCTGACGGCCGAAGTGGGGCAATCTCGCCACGGACGGGGGCGAGCTGCGACACACGAGAGCTGCTCATGAGGAGCGGGGGGGCAAAAGGCTCGAAACCTTGAGCGGCGAGGCCGTGCCAGCCTCCCGGAGACGGAAGGCGCGCCCGGTTCCCCTCCTGGCTCAGATCTTGGAACCAAGCGCGCTGTCCAGCTCTCTCGTCGCAGAACCTGCCAGCCCCGTGCCTGCAAACGGGGGCCGCGACTCCCCCGCCCCGCGGCCGCCGGTACGTCGCTCTTGGTCGCTCCTCCTCCTCCTCGTCCTCCCTCTCGCCTCTCGTCCCTCACTCGGTCGCCGTTACCGCACGGCTGCTCACTGCACGACCATGGCAGTCCCTCGGCCACTCGTCCTCCTCGTCGCCGTCGTCCTCTGCATCCTCGTCCTCGGCGGCAGCCACCACCACAAGGACAAGATCAAGGACGCCTACTCGAAGCACCGCGGCATCGTCACCACCACGAGGCGGTCCCGCTTCAAGCGCGTCGTCTCGTTCGGCGACTCGCTCAGCGACGCAGGGTGCGTCGCCGCTCGTCCTCCTCCTCCTCTTCCCCACCTCGACCGCACTCCCGCTCACCCCGACTCGTCCCACCTCGTCCAGGAACGGCGCCTGGCTCTTCACCAACAAGACTTGGCCAAAAGATGGAGCAGTGCGTCCCGTTCCTCTCTCTCTCTGTCTACCGTCCTGAACTGACGGCTCGAGCGCCTGCAGTACGTCGGCCACCGGTTCACCAACGGCCCCGTCTTCACCGAGTACGTCGCGCAGACGCTGCGTGTGCCGCTCATCAGCTACGGTGCGCCCCTGTCTCCCTGCCGGTCCTTCTCCCGGGCGCGAGCTGACCCAGCCTCTCCTCGTCTGCAGCCACCGGCGGCGCCTCGATCTCGTACCGCGTCTCGTCCCGCAGCGGCGAGCACGGCATGATGCCCGTCGACTGCATCTTTGAGCAGATCAAGAAGTACAGCGAGGGCAAGACGGACGAGAGCGACACGCTCTTCATCCTGTACGCTGGCGCCAACGACGCCTACTTTGCGTTGGACGAGGGCGGGACGCCGGCCGAGGTCGTCGACGACCTCAAGACGGCCGTCAAGAACCTGCAGAAGATTGGTGCGTCCCTTCTCGCTCTCGGGCCCTCCTCCCCCTTGCGCGTGACTAACCTCTCGCTCCCCTCGGCAGGCGGCCAGTACATCGTCATCCCGACGCTTCCTCCCATCGGCGAGAACTACCCTTACGCCGTGCGTCCCGCGAGCTCTTTCCTCGACGCCGACGTGCCCGTACTGACCCTCTCTCTCGCGCGAACAGAATGCGCTCCCCGAGGCGGCGCCCTTGATGTACTTCTTCTCGACCGAGCTGCGCAAGCAGTACATGGAGTGGGCCAAGAAGGAGACCAAGGTCGCCATCGCCGACTTCTACAGCCTGTTCAACCGCCTCATGGGCAAGCCCGAGGACTACGGGTTCAAGCGCGAGTACCTCAAGGTCGGCTGCATTGCCCACAACTGCAAGGACGACTGGCGCGAGTTCATCTGGTTCGACGACGTGCGTCCCTCCTCTCTCTTTCTCTCGTCTCGTTCGACTCGAACCTGATCCTCTCGGCGTCTCGCAGTACCACCCGACGACGTACGTTCACTCGCTCATGGCCGAGGAATCGCTCGACGCACTCGACAAGGTCCTCAAGCCCAATCACCGCGTGTGGTAGAGTCTCGTGTCGCTGGCGACAGAGCGAGACGGCATCATGGACCTGATAGAGCATCTTGTAACGCAACCACATTCATGACGCCTCTCTTTGTCCTCGTCCGTGACCGGCTTCCTCTCGCTCAGTCTCCTCTCGATGCACGCTTGAGAGAGGGACGTCGTGACGATGTATAAAAGCAGCAGACAGTGGTTCTACAACAAGGAGCGCTCGCCGGCGCCTCAGGTCGGCGGCAAGATCCGCTCGAGCCACTTCTCGAGATCTGCGAGAGGCGAGCTGCGACGTCAGGGACGAGTCCCACAAACGACGAAGAACGAGTGGGAGAGCGAGAGACGCGCCTTTCTCTTCTGCCCAGCTGACGGTGTGCTCGAGGCCTGCTCGCAAGAGAGAGAGAGGGTCAGTGCGCGTCTCGGCAGAGGAGGGAGAGAGGGTCTCGCGCGACGCACCGTCGTACGTGTGCGCCTCGATATCACGAAAGCCCATGTCGGCGAGGAGGTCGAGGCTCTGCTCGGCCCACAGGTAGCTGCGCGAGGCGAGAGCGTCAGGAGCGGGCGGACGAGGAGAGGAGGAGGAAGGCGAGGCGACGCACTGCACGGTCGGGTCGGCGGCGCCGTGGCCCCAGAAGACGGGCATGTTGTGCGCGTGCTCGGCCTGCATCTGTGAGGGGGAAGATGGGTCAGGGTGGCTCGACGGGAGAGAGAGAGAGGAGGAAAGGGACGCACAGGATGCCGCTTCCTCGGCCCGACCTTTGCAATCTTGTACGAGAGCGGCAGCCATCCCGACAGGCAGATGACGCCTCCCAGCTTCTCCTTCGACGCGATGGCAGCGAGGAGGGCCGTCGCGCAGCCTGCGAGAGAGGGAGGGAGGAGCAAGAGGTGAGCGAACGGGCGTTCGAGAGGGAGAGGCTCGAGCGGCGGACGCACCTTGCGAGAAGCCGCCGAGCACGATCCGGTGCGGCTCTATGCCCTTGTCGAGCTCCTTCTGCACGAGGCCGTGAATGCGGTCGACCGCCTTCTTGATGCCCTCCTCGTCCTCGCGAGTCGGTAAAGGCGCATCCATCGCCGGCTGCAGGTCGGCGACGTCGAACCTGCGCGTGCGCGAGGGTCAGTATCGGTGTCACGTTTTCGAGGCGCCTCGAGAGCTCGCTCACCATGCCGAATGATAGGCGCCGTCGAAGGCCGAGAGCGGAAGAGGGTCGCTGCAGGGGCTCGAGCGCGTCAGTCCGGCTCGCATTCGTCGCGAGGAGAGGCGATGATGAGGACTCACGCCGAGGGCAAGATGAACGAGACCTGGAAGAGCTTCTGCCGCAGTCGAGAGACGAGCGGGATGCTGCGGGCGGACGAGGAGGCGGGTCAGGTCGCCGTTTTCGGAGGAGGGGTCGGCGACGACGGCGAGACGACGCACTTCTGAGCCGCGTTCGAGCCCAACCCGCTGCAGGCGCAAGGAGGAGAGTGAGCTCGCTCGCCCTCGTCAACCCCCACACCGGACGAGCCTCCCTCGCGAGGCTTCGAGGAGGAGAGAGAGGGGACGCACTGGACGAAGATGGCGGACGCCGAGTGCCTGCCAATGCCGAGTACCTCGACGTAGCTGCCTGGAACGTTGGCCGCGAGCTGAACCTCGGCGCCCAACATCGGGCGGAACCAGGCCATGACGGCGTACACGGCGAGGAGCGCGAACAGGGCGCGCACGACCCACCGCATGGGCACGTTGACGTCCTGGCGGTCGTTCATGGGGCGCAGCCGTCGAGGAGGAGTGGCTGGGTGTGGAGGAGAGTCGGGCAGTCGGGGCGAGGCGTGGTGGGGTGCGCTGGGTCGAGGCGAGAGGAGGGTGCTGCCTTTGAGCTGCACGCTCAAGGTGGTGGTGCGGGCTCGCGCTCCGTGTGCGCCCCGCATGTCGAGCGTGACGGGACGACGAGGGACGACGACAGCGAAGGGGGCGAGAGGGTGGGAGGGTCGAGAGGGGCTGGTTGACCGCCGGCCGGAGAAGGTCAACCCTAATCCAGCTCTCGGGCGACTCGGCCCGACCGTGATCGAGGAGCGCGCCGGCGCATCTGCCGTCGAATCTTGAGCTTCATCTCGACCTTCTCGTCGAGCGAAGGAGACGAGAACGAGCGACAACAACTGCCGGCGAGAGGACGCCAGCCGCTTGCCCGACCGTGATGCTGCGCGATGCTGCGACTGGACTGCGAGGCAAAACGCGCGCGGTGGCATTGCAGGTGAGTACGGCTACAGAGAGGGAATGATGCGGCGGCGTGAGGTCGACGACCTAGAAGGCCGGCTGCGGGCAGGCGACGGCGGGGAGCGCTCGCGGGATGGCCTTGCCCTGCAGGCGCGCCCAGTGCTGGACGACGGCGAGGACGTTGACGGCGTCGTCCTTGGACCCGCCGTCGGGGTAGTAGAGCCTGCGAGGGCGCGAGCGAGGGTGAGCGTCGGTCGACCTCGAGGAGGAGGACCGTGCGCGCGCGAGAAGTGGACGCACGAGTAGCCGTCGCGGTGACGGACGTAGTTGCAGCACTGCGCGTCCTTGCCGAAGAGCGACCAGATCATGCTGCAGCACGAGGGAGAAGGAGCGTCAAGGAGGTGCTCGAGCGACGACGAGCGCGAGAGGACGAGGGAGGGTAGGCGACGCACTCGCCCATGTACGAACCGGCGCCAGTCGTCTCGATAGCCGTGAGGTAGTCGGCAAGCGACACGCTGCTGCCCGTCGGCGTCCAGTCGTATTCGCCTGCGTGGGCGACAGTCAGTGAGATCGCGGGGGAGGGGAAGAAGAGGACGACGGCGACGCACCGATGAAGAAAGCCTTGCCCGCCGCCTTGGCGAGCGACATCTCTTTGTTGAGGATGCCGACGTTGCGCGGATACTGCGCTCGTGCGGGCAAGAGTCAGGCTCTCGGCAACTTGGGAAGGCTGGCGAGACGAGGACGCACGCTATGGTCGGTCACGATGTCGACGCCGGCGACGCCGAGGCCTGGAGCGGTTGCGCCCGTCGTGTCTGAAGTGGTCGAGGAAAAAGTCAGATGAGGAGGGAGGGGCAGGAAGGAGGAGCAGGAGGACTCACAGTTCCAGATGCCGTTGGTGCCGTCAACGATGAGGTGGCGCGAGTCGACGGCGCGGATGTAGCTGACGATCTTGGTCATCCACGAAGCAGGAGGATAGCCCTCGGCGCCGATGTAGCCTGCGCGAGAAGAGGGTCAGTCGCCACCGCCAGACAGGGTCCGAGAGGAGGACGGGGCTCACCTCCCAGCTCGTTGCCCGTCTCCCACGCGAGGATGGTCGGGTCCTCGTAGTAATGCAGGCCGGTGTACGGGTTGTAGTGCTTGAGGAACTCGGTGATGTAGCCCTGCGAGTCGAGGACTGTCAGGGGGAGGCTGCCTCGAGCGTGCAGGAAGGAAAGGAATGAGGGACGGACGGCGAATGCGGCGACGACGGCTTTGGCCGAGTAGAACTTCTCGCCGTGATTGTTCCTCGACAGGCCCGCAAAGTCGAGAAAGTCGTACTTGCCGCCGTGCTGCGAGAGGACGAGGGAGGGAAGGTCAGGCACCGGGTCGTTCGACGAGAGGGGGTGGACGCACGTAGTAGTCCCCTGTGTAGCGCACTCGTCAGTTCGACAGCCTCGAGTCGTGGTAGGAGAAGAGAAAGAGAGAGAGGGGCGCACAGTTGTCGGTCAAAGGCAGGATGACCCGCAGGCCGTACTCGCGGGCCGCGAAGAGCGCATAGTCGCGAGCGTCCCACGCCGAGCTGTTGAAGACGCCGAGCTTGGGCTCGAGGTTGTACGGCGTGTTGGGCCCGACCGAGATGCCGCAAGAGTGGGCGCGAATGGTCGTGGCGCCCATGGCGACGGCGGCGGCGAGCGCCTCGCGGACGCGGCCCTTGTCCGGCGGGCTCCCGACGGGCCCATCGTTCTCGTCCGAGCAGAGCCAGTAGATGTCTGTGCAGGGGAAGGAGCGTCAGTAGCTGTCTCGAGGAGGACCGACGAGAGGAAGGAGAGGGAAAGAAGGGACGCACTCGGGCCGACGATGCGGTACGTCTTGCCGTCGAGCGTGAGCTTCTGGCTGCCCGAGGCGCGCTTGACGAACGTGGTCGGCTTGGGCAGGGTCCCCGTCCCGGTGACGGTGCTGGACCCGCCGGTGTAAGAAGGCGCGCAGGTGGACGACGGGGAGGAGGTGGTCGACGACGGCTTGGCGGTCGTCGCGGTCGCCTTGGTCGCCGATGTCGACCTGCCCGTAGTGCTGATGTGGATGCAGGCGGAGCCGCTGAGGGCGTAGCCCGTGTCGCAGGCTGCAAGGGAGGAAAGAGGGAGTCAGCTCGACGAGCCCGAGGCAGGACGTCCCGCTGAACGAGGCGACTCACCGAAAGTGCAGGTCCCCCTGGTCTTGTTGCACTTGCGGTGGGCGTGATCTGGCTCGGGCGAGCTGGCGTTGGTGCAGTCGATCGTCTCGCCGCAGGGGAAAACGGTCGCGCGGCGGTCGAGGAGGGCGTGACGGCGTGAGGGCGCGAGGCGGTGCGCGAGGTCGCGGTGCCGGGGCTGATTGCGCTGATGGTCGAGTGGCGGCGAGAGGGCGGCGCGAGCGACTGTGTGGAGCGAGAGCAGGGGGAGGAGGAGGGCGACGAGGGCGAGGCTGAGCGCGCGCGCCATGTCTGTGTGCCGCCGGCTGGTAGAACGAGCGTGGGTGCGAGTTGCGGGGGCAGGTGCACACGACGAGAAGAAGCTGAGCGAGAGGCGAGGGCAGAGGAGAGAGCGAGGCGCGACCTCGGCGGAGAGCGGGGGGATTCAACGAGACGCGGACTGAGCGCCGGCCACCTCGATCGAAGCTGCGCATCTCCGGCGTCCGTCCGGCATTCAGGAGCGCGTACTCAGCTCGAGCCTCGTACACTCGGTAGCTCGTCTCGGTGAGCGCGCCGAGGAGGAGCGCGGCGGCCAACTGCGACTGCGCGATTGGCTCGCGCACCTCCCGGTGTGCGAGACTGGCTGCGGTAGCTGGCGCAGCGAAAGCGAGGTCCAGCGAGCCCTTGTCGAGGTGCTCTGTGCGAGCAGGAGGGACGACAGCGACGAGGTCAACCGCGGTCGGTCCGACTCCGCTCACTCGCTCATCCTCGTCCAGCTCGACCTCGCTCAAGTCGGCACGCTCGTTGGCCTCGCCCGCCCCGTGCACCTCGCCCACTTCGACCTGCACCACAGCGCGCAGCCGCCGCCGCTCCTCCTCGCCCCTCCTCTCCCCGAGTCAACCTCCATCTTCGACGACCGCCGACTCGCCTGCACAGCCATGTTCGCCCTCCGTGCCCGCACCAGCGCGGCAGCAACGCCGGCGTTCGCCCTGTGCCGCTTCCTCGCCACGCACGCCAAGCTGCCGCAGACCTACGTCGAGAAGGTCGTTCAGCGCCACGCCGTCGGCCTTCCCGAGGGCAAGGTCGTCCGCGCAGGCGACTATGTCATGATCAAGCCGCAGCACGTCATGACCCATGTGCGCCCCCCCTCTCGCTCAGCCGTCGCGAGGGCGACCCGACGTTGACCTCGCTCTCTCCCCCTCTCGCAGGACAACACCGGCCCCGTCATCTCCAAGTGCGCCCCTCCTTCTCCCTTGCCCTCTCGGCGGCACAGAGACTTGACGGGTGGGCCGCCGCACGCAGGTTCAAGTCGATCGGCGCGACCAAGATCTCGAACCCGCGCCAGACCGTCTTCACGCTCGACCACGACGTGCAGAACCGCTCGTCGGCCAACCTCGCCAAGTACAGCAAGATCGAGGCGTTCGCCGGCGAGCACGACGTCGACTTTTACCCGGCAGGGCGCGGCATCGGCCACCAGATCATGATCGAGGAGGGTTACGCCTTCCCCGGCGTCATGACGGTCGCGAGCGACAGCCACTCGAACATGTACGGCGGCGTCGGCTGCGTCGGTACCGCCATCGTCAGGTGCGTCTCGCTCTCTCTATCGCGAGCCTCGTCGAGACGAGGGGGGGCCGGCCCTGACGAACTTGCCTCCTTCCCTCTCATGCAGGACGGACGCCGCAGCGCTGTGGGCGACGCAGCGCACGTGGTGGCAGGTGCCGCCCATCGTCCGCGTCAACCTCGAGGGCGAGCTGCCGGCCGGCGTCACGGGCAAGGACGTCATCATCGCGCTGTGCGGCGGCTTCAACAAGGACGAGGTCCTGAACCACGCCATCGAGTTCCACGGCTCGGGCATCCCGCACCTGAGCGTCGACGAGCGCCTCGCCATCGCCAACATGACGACCGAGTGGGGCGCGCTCGTCGGCGTCTTCCCGTCCGACAAGGTCCTCCACGAGTGGTACGAGTCGCAGCTCAAGAAGTCCGAGCTGCGCCGGTTCGAGCTCGGCGGCAAGACGTCGGGCTCGCTGTCGGCCTCGTCGAGCGACCACCCGCGGCTCAACTCGAAGCGCCTCGCCGACGTGTTCGCCAACCCGATCACGCCCGACGCCGGCGCCACGTACGCCAAGACGCTCACGCTCGACCTGTCGACCCTGTCGCCGTCTGTCGCCGGCCCCAACTCGGTCAAGGTCGCGACGCCGCTCCCGGTCCTCGAGAAGCAGGACGTCAAGATCGACAAGGCGTACCTCGTGTCGTGCACCAACTCGCGCGCGTCCGACATCAAGGCGGCCGCCGACGTCGTGCGCGGCAAGAAGGTCGCGCCCGGCGTCGAGTTCTACATCGCCGCCGCGTCGTCGGTCGTGCAGAAGGAGGCCGAGGCGGCGGGCGACTGGGCCGCCCTCGTCTCGGCGGGCGCCAAGGTGCTCCCGGCCGGCTGCGGCCCCTGCATCGGCCTCGGGACGGGCCTCCTCAAGGACGGCGAGGTCGGCATCTCGGCGACCAACCGCAACTACAAGGGCCGCATGGGCTCGCCGAACGCGCTCGCCTACCTCGCGAGCCCGGCCGTCGTCGCCGCGTCGGCCGTCGCCGGCAAGATCGTCGGCCCGCAGGTCGCAGGCGCGATGCCGTCGTCCGAGCCCCCGACGCTCTCGATCGAGTCGGCCCCGGCGAGCGCCGCTTCGTCCGACGCTGCCGCCGCCGGCGTCGCCGAGCCACTCCTGCCCAACTTCCCTCCCCTGTTCGCCGGCCCGCTCCTGTTCGCGCCGCAGGACAACCTCAACACGGACGGCATCTACCCGGGCAAGTACACGTACCAGGACGACATCACGCGCGAGAAGCAGGCCGACGTCGTCATGGAGAACTATGACCCGGACTTTGCGTCGCTCATGCGCTCGCTCGCCTCGCCTGCCGCGTCGCACAACCCGGGCGGGCCCTCTCGCAGCGGCGACGGCGTCCTCCTCGCGTCGGGCTACAACTTTGGCACCGGGTCGTCGCGCGAGCAGGCGGCGACGGCGCTCCTGTCGAGCGGGATCCCGCTCGTCCTGTGCGGCTCGTTCGGCGACATCTTCAAGCGCAACTCGATCAACAACGCCCTCATCTGCGTCGAGTGCCCCGAGCTCATCGAGGACTTGACGCGCGACTTTGGCAAGGACGGCCAGCGCAACTCGGGCGGGAGCGACGGCAAGTTGACGGTGCAGGTGCCGTACTGGGTCGAGGTCGGCAGCGTGACGGGCAAGGTGACGCTCCGGAGGGAGAAGGGCGGCGAGGTCCTCAAGGAGTACTCGGTCGGCGCGGTCGGCGGCAGCGTGCAGGAGATGTGGCTCGGTGCGTCCTTTCTCTCTCTCCCTCTTTCCCTCCCTTCTCTTTATCCCTGACTGACTCTCGCTTTCGTCGTGCGCAGCTGGAGGTCTCGAGGGCTGGGTCCGCGAGCGCATCTAGAGCGAGCCGGGCCGTAGAATGGCAGAGGACGAGCCGTCGAGGAGGAGGAGCACCCTGTTGTAACTCAGGCTCCCACTCGCGCGCTCCTTTTGCAACCCGGAGAGTCTCGTGTACATGCTGTCGAGGCGTTGCACGGCTCAGATCTCGAGCGGGAGGTCGCCTGAGAGCGCCGATTCCCGAGGCGACTTCATCACCGCGCGAACTGCGAGCTCTCGGTTCTCTCGTCCTACAACCCACTCGCGGCTCTGCACGACTAGCATGCTGCTGCGCACACCTCGTACTGTCGCTGCCCACACGCCCTGGCGCATCCTCGCCCGCTCGCACTCGTCCCACTCGACCCCGCCCTCGTTCGCCCCGGGCGCCACCACCTCCGCCGACACCGAGATCCCCTACGGCGACGCCGCGCACGCCTCGAGCGCCTACCTGCCCCGCAAGGCCGGCGCACCACCGCTCACGGCCGAGGAGCAGCGCGCGACGACCGAGGCGCCGCCGCTCACGCCCGAGCAGAAGCGGGTCATCGAGCGCATCATCCGCGTCGACCAGGCGGGCGAGCTCGGCGCCAACTACATCTACTTTGGCCAGCACGCCGTCCTGAGCCGCGGCAAGGACAAGCGCTCGGCCGACCTCGTCCAGGTGCGTCCCACGCTCGCCAGCTCCCCTCGTCCCTCTCGCCTAGCGCAAGCGGACTGACGCGTACTCCCGGCACGACGTCGACGCACAGGCCATGTGGGACGGCGAGAAGAAGCACATCGCCGCGTTCGACAAGCTCATCACGCAGCACGAGGTGCGGCCGACGGCGCTGTACCCGCTGTGGAAGGCCATGGCGTTCGGGCTCGGCGCGGGCACGGCGCTCATGGGCAAGCGGGCGGCGATGGCGTGCACCGAGGCGGTCGAGACTGTCATCGGCGAGCACTACAACGAGTGAGTCCCTCGCGCCCGCTCGTTCCCATGCCCTCCCTCGTCCTCGAGCGAGAACTGACACGGTGCTCTCGTCCCTGCGCAGGCAGCTCGACCAGCTCAAGAAGGACATGCCCGACCACCCGTCGATCCCGCTGCTCGAGAAGGTCCTCACCGAGTTCCGCGACGACGAGCTCGAGCACCTCGACACGGCCGTCGCGAACGAGTCGCAGCAGGCGCCGGCGTACTCGCTTCTGAGCGCCGTCATCGCGGGAGGGTGCAGGCTTGCAATCGCGGCAACGAGCAGGGTCTGAGTGCGGCAGTCGGGCAGGACCGCGTGGAGGAGGGTCCGAGACGAAGAGGGCCAAATTGCAGTGCCACTGTTGTTTTTCTGCGCGGCTCTCGGCCTCCGTGACTGCATCGTGAGCCATGTGAGCGACTCTGCGCTTGATCTCGAGCCCAAGTGAGCGACGCTGTCTGTTGTCCGCTCGCAGGCGGTCCGCCGCGAGAGGTTGACCTCGTCTCGCCTCGTCTCCTCGCGCCTGGAGCCTGCTGCGACTGCTCAAGAGCTGCACAGCTGCTCTCGAGAGCTCCTACACGCCTCAGCCAGATCCCGCACCGCCTCGTTCGCCCTCGTCCTCCCCACCTCATCGCCCTCGTCCATGTCGCTGTGCGGGCCGAGCCCAGAGCTCGCGGCGCTCGACGCGCAGGTGCCCAACAAGATCGAGTGGCGCTACGAGATGCGCCGCGAGGCCCAGGAGATCCTCCCTGGTGCGTCACCCTTCTGCACACTCCCCCTCCCTCCCCCTCCCTCGTCTCTTGAGCGATGAAGCTGACCTTGATCTCGCAGGACTCTACGTCGGGCCGTTTCAGCCTAGCTGGAAGCGCGAGGCCCTTAAGGGCCTGGGCATCACCCACATCCTGTGCATCGCCGACCCTCGCGAGGCGTACGTCCCCCTCCCTCCCCTCTCTCAACCTCGACTTGCCCTCTCGTCGAATGCAGCACGACTGACACCTGAGCGCGCCCGACACAGCCACTTGTTCAAGCCTCGCTTCCCGGACGACTTTGTCTACCTCATCCAGGACATCCGCGACGCCGACGACCAGAACCTCATCCGCATCTTCCCTCAGTCCGTCCTCTCCTCTCTCTCTCTCTTTCCTCCGTGCGCCCCAAGCTGACATCTCGCCTCTGCAGAGCTCAAATGTTCATCGACTCGGCCCTGTCGGCCGGCGGGCGCGTCTACGTTCACTGCGGCGACGGCATCAGCCGCTCACCCGCCATCGTGTGCGTCCCGTCCCTCTCGCTTTCTCTCCTGCCACGAGCGCGTCGACTGACTGTCTCTACTCGTACAGCACCGCCTACGTCATGATCAAGACCGGGCTCAACCATGAGGACGCGTTCGCCTTTGTCCAGTCGAGGCGGTTCTGCGTCGCGCCGCGCACCGAGTTCGTCCACCAGCTCGAGGTGAGCTCCTTCCTGTTCCCTCTCGGCCCGAGTAGAGCGAAGAAAATTGACCATGAGCCCTCTTTGCAGGCGTACCGCCCTATGGTTCTCGCGGCGCAGACGATGGCGGCTGACCAAGGCGCGCAGGCCGGTCAGCGCACGAACCGCCGCGGTCGCGATGACGACGACGAGGAGGGAGAAGGAGGAGACTCGGCAGACGTGAGCATGGGCGGCGGCATGTGCGTCCTCAGCTTCTTCTCCGGTTCTCGCGCTCTCGAGGACGAGGCCTGACCGCACGCACCTCTTCGTCCCGCAGGAGCGTCGACCGCCCGTTCGTGCCCCGCCGCGTTCCCGCCGCGCCCGTGTGGACCGGCCCTGCGTGACGAGCTTGTCCTCGAGCACGTGCTCCACCCTCGTCCCTCCCCCTTCCGCCCGGCCCTCGTCGTCGTCGTCGATCCGGCCCTCCTCGCACCTCGCAGTCCTCGATACCCTTTCTCCCTCTTTCCCCCTCCCTTCCCCTCTCGCATGTAGCTATACCCCCTGCGTCTCTTTCTCTCTCTCTGGGTTTGTCTAGCTTGCGTGGCGTCGTCGTATATACCCTTGCTCCTTGATCTCGCGGCGGCGGTGGAACTCTCGAGCCCCTCGTTCGCCTTTCCCTCGCGACCTCTGCGCCAGGGAGAGAGATCGCCTTGGTTCCTTGCGAGAGACGAGCGCGTGACGATCTGATCTGCAGGAGAGCAAAGAGCGTCGGTTCCGAGGGACCCCCACTCGAAAATGACGCGCCGCCGGTTTCTCCACCTTGGGCTCGCGTTCGGCGGCGAAGTCGAGCGAGGCCTCGCCCTCCCTCTCTCTCTCCCTCTCCCTTCTTCACAGCACCAAGCTCGCCGTAAACACCATGCTCCGCCTCGCCCTCCCCACCCTTCGCGCCGCCGCCCCGGTCTCGCGCCGCACCTTTGTCGCCTCGGCCGCGAGCCATGACCTCAAGTCCGCCGCCGACCAGCTCAACCAGGCTGCCGGCAACGCGCTCAAGACTGGTGCGTCCTCGCTCTCACTCTCACTGTCTGTCCCTCACCTTGAACGAGCACGAGCACTGACGATCTTGCGCGTCCACCTCGCCTCCTCCCCCCTCCTCGCCTCCCCCTGCCCCACCTCGTCATGCACAACCTCGCTCGCGCCACCCAGGCATCGAGACCGTCGAGTCTGCGACCGAGGCCGTCAAGGAGACCGTCAACTCGGTGCGCCCCCTCTCCTGAGCTGTCGAGAAGAGTGTCTGTCAGAACGGCGTACTGACCCTCTCTCTCGATGCCCCGCAGGTGACCGGCCAGGCCAAGCAGGCCGCCAACGAGACGGCCAAGGAGGCGGGTTCGTCCGACCTCGCGACCGAGGCCAAGAAGGTCGGCGCCGACCTCGAGGGCGGCGCCATCAAGGGCGCCGTCGACGTGCGCAAGACGGCCAAGAAGGTCGGCGCAGAGCTCAACCGCGAGTAGAGCTCGTTCGTATCCGCAATCTGACAATACCAAGCAGTGCCCAACCTTGTCCCGAGCTTGTCGAGAGCCTCTTTGCTCGAGTTTAGCGTCGTCGAGAGCACAGCTTGAGCGAGCGAGGCGAGATGCAGGCCGATCTCCTTCGCCGCCGTCGAAGCACGAGAGCACGAGAGAAGGTTTGACAACGTTCTGGTGGCGCTGACAGCTCGCTCGGCACCGCTCTCAGGCGAGGAGAGCGCGAGCGATGCGCGGCGCTCGAGCCCCCGCTTTGAAGCAGCGGCTCGCGCCAGCCAGCCGTTTCGCAGCCTCGAAGCTCGCTCTGTGACACAGGGTATCCCACTGAGAGTGACAGGGTCCCGCTGGACTCGCGAGGAGCGCTCGCCGATACGAGCTCGAGCGACGAGAGTGAACAGCAGCGCCTCGGATTTGGGAAGGTCAACTCTGGCCGGCTCGACATGGACGCAGAGCTGAGCAGTCGCACACTCGCTACTCTGCTCTCGCTCAGGAGGGCAGCGAAAAGAGAATGGCCTGCCGAAGATAGTGTTGCAACAAGAGAGATCCTAGGGGAAGAGACAGGCCGACGACGCCGAGCGCCTTCTCTTCTACACGTCGACGCGCACCGCCGCGCCTCTCCGCCGACTGCGCTCCCGCTCCTCGAGCAGCCTCTCGCGCAGCTCCCTGACGGCCGCAACCTTGTCCTCCATCTCCCTCTTGGCCTCGGCCGACCCGTCGACCGCCGACTCGCCATCGTCGGTATCGTCGCCGGCCCGCAGCGAGGCGAGCAGCGAGGCGGCGACGAGCTGGTCGCGCTTGGTGAGAGGCGCGATGGCCGAGAGGGAAAACGAGGCGTCGCCGGCGGCCGCAGCGAGAGAGGGGAAGGCCGAGGTGCCGGTGTGGGCTGAGCCGGAGAGGAATCGGACCTGCGAGGGAGTGGACGGCAGTCAGGACAGGCTCGACATCGGCAGAGATACAGTGAACCGTCGACGCACACCAAAGGGAAGAGAAGGAGGGACGGTGCCGCCCTTGAGGTGCGGGAAGACCGGCTCGCCCGTCGACGCGTCCTTGGTGTCGCCTGCAGAACGAGGAAGGGGTCAGGCATGGCCTTCTCGGCCTCGGGAGAGTGAAATCGAGCGACGCACCTGTCCACAGAAAGCCGCTCGTCTGGCTACCCTGCAGCGAGAGTGCGAGCGTGCGGCAGTCGCTGTACAGGATCGACTTGCAGCCCTCCATAAGCGAGATCTGCGAGTACGGGGGCACAGTGGCGGTCGGTCGATGCGCTCGAGTCGACAAGGCGAGGAGAGAGGGACGGACCTGGAGGTTAAAGTCTTGCAGGATCTTGATGAGCGCCGGCTTGAGCCCAGGGATCTCGAGGCCGTTCTGGATGCGGCGAATGAGGCGGATCGGGTCGATCTCGGCGCCGACGTTCTCGAGCAGACCTCGAATGAAGCCTGTTGGTGCGGGAAGTGAGCTCGACGGGTCTCAAAGAGGAAGAAGAGGGGACGCACGAGGTTTGGTTTCCGAGTAGCGCAGGAGGTCCTCCCACAGGTCGTTGTCGTTCTGCTCCTTGGCGAACTCGATGGCCTGCGCGACGAGTGTCAGGGCAGGTACAGACAGAGGAGAAAGAGCTGGACGCACTCGCTGTACGTCGCCGAGCCGCTCGATGATGAGGTTGAGCGCGCGCTTGTTGTCGCCCATGCGCCCGAGCAGGAAGACCATCTCGGGGACGAGGTCGCGTGCGTCGCAGATCTTGTACGCCTGTGAGAGAGGAGGACAAATCGGGTCAGGAAAGGCGCCGTCACAGGACCAGAGAGGGAGACGAGGACGGACCCGCTCGAGGTTGTAGTAGTTGCTCGCTCTCAAGAAGTCGACGAGCTTGCTCTGGTTGAACTCGGCGTAGAGGTCGACCTGCAGGTCCGAGTAGTCGAACGCGAGGTGCGGGTCCTTGTCGAAGAGCGAGTCGAGGTACATGAAGAGGAACCGGCGGTGGTCCTGCAGCTGCGCGACGACTCGAGGTATCTGCGGGCGCAAAATGTCGGTACGGGGAGCCAGTGCGTGACAGGGCGAGAGGAAAGAGAGAGAGAGAGGAGGACGCACCGGAATCGAGTGCGTGTGGTCGACGAGGAGCTCGATGGCCGTGCCGTGCGAGCAGTCGGTGTGCAGCGCCTTGTCCTTGTTGTCCTGCCGCCGCAGCTCCTCGTCGAACTCGATGAGCTGCAACGCCTGGTTCTGGATGTCGGTGAAGAGGTTGTGGTCGCGGATGAGGGTAAAGACGTGCGGGTCCTGCAGCCGAAGGAGGTACGGGAGGGCTTTGCCGGGTTGACGGTTCATGACGTAGCTGCGCAGCGACGAGGGTCAGTGCGGGAGAGAGAGAGAGGAGAGGAGAGAGCGACAGGACGTACAGCTCGGCGATGCTCTTCATGAGGAGCTGCGACTTGGGCGACCGCTCGAGCTGACCCTTGATGGCGAGCGTGATGGCCGAGACGTTGTAGATGTCGCTCGGCCACGCCTTGATCGTCTCCAGGAGAGCCTGCAAGTCGTGACGGTCAGTTCGGCTCGTCTAAGTCGACGCGAGGCAGGGAAAGGCGGGCGCACCTCCTGGTCGTGACGGAGGAAGTGGGCGAGGATCATCTCGTAGACGAGGCGGCTGAGCTGTGGGTCGTGTGTCGGCACGTACGGGATGATCGTCTGCGGGAGACGAGCGCGTCAGGTGTGTTCATGTTCGTGTAGGAGAGAGAGAGCGGGACGACGCACGTCGAGCCGACCTTTGTCGGCAAAGAGGAAGACCCAGTCCTCCCACAGCTTGGCGTTGATGCCGAGGATCTTGGGGCACGTCTCGGCGGCCTTGCCGAACTGGCCTGCACGAGTGCGGCAGGATGTCAGGGACGAGGGCGGTCGAGGCGAAAGAGGGAGAGCAGGACGCACCGTCGGCGACGAGGAACTCGAGGTAGCGCTTGCCGACGTTGGCGGCGTCGAACCCGCCGACCGTCTCGAGGCCCGACTGCTCGAGCGCATGGAGCGCCTCCTCGTACCGCGACATCTCGATCAACCAGACGATGTGGTCCGACTCGTCGCGCGGCCGAGCGACGACGACGTCCTCGGGCGAGACGACGAGGAAGCTCTGGCCGTCGGCGGCTGGGCACAGGATGTAGTCGCGGCACTGGTACCGCTCGTAGTTGCGCAGGCTGATGGCGTCGCTCGACAGCTCCTCGCCCTCGCTCGAGATGATGCGCAGCTCGGGACGGGCGCCGACTCGGCGCTTTGGCGGCGCGTCCTCGTTCTCGTCGTCGCTCTCGTCGTCGACCGGGTACGCGAGGACGAGGAGGTCGCCGGCGGAACCGTACGCGGCGATGCCCGACACCATGCAGTCGAGCTGGAAGATGGCCGTGACCTCGACGTAGACCTCGGTCGCGCTCGGCAGGCCGGGCACGGCGCGCTTGCTCTCGCGCTCCTTGACGACGGCGACCTTGACGACGTCGGCCCACGCGATGAGGAGGGTGCGGTCGTCGCGCCACCGCAGGCTGCACTTGAACAGGTCGGCCCGAGGGCTGTCGTCGGCGCGGCCGATGTAGGTGATGCGCTGGCTCGTCGCCGTGTCGTATATTCGGACGCCCTGCGCAAGGCGAGGCGTCAGGACGAGGGTTGCGGTCGGACGAGGAGAGAGAGAGAGAGAGAAGGTGGACGCACGGCGTCGCTCGCCCACGCGATGAACGTGCCCCTCCACTCGACGGCCCAGATCGGGCCCTCGCCCGAGAACAGCGTCACGTCCTTCTGGCCGAGCCAGCCCTTTTCCGACAGGACGAGGCTGCCCGCCATGCCGCCGTGCGCGAACTGGCGCGTGCTGCGCTTGCCGTAGTGCGGCTCGAGGGCGACGCCGCGCATCGGGCGCTGCATGTCGAACACGTGCGCCTCGGTCGTCGCGACGGACTGGATGGCGACTCGACCTGTTGGCGAGGGCCGTCAGGTTCGGCGTCTCGGCCCGGCGAGGGGGGAGAGAGAGAGGACGCACCGTCCATCGAGGCGCTCGCGACAAACTCGCAGGTCGAGTCGATGCTGAGCGCGTTGACCATGGCCGAGTGAGGTCGATACCGCTTGACGAGCTGACCGTCGCGTGTGAAGATGAAGACGACGCCGTTGTGCGTGCCGAGGACCTGCACGAAGGCAAAAAGGGTCAGTGGGGCGGACAGGACGAGGGCGAGGGGGGCGGTCTCGAGGTCTCGACGACGCACCGTGTACGTGGCGCAGACGGCTATCGCACTCGCCGTGTCCTTGGCGAATAAGTCGACCGTCCCACCGCCGAGCCGAGCGTACTTGAGCGTCGGCTCCTCGTCCTCGTCCTCGTCCTCGTCCGAGTCGTCCTCGCTCGCCTCTCCCTCCTCGCCCGAGCCCGCCGGCCCGCTCCCTCCCTCTTCTGACCCTTGTCCTCGATCTCGCCGAGCTCGAGAAGCGCCGGGTGAGGAGGATGCCGCCCTCGCCCCTCCTGCCGGAGGCTCCACCTCGTGCTCGCCGCCGCTCAGAGCGCGCCCTGGGTCCAGCTCTGCTCCGCCGAGCTCCGCCTCATCCTCCTCCTGCTCGTTGCTCGACGAGGCCGCGTCGCTCGTCGAGTCCTCAGGGCCCGGCGCCGCCTCCCCGCTCGCGACGCTGGCCTCGTCGTCCTCCTCGCCGTCGAGCTCGAGAGCCCGCCCTTTGCCCTTGCCGTTCACGTGAGGCAGGCTAGTGTCGAGGGCGGTGCGCGCGGCGAGTCCTGCGATGGACGAGCCGGCAGAGGAAGGCCCGCCTGGTGGTGAGGCGGAGAGGACGGACGCGGCGGTGCTGCGCGGTGCGGATGGGCGAGCAGGCGTGATAGGGATGTGGAACGAGGGTGTCGAGGAGTGCTGCGAGGCGGGCATGGCGTGCCCTTGCCGTGCCGCAGACTTGGTGGAGGAGAAGGACGAGAGCCGAGTGAGGAGGTGGTGGGGAGGAGAGTCGGCGCTCGCTCTCCTGCGCAAGGCTGCTCTACGCAGAAGTGGGTCTGATGCATAGACGTGTTACAACAGAGGCACTCGAGCCCAATCTACCGCGGGCGAGCATGCCGTCCTCTCGCTCCCTCGCTCCCCTCCTCGCCGACCGCTCGCTCCACGCCCTGCCTCACTTGCCGTGGATCGTGTACTTCTCGCGGATGACCTCGGGGTTGAAGAGCTGCGAGAGGAAAGCGAATCAGCCACGGCATGTCCCGCGTCGACGACAGGACGTGCTCGACGCGAGGACGCAAGGCAGAGAACGGCTCACCTCCCACCGAGACGCGGGAAAGATGTCTGCGGGCGCAGAGGAGCGTCAGTACACTCACTGATGGAAGGAGAGAGAGACGAACGGGGCGCACGCTTGTTCCGGTTGTACCAACTGCGCTCGATGACCTTGCCGGCGTGCGACTGCGTGGCTCGACGACCGGTCAGTTCGCGTTCGTCCGGCCGGGAGAGAATGAGGACGGTCGACGCACCTCGTCCTTCTCGATCTTGGCGTCGTGCGTGAGGCGAACGTCGTCGTGCACGTCAAAGTTGAACATGGGGCCCGACTTGCCTCGATATTTGTTGATGATGAAGTCGTCTGCGCAGTCGGGGGAACGCTCGAACGTCAGTGGCGCCCTCATCTGAGAGTCCTCGAGACGCAGAGAGAAGGCAGAGCACGCACAGAAGGTGTAGTGCTGCGGGCAGAAGAGGGGGCAAAGAGTCAGGCTCGAGGCGACGACGAACGGGACCAAGAGAAGAGGAGACGCACGTGAGGGATGATGAGGTCCTCCTTGATGTACATGAGGTTGTCGACCGAGATGGCGCGCAGCTCGGGGAACTGTGCTCGGCACTTGTCGAGGAACTGAGCGATGCTGTCGCCCTTCTTGCACTGCGAGTCGCGCGCACGGTGTCAATAACCTCGACCGTCGACTGCGAGAGGGAGGGAAGCATGAGGGACGCACCACGACGACCTTGCGGTGCCCGCTGCCGTCCCAGTACGAGTAGGTGATCTCGATCTCCTCCTGCTTCATGTCCTCCTGCATCTTGAGCCACTTTTTCCGCAGCTCGTCGCGCTCGAGCCGCTCAATCTCCTCGCGGTTGCGGTCGGGGAGGAAGTGCGTGTCGACGGAAGGGTTCTTGCCGAGCTTGGCGCGCTTGGCGGCCGAGGCTGCACGGGAAAGGAGGGAAGGGTTGAAGGTCAGGACATGCTGGAGCACGCGCGCTCATTGGAGACGAGGAGAGAGAGGGACGCACCCGTGTCGTCCTCGACAAAAGTCTTGCTCTTGGGCTTGAAGGACTGTTCCTCCTCCTCATCGCCGTCGTCGCCGGCGAACGAGAGCTTGACCTTGCCCTTCTCCTTCTTCTTCTTCTTGACCTTGCGCTCCTCGTCCCTGCGAGCAGCTCACGCCAGTCGTCAGTCCATCGCTCGATGCGGCGAGAGAGAGGGGAGGAGAGACTCACTTGACCTCGGCCGTCCCTGCCGCCTCCTGCCGGGCCTGCTCCTCGAGCTGCTGGCGCGTCTCCTTGAAGTCGGACAGCTGGACGAGGCCGTACGTCTTGTGCTTGAGCGTCTCCTCGACGCCGTCGGTCTTGACGGTGAAGCGGTCCGAGCCGGTACGGTTGCGCTGAGCGGCGAGGTCCTCCCTCTGGGCCGCGAACTCGTCCTGTGGTGGGAGCGGCAAGGTCAGCTCGTGCACGTTGGGCACGGTCAAGGGATCGAGGGACGTACCATCATGGCCTTGCGCTTCTTCTCGAGCTTGGCTGGGCGGTGGGAGGGGTCGCGAGCCAGGTCAGAGATGAGGAGGAGAGCGGGGGGAGGGTGGAGAGAGCAAGGCGGGCTCACCGAGCTTCATGGCTTCTTGTGCCGACATGGTGGCAGTGGCAGAGTTGGTGCTCGGTCTCGAAGCAGGCTCCTGACGAGGGAGAGGCGGTGGTCGAGGTGGTTCGGCTGCGAGCTCCTCCTGCGCGGCGCCTCGTCCCTCTCGACCCGCTCCATCCTCGCCCTGCTCGCGTGCTGCTACTCCGACCCTCTCACGACCACCACCACCAGCACTAGACAGAGCCAACATGGTGCGCACCCTGCCCGCTTGCCGCCGTCGTCCCCCTTCACCCCGCGCCCCCCTCCGTCCTCATCTCGTCTCGTGGCCGGCGCGCCTCGTCGAGCACACCTCGCCGTGGACCAGGACACTGACCACGCGTGTCTCTACAGGGTGACGCAAGCTACGACTACCTGTTCAAGGTGCGCCCTCGCTCCCTTCCTCTCGCCGGCCTTCCACGAGTCCGCCCCCCTCCGAGTGCTGATCGCGCGCGCCTCTCTCCCTCTCTCGCAGGTCGTCCTCATCGGTGACTCGGGCGTCGGAAAGTCGTGCGTCCCTGTCTCTCTCTTGCCTCTCTTTGACGCGCCGCGCTGACCTCGTCCCTCGCGCAACAGCAACCGTGCGTCCGGCTCCCCCTCCTCGTCCCACCTGCCCCGCTTGCACCCCGCGCCCGCCGACCTTTGTCGCCTCGAGACGCGTCGCCGGATCTCCGTCCTGGTCACGCACGAGTCGCTCACACTCGGCGACATTGCCCCCACACAGTGCTGTCGCGGTTCACCCGCAACGAGTTCAACCTCGAGAGCAAGTCGACCATCGGCGTCGAGTTCGCAACTCGGTCCATCCAGGTCGAGAACAAGACGATCAAGGCGCAGATCTGGGACACGGCAGGCCAGGAGCGCTACCGCGCCATCACCTCGGCGTGCGTCCACTCTCTCTCTCGCACCTCCTCTCTCAGCCCCATGCGCCGGTCACTCACCTCGAGACTTGCCCTCAGGTACTACCGCGGCGCAGTCGGCGCCCTCCTCGTGTACGACATCGCCAAGCACGCGACCTACGTCAACGTCCTGCGCTGGCTCAAGGAGCTGCAAGAATATATAAGGCTTTTAAAGCTTTTAAGGTTTCACGCAACAAGAGCGATTTGCGCCACCTGCGCGCCGTCCCGACCGACGAGGCAAAACTCTTCAGCCAGGAGAACGGCTTGAGCTTGTGCGTCTGCGCTCGTTCCTCCTCTCTGACGGCCTCGGCGCGTCGACCTGACCTCGCCTCGTCCCTCGCGCAGCATCGAGACGTCGGCGCTCGACGCGTCCAACGTCGAGGGCGCGTTCCAGACCATCCTCACCGGTGCGTCTCTCGCTTTTCTCTCGACCTCGCCGTGCTTCTTCGCGCCGTCGCTCACCCGCCTTGAACACGCTCGCAGAGATCTACAAGATCGTGTCGCAGAAGCAGCTCGAGGCGGACCCGGCGCTGTCGCACCGTCCTGGGCAGGGCTCGTCGATCGAGATCACGCCGTCGGCCAACGATGGCGGCCAGAAGCAGGACGGCAAGTGCTGCTGAGCGCGACTCGGCGGAACGAGGGCGAGGTGGGACGGTGCGGTCGAGGGAGCTGGTCTCTCGCTCGGGGCGGTTGTGTCTGTGTGTGCGGCGCGGAGTGTGCGTCTCGGGACGGTGCGGGTCAGAAGGCGAGGATGTGTTTGACGACGAGGCGACAACGCGGTCGCCTCCTCGAGCTTCCCCTTCTGCCCTCGCCTCACCTCTTGCCTAGCTCGCCCATCTCCTCGCCGCCCCCCTTCTCTTCCTCTGTGTGTCTCTTTGTGCTATTCCAGTGCGTCACTGAGCCCGTCGAGCGTCCCTGCGAGTCACGAAGGAGAGCTCCCTCGTGCGAGAGACGACCGTCCGTCACTCGCCGCACGAGCCCCCGCCCACGCTCGCCTCGTCCTCTCTCTTCCTCTTTCCTTCGAGCCGCCTCCCGACGGCTGAGCGCCTTGCAGCGAGTGCTCTCTCGCCGTCGACGCCGGGCTTTCGCCGGGCTTTTGCTTTTTCTCGCGGAGCGCACGATCGAGAAGCTGCCCTCGCGGTGGTCGACTGCGAGCGCGAGCGAGCAAGACGGGTGGAGGGAAAAGGTGCGCAGGGCCTGGGACGTTGCGCGCCGGCGCTCTCGCCGTTCGAAAGAGTGCACTCGAGGCTCGAAAGGGGCAGCGTCCGAGCGAGAGGAGAGCCGGAAGAATTGCAAGTCGAGCCGACAGTCGGCGCGCGGGCTGTTGTCGACATGACGACGACGACAAGCGGTGCGAGCACGCCATTCTCGCTCGCCGCGCACAAGGGCCGGGGAGCGGAGGGAGGCGGAGGCCGACGAATCGACACAGCGAGGCGGGTCGTCGAGTCGTCGACGTTGCTCACGTGCAAGCTGCCATCGAGCGCACCCTCGCGGCAGCACGGCCGAGCTGAATGGCTATCTGGCAGGGTCGACGCGAGGACGCAAGGGAGCGCGCGTCAGGTGAGCGTTATCTTGCGCGAGCTGGTCGAGGCGGGACGCCGTCGCGCTGTCGAGAGCTGGGGAGGCCCGGGCACGAAAAGGCGTGCGAGTGGGGCAAAGCAGGAGTCACCTCGAGGTGAGCGAGGGAGGAAAGCGTGGGGCCGTCGAAGCCCACCCGGTAGTGCGGAGAGGAGGCCCGGGTCGGCCTGCCGCCTGCGTGCCGCTCGGGCCCACTGTGCCGGATCTTTCGCCGCCGCCGCACCCTGCATGTGGCGCAAGCTCCGCTCGACCGTCGTCGTGGCACGTCTCACCGGTGAGTTGCGAGTGGCGCACGGACCCCGGACGGACGAGAGCGAGAGGCGAGAGCGCGTTCTGCGCCTCGGACAGAGCTGCAGTCCAGGGCCGTGCACTTTGCGCGGAGTCGCCGGTTCGACGTTCGACAATCGGACAGGCCCTCTCGCTCGAGCGACGGGCACGCTGCGGTAGCGAAGCGCACAGGTGACGGCGACACGGGACGAGAGCCGGCTTCCCACGTCGTTGCAGCACTCGTTACCGCACGGGACCACCGCGAGCAATTGACAGGCCTAGGGCGCCGCAAGGGCGGAGCGAGAGTGCTTTGCGGTCGGCGTTCGATCGTCGAGCCGGTCAAGTGGAGACCCCAAGAGCGTGATCGGGGTCCGTGCCCGAGCTTTTTATTTTTGAACGCGCCCACCGCAGACCGCGCGGTGGTCGCCGACCCGCGTGCTTTGGCCACCCGCGCCCGGCATCCGCCTCCGCATTCTCAGGGCCAGGGAAAAGAAGTCGGCGAGCGAGCGCGACGAGCGTCGCATCGCGCCTCCTTTCTCTCCTCCTTCCCACGGCTTGCCTTGCTATCCTCCGCTTTTCCCTTGCACCTGCGCACGACCGCACCCCGTCAATCAGCAGCAACCCAGCAGCTCAAGGTCCTTTCACCGTGCGTTTGACATCTCGCCTCGCCTTCCCAACCCTCGCTCGCTCGCCGCTAGCGCCACCCACCACCGGTCTCGTCGATTCGGTTACTGACTCTGCCTTGTCGCCGTACACCCACAGATGTCTGGCCTTGACCCCAACGAGGCGAGCTTCATGGCCATCTCGCACGACATCCAGGCCAACCAGGAGGAGCACACCGGCAAGGACAAGGACGGCTACGTCTTTGACGAGAAGCGCGCCGTGTCGCCCTCGTCGCCCTCGACCGACGGCGAGAACACGCACCCGGACGCGCCGACCGAGGAGGAGAAGCGCACGCTCCGCCGCGTGCCCGGCCCGATCAACGTTGGCGCCTTCCTCGTCGCCTGTGCGTCCCTCTTTTCTCTCCTTCTTGCTCGCCGGGCATCACTGACGTGCTCTGCGTGCCTGCAGACGTCGAGCTCGCCGAGCGCTTCTCGTACTACGGCTCCACGGTCGTCTTTACCAACTTCATTCAGCGTCCTCTTCCTCCTGGCTCGACGACCGGCGCGACGACCGGCCCCGACCAGCAGGCGGGTGCCCTCGGTATGGGCCAGCAGGCGTCTACCGGCCTGACGACGTTCAACCAGTTCTGGGTGCGTCGCGCCTCCCCTTTCTCCCCTCGTCCTCCTCGAGCCTCGCTGACTCCCTCTCCTCCTCCCAGGTCTACGTCATGCCTCTTGTCGGTGCCTACATCGCCGACACGTACCTCGGCAGGTTCAGGACGATCTGCTGGGCCATCCTCATCGCGTTCATCGGTCACGTCCTCCTCGTCGCCGCCGCCGCTCCTTCTGTCATCAAGAACCCGGACGTCGCCATCGGCGTGTTCGCTCTCGCCATCATCGTCATGGGCGCCGGTACGGGCATGTTCAAGTCGAACGTCTCGCCCATGATCGCCGAGCAGGTCTCGTCGCACCCGCTCTACGTTCGCACCAACAAGGACGGCTCGAGGGTCATCGTCGACCCGGCGCAGACGACCTCGCGCATGTACAACTGGTTCTACATGGCCATCAAGTGCGTCCCTGCTCTCTGGACGTCACGGCGAGAGCGAGAACGTCGCGACGAGCCCGAAATTGACGGACCTTCCTCCCTCCCTCCCCTCCTCCTCCCAGCGTTGGCGCCCTTGCCGGACAACTCGGCATGTCCTACGCGGCTAGGCAGCGGGGCTACTGGTTAGCGTTCCTGCTGCCCACGATCGTGTTTGCGACGACGCCCATCGTCATGTGGCTCGGGCGCAACCGGTACGTCCAGACGAAGCCCTCGGGCTCGGTCCTCGGCAAGGCGATGCGCATCCTGTCGGTCAACTTCAAGCACGCCGGTTGGTCGCCCAAGGCGTGGTACCGCGCCGGCTTCTGGGAGCACGCCCTGCCCTCGCGCATCCCGGCCGCCGAGCGCCCGTCGTGGATGGTCTGGGACGACACGTTCGTTTGGGAGGTCCGCCGCGGCTTCAAGGCGTGCCAGGTGTTCGGCTTCTTCCCGCTGTACTGGCTTACGTACAAGTGAGTCTCTACCTCCCTCGTCGCGAGCGAGCTCGAGCGGCTCCCTCCCTTTCCTCCTCCTCCTCCTTCCCTCCCTCTCCCTCTCCTCCTCATTCTCCTTCCTCTCTCCCACATCCTCCTTCCTCCTCTCTCTCCCTCCCTCGCGCCCGTCGTCGTGCTCCTCCCTCTCTCTCGTCGTCGAGCCTCCCCCTCACTCTCCAAGGCCCTGAGCGTCGTACTGACTCGCCGCTCGCCCACAGCCAGATCAACAACAACCTGACCTCGCAGGCCGCCGTCATGAACACACACGGACTCCCGAACGATGTACTGTCCAACCTCGACCCGTTCGCGCTCCTCAGTGCGTCTCGTTCGCTCTCCCTCGAGCCTCCTCGAGCCCCGTCCTGACCCTCCTCGCCCCCCCCTCGCGCACGCCCAGTCCTCATCCCGATCATGGACCTGCTCGTCTACCCTGCCCTCCGTCGCGCCGGCATCAACTTCTCGCCGGTCAAGAAGATCTTTGCCGGCTTTGCGTGCGGCGCGCTCGCCATGATGTGCGCCGCCCTCGTCCAGCACGAGATCTACAAGCGCTCGGCGTGCGGCAACGAGGCCGCCACGTGCGAGGTCGAGCCGTTCGTCCCCGACCTCAACGTCTGGATCCAGGTGCGCCCTCACACTCGTCCTCGTCGCGAGGTCCCGTCGTCGACCGAGACCTGACCTTCTCAAACCGCGTCCTCCTCGCCTCGCAGACGCCGTCCTACATCCTCATCGCCCTGTCCGAGATCTTTGCGTCGATCGTCAGCCTCGAGTACGCCTACACCAAGGCGCCCAAGTCGATGCGGTCCATGGTCATGTCGGTCGGCCTCTTCACGACGGCCATCTCGGCGGCGCTCGGCGAGGCCTTCCTCCCGCTGTCGGAGGACCCGAACCTCGTCATCAACTACGGCGTCATGGCCGGCCTTGCCGCCGTCGGCGGCGTGAGCTTCTACTGCACGTTCTGGAACCTCGACAAGGAGGAGCGCTCGCTGAACGAGATCGCGGCGGGCGAGCACAACGCCGAGGTCGCCGCTCACCGTGCGGCCGACGACTCGGCCTGAGCGTCGCAGTAGACCCACGTCGTGTTTCCCGTCCCTTATCTCGTCGTTTCGTGTCGGTCGGTGTACTTGCAAGGTTTCTCTCTCTCAAGCCCCTGGCCCGAGCGAGCGAGAGTGAGCGAGAGCCGTCTCGATTAGGGTCGCGCGCGCTTCTACGAGCGTTCTCCTGCAGTGCGACCAAGCGCGAGTGCGTGCTGCATCGCTGCGATGAGGAAGAGAGCGCGACCTTCTCAAGTTGAACCTCGCGCTTCTGCTCGTCGCAGCGTCCACTCCCGGCTCTCTCCGGCCTTCTCGATCGCACGAGACAAACGCCGCGACGGCGTTAAAGCCGAAAGAACAGCCGCAGACCGCGGCACGCGCCGTTGCCGGCGTGCGGAGCGAACGTGGTCGACGACGAGAGGAGGTGAAACGGCTGTCGTCCGCGTCCTGCGCTCGGGGAGGCGTGTGCAGCCACGAGACACGATGACCGCGCGGCCCGCGAGGCGCAGACCGACTCGGGCGACGCTGCGGAATTTCCACTGCGCCCCGCTCTCATCGCGGCGACGAGACGGGTCTGGGCGAGCCGTGCTCTTTTGTCGCTGTCCTCGCCCGCCCGCCTCGCTCCAAGGAGCTCGACACTCGACCATGCTGCTCGACGGCGTAGCAGGCTACCTCGCAGACGCAGCCGGTGCCTCTGTGCGTCCCCTTGTCTCCTCGAGCTCCGCCTCATCTCCTCCCCTCGCCCCGCCGTCATGGCTGACCCGCCGTTGGTCCGCCCACCTCGCAGCCGGACCAGATCAAGGTCATCTTGCTCCTCGTCGGCTCGGTCCCCCTCTCCCTCGCCTACCCGTACTTCCCGCCCTCGACTCGCTCGCCCATCGCCCACCTCTACTCGCTCGTCCCCGCCGTCGTCTTCCTGTGCTTCTGCCTCGACCTGCGATGGGGCTTCTTCCAGCTCCTCGCGAGCTCGTTGGCGACCTGGGTCGTCTGCAAGGTCGGCGTCGCGCAAAAGTGGGGGGCCGCCATGCCCTGGGTCGTCTTCGTCATCGTCATGGGCCACCTCGCCGTCAAGTGCGCCCCCGCTCTCTCCCTTTGTCCGCACACCTCACCGAGCTGACCCTGCATGCGCACACAGCCACGTCCTGCGCCACCTCGACGACACGCCCCTCACCACGATCGAGATCACCGGCTCGCAGATGGTGCTCTGCATGAAGCTCATCTCGTTCGCGTGGTCCGTGTTTGACGGCACTCGCCCTCTCGACCAACTCGACACGACCCAGAAGGCGTCGCGCATCGAAGGCGTGCCCGGGCTCTTGCCCTTCCTCGGTTACGCGTGAGCCCTCTCGTCCGTTTCCTCCCAGTCCCTCTCGTCGATACTGACTCCTTGCACGCCGCCCGCAGCTTCTTCTTCCCGTCCATCCTCGCCGGCCCGTCGTTCACCTACCGCTCGTACGACTCGTTCACCTCGCACCGCCTCTTCGTCAAGGAGAACCCGTCGGACGGGTCCAAGCCCGTCGACCCGACCGTCATCCCGCCCGGCCGCCGCCGCAAGGCCGCCAAGCGCTTCGCGACGGGCATCTTTTTCCTCGCCATCTTCTCGGTCTACGGCGGGTCGCTCGGCATGGACAAGCTCATCGACCCCAAGTTCACCGCCGACAAGTCGTGGTTCGAGAAGTGCGTCCGCTCTCGCGCCCTCTCTCTCCCGCGCATTGCCTGACGCCCGCATTCCCTACAGGGTTCGGTTCATGAACGTCGCCGGCTTCATCGCGCGCACAAAGTACTACTCAGTGTGGTGCATCGCGTGCGTCCCCTCTTCCACTTTCCTGTCCCTTCGCGCACCGGACTGACTCGAGCCGAGCCTGCAGCGAGTCGGCCTTTATCATCTCGGGCCTCGGCTACAACCCGCAGACGAAGCACTACGACGCTTCGCGCAACGTCCGCATCCGCTCGATCGAGTTTGCGCCCAACTTCAAGGTGCGTCTCTTCTTCCTCCCTCTCCTCCTCGACCCTCTCAACACAGGCGTCGAACTGACTGACCATCTGTGACGCAGGTCCTTCTTGACTCGTGGAACATGAACACCAACGTGTGGCTGCGCGAGTGCATCTACAAGCGCGTCGCCAAGAAGGGTCGCAAGCCTGGGTGCGTCCTCTCTCGAATTCGCGCCCGTCGTCGTTCCTCTCCTGACCCTTGACTCGCCTCGCAGGTTCAAGAGCACCCAGATCACGTTCATCACGTCGGCCCTGTGCGTCTCCTCCTTCCTCTCGCCCTCGTCGCCTCGTCCTTCTCTTGCGCCCCAGCTGACTCACTCCCTCCTCGACAGCTGGCACGGCGTCAACCCGTGCTACCTCATGACGTTCGTCCTCGGCGGCTTCTGCCAGGCGCTAAACCGCTCCCTGCGCGCCGGCCTGCGCCCCTTCTTCCTCCCGCCCGGCGCGCTCCAGGCGCCGAACCCGCTGTCGGCGAGCGCGCCGCCGCTGCCCAAGCTCGACATCCTCAAGCACAAGCAGGCCGTCGAGGCCGCCAAGAAGGAGGGCGGCGCCGCAGCTGCCGCCGTCGTCAAGGTGCCCGGCACGAGCGAGCGCGTCAAGCTCGCCGCACCGCCGCAGACGCCGCTCAAGGTCGCGTACGACGTCGCCGGCACGCTCGCGACGCAGGCCGTCCTCAGTGCGTCCCGCTCCTTCCTCCCTGCGCGACCGCGCGACCTCGCCCTGACTTTTTTGCTCGCGCCGCACAGACTTTGCCGTCGTCCCCTTCCTCCTCCTCAACGTCCACTCGTCCATGCTCGCATGGCGCTCTGTCTCGTTCTACGGCCTCGCTCTCGTCTTTGTCCCGTTCGTGCTCCTCAACTTCCTCGGCGGCCTGCCCATGCTCAAGCGGGCGCAGCGCAAGCGCGACGCCGAGGCGGCCAAGCGGCACAAGCGCACAACGGCCGACGACGAGCAGGAGTGGCGCCGGGTCGAGTGGGAGAAGAGCGAGGAGGACAAGCGGCGCAGGAGGGGCGAGGGCGTGCCGAGCCTCGGCATCGACGTCGAGGAACTGGTCGAGGAGGAGGAGCGCGAGGAGCGGCGCCGCGAGGCTGAGCGCAAGGCGCAGTGACGCGCCGCGCTCGTCTCTCTGTTCGGTGGGCCGTTGAGGAGGATAGAGTCGGAGCAGTTTATGATCGTCATCGTCGTCGTCGTCGTCGCAGCAAGAATCCCCTTGGCCCCTCTCGTTCCACCCTCTCAAGTCCTATGCAACTCGTTCTCGTTCTCTCGCACTCGATCGACGCCTCGCGAGATGTGACGTGTGTGTGCCTGTGCGAGTGCATGTGCGAGAATAGAGAGTACAACAGACAGAGAACATGCCCTCCCTCGTCACGGACCCGCTCCCGGACCCTCGACGCCGACGCCCGCCGCCGCCGGCTCGGGCTCGTCACAGAGCAAGCCCGTGACGGCGCACACCCTGTGGCGGAACCGCCTCTTGCCCCTCTGGACCGCGCCGCGCCACCTCTCCCTCCACACCCTCAAGCCCCTCGGCTCCTTCCTCGCGCCGCCCTCGCCGCCCTCACCGCCCTCGCCCGCCCCCGCTGCATCGCGCCGCGCGTCCTGCTCGACCTGCCACGCGCTGCGCGCCTCGACGAGCTTTTGCCGCACGGCGAGCGTGAGCGGCGAGGGGACCGGGTCGAACGCGAAGGGCTTGAGCGGGCCGGACGCGAGGAGGGTCGGCGCGGTCGACGGGCGCAGGAGGAGCTCGGCGACGAGGAGGAGACCGAGGCGGGCCTGTGTGAAGAAAGGCGGAAGTTGGGTCAGGGAGGGGACGCGAGAAGGAGAGAGAGGAGGGGGGACGCACGCCCTCGATCGAGCGCGGCAGCTTTGAGACGCCGAACGACTCGATGCGGTTGGCGAGGGGCCAGAAGCCGAACTCGGACGTGACGCGCGAGAACGTCTTGACGTCGGTGCTGCACGGCGAGAGAGGCTGTGAGTTTTCGGGCCGCCTCGAGAGGAGAGAAGGACAGAGAGACGGGACGCACGCGAGCGGGTCGTCGGGCTTCTGACGAAAGACCTGCCACTCGAACACCTCCATGAACTCTGTGCGGTCAATGTTCCTGCTCCTCGTCCTGAGCTCCCTCCTCGGCCCTCCCGCGCTGCCGCCCTCCTCGAGCTGTCCGTCCGGGCCCTCGAGCCCGACGTGGACCTCGGTCTCTTCGAGGACCCAGGTCGTGTCGATGCGCTGGATGACCTGCGGGGCCCAGCGCGGGACCTTGCCGCGCTTGAGGATGAGGCGCGTCGTGCGGAGCGAGTTGGTCGCCGGGTGGAAGGTGCGCGAGATGACGTCGGACGAGAGAATGTGCTTGCCGTAGGGCGACGGGTACCGCTGGTTGTGGGCTAGGACGATGTACGGGAACGGGACCCTGTCGGCGGTGGAGAGAGAGGTCAGTTCACGAGAGTCTGGAGCCGGGAGAGAGGAAGGAGAGGGCGACGAGGCCAGGGGCGGGCGGCGGCCGGCGACAGAAGGGAGAGGGGACGCACGGGAAGGTGTCGCTCGTTTCGAGAGTCTGGACCATGGCGCCAAGGTTGAGCGAGGCTGGCCGTGACCTCAGTCGGCCGTGGAGAGATGAGAAAGTGCCGACGAGGTAGGGTGGCTCGAGGGCGGCTCGGCGCGGGGGCCAGGGAATTTCAGAGCGGTCGTAGAGCGGCTCGAGACGTAGTCTGGGTGACTCTGAGCGGTGTAGAGGTAGCAGAGTCCGATGAGATGGAGCTGCCGGCACCTCGCGTCCTCCACCTCTCGTCCTGCGCCATTCCTCGCTCAGACGCTCCCTCGAGCATGGCAGCTGCACCGCAAGCACCCGCACCTGCGCCCGCCCCGCTCGACACGGCCCAGTTCGCGACCCTCTTCCCCTCGGTCGTCCGCCTCGCCCACCTCGCCTCGTCGTCGTCCTCGCCGTCCACCATCAGCGCAACCGACCCAGCCGATTCATCACACCCAGCAGAGCCTGACGCACACCACCCCGACCCCAAACTCGAGCTCTCGCGCCAGGCCGCCGCCCTCCATTCGACCCTCCGCACCCTCGACGCCCAAGTCGCCCAAGTTCCCAACGCCCACCTCAGCGTCGACGACCAGCACTGGCTCGTCGAGCAGCTCCAACTCGAGTGTTCTCGCAGGCGGTCCGTCGCCTCTGTCCTCTCCCCTTCCCTCCCGCTCGCGACGACACTGACCCCCGCCCCCCCGCCGCGCCGACAGTGCCCAGCTCGCACACGTCGCGAGCCTGACGCAGCTCGATCTCGCACCCGCACATTCGCCTGCGCACGCCGACGCCGACATGGCCGACGCGGCGTGACGTACCCGGCCTCGAGCATGGTCGAGCGAGCGGCGAGCTCTTCTTCTTTGGGCGTCACGAGGGCCCGCTCGCGCGCGCCTGCGCCGCCCTCGCCATGCTCGACACGACCTTGTCGACGTCGTCCTCTCGAACGTCGACCCGTTCATGTTCTCGAGTGCGTCTCGCCCTCTCCTTTGTCTGGCTCGGGCCTTGTACTGACTCTCCTCGCCCTTTTGCAGTCCGCATGGTCCAGATCAACAAACCTGACCTCGCAGGCCGCCGTCATGAGCACACACGGCTCCCGAACGATGTACTGTCCAACCTCGACCCGTTCGCGCTCCTCAGTGCGTCTCGTTCGCTCTCCCTCGAGCCTCCTCGAGCCCCGTCCTGACCCTCCTCGCCCCCCCCTCGCGCGCGCCCAGTCCTCATCCCGATCATGGACCTGCTCGTCTACCCTGCCCTCCGTCGCGCCGGCATCAACTTCTCGCCGGTCAAGAAGATCTTTGCCGGCTTTGCGTGCGGCGCGCTCGCCATGATGTGCGCCGCCCTCGTCCAGCACGAGATCTACAAGCGCTCGGCGTGCGGCAACGAGGCCGCCACGTGCGAGGTCGAGCCGTTCGTCCCCGACCTCAACGTCTGGATCCAGGTGCGCCCTCACACTCGTCCTCGTCGCGAGGTCCCGTCGTCGACCGAGACCTGACCTTCTCAAACCGCGTCCTCCTCGCCTCGCAGACGCCGTCCTACATCCTCATCGCCCTGTCCGAGATCTTTGCGTCGATCGTCAGCCTCGAGCACGTCTACCGCAAGGCGCCCCAGTCGATGCGGGCCATGGCCACGACGGTCGGCTTCTCGACGATGGCCCTCATCGGCGGCTCTCGTGTCGGTCGCTCTCGGTCTGCTCCCGAGCCGGGCAGGGTGCTCTCGAGGCGGGCAGGAAACATGTCGATGCAGGGAGCGCACGAGGAGGAGGGGTTCCGAGAAGGCGAGGTTTGACATTGCGAAAGGGGGTACAGGCATACAGCGCGAGGGGAGGGGAGGGGAGAGGGAGAGAGAGTCTACTGCGACAGAGAGAGAGAGAGACGGGAGAGCTACTTCCAGCGGAAGTTGAACCAGCGGGCGAGGCGTCCGGGCTGGAACGTTTCGCCACGCTCTGCGCGCTCGACCGAGTCGAGGATGCGGGCGTAGTGCTTGGGGAAGCTGGCGGGCTTGGAGGTGCGGTCGGTCATCGGGTACTGTGTCGGTGGCAAGGGTGCGGTGGTCGATCGAGAGGGGAGAGGAGGCAGGCGAGAAGAGTGAGCTCGATGATGAGAGGAGGAGGAGGAGAGATGGGGACGCACGGCCTTGAGTGCGCGGTTCTCTACGATGCGGGTGAGGGCAACTGCGGCATTGGTGGCCTTTCGGAGCTGCTCGGGGCTCAAGGTGGCCGAGGGAGCGAGTTGGCGGTCGGCGGCGGCGCGGATGGCGTCTGCGAAGAGGTGCTTCGGCCGGAAGGGGTCCTTTGGCCAGGCATTTGCGGCGTGGTGCCAGGCTGTACGGACTGCTTGGGTCGAGCTCATCTCTCTCTGGAGTGTGGGTGGCTGAGAGGACGAGGGCACAGGCGATCTCGGCGACCAAGTCGAACTGGTCCGGTCTCTCCCTCTCCTCGCCTCCTCTCTCCCGCCTCACTCGCTCGGCTGGACTGTGCTCCTGCACACTGGGACTGACCGACCATGGCCGACCCGACCAACTCGCCGCCGTCGCAACCGGCGAGCCCGCTCCCCTCGACCCCGTCGTCTCCCCACACTGGCACTGCCCGGTCCGTGTCCTTCACCAACCGCGACCACAGCCCAGACTCGACCCGCACCGCCTCGCCCGAACCCCTCGCCACACCGACCCTCGCTCAGTCGTACGGCCAGCTGCGCAAGTCGCTCTCGCTGTCCAACCTCGCTCAGCTCGACCGCGAGGGCGTCCGCAACCTCTCGACCCACATCTACCGCCGCGGGTCCCGCATAGACCGCAGGCAGTACCGCCCAAAGGACGACGACGAGGTCCTCGCTCACGCTCTGCGCGGCGGCATCCGTTGCGTCCCTTCCTTCTCCTTTCCTCGCCTCGCTCGTCCCTCCCGCTCACTCTTCTCCCCCCCTCGACACAGGCTCGCTCATCCTCGGCTCGTCCTTGCGAGCTGCCGTCAACTTTGCCATCCTCGTCCTGCGCCTCACCCGCAAGCGGTCCGTCCCTTCCTCCCTCGCCCCCGCTCGCCCACACTGACTCTCTCTCTCTCACGGGCGCAGGGGCCTCTCGTCCAAGTTGATCCTCCATGCCCTGTTCGGCACCGACGTCATCCGCTTTGGCAGCATGCTCGGCCTCTTCACCTTCCTCTAGTGCGTCCCGCTCTCCCTGCGCATCTCAGCCTCGCGCGGCCGCACTGACCCCGTCTCGCCCGTCCCGCAGCAAGTGGACCCTGCACACGCTCCGCCTGTACAACCCGGGCGCCCGTGGGCCCTCGCACTTTGAGCCCTGGCACGCCGCCATCGCCGGCCTCGTGTCGGGCCTCGCCGTCGTCGCCGAAAAGCCCTCGCGCCGCGTCACGATCGGCCAGCAGCTGTTCGTGCGCGGCCTCCAGGGGCGGTACAACGACCTCAAGGCGCGCGACAAGATCCGCGTCAAGAACGTCAGCGTCATCGTGTTTGGCCTGTCGTGCGCCCAGATCATGTACGCGTGGCTCGTACGTCCCTCCTCCTCTCTTTCTCTCTCCCTCGCCCTCATCTTTTGGCATCTCCCGCCCGCCCTTTCTCTCGTCTTACTTCGATCGATTACTCACCGAGTCATGCGCGTGCCTGCAGATGGCGCCCGAAGCGCTCCCGTCGGGCTACCGGCGCTGGATCACCCAGGCGAGCGTGCGTTCCCGCTTCCTCTCTCTCTCCCTCCTCGCCCCCTCTCGAGAGCGCCATCTAATGCTCCTCTCCCCCTCCCCGCCACAGCGTGTCTCTGAACCCTGCTTGCCCGTCAACCTGTCGGCGTACCGCACGGGCACGTTCGACCCGGACACGGCGCGCAAGGCGCTCACGTGGGGCCGGGGCGCGACGGCGCTCAGCGCGGCGCGCATCGAGGCGTACGCGCACGCCGCCGAGCACGACGGCGAGTTTGGCCCGCCGTTCGCGCCGTGCGCCGTCGTGCACCCGTGGATGGACAGCTGTACGTGGAACGGCGTCGATAGGTGGCAGCACGTGTTCCGGTGCGTCCGACTCTTTCCTCTTTGCTCTTTCCTCTTCCTCCTTGTGCAAGTCCTGACGAGCGAGGACGTCACGCGCTGCAGGTGGATCGCGCCCGTCTACGCCGGCTTGCACTTTGTCCCGCCGCTCCTTTTCCGCAGCAAGGCCTGGATGAAGCGGTACGTCCCTTCTCTCCCTCTCTCTTCCTTTCGCACGTGGCCCTCTCGCCCGAGATCGTCCCTACCTGGCCTACGAACTGACGCTCGCCTTTGCCCGCAGCCCGTCGACCTTCCTCCTCAAGTCCCTCCTCGGCACGCTCCGCTCGTGCTCGTTCCTCGCCTCGTTCGTCACCCTCTTCCAAGGCCTCGTCTGCCTTCAGCGGCACATCTACCTCTCGCCGCGAGTCCCGCCCTGGATCCGCCAGCTCGTCGTCCACAAGGCGTGGTACTGGTTCGCCGGCCTGTCGACCGGCCTGCCGCTCTTCATCGAGGAGAAGAAGCGCCGCCGCGAGCTCGCTATGTACGTCTTGCCGAGGGGCCTCGAGAGCGTGTGGAGCGTCCTCAGGGCAAAGAGCTACGTGCCGTTCGTGCCCGGCGGCGAGGTCCTCTTGACGAGGTCCGTGCACTCCCTTTCCCTCCCTCGTTTCTCTCTCTCTCCCTCTTCTCGCCCTCTCGCCCTCTCTCTTCCTCCTAGCACGCCGTACTGACCACCTCGTCGCACTCGCACTCGCAGCCTCGGCCTCGCCATGGTGATGCAGAGCTACCAGAGCTCGCCTGAGCACCTCTCGGGCCTCATGCGCAGCCTCCTGTACCAGTTCGTCGGCCACGGCGTACGTCTCCCTTTCTCTCTTCTCTTTCTCTCTCTAAGCGTCACATACGCCCTGACTGACTCGCTCTGGCACACAGTGAGAGCCCTGCCGAACGTCTCGGTCGTCGCAAAAAGCCTGCCCCGCTGCCTCGCCCTCTCGCCCTCTCTCCCTCCTTTACCTCCCATCTTTGACCTCAATGTCTTTCTCTGCCCTCACCTCACTCTTCGCCCTCGCTTCTGTCTACCCCTCGTCCCCCTTTCCCTCCCTTACTCTCTCTCTCTCGATCCGTACCCCCCCTCGTCTCTCTCCTTCCCGGTCGAAGGAGCGTCTCGCTGTCGTAGATCTGGTCCTCTCGAGCGCTGTATCACTGCCTCGCTGTACAGGGTCTTTCTCGTCGCAGCACGCTCGCGGCGCTATTCGCCCATCTCTTCGTCCTCGTCGTCCTCCTCGCCACCGCTGCTCTCCTCCTCGTCCTGCTCCCTCAGCGACGCCCGTTCCCGCGCGACGCCCTCCTCGAGAGCCCGCACAAACCTCGCTCGAACGCCCTCCTTGTCGGCGAGCCCTCGCCCGATCAGGACCACCTTGGGCTGCACCGTCTTCTCTCCCTCTCCCTCGCCCGCGCTCTCGCTCTCGCCCGCTCGCGCCGCCGCCGTCGCCTCGGCCGGCACCTGCGCAAAGTCAAAGATGTCCCGCACGCCCTGGAGGACCCACTCGCGCCCGTCGTCGGTGCGCACGAACCCCTTCGTGCGCAAGAGGTCGAACGCGTCGGGCGTCGACGATGACGAGGGGGCGCCGGGGAGGGTGCCCTCCCAGAGGAGCGACGACAGGAGGGCGTACAACGCCGAGGTCGGGCCGGTGACCGAGGGGAGCGAGGGCGGGAGCGGGATCGTGAGCGACGAGATGTCGTTGGCGTGCGGCGAGGACGACGAGGCTGCGGCGGGAGCGTGCTCGTGCGGCTTGCCCGTCGCGCAGCCGTCGCACGAGTCGGTCGCGTCGGGCTGCGAGAAGGGCGCGAGCGTCTCGGGGCGGAACGGCGCGCTCGGCGCGGCGTAGATGTTGAGGTCGAGGAGCAGGCTGAGGTCGATGGCCGAGCGGGTCGTGCGGTGGATGAGCGCCGTCGAGTTGATCGTCCTGCAGTGCAGCGCCTTGAGAATCAGTAAGAGACACCTGAGAGAGAGGGAGAGGACTGAGAGACGCACCGAAGAAGCGCTTCGACTCGCTCGAGGTCGGCCGGGGTGACAAGGTCGGCCTTGTTGAGCAAGATGACGTCGGCCGTCGCGACTTGTCTGCAAGCGTGACGAATCTCGTCAGTCGAGCGCAGGGGAGAGGCTGTGAATGGGGTTGACGAACCGCTGCGCCTCGTTGTACGAACCGTCTGGTCGAGGATCTTGGATTTGCTGCTCGGCGACAAGGTCAATGACGATCAGAGAATCGAGGTTCAGCGGCGGACGTACCTTCTCGATACCTGCTGCGTCGACGACCGACACGACCGCGTCGAGCGAGACGTCTGCGCGGCGAGGCCAGCGAGGTCAGTCGCTCGTCTTTTGTCGACCGCACGAGAGCACGAGAGAAAGACAGGGACGCACCCAAGTTCAGCGCCGGCTCGTTCCAGAACGCCTGGATGATGGGTGCTGGATCTGCGAGACCGGTCGTCTCGAGGACGATCTGGTCGAACCGGCCCTTCTTCTCCATGAGGTTGAGGATGGCGGTGAGGCCCGTGTCGCGCACCGAGCAGCACAGGCAGCCGTTGTTGAGCTCGAGCCATTCCTCGACGAGGGCCTCGTCGGACTGGACCGAGATGGCCTTGGCTGTAGGCCGGGGCAAGATCAGCGAGGAAGTCGAGGTGGGGGAGGGGGACGGGGGAGGGGAAGCGAGAGAGGGGAGACGCACACTCGATATCGCTCGTGTCGCCGAACTCGTTCATGATGACGGCGATGCGGCGGCCGTGCTGCTCCTTGAGGATGTAGTCGAGGAGGGTGCTCTTGCCCGAGCCGAGGTAGCCGGTGACGATGGTCATGGGCACCTTGGTGGACGTCTCGACCAGCTGCGGGCTGCGTATGAGGTGTCAGTGGAGAGTACGCCTCACTCCACAGCGGCACAGGCGGTGGGGAGGCCGCAGGAGGGTTGAGCAGATGAGAAGCGGAGACTCACACGTCCTCGTCCAGGGGCAGCTCGTCGTCGACGTGCAGCTCGTTGAGGTCGAGCTCATCGGCGGTCATGCTGGCAGCCAAGTGCGCGCGCTCGAGCTGGTCGAGGCGAGTGTGGGAGACGAGGGGCAACTCGCCGTCACGAGGCGGTGCACGGCAGCTCGACCGACTCTCGACTGAGCGAGCGAGCGTGAGAGCGAGCGACACAGCACTCTCGTACACTCATCAGGCTCGCCATGAGAGATTGCAGGCGCGAGGTCGAACGCTCGCTCTTCCTCCTCTCGAACCTCCGACCGCAGCTACCGTCGCCGCCTCGAACTGCTCCTTCCCCTCGAATCTGCACGCCTTTCGCCGCCTCGGCGGTCCTCGTCCGACGAGTCGGCGGCTGACGAAGAAGAATCCGAGAAGGAGCGCCTCGCCCTCGACCTTGACCGGCTCCTCGGCCCTCCTCGCGACGCCTTGCTCATCGACCGCTCCTCGTCGCTGCGTCGCCTCGCCTTTGACCTCGACCTCGACCTCGACCTCGAGTCCGTCGTCCTCTTCGACGTTGCCGCCCGACTCGCCGTCCGCTCGGCCGCCCGCCGCGCATGGCTGAGCGAGCGCACAGCCCGCTCGGCCTCCTCCGTCACCCGGCGCATCTCGCGCTTTGCGACGCTGCTCGCGCGCTCGTCCCTCGTCCGGCCGCGGCTCCTGCCGCGCTCGAGCTCGAGCTCGTCGCCGTGGTGAGGGCGCGACTTGCGCAGGCTATGCTCGCCGACGCTGCTGCGGCGCGAGGCGGGACGGCTGCGGCTCGACGAGCGGCGGCCAAGGCTGTACGAGTCGGGCCCCGTGGCTCGTAGGCTCGAGCCGCCGTCGGCGGCAAGAAGCTGGTGCTCCTCGTCCGTCTGGGCGGCGCGGCGACGCGTCGTCGAGGTACCGTTGCCGCCCGAGCGCGTGGCAGCCGACTTGGTCGACGGGTGGAAGAAGCCAGGGTGGACGTGCGAGCCCGTCGAGACGATCATCCACCCGGCGAGACCGAGGCCGACGATCTCCATCTGCGAGAGCAGGGCGTGAGCGACGAGGCGAAGGACACAGACGGGAACGAGGAAAAGCGGGACGCACGATGATTGACGTCCACTGAATCGCCTCGTACGTCGAGAAGCAGTGGGTGTCGAGGGTGCCACTGCAGAGCGAAGAGGGAGTCAGTGCGTGCCGAAACTGGACCAAGAAAGACGGGATTTGACGGACCAAGCCTGCTTGATCTCGCTCTTGACCTCGCCGAACGACAGGTACGACCCGACGACGCACAGCGTGAGCCATACGACGCACAGGAAGAGCGTGCCGGCCCAGGAGAACTTGAGCGCCGTCGTGGGCTCGTCGTGCGAGCGGCTCAGGAGCCACAGGAGCGCGAGGCAGGCGAGGTCGAACAGGGCAAAGACGAGGGCGCAGGCTGCGTGGGGCATTCGCGTCAGGTCGACGTCGTCAAGGCGAGAAGAGGAAGGAGGAAGGGACGCACCAAGGCTAATGATGAGCGGGTTCTGCCACAGCGACTCGTTGTTGCCCTCGGCCGTCGAGGCCTGCGCGAGGATGCCGACCTGCCGCCGAGCGACTGCAGCGAGCACGGCGAGGATGAAGAAGTAGACGACCGAGACGAGGACAGCGACGCTGCGTCGGGCGAGGAGAAAGTCAGACGGGCTGCGACGAGGAGGAGGAGAGAGAGGGGACGCACTGGCTCCTCGCAAAGCCACAGCACGCGCGTTCTTGGGCACCCGAGATGCCCATCTGAAGCGAGCAGTAGAGGCAAAGAGAGAGCGGCGAAGCTTGACCGAGCGGTCGAGAGCCAAGAGCAAGCCGAGCGGAGAGTCCGCGGACGAACGCCCAGGAGGTCGGGGCGCACGTACCCCGGCAAGAGGCCAACGCGCCAGCCTCGCTCTCTCGACTCTCGCCCAGTCCCTCGACTGCGACTAAGAGAGATTACGCGTTACAGCACACCGGTGCGGTCGGACGAGGACGAGGAGGGGTGACAAAGGCGCTGGCGACGGGGGACGAATTGAGTCTGGATCGAGGTGGGAAGGGGGGGCGGGAACGGGACGAGTGGCTCGGGAGGCACGCACAAGACGAAGGCGAGTCGACTGTAGAAGAGTGGCGCAAGGTGAGGTAACGACAGGGGCGCAGGGAAAGGCGTAGGTGGAACCGGCGGCTGGTCGGACGAGTAGTGAGGACGTGTCGAGGCGAGGCGGACGAGGGCGCGGTGTTGGAGGGAGAGGCGAGTCGAGCGACGCAGGCGACGCCTACATGGCGAGCTGCGCCTGCAGCTCTCGCAGCTCGGCCTCCTCCTCGTCCTCTTCTATCCTCTGGGCCGGCGTCTTCGAGGCGGCTGCGCAGACGTACGAGCGCATCAGTACCGCGCTCTCGACAAGACGACGAGCGAGACGGGGGCGCACCTGCAGGGACCGCTGCACTCGGAGCGTGGAGCGGCGCGGCCTCGGCGCCGGCCAACCGCTTGTTGAGCTCCTCCTGCTCGAGCTCGGCGAGCTCGTCGGCAAGCTCCTGGTCGTCGACCTGCGTCGCAAGGAAGAATGTCAGTACGACGTCGACGTGCAGGAGAGAGAGAGAGGTGGGACGCACGTCGATGCCCATGCCGGCCGGGTCCGAGATGGCTTGCGAGATCTCGTTCGTGAGCTCGAGCTGGTTGCGGACCTCGTCCATGGTCGCGTCGACCTTGTCGACGTTGCTGCAGGGGCGCGACGAGCTGTCAGTTGTCGCTCGTAGATGAGTACGCGCGGCAGCACGCACAGCTTGCCGTGGATGCCCTTGAGGACGTCTGCGCCCCGCTTCATGGCCTCGAGCGTCTCCTTGTTCATGTTGGCCGACTCGATCGCGTTAACCTGCGCGTACCGAGAGTCAGTAGCTGTCGCGCGAGACGGGCGCACAAGGGAGAGCCGGCGGGCGCACCTGGGTCGTGAGCGTCATCTTGCGGCCGGCGATGTTCTCGAGCTCCTGCTCGTACAGCTTCTTCTGCCGCAGCGCGGCCTTGGCGACTGTAGACGGGTATCGAGGTTCAGTAAGGTCGCTCGCAGGCCCCCATCCATGCAGTGCGACCGGCCGCGGCGGCTTATCGACCTCGGGGGAGAGGAGGGGGAGAGAGGCGGGCGACGCACCTCTCGGGTTGGTGGTGGCGTTGGCCCTGGCCTTGCGGACCTCGTCGTCGATCTTCTTGCCGAGGAACTCCTCCTTCTTGTCGAGCATGAGGAGGTGCTCGCGGAGGTTGACGATGGCCTCGCGCGTCGAGTCCTTGGCGGACGCGCCCCGGCCGGTGAAGTAGGAGAACCAGCCCGACATGGTCGTGTGGTGCTAGTGGTGCGGCTGCTGGGCGGGCAGTGAGGCTGTGCGAGGCGGGGGCGGCGCCGAGTTGGGCGACGGCGATGGGGCGGGGTGGGTGGTGCGAGAGGCGCAGGGAGCGGCGTGCGGGTCGCGGGTGGTGCGTGGGCGGGCTCTAGCGAGACAGAGGGGCCTCGAGTGGGGCTGTAGGCTCGTCGCGCAGAGTGGCAGTGTGGTCGAGCCGGCTGAGCGTCACCAAGCGGCGTGCGAGCCTGCCGGCCCAAGTTGTGAGGCTCTCGCTTCTCTCGACAGCCCGCTTTCGATAGGCAAGAACGAGCTGCAGTGCAAGGAGACATGGTACGGAGAGCGGCTAGTCGCTCATCTCGAACAGGAGGAACTCGGCGTCGCGCTCGCCGACGTTGCGCAGCTCGACCTCCCTCGCCGCCGAGTCGGTCCCGCCGACGACCGTCACGAACGCGCCGTCGCCCTCTTCGAGCATGAGCCCACCGTTGAGCTGCACCCGAGCGCCGCCGTCCTCGAACTTGTCGCTCGCCGCGACGGTCGGACCGCGGTACCCGCTGCGCATGATCGCGTGCACGTACGCCTTGGTCGTCGACGCCGCGAGCGTGTGCTTGACCGACGACTTGGGCGACAGGATCGAGGCGTACATGCTCAGGCTGGCGTGCACCTGTGGGCGGGCGAAGGAATGTGAGCGAGAGGGTGGAGGAGAGGAAGGGGAGAGGACGAGTCGGACGCACCGGCGCAGGGCCCTCGGCGTCGCGCTCGTCGCTGACGCCCTCCGAGTCGGCGGGTGCGACGACCTTGACGAGCTGGTCGCGCTTGTCGGCATCGGAACAGCGGCGGTTGTAGTACTTTGGCGAGAGGCCGCGCGTGCTCGGCAGGCCCCAGATCTGGAGAAAGTGCACGTCCTGCTTCGGGTTGCGGTTGTACTCGCTGTGCGCGATGCCCGTGCCGGCCGACGTCACTACGAGGAGAGAGAGAGGGTCAATTGGACGCCAGAAGGAGAGAGCGGCTGGCGAGAAAGAGGGACGCACTCTGGATGTCGCCGCGCCTAATGATCTCGAGGTTGCCCATCGAGTCCTTGTGCTCGAGCTCGCCGTCGACGATGTAGGACCAGATCTCGAACTCGCGGTGCTGGTGCGTGCCAAACCCGGTCCCGGCGTCGACTCGGTCCTGCGCGAGAGGGAGGTCAGCTCGCCTTGCTCGCTCGACGAGGGCGAGGGAGGGACGACGCACCTCGTTGATGACGCGCAGCGGTCCCCATGCGCTAAAGGCAGGGTCGTAGTACGAGGCGAACGACTGTCGGGCGGGCGGGAGGGAGGGAAACGGTCAGCTCGCTTCGAGAGAGAGAGGGAAGGGGCGGGGGCGCACAAAGGTGTGGAACGTCTTGAGCCAGCCGTGGTGGGCATGGCCTCGAGCGGCGTGCTTGCGCGGCACGATCTTGAGCGCGGCCTTGGTCGACATGGCGAGGGTGGACGACGTTGAGGAGGGGGAGGAGGAGGGGGAGACGAGGAGGGTGATGACGAGGGCGACGACGAGCGCAAGGGCAGCGGGTGCGGAGCAGGCCAGGGTGCGAGCTGTGCAGTGAAGAGGACAGGCTCAAGCTGCACCCGGCTCACAGCGAGAGCGAGGCCGTGGCGGCCATCGTGACCAAGCCGACTTTCCCGGAGAGGGAGCAAACCCGGGCGGCGAATTGCTCACGCGCGCACGGGCGAGCCGGCGCAGCGGATGATGCTGGGCCTTGCGAGCAGGTTCCTGGCTGAGCGAGCGGCGTGCTGGGCGGTTGGCGACCGTCGAGCCTCGCGAGCGACTTGGCCGTGAGCGGTCGACGAGGCGGATTGCGCCGCTCACAAGTGTCGGCTCGCCTTGGGACGCTCAGGCAGCCACTCTCAGAGACGCAAAGAGACAGCTCACGAGAGAACGAGCCAGAAGGAAGAGCTCTCGCGCCCTCGCCGACCTCGGAGTCGAGGGAGGACGCCAGGGGGCCAACTCTCGCTGCACATGACAAAGTAGCTCGGGAAACGCGCTCGATTGCACCGCAGACACCTCCTCGTCCGACCTGGCGCGAGCAGAAGGCCGTAACCCTGCTAGATCAAGAGATAGCGTTTGAGCGAGGGTGCGCAGAATCCCCCTGTTTTCTGTAGGTGGCCGAGCGCACGGACGGGCCCCAGGGGGCGCTGCCGTGCGCAAAGGCTCACCAAGGTGCGCCCGCTGCCCATCGAGGGCAAAGAGGGCGGGCGCGGCCTCGTCAGACCCGTCCTCGGCGGCTCGGCTTGGTCGGCCGCCGGGACGAGTAGCGTTCACGGGGCGGGCAGCTTGGTCATCCGGGGCCCGTCCATATCCTACAGAGGGCGTTTCGGCGTCGACAGGGGCCGTCGCGAGACGCAGGAAGGGTACGAGGGGGAGCTATCGGGGACGAGAAGGAGGGGATGCCATCGCGGGCTCGGCTAACCTGCGGCGCGAGGTCGAGAGGGTCAGCGCGTGGTTCAGGGCGGACTGTAGACCCGGCTGTAGGCCTCGGGGCCAAGAACGAGAGCGAGGGGGACGTACAAGGATGCAGACGAACCGGCTCGAGGTCGACAGCGAGCCGGACGCCGTGAGGAACGTCGCCCGCCGCCCCTGCGCAGCCGCTCGACCTGCATAAGGACCAAGTCAGCTCCACTGACCACCTGAGTCGCGTGTCGCGTCGGCAGGTGGAGCGAGAGGAGAGGGGGAGGGGGGCCAAACAGAGGGAGGCGGGGAGGACGAGGACTCACACGTCGTACGAGGCTCACAGAGCGCTACCGCCCACTTGAAGCGCTCCTCAACCCTCCTCGAGTCCATGATGAGGTCGCACGCCGGTCCACAGGTCGTTGTCGCCAGTCGACAGAGGTCGCCCACCGCGGGCCGCTGATGAGGGCGCGACGCGCTCTGCGCGGTCGGCGAGCGCTTGCGGGGGAGCGAGCATGGCCGCAAGGTGCTGCAGCATGCGTCCACGGTGCTCACCGTCGAGCTCGGCGACGGGCAGCGTGTGGGCGACGAAGCGAGCCAGCAACGCCTCCCTCGTCCTCTCGGTCGCTCTCGCCGTGCAAGTCGTCGCTCGCTCGCTCGCTCTTTCACGCCAGACGTCGCACACTACGAGATGGGAGACAGGTCGCATACGCTTTCGGACTTGGGCATCTCTCGGACTGAGCGAGACGGACGACGAGTGCGAGCAAACGAGAGATAGGATTACAGCTAGTACAGCCGGGGGAGAAAGAGTGCGAGGAAGAAAGTACAACGGGGCGCACACAGACGCAGAAGAGGGAGGAACTCGCGCGCGACGAGCGCCGTCTAGCGGCGCTGCGTCTTGCCGCCCTTGCGCTTGCCGCTGAAGAGGTGGCGAGGTAGGGAGGCCGGGGTGCGGCGGTCCGACTCGGACGCCTGGGCGAGCATGTTGGGGCCACGCTGGTACAGCTCGCGCAGGCGCTGGGCCTTCGAGTCCTGCTCGGGACCCTTGAGGCCGGCGGTCGAGCGGTCCGACCTCGGGATGCGCTTGCCTCGCGGGACGATGCTCGTCGCGCCGGTGCGGCGCTTCTTGCTCGCCTGCGCGCCCTCGTCGACGTCCATCTCCTCGGCGTCGCTGCCCATGTCGACGGCGTCTGTAGGCGAGAAGGAGAGAGGGAGAGCTGGGTCAGGAAGGGCGCCTCGAGGCGAGAGGCGAGAGAGCGGGAGAAGGGGACGCACCCTCGTCCATCTCGTCGTCGTCGCTGTCGGCACGGCGCTTGCGGTCGAGCAGGCCACGCGCCTTGGCGAGCATGGTGGCACGCTCCTCGAGCGTCGTCGCGTCGTATCCGGCCTCCTTGAGCTTCTGCGTCATGTCGCTCAGGGTGCGCGTCTTGTCCGGGCGCGGGATCGTCGGGCGGTTCTGCATCTTGTGCTTGTCCATGTTCTGAGTCGGATCATGGCCTTCTTGTCGCGGATCGTCGACGCGGCCGTGCGGATCGCCTCCTCGTCCGAGTCGACCTCGCTCTCCGAGTCGTAGAAGCCGGCCGCCTCGAGACGCTCCTCCTCGGCCTCGAGCTCGTCGAGCTTGGCGATGATGTCCGGGTCGATAAAGTCGGCGACGTTCTTGCCGTTCTGGATCTCGGGGATGACGTCGTACTTCCACTCGTCGTTCTTGAGCAGGTAGTTCTCTGTGGACGCGACGAGGCGGAGCAGGTAAGTGACGCTGTCACGCACGAGAGAGGCAGAGAAAGGGACGCACTCTTGAGGTCGCCAATGAAGACGCCGGCTCCACCGCCCTCCTCCTCGAGGTCCTTCTCGAGGCGGCGACGGTTCGGGTCCGTCTTGTCGTACACCTTGCGGTCGGCGACCGACGCCGGGATGTGGGGCTTGCGGTCGACGCCGTCGCGCGGGATCGGGACGGCGACACGGACACGGTTGGCGACGTTCTCGACACGGCGCGTCTTCTCCTTGCTCTGGATGCGGTGCGCGAGGAGCGCGTCGCACGCCGCGTTGCGGACGCCCATGACGCCCTCCTCGGACACGCACGAGAGCGACAGGAGCTCGACGTTGTCCTCGGCGAGGATGGCGTCGAGCATGGCCTTGCGCGCCGGGTCGAGGTCCTCGGGGCGGACAATGTCGATCTTGTTGACGACGATGAAGGTCGGCTTGTTGGCAAACAGGGGCTTGATCGACTGGTAGAGCTTGCACTGCAGGCAGGCGGCGGACGACAGGTCAGGCTCGTGTTCGAGGGCGCCGAGAGGGGAGGAACAAGAAAGAGATGAGGACGGACCTGCGCCTCGACCGTGAAGCCGCACTGCTCCGACAGGTCCATGAAGTACATGACGCACGCACGCAGGTGAGCGAGGGCCGTGATGGACTGCATCTCGATCGTGTTCATCTCCTCGAGCGGGTGGTCGAGCACTCCCGGCGTGTCGATGACCTGCCAGCGAAGGTACTTGTAGTCCATGTGGCCGACAAAGAGCGACTTGGTCGTAAAGGCGTACGGCTGGACGTCGACGTCGGCGCGCGTCACCTTGTTGACGAACGACGACTTGCCCACGTTCGGGTAGCCGCAGATGAGGAGCGTGCGCGTCGTCGGGTCGATCGACGGCAAGCGCGACATGTGCTGGCGCACCTGCTCGAGGTAGGCGAGCGGGTCCTTCTGGCGCTTCATGATGGTCGCCATGCGGCCGAGCGCCGCCTTCTTGAGCTGCTTGCACCGGTACAGCGAGTCGCCGAACTTGATCAGGCGGCAGTAGTCCTTGCCGACCTGGACGATGAGGTGGCGCGCCGTGTTGAGCTGGCCGAGCGCGAGCTTGTAGTGGTTCTTGTCGTACAGGACGTTGAGGAGCGAGCTGAGGAACGGGTGCAGGTTCTGCGTGCAAGGGCGCGAGAGGGTCAGGGACTGCGTCGCTCAAGAGTTGGGGAGGAGGAAGCGGCGACGCACGTCCATGACGGGAAACTCGGTCAGGATCTGGTCGAGGCGCTCCTCGAACGACGCCTGCGTGAACTTGACCTTGCGCATGTCTACGAGGCGGCGCAAGAGGGGAGGAGGAGGCGAGGTCAGTGCCGCGCTCACGGCAACTCGAGGAGGACGAGACGAGGACGCACAGAAGCCGCGAATACGGCTGATCTTGAAGCCCGAGCGGATGACGGTGGGCGTCTTGCGCTGCGTCTTGGACAGGATGACATCGAGGAACTGCAAGCGAGGAGAGGTGCGTGAGCAGATAGCTCGACTCGAGGAAGGGAGAAGAGTGGACGGACCTCCTGGGCGGTCGGGACCGGGGCGATCTGCTTGGTGATGAGGCCGGACATGGTGATTGCTCAGGCGGAGGGAGGGTGGGGTGTGAGAGGGCGAGAGGTGGGCGGGCGAGAGGGGAGGTCCGGGGGTGTCGAAAGACGCCTGGTGGAGGGTTGCGCGGCCGTGTAGAGGTGCAGCAAAGTTGTACGGCGCTGCAGGAGACGCAACGACTCGACTGGACCGGTGTGAGGGCGGTGGGAGATGGGCGAAGTGGCGGTCGGCGGCTGTGCGAGCTGACGGCGAGAGTCGAGCTCAAGGGGGAGCTGCTGGGCGGGTCGAGTGGGTCGAGGGCTGCTGGCTGCGTCCTCGGGGCGTGTGCTGGGGTCTGGCCGAGCAAGCGAGCGAGCCGGTTGAGGGGAACGCGACAGCTCGCTCCATCCTCGTCTCCCCTCTCTCCGAGCCGAGCTCGAGCGGTCTCTCCCTTGTCTCCGCGGACACCGCCTGCACATTTCTCTTGCCCGGGTCGAGTGCACAGCTGCTCCAACCACACCTATCGTACGAGCTTGACGCCCACTGAAATCGAGAACGAGGCGACGGCCCGCTCAAGCTCGAGACGCCGCGAGCGCTCGAGCCTTGCTCTCGCTCGACCAGCTCTCGACGCCTCTCTCTCGCGAACGGCGGCACGCAGAGACGAGGAAGTAGGCTGCATAGATTGCATTTTGCGGCGGTGACGTAGCAAGAAGAGGTGCGCGGATCTACAAGCAGGAGGCGGACGAGAGGAAAGGGGACAAACGGGGAAGGGGAAAAAGAGGGCCAAGCTGCTCGAGGATAGGGTGCGAGTACCATAGAGGCAGGGAGGAGACACGAGCGCCGGCTCAGCGACGCGGCGTGTACTCGTCGGCGGGCGGGTACCTCGGCGGCGAGCGACCGCCCGGCGGCGGGCCGTAGCCCGAGGGCGGCATCGGCGGCGGGCCACGCGTGTCGTACGGGGCGTAGCCGCCTGCGGCAGCCGGCGGCGGGCCGTACGGGTCGCGAGCGTACGGGTCATGGGCGTGCGGCGCGTCGCGAGCGTGAGGGTCGCCGGAGCCGTTGCGGCGAGGCGACATGGAGCGACGACGCTCGAGAGGCGGGGCACCGCTGCGCGACGAGGAGGGACGACAAGTCAGTCTAGGTCGCTCGCTGAGGCATGGGCGGAGAGAGAGAGAGAGAGAGGCAGAGAGAAGGGACGCACCGAGTCGGGGAGCGACCGCCGTAGCCTCGGTCCTCGCGAGGCGGGTACGGCTGGTAGCGAGCGCCAGCGCCGCGCTCGTCTCGCGGATCGTACGCGCCCGACGGAGGCATGTCGGGCGGCGGCCGCGCGTACGGGTCGAGCGGCGGGTAGGGAGCACGAGCCGGGTCGGCAGGCGGGACCGAGCCGCGAGAGGGCACGACGGGCGAGCGACCAGAGCCCGGCGGCGGCGGGCCAGGCGGGTACCGCTCGCCGTACGGGTCGCGAGGTCCGCCGGCGACGGGAGGAAGCGGCGCCGCAGGGTACGGCGGGCGATCGTACGGCACGACGGGAGGGTAGCCCGGAACCGGGGCGGGAGGGTAGGGAGGGTAGGGCGCGCGGTCGTAGTACGGGTCATACGGCGGCCTGTCGATAGGCGGCGGACCGTAGCCGGGAGGAGGCATGGGCGGCGGCGGGCCGTAGCGGTCGTACTCGCGAGGAGGGCCGTAGCCCGGCATCGGCGGCCGGTCGTACGGCGAGCGCTCGTCGTACCTCGGGGGCACCGTACCCGACAGGAGGCCCGTAGCCAGGAGCAGGAGGACCGTAGCGATCGCGAGCAAAGTCTGCGGGGCTGCCGCCCGGGCCGCCTCGACCGCGACCAGGAGGAGGTCCACCAGGTCCACTGCTGCTGAGGAGAGCGAGGCATCAGCTAGGGGATCGACGAGGGGAGGAGGATGAGGAGAGAGCAGGACGGACCCGTTGATCCACATCGGCTTGCGCGGGTCGGACGGGCGGTCGCTGCCCGGCGCGTTGGGCTGGGCGCCGTTGCGGTTTGCGAGCGCCTTGAGTTCTGCTTCGTCGTAGAGGGTCAGTGGACGGCCCAGACGAAAGGGAGAGAGGAGGGTGACGACAACGGACCATCTTTGGCGAGAGGCTGGCGGGCGAGGGACAGCTCGACCTTGATCTGGGACCCGAGGAAGTGGCCCTCGTTGTACTTGGCGACGGCCTCGGCGGCGTGAGCCGGGTCGACGTACTCCTGCAGGTGGGGCGACAGGAGGGTCAGCGTCGATGCACATGGGCGCTCGGCGGGCAGGATGACCGAGGAGAGGACGAGGGACGCACGACGAAGCCGAAACCGCGCTTGATGACACAGGTACACGGGCCGATCTGGCCGAAGCAGTCCTCGAGGTCGGCAAGCGTTGCGCTGCGAGAGAGAGTGACCGACGCAGGTGAGCGGCTTGCGCGCAGAGGGGAGGAGAGGAAGCGGCGACGCACCTGTCCGGGAGGTTGCCGACGTAGATCTTGCTGGCGAGGTAGCCGCCGGTGAGGAGGCTGCCGCCCTTGGTGATGCGACCGGGAGCAGCGTCGTTCGGGTGGCGAGGGCCGGTGTCGAGAAGGGGGACGGACCCAGTCGACGAGGGCGGAGGTGGCGGCGCGACGGCGTTGCCGCCGCTCAGGACGGGCGGGGGTGCGTGCGTGTCGGGAGGTGCGCCGGCGTCGGACATGGCGGGCGTCGTCGGGCGTAGGTAGGTCGAGCTTGACGGAGAGGGGAAGGGGGAGGCGAGCGGTGACGAGGACCGGGACGAGCTGGCGGCTTGGGCAGGCAGTGCCGGGACGAGGGGCGCACGAGTGCTCGGAGCGAGGCTGCGAGGCAACGAGCTGGACTAGACGAGCGGAGCTCGCGAGACGAGGCTCGAGGGGGGAGGGTTTGTTCTCGAGGGGGGCGACGACGCCGAGCTCGAGGGTGCCGGGCGAGGCGGGCGAGAGCGCGCGCGAGTAGGGGGCGGGCCGAGAGTGCAGCGACTGCTAGGCGAGTGGCACGCTTGGACGAGCGCACTAGCGAGGGAGTGCGGGTCGGGCGCAGTGAGGTGCGTTGGACCAAGAGCGAAAGCTCTCCGCGCCTCATCTCTCGCCCGCTGTAGCCATGGCCCAACCCAGCCTGTGGGGCACTGCTCTCGCTGTCGGTCTCGCCAGTGGACTCATCGGCTACGTGAGCTCGTCTCAGCTCTCGCCGACGCCGCCTCACCTCGCTCACCTCGGCCCTCGACCGCCTGCAGTTCGTCGGCGTCGGCGCGACCCTCCCCATCACGGTGCGTCGTCTCTCTCTTTCGCCCGTCCCCTCCAGTCGCTCACACTCGACCTGCAGCGCGGCATCGCCGAGGGCAACAAGGCCAACGAGCAGGGCGACGACGACGACGACTTCGAGTCCGAGTCCGAGTCGGGAGGCGACGCCGACGAGCTCGCCGCCATCAAGGCCGAGGGCGACGAGCCGTGCAAGCTCGTCCTCGTCGTCAGGACCGACCTCAACATGACCAAGGGCAAGATCGCCGCTCAGTGCGGGTGCGTCGCCGCCCTTCCTCCCTCTCTCGACAGTTGTTCGCCTTGTTGCCTCGCCCGCACTGACCCTTCCTTCTTCGCGCAGTCACGCCACCCTCGCCTGCTACAAGAGCCTGATGCAGGCCAACCCGGCTGTGCGTCGTCTGGCCAGTTCTCCTGCAGGCGCACGCGACTGACTCCCTTGCTCCCCTTCGCGCAGCTTGTTCGTCACTGGGAGCGCACCGGGTACGGCGGCGCGCCTTCTCGACGTCCTCAAACGATCAGCTCTGACCTGTCGACTGCCTCAACAGCCAGGCCAAGATTGCCGTCCAGTGCAGGTCGGAGGAGGACCTTCAGCTCCTCCAAGCGTCCGCCCAGTCGCTCGGTCTCTGCGCTCGCTCGATCCAGGACGCGTACGTCCACCTCTCCTCCTACCTGTCGTTCCCTCACTGACACCCCTCTCCCTGCGTGCAGCGGCAGGACCCAGGTCGACCCGGGCACGACCACCGTCCTCGGTACGCCTCTCTCGTGCACGAGCCTCTTGTTCGCCCAGTTCCAGCGGCTCACTTTCTCTTCCTCGTTCCGCAGGCATCGGCCCAGCACCTGTGCGCGTCGTCAACCAGGTCACGAGCCACCTCAAGCTGCTGTAGCCCCTCCTGCCCTCGCTTCTTTGCAATCGCACGTCGCATCCTTCAGCCGTCGACTTCTCGGCCGTCGCCCGGCGCCCTCTCTCGCTCGATCGTCCACCTCGGCGACCGGAGAGCAGCTGCGTCTCCTGTGACGGCTCCTGTCCGTCCGCCCGGACTTTCCGGCGCGGACGCCGCCCAAGCCGTCGCCGCTTTCTCGCAGCCCCGACACCTCCCGCTCCTCCTCGCCTCGACCTCGATCATGGCTCGCCAACACGCCGTGGAGCGCCACGACGACTTCCTGTCGCAGTCGGACCTGTCGTCGTCGTCAGGCGAGGACGACCCCGCCGCGGCCCGTGCGCTGTACAACGCCGTCCGCGACCGCGCTCCTTCTTCCGGCTCTGCCCTGCGCAGGCCCTACCGCGACGAGGACGTCTTCGCGACGGACTCAAGCGACGGTGCGGCGGCGGGCGCGCGCAGGTCGGCCGCGCCGCCTGTCCTCGGGTCGAGCGACGAGGAGTCGACGGACGAGGACGAGGAGAAGCTCATCGGCGGCGGGAGGGAGCGCACGGCGACCAAGAAGGGCAAGAAGGAGAAGAGGCGCTGGGAAATGAGGAGCGGTGCGGGTGCCACGGCTTCCCCGGTACGTCCTTCCTCTCTTGCTCTCTCTCGCCCCCTCTTTCCAGTCCTGGCGCTCACTCTTTCCCTCGCACAGGGCGGCAGCAACACGGGCGTGATTGTCGGCGCCATCGTCGTCTTCGTCGTCGTGGTCTGCGGCATTGGCGGGTGCGTCAGAGCGGTCCGCCTTTTGCGCTCGCACCCCTCGAACTCACATTCGCTCCTCTCGCCCCGCCGCAGGTACTACGCCTACTCGCAGGGCGTCTTCGGCGACTCGACGGACTCGAGCACGACGAGCGGGACCTCGGCTGTCGCCGGTCGCACGACCGGAGCGGCGGGTGCGACGGGCGGCGCGAACGCCGCCACGACGGCGGGCACGACGGCGGCGACGTCGAGTGCGGCTGCTTCCGGTGCGTCGAGTGGCTCGGCTTCAGGGTGCGTCCAGCATCTCTCTTTCGCTCGACGCGCAGCCCGTTGCTCACTTTTGCACGTCCCAGGTCCGCATCCGGGTCCGCCTCGACCTCCGGCGCCAGCGTCTCGGGCTCTGCTGCTTCGTCGGCCAGCTCGGGCGCGCCCAATGACGCCGATTACACGCTCGAGACGGTCACGACGACCGACGACGACGGCGCGACACAGACGCTCACGGGCTTCGAGTCGCTCGCGACCGACGGCGGCTCGACCGTGACGACCTTTATCGAGACCGACGCCGTCCCGACCGGTGGCGCCAGGGGCGACAAGCACTCGGGCGTGCCCGACGCCGTCCAGGGTGTCGTGAGCGCGATCAAGTCGGCCGGTGCGTCCGGCGGCGGCGACGACGACGACGCCGACGAGGGCATGCCGCGCCTCGACAGCGAGACGCTCGTCACGACGATCGACGGCAAGGAGACGACCGTGCGCGGCTTGTGGAAGACGGAGCTCATCGGCGGGTCCGACCCGACGTCGTCGTTCGTCGTCATGCACGTCGGCGGCGACAAGCGCAGGAGGAACTCGCCGTGGCCCGCTCAGACCGCGCCGCCGGTCCTTCGTCGGCGCCTTGTTTAGATCTCTCTCGTAGCCTCTTCCTCTCCCTCTCGGCGGCAGCTCTGGAATCGACCCGGTCTCTCTCGCTCTCTCGGCCTCGTCGCACGGACCCTTCTTAGCGAGGCGAGCTGCTCCGTGCTACACGGCGCCAACCTGCACCGGCTGCCCATTCCTCAAGCTCTGCAGGATCGCCTCGACCGTCATGGTGGTGCCGAACGCGTCCTCGCCGCTGCAGAGCGGCTCAGCGCTCCCCTCGATCGAGAAAGCGCCGCAGCTGGAGCGTGAACGGCGGCGTCGAGAGGCCGGCCTTCATGAGCTGCACGCCGAGTGTCTCGCGCTTGGCGTCTGCGAGAGGACAAGGAGGTCAGGGCGGGTGCACCGGCTCGTCCGCAGGAGGAGAGACGCACCGCGAGATCGGATGGCGCCGTCCACGACGACCGCTCTCTCGGCTCTCGCTCTGAGCATCTCGCCGACGAGCCTGTAGAGAGCTTGAGGCCAGTAGCGTCGGGATGGAGCGTACCCGGCCCGCCGACAATGCAGAGCGCGACGACCATTTGAGAGAGAGAGAGCGAGTCGCGGCAAGGCGGCGAGGGAAGCAGGAAGCGCAGCAGCGGCGCACAGCACAGACACGAGGCGCCACCGCGAGACGACGGGAACAAGGAAGACGCCCGTGCAAGTCCCGCAGGGCTTCGAGAGTGGCAGGTGGGAGACGAGTCCACCGCGGCGGGTCAACGGCGAGCGGGCCGCCGGGCGAGCTCGCGCGCAAGAGCGGCGCAGGACGGATGTGCAGGGGTGCTGCGCGAGCTGCTCCAGCGTGCCAGAGTGTCGGCTCGAGCAGGATGAGGAAAGAGGCGACGAGGCGAAGCTGGTCGGTCCGGCTGCGAGCCGGTTGCCGTCCACTCTGCTCGCGCTCGTCCTCCCGCACAGCTGCGATGGCAGACCGACCACCAGCACCAGCTCCAGAACCCACACTGCCGGCCTCGCCCGCCCTCCCGCCAGCCCGACCCTCGCCCGCCTCCGTCGCCGCGAGAGCTCGCGATGAGCTCCACCGACACCAACCCGGCCGCGTCCCCTTCTTTGCCAACGCAGCACAGCCCGAGATCGGTCCGTCCCTGCCTCTCGACCTCATGCGCGCCCCGACCTGACCCTTCGAGCGACCGCCCGCAGTGCGCGCCAACCAGAAGGACCTCTACTACCTCTCGCAGCTCGCCGAGCGCATCGAGGACGTTGCGCGGTCCTTTCTCGGTGCGCTCCTGCCCTCTGTAACTCACTCTCGAGGCGTGAAACTGACCCGCATACCGCGCAGGAACGAGGTGGCTGCAGAAGTGGGGCAAGGAGCTGTCGCAGGGCAGCCGGCTCGCCTACTTTGGCTTGACGACGCTACTTGGTGCGCACCCTTTCTCTCATACGGAATCGAGACGAGTGTCTGCTGACCTGCACGCGCCCGCAGGCTCTCAAACCCTCGGCGAGGAGTACTGCGACATCATGCAGTACCAGGCCTCGGACCGACGCACGCCCACACTGCCGGTACGTCCCCTCGCACCTTCCACGACACGCTCTCGAAGATGTTTACTGACTGCGAATACCCTCCTTGCAGCGGCGGGCCGCCCTCGTCTTGCTCCACTGCCTCTTCCCCTACTGCCTCGCCCGCATCTACGCCAAGCTCCGCCGCTCCCTCATCACTCGCCACGAGTCGCAACAAACCGCGCAAGCCGAGGTCGACTCGCTCTTTACCTCGTCGGCGCCGCCACCCCCGCTCAAGCAGAACCTCGTCGCGCGCGCCCTCGACCGGGTCGGCTCGTTCGCCCAGGACCTGCCCTCGTTCGAGACCCTCACCGAGGACTACCTGCGCAGCGTCCACCTCGCCGTCTTCTACCTCTTCGGACGGTACTACAACCTGAGCAAGCGCGCCGTCGGCATCCGCTTTGTGCGTCGAGTGACCCTCTCTTCGCCCTTTCCCCTCCTCGCCCTCGCTCACGTCCGATTGCCCCTTGCCCGCAGATCTCGATGCAGGGACGTCGCTCCAAGGCTTTGTCCGGCGCTCAAGCCTCGTCGTCCGCCCCGTCCTCGTACGAGGTCCTCGGCGTCCTCATGGCCGTCCAGCTCGTCGTCCGAGGCGCCCTCGCCATTCGCAAACGGCGCGCCGACGCCGAGCTCGCCGCTGTGGCGTCGAGGAGCGCAGAAAAAGAGCAGGAGGACGAGAAGGAGGAGAGCGAGGCGCGGCAGCAGCGCAAGAAGCGGTTCACGGTCGACGGCCGACCGCTCGCGAGCGTCGTGTTTGACCCGGACGACCCGGACCAGGCGGCGCCGTACCCGGACGAGGAGGACGCCGAGCGCAGGTGCACGCTGTGCTTGGGCACGATGCGCGACGCGACGGCGACCGAGTGCGGCCATGTCTGTGCGTGCTCGAGCCTCTTCCTCTCTTTCTCTCTCGGACGGTCTGTGCGACAAGAACTGACTCTCCCTTTCCCTCGACCCTCGTCACAGTCTGCTGGGAGTGTGTCGTTGGTTGGGCAAGGGAAAAGGTGCGTCTCGTCGTCCTCCTCTTCCTGCCTCGTCGCCCGTCCTGACGCTCGTCCCTCCCCGCAGGCCGAAGCCCGCTCTGCCGACAAGGGATCGCGCTGTCGAAGCTCCTGCCGTTGCGCAACATGTAATGCACGCGTTCTCGATCTCTGCGCGGTCCTCTCGAGAGCGACTGGGCGAGAAAGGGAGAATAATCTGAGCGCGACCGGCGCGCTCTTGCATTTCACTCAAGACGCGCCCCAAGCACCTCCACACACCCTGGACCCACTCTCGAGCGCGACCCACACGCTCACCGCCCAATGTTGCCGCTCAGAAGCGCTCCTTGCTGAAGAGAAAGCGCGTCTTGCCCTTGCCGACGCTCGTGAACTGCTCAAGGGCGTGGGTCAGGCTCGGTCGTCCCCCTGCCGCCCCGAGAAGGAGAGAGAGAGAGCGAGGACGCACCTTGATGCACGTCTTGTGGAGCGTCTTGGCGAGCGGCTCGGGCCCGCAGAAGAAAGTCCCGATGTCGGTCGCCGGGTGCTGCTCGGCGAGCGAGGCAAAGATGCGGTCCCAGTTGGGGCGGCCGTACTGCGAGCGACGGCCGAGGGTCAGGGTCCGGATCGAGAAGCTCGACATGATGGGCTCGGACCCGCTCGGCTGCACGAGAGAGCAAGATGAGCGACTCACGTGAGTGGGCGACCGCAGCTGCGTGACGGCGTCAAGCTCGTTGCCGACGTCGTTGGCGAATATGTTGATGACGTCGTTGGCGTGAATGCGGCCGGTGAGGTAGGTGTGGATCTCGATGCACTGCGTTGAGAGAGAAGAGTCGGCTCGCGTCTGCGAGGACGAGAAGGAGGAAGGGCGGCGCCGCACGTTGCCAAGGTCTTGCGCCTCGATGGCGGCAAGCAGGCTCTGGAACCACTCGAAAGACGAGTCTGTGGACGGCGGCGAAGAGGTACAGGGCGTCAGGAGGGCCGAGTCGCCGTTTGGGAAGGTGGAGGGGGAAGAGGACGTACAGTCGCGGCAGATCCAGAAGAAGCTGTGGGTCCGACAGGCGCCGACAGAGTCAGTTCTTCCGTACTTTGCGAGACGCAAGTAGACAAGGGGCGAGAGGGGTGACGCACTAGACCTTGTTGAGCTTCATCGGCTCGCCGTTGGCGTCGTGGAAGCGGTACCTGCGGCGACGCAGAGTGAGCTCGACTCTCGTCGAACGTATCGAGAGAGAGTTGGAGACGCACCAGATGTGCTTGAGGATCGAGGCGAAAGGCGTGACGCCGATACCGGCGCCGACCAGCAGCGAGACCTGGAACTTGAGCACGTCCTCGGACGCCGTACCGAACGGGCCATCGACCTGCGCACGACCCGAGCACCCGAGTCAGTGCTCGATAGCGCGTTCAGGATGACGAGGGGAAAGAGGGGCGAGGGGACGCACCATGATGCGCGGCAGGACCGAGACGAGCGGCACGACGGCATCCTCGCCGCCGATCTCCTTCGAGATGTTGTCGCGCCCGTCGAGCTCGCAGCCGAGAGCGTCGGCGAGGTCCTGCGTCCAGTCGCCGACGACACCTGCGGGCGGAAAGAGGGGTCAGAGAGGTGGCTCGGTCGAGAGAGTTCGAGGCGCGAGGAGGACCCGACGCACGAAAGTGGATCGAGAGGCAGTCCTCCTCGGGCGCCGACGTGAGCGTGAACGGGTGCCACTGCCACAGGGAGATGGCCGGGCAGTTGACCATGATGTACTGGCCCGCTCGCGACGTCGTCTTCTCCTTCTTGATCTGGAGCTCGACCGTGTTGCCCGGGTGGACGATGACCTTGCTCAGGTAGGTGCGGTGACGCGAGCGGACCTCGCGCAGGATGCGCTCCGAGACGTAGACGATGGCGCCGAACGACCAGCTGCGCGCAGACAAGGCGAGGGCCTGTGAGCGAGTCGCGCACTGCGGCACGAGACGGGCTCGCTTCTCCAGAAGGAGAAGGAAAGGAGGGGACGCACAAGAGCCAGAAGACGCCGATCTGGGACCAGGCGCAGTAGGGCGGCTTGTCGGGCCTGCAGGAAAGAAGTCAGGTCGGGGTGCGAGATGACGAAGAGGCGGCCCAAGCGCTCACCGGATCATGCAGAACATCTGTGTCGGGGCGCAGAGTCAACTCGACGTCGAGATTCTGTGGCGAGGACAGGGGAATGGGAGGGAGGAGAAGAGGGAGGGGACGCACGCCGTGCAGCTGCCACAGGAAGAAGAAGATGACGGCGAGGTGGTGCGAGTAATAGAACCGCTGAAAGTGCTTCTTCCTCCTCTTCTCGGCGGCGAACCACGCGATGACGCCGAGCAGGGCGAGCATGATCCAGCCCGTGATGAACGGGCCCGTCGAGCCGTTGACCATGAGGGCGGCGAGCAGGCAGGTGACGGCGCTGCTCGTCATCGTCGCCGCCAGCCACCACGAGTTGACGAGGCTGCGATGAAGAAGAGAGAGGGTCAGGGTGTGTGCGAGCCTCTCAAAGGCACGCGGGCGCGAGGAAGGAGGACCCACTGGGCGACGGTGCTGCGCGACGAGGCAGATTTAGCTCGACATCCCCAGGACGTCGAACAGGGAGAAGGGGACGTACTGCACGACGCTCCAGAAGACGATGGACCAGGCGACGATCTCGTCTGCGGGCAGTCGGCGACGAGGTCAGTGTCGGCTTGCTCGGACGAGGCCCGAGAGCGAGGACGAGGACGCACGGAACGCGACGCTCTTGTTAAACGGGATGGCGCGGTTCATAGGCGACCTTCTGAGCAGGCTGACGAAGCTGCGGCAGACAGGAAGGAGGATAAAGACGATGTCGACGTGGAGGACGAAGGCGGACGCGCGCGCGATCACGTAGGTGCTGCCGAACGTGGCGCGAGCTGCACATTATTCCTCGAGTCAGTACGGCGTGTCGGGAAGCAGGCGAGAAAGAGAGAGAGGGGGCACACCCTGCGTGAAGTTGGCTGCGGGACGAGCGAAAGGGTCAGTCTTTGTCGGCCTCGCTCGAGAACGAGCGCGAGACACGTACAGCCCATGTCGTACTGCGCACACGTCACCGAAAGGTGCGTCAGTGACCGCTAGAGGATATACGAGAAGAGGACGAGGGACGCACGCGCATGACGCCGACGCCGAGCATGGCGAGCTGGAGGAAGATCCACAGGACGAAGACGAGCTTGCTCGGACCTGCGGTTCGCGAGCGCCTCGGTCAGGTCGGCCCTGTACAGGCGAGAGAGACAGAGAGAGAGAGTGGGCGCACCCTCGCGAGCAAACCAGACCTTGAGCCTCGCCCAACGCTCGGCCCTCGCCTCCTCGGCTGCACCGCCTCCTCCCCCGCTGCCGCCCGCCGAGCGGCTCACGGCCGTGTCGCTGCGCATGAGCCCCTGGAGGCGGTCCTGCTCGATCTCGTTCTGCCTGCGCGGCGGGCCGACCCGGCGGCTCGTGGCGCGGCGGACGAGCGACGCGCTCGTGGGCGTGAGCGGGACGACGACGTGCGCGTCGTCGCTGTGGGCGTGGACGGTGGGGCGCAGGTCGAGGGGCCGAGTTGAGGTGCTGGGCGTGTTGCTCATGGGGTCGTGGGCGGCCGGTGGGGCGAGGAGGGCAGGCGAGGGCGGACCGTTGCCGAGGAGGTAGGCGATGGAGGAGCGGGCGCGAGGGAGGACCGACGGGAAGCGGACCATGCTGGACGTGGCGAGTGGGCGACCTGGATGAAGGGTCGGGTAACGGGGTGCGCCCGGGCCAGCCGGGGAAGAGTCGAGGGAGGAGGGGAAGCGAGAGAGGGAAGAAGCGCCAACGGCTCGACGATGGCGCGAGCGCACTCGGCGAGGCCGGTCTCTGCGGTCGAGAATCGCTCTGCAGGGACTATCTGAGTAGAAGAGGGACTCTCGCGTTGCCTCACAAGACCGCGTGCCCTCCTCGCCGCCACGAGCCTCCTCGCTCGACTCGAGCACCGCTGCATCTTCTCGCCTCTACGTCCTGCGACCGGCTCTACCTGCATTGAGCGAGCCATCAGTACGTGTACGATGTGGCTGAGGCAGAGAAAAGGGAGCGCGGCGCACCTCTCTTGGTCGCCTCGTGCTCCTTCGTCCAGCCTGCCGGATCCACCCCAATCGCCTCGAAAACGGCCTTGGCCACCCTGCGCGACGCGTAAGAGGGTCAGCACGAGGTTCTCTTGGCAGGGAGAGAGGCAGAGAGAGAGTCGTGACGCACTCGCTGCGCGCCGCAGGGGCGCCCTCGCCTCGCGCGACGTACTTGTGGCCCTCGAACGTGGCGCGCGCCTCGTACAGCGGCGGGGTGACGGCGACGGTCTCGAAGACGGGTGCGGCGAGACCGTGAGCCGCCGCATAGAAGTGAAGGCGCCGCGTGTAGGCGACGACAGGTCCGGGATCAAGGCCGGGTTCGGGGAGCGGGTCCTGCGGCACTTGCAAGGTCAGTCCGGCTCGACGCGGGGCAGGGAGGGGAGGATCGAGGAGAGGGACGCACGTGGAGCTTGAGCGCGAGGGCGGCGGCGTTCTGCTTGGCGAGCTTGATCGACCTGCCCGAGCCGACGGCCGACAGGGTGCCAAACTCGACCTCGGCCTTGAAGACACGCTCGCCGACGCCGCCTTTGGACGAGACAGTCCACCTCGGGCTGTAGCCACGCTGCCGACAGTATTGCTGGAAGTGGTACAGGGGCGTGTCGCCCTCGCTCTGCCGCTCAAGCGCCTCGTCGTCGGCCCGCCACCGCGGGTACTCGGTCGTCAGGACCGAGCGGAAGCACTTGCGGACCCAGTTGCGGGCGACCTCCATGCTGTGCTCGACCTTGGCGCTGGCGACGTACGAGTAGAAGAGCGAGGCGTGCACGGCCGGGTCGGCAGCGATCATGTCGAGGGCGATCGGGTCGGCTTGCAGGCGCGAGACGAGCTCGTAGCTGACGGCGAGCTCGGACAGGACGTCGGTGCTCATGAGCCGACGGGTTGCACCCTGTATCGCGCGAGGTGTCGGTCAGGCGCGAGCGCAAAGGAGGAGAGAGAGGCAAGAGGAGGAGGAGGACGGACCTCGAGAGCTTGCGCCGATATGGATGGGATCTCGTCGATAAGGAGCTCCTTGATGCAGTACTCGACGAGCGCTCGGCCCAAGATCTGGTCGGGTACGAGGGCGGCGTCAGTACGAGGGCGAGGGGGAGCCGCAGTGGGAGGGACGAGGAGCGAAAGGGGACGCACGTCGTTGCGCTCGTACGTCTGGAGGCCGTCTCGCTGTGCGCCATCTCGTCGCGGTTCCCGGAGCTCGTACGACAGGAGGGAAGGGTGGTTGAAGGTGCGCTTGCTCCTGACGGGGAGCAGCTCTGGACGACGAAAGGTGCGGTCGCCGCGCAGGAGCGGCGGGATGGCGGGCGTGGGAGGGTGCGGGTTGACTGGCGGTCGTGGTCGGTGCCACTCGTCGGCTGTGCTGGTGCGGACTGAGCGGGGCGTCCTCCTGCCGAGCTGTCGAGGCGGAGCGGACGAGAAGGACCGGGGGATGGGGAGGTCGGCGGCGGCTGTGGCGGGTCGTGTGGCAGCGCGCACGAGGCTGTAAGCTCTGTACATGGCAGCTGAGCTGCAGCCTGCTCAGCCTGAGCGAGACGAGCGGTCGCGGCGGAGGAGGACGACTTCATCGTCGTTCGTCGGGTTCCTCCCCTTCCCTCACACCGTCTCGCCTCGAGCCAGACTATCCGACAGCCCAACATGCTTGCTACTCGCACCTCGGCCCTTCGCCTCGCCCGCCAGGCCTTCTCGCCCCTCTCGACCTCGCCCCGCGCGTTCACCTCGTCGGCCGTCGCCAACAAGCACATCCTCAACGCGACCCCGGCAGACTTTGACGAGCTCGCCGTCAAGGGCACCAGGCCTGTACTCGTCGATTTCTACGCAGAGTGAGCAACTACGTCTCACTCGTATCTCCTCGCCCCCACCCGACTCCTGCTGACCGATGCACCACCCCTCCCTCGCAGCTGGTGCGGCCCGTGCCGCGTTCTCGGACCCGTACTCGAGAAGGTCGTCACCGACGAGTCGGGCGCAGACCGTGCGTCAATACCTCTCTCTTGCCCCAGGTGGCGCAGCTCGAGCCGAGAGGTCGACGACGAGCTGACTCCCTCTCGCCCTCTCAGTCCTCAAGATTGACACCGAGGAGCACGGCGAGCTCGCAGCAAAGTACAAGATCACGGCGCTTCCGACCGTCGTGCGTCGCCGCATTCCCTCATGTCGAGGCCCGCTCCTGCAACCGGCGCGCGGTTTCGTCGGCTGGCGTCAGACCACGGCGCTCACGCTCTTTCCTGCGTCCGCAGATTGCCTTCAAGAACGGGCAGATTGTCGCCAAGATGGTGGGCGCAGCAGGAGAGCCAGGCGTGCGGGCCTTCCTCGAGAAGGCGACCTCTGCGTGAGCGAGGGTCGGTGTGGAACAAAGCGCTGGATCGCTGTCATTTGCCTCCCTTGAGCCAGCGAGAACGAGAGAGAGAGGGTGCTGCGCCAGCTGAGCAGACTGTCGAGCCGCATCCGAGAGAGGGCGACGGCTTGAGGCGGTGCACTCGCAGGAGAGGCACCCAGCGAACCCTCGCCTCGACCACACACCGCCCGCTCGCCCGGCCATGGGTGTGCCCACGCTCTGGAACCAGCTCGAACCCGCCGTGCGCATCACGAGCTGGGCCCAGCTCGCCGCGCCCGCCTTTGAGCGTGAGGGCGTCAGGGGCTTCCGGCTCGGCGTCGATGTCGCCCAGTGGCTCTTGTGCGTGCGCGCTGTTTCCTCTCGAGGAACCTGGTACTGACTCTCTGGGCCCACAGCCACATGGGCCGCATGAACACGCTCGTCGACGCCGACGGCATCGAGGTCCACCCCGGAGCGTGAGTTCAACGACCTCTCCCTCTCCGCCTACAGCAGCTGACAAGTCGATCGTTGCAGCAACGCCGACCTGCGCATGGTCTTCTACCGCGTGTGCGACCTCCTCGCCCAGGGCATCCTCGCCGTCTTCGTCTTTGACGGCCCGGACGGCCCCAAGTGGAAGCGGGACAAGCGCGTGACGGGCGTCTGGCGTTGAATAACCAGAGCCAACGCGAATATAAGGAGAAAGCTCATGGGCATGGAATGGAGGCGGGCGCCGGGCGAGGCCGAGGCGGAGCTCGCCGAGATGTCGAAGCGGGGCGAGGTGGACGCGATCCTCTCGGTGCGCCCCCTCTCTCTCGCCCTGTCTGTCCCTCCGAGCAGATGTACTGACGACGACTCGACCTGCAGGACGACGTCGACAGCCTCCTCTTTGGCGTCACCTCGGTGCGCTGGCCCCCTTTCTCACCTCTTGGCCCACCCTCGCACCCTCGAACTGAACGTTCCGCCTCCCGCAGATCATCCGCAACCCCGGCAAGGGCCTCTCGGGTAACAAGAGCAAGCGCGCTCTCGGCCGTCAAGCCGCCATTCCCGCCGACTCGGGCTCGACCTCGTCGCAAGCCGGTCCCTCTCAGCCGTCGACCTCGCAGCCCATCCCGCACGACTACCCGCCTGTCCCGCCCGACTCGGACGTCGCCCTCGTCAGCTACTCGAGCGTCGACGTCGCCACCCTCGCCGGCCTCGACCGCGACCAGCTCATCCTCGTCGCGCTGTTGAGCGGCGCCGACTACGACACGCAGGGCCTCGAGCGCGTCGGCGTCACGATCAGCGTCGCGCTCGCCAAGGGCGGCTTCGCGACCGAGCTCCTCGACGGCGTGCGCCGCCTGCGCGACTCGCCCGCGCCCGACGACCTCGAGCACTTCCTCGCCGAGTGGCGCACCTCGGTCGCCGACGAGCTGCGCACCAACAGCCGCGGCCTCATGTCGCGCCGCGAGAAGAAGCTCGCCGACACGGTCGAGCGCGCGACGGCCTTCCCGTCGCTCAAGATCGTCGACTTCTACCTCGACCCGCGCGTGTCGGACCCGCGAGCGGCCGACTACACGGCGCCGACCTGGGACCGCCAGCTCGACCTCGGCGCGCTCGCCGACTTTGCGCAGCGCAAGTTCGAGTGGGGCCACGTCGAGCTCGAGAGCAAGCTGCGCAACAAGGTGTGGCTCGGCCTCGCCCTGCGCGAGGCGCGCCGAGCGGCCCTCGCAGCCGACAGCGAGCGCAGCCACGCCTCGCCGTCCCGCCCCGCACCCTCGGGCTCGACGCCTCCCGTCCCGTCCGGCTGGATCGCGGCCGTGCGCGACCTCAAGGTCGACACGACGACCGGCCTCGTCCCGTCGTACCGCGTCGAGCTTTCGGCCGCCGTCTTTGACGCCCTCGTCGCGTCCGTCCTGCCCGCCCGCGACCCGCACCCTCTGCCCGACTACGCCGACATGGACAGCGACGAGGAGCTCGCCGAGCGCGCCGAGCGCAAAGCTCGCGGTCGCGCGCAAGCGGCGCCCAAGGTGCCGACCGGCTCGGCGTTCCGGCACTGGGTGCCGCGCGAGGTCGTCGAGGCGTGCGGCGAGGGTCGGCGGGCGGTCAAGGCGTGGAGGGACGACAAGGAGCGCAAACAGCGCGACAAGGACGAGGCGGCGGAGCTCAAGGAGGAGCGTCGGCGCGCGCGAGAGGCCGGCAAGGCGTCGCCGACGAAGCCGCGGTCGACGGCGAGCGGTGGGGCGAGGGGGCGCACGCCGAGCGCAAAGCGCGCCGTCGGCAAGCCCCCGAGCGAGGACGACGAGCTGCGCCGCGAGATGGAGGAGCGCCGGGCGAGGGACGCGCGCGAGGAGATGCTCGCGCTCGCACGGCGCGGCGTCAAGGGCAAGGGCAAGGCGCGCGCCGACGACGCCTACACCTCGACCCGACTGCGCGCCCCGACTCGCGCTGCGGCGCCGGGCCTCCTCTCGTTCGGCAAGTCGTCCAAGACCGGCCGCTCGACCTTCTCGTCGACCAAGTTGGCCTTGTCCTCCTCGCCCCGCGTCGGCACTTCCAAACCCTTCGACATCTTCGCCCTCTCCTCGTCGCCACCACCGCCGTCGACCCAGAGCGCCCGCTCAAAGCCGGGCAAGCGCGCCGCTCAGCTGCCCGTCGACGACGTCGTCACCCTCGGCTCGACGGACGAGTCGGACGACGGCGCGCCCGTGCGGCGCAGGCTCGCCCACCTCGACAAGGCGCCGCGCTCGACCGAGAAGCAGCGCTCGCCGGTCAAGGTCCGGGCGGCGGCGGCACCGACGAGACGAGCGGCGGCGGTCGTCGTCGAGCTGTCGAGCGACGACGCCTCGAGCTTCGCGTACGACAGCGACGACGCGATCCTCGCGCGCAAGGGCAACCGGACGCAGGTGCTCTCGTCGCCCGAGCACGAGTCGCTCGCCGACTTTATGGCCAAGCGGCGGCAGGCGCAGGAGCGGGTCGAGGAGAAGAAGCGGCTCCTGCAGCGAGGAGTGGTCGTCTTGGACGACAGCGAGTAGCGCTTTGTGTACCACTCTTGTCTAGCTTGCATTCACTACGCACTGTGTTCACCCTCTGCGACGATGACGAGGGCAGAGCCGCGCACGGACGGAGGACGACTCAGGCCGGGGGAGGAGGAGAGCAAGTCGCGCCACTTCTCCAGCCCTACGCCCGCACGCCTGGCTGCGTGCAGTGCCGAGCCAGCTCGTCCACAGCAGCACCCTCTCGCCCGAACAGCCGGCCTCAGCACCGCCCGAGCCGAGCTCAACCACCCCCTCCTCGCTCCTCCCCGCTCGCCCGCCGCACGCGACCCTGTCGACCGTCCCCGCCTCGATGGTGGCACCAGCAGCCAAGGCGACGTCTACCGCACGGTCCAACAAGCCCGACAAGCGGTCCCGCATGCCTGTCGCCGCCTCGGTCGCAGCCCCCTCGCCGCACCTGTCGTCCGTGCAGAAGGGCAAGCGGCCACGCCCGAGCGACGGCGTGTCGGGCGAGGGCCGGCCGGGCAGGGTCAAGAGCTCGCGCGGCCAGAAGCGCTCGGATGCGCCCACCGCCGCCGCCGAGGCCAAGGCGCGCACCTCGAGCAAGGACGGCCGGGGCGGTGCGGCGGCCAACGAGGGCGGCGGCGCATACCGGCGCGTCATGTTCAACAGCTTCATCTCGCAGGCGTTCGACAAGCGGCTCAAGGTGCGCCCCTGTCCTCGCCGTCTCGAGCGGAGCGCGACCTTGTCCCTGACCTTTCGCTCCCTCTCTCCGCCGCTCGCAGGGCGACAACGAGGAGTACAACCAGATCATCAACCAGTTCCGCGCCCTCCTGCCGTCGGCGGCAGCGTCGCAGAGCGCCTCGACGTCGTCGTCGCAGCCCCTCGCCGCGACGCCGCTCACGCAGCTGCGCGCCTGGCTCGAGGCGCTCACGGCCGTCGTCTCGCGGCTCGACCAGTCGCACACGCCGCTCGTCGAGACCATCCTCGCCGTGCCGTGGGCCGTCACCGAGGAGACGTTCGTGTCGGCGTACATGCGCTTCGTCGGCGCCCTCATCAGCGCGAGGACCGAGTGGCTCAAGGTCGTCCTCGAGCGTTGCGTCAAGGGCTTCAAGTACCGTGCGTCCCGCATCTACACTTTCTCTTTTCCTATCGCGTGCACTGACGCTCGATCCCGCACGCGCAGGTTCGTCGTACACGCAGGCGTCGCCGCACGCCCTCCCGCACCTCACCCGGCGCCTCGTCTACGCCCGCATCCACAGCCTCCTCCGCCTCCTCCTCTCCCTCGTTCCGACCCTGTCGCCCTCGCTCTCGCCCCTCCTCGCCCTCCACTTTCCCTCGAAGCGCGACATCCGCGCGGCCCAGATCTGCTACATCGACAACCTCCTCCTCCTCACCGAGTACTGCACGGCCCTGTCCGAGGACGTCCTGACGCTCATCGTCGAGCGGGCGCTCAACATCGACGTCGAGATCCAGGGAGAGCCCGAGGACTGGGAGGAGATGGAGGAGGAGATGTTGGCGGCGGCCGAGGCTGAAGGGCCCGACGGCAAGAAGCGCGCCGCCGACACGGCCGTCAAGGACGTCGTCGATCGCCCCGTCGAGGAGGACCCGGTCGACTCGGACTCGGACGACGACGACTCGGACGACGAGGAGGGCGGCCTCGACCTGGACAACCTCAGCTCGGACGATGACGAGCCCGACCCGATCAACGACGAGGACGCCGCCAAACGGGTCAACGGCGCCAACTCGGGCATGAGCGAGGCGGCGATTCGCAAGGTGCTCGACAACCGCGCCAAACTCGACGGCATCCTCAAGGTCGTCCTCGACCACCTCGCGTCGGCCCACGCCGACAGCCACAGCCTCGCGCGCAACAACACGTCGACGGTCCAGGCGCCGCCCATCGCCTCGACGAGCGACGTGTTCGACGAGGCGTTCGCGCACACGGCCGACCAGCCGTCCGGCTCGCGCGAGGTGACGCCAACCGCCGACGCGCCGCTCCCGGCCGACATCGTCGAGCGTCGCCTCACCCTGTTCCGCACCCTGCTCGACATCTTCGACCGCACCCTCCTGCGCACCTTCAAGACCCGCAACGTCCAGTTCCTCCTCTTCTACCTGTGCTCGCTCGACGTGGCGTCGTCGGACCACTTTATCGGCGTCCTCCTCGGCCGTGCCCTGTTCGACCAGGAGGCGCCCTCGGTCACTCGCGTCGCGGCATCGGGCTACGTCGCGAGCTTCATCGCCCGAGCGCAATACGTCGACGCGGGCATGACGCGCAAGGTCATGCGGCACCTGTGCTCGTACCTCGAGGGCCACATGGACGAGTTTGCGCGCGCCGCCGCCGTCGCGACGTCGATCAAGGGCGCCGGCCCCGCAACCATGGGCGGTCAAGAGCTGCCCGTCTTCTACGCCGTCGCGCAAGCCGCGTTCTACATCTTCTGCTTCCGGTGGAGGGACCTCCTCGAGGAGGAGGACGAACTCGACGACGAGGCGGCGCTGTTCGGCCTCGACGCCGGGCGCAAGTGGATGATGGGCCTCGAGTCGCTCAAGAAGGCCGTCAGCTCGAGCTTCAACCCGCTCAAGGTGCGCCCGCTCGTCCTTCCTTCCCCTCGGCCCTTTCCTCTCCAGAGTTCGACCGCCTAACTCTCCTCTCGCCCCGGTCTCAGGTCTGCGCCCAACCCGTCGTCAACCAGTTCGCCCAGATCGCCCACAAGACGGGCTTCATGTACTGCTACAACATCATCGACTCGAACCGCCGCGCGAGCTCGTACCGGGACCCGAACGCGCCGCCCGCCTCGGCGGTCCCTGCCCCTCCTCCCCCTCTGCGCTCCGTGTCGACGTCGTCCCTCCTCAACACCCTCACGATGCAGCAGCTCAACCTGTCGACCCCAACCCTCGCGTCGGGCGCCCCGATCGCGACGGCCGTCCCGACTGCCGCCCCTCGCCAGCTCCTCGTCGCCGAGGAGATGGACTCGTTCTTCCCGTTCGATCCCTTCAAGCTCCCCCTCTCGTCCGTCTACATCGACCGCATCTATCGCGAGTGGGAGGGCGCCGACGACGAGGAGAGCACGACCTCGGGCGACAACTCGTCGTCGACGGCCGACTCGGACGACGACGACTCGGGCGCGGCGACGGGCGACGACGACGACGACGATGACGAGCCCGCGTGGGTCAAGACGCGCGGCGGGCTCGCCGTGCCCGGTGCCGGCGGGCGCCGCTCGGGCCAGGACGACGACGACGACGACGTGTCGCGCTCGTTCGAGGCCATGTCGCTCTCGCTCTCGCCGCAGGACGAAAGCTTTGGCGGGCGTCGCCGCCAGGACCGCGATGCCGCCAAGCCCCGCAAGGCCGGGCGCATCGTCGGCTGAACGGGCACGAGCGCGAGCCGGTTCTCCTCCTCCTCACCTCCTCCCTCCCTCCCTTGGCAGTCCCCCTTCCTCCTACATCTCGTCCCTGTCTTTGTGTCGTCGCGTCCCAGCTTGTCTCGTTTGCTGTACCACCATCGCACTTCCAGTCGCCGCCCTCCCTCCTTGCAATCTTTCTCGCGTCGTCTCCCGTCTTTCGTGAGGGTCGTGCGCGAAAGCGCTTCCTCGCCTTCGAGCTCTCTCTCTCTCTGTCCCGTGGCGGGTGTGCTTCAGAGACACCGAGAGAAGCCTGCTAGGCTGAACACAGCGCCGTGCGCCTTTCACGAGCCGAGCCGAGAGATGTCCGCGACGCTCGTGTGCGCCGAGAGGAGGCGCCTCTTTGGCTCTCCTCCTCCCACACCTCGCGCCATGCCTGCATCTCGCACGCCGTCACCTGTGCCACCAGACGACCCGGCGGCCCGGTGGAACGCCATCCGCGCCCAGTGGCTCCGCCCTGCGCCCGCCAACCCCGCCGGCAATGGGGACGACGCCGCCTCGCCCGCCGCGACCGCCCAGCAGCGCCGCAAGGAGCGCGACTCGGTCTTCCAGCAGCGCATCGCCACCCTCGGCGAGCTCCTGCGCGAGGCCAACGCCGCCGCGACCTCGTCCTCGGCCCCTCCCCCTCCCCCGCCTCATCTCGCCGCCTCGTCGCTCGCGCCTTCAACGGCCGCGCTCCTTGCGCCCGCACTGCAGCGCGCCGACGATGGAGGGTCTGGAGCCGGGAGCAGTGGTGGAAGCCGGCTGAGCAAGGGCAAGGAGCGTGGGGCGGCCGACGAGGAGACGTTCGAGGAGGAGGTGCCGGACGGCGGCATGCCCATCCGGGACGCGGGCGCAAACGGTGGCCAGGGCGATCCGGTTCACGAGCTCAAAAAGGTGTCCGAGGTGCGCCCCCTTCTCTCTCCTGCACGGCCACCCAGAGCGCACCCTGACCTCGACGACGGCGCGACAGGGCATCTTCCTCGCCTTCAAGCAGGGTCGGGCGCTCAAGGAACCGCTTCCGCTATCTCTCGTTGTGCGTCACTGTCTCTCTGGTGCGGCCGAGAACGACAATTGACCCTGGACGACCCTGCAGACGTCCCTCCTGTACCGCTCGTGGTACCTCGACGGCACGATCCCGCCCAACTACGTCGTCGCCGAGCCCGAGCCGCTCGCGCCCATACCTGCCCACCTCCACGCCGAGGTCCTGCGCCCCTCGCCGTCGTCGACCTCGCTCGGGCGAGCCTCGCCGCAGCTCGGCGCGTCGTCGAGCGCCGAGCCGCCGCGCGAGCGCACGCCTTCGCTCCTCGCCGCCCTGTCCGAGCACCACTCGAACGCCGTTACGCCGCTCCCTTCCTCGTCCGGCTCCGACCTGAGCACCCTCCCCGCCACTCCCCCTCCAGCCGCCGCCGCCGCCGCCGCCGCCGCACGACCCTCGCCGGCCGCGTCGCCCGTCAAGCCCGGGTTGCACCCGCTCCAGGGCCCCTCGGACGCGAGTCCGGCCGGGACAGGGAGTGGGAGCGGTACGCTCAAGCTCGACGTCCTGCGCGGCAGCCGGTGGCGCACCGAGAAGGAGATTGCGAGCGGGAGCGACGTCATCTGAGGCGCGGGCCCTGCTCTCGACGAGGACGGGCGGGCAAGGGGTACAGAGCCGGAGCTCCCTCTCGAGTTTCAGGTGGCGCGGGACGAGGGGTGGTCTACAGGGTGCGCGCGAGGGAGGAGGAGGGGGTATTCAGGGAGCAGAGGGCGGTCGAGGAGGGTATCGTTGGGCTCGGCGGCGTCGGCGGCGACGGGATCACCGCGCCGGGGGAGCGACCTGGAGGGAGGAGGTACCATGTCAGTCGAGGAGTATTCTCGCCGTTGCATTCGCATGCCGTTCGTTCTCGTTCACTGCGCCCGAGGAGGAAGAGAGGTGGACGCACGAGGACGACGCCGTCTCCACGGACAAAGAGCATGTCGCTGTTGCGCTTGACGGTCTGCGGGCAGTCGTACGAGTGAGTCGGTGCTCTCGTAGGTGAGCAGGAAAGAGAAGGAGAGAGCTCACGCGGACGACGTCCTCGCCGGTCTGCTCGTCCGAGTCGACGAGGTAGATGGTCTCCTCGACGTCGCTGAGGACCATGTTCATGTGGCCGTCGTAGGCCTGGAGGGAGTGTGACTGCGGTCAGTCCAGTACTCGGTGCGACAGAACGAGAGGGGAGAGCGGACGCACATGGAGGACTCCCCGGAGCTCGCGGTCGCCGCGCAGCTTGACAAAGACGCGCTCCGAGAGCGAGACGCGGATGAGGTCAAAGGGCTCTGCGATCTGGGCAGTGGCCATGGTGCGCTGGAGGGTGCAGGCGAGGTGGACGAGGAGGAGAGAGATGAGGACGACAGGCGAGGCGAGGTTGTGCCCGTCCGTCACCACCTTGCTGCGCTCGAGCGCGCCAGTCTGCACAGTCACAGCTCGCACGAGGTTCGACTAGCCCACCGAGCCAGCCCAGCACCTCGCCCGTCGACTCCCGCCTCCGCCTCCCCCTCCTCGTCCCCTTCCTCCTCGTCTCGAGCCCGATCAACCTCTAGCCGCCCTCTAGACGCCTGCGACCGCTCGTCAACACGCTCAAGCACCATGGGCAAGTACTACTGCGACTACTGCGACGTTCGTCCCCCTTCTCCCTGTCTCGCTCCTCGTCCTCTCCCCTCGGCTCACCCTCTTGGCCCTCGCCTGCAGGTCTTCCTCACGCACGACAGCTCGTCAGGTCCGTCCTCTCAGTCTCTGTCGAAGCCCAGTCGCACGTGTGCTCACCTTGCTGTCGTTCCCTGGCCGCAGTGAGGCGAGCGCACAACTCGGGCCGGAACCACCTCTCGAACGTTCGCGACTACTTCGCCAGTGCGTCCCACGCTCTCCCACACCCTCTCACAGCGCCCAACTCTGACCCTGACCTCCCACAGACCTCGGCAGCGAGCGCGCACAAGAGCTCATCGACGAGATCTGCCGCAAGTACGAGGGCGGCGGAGGAGGCCAGGCCCGCATCCTCCAGATGGGCGCCAACGGTCTGCCTGCCTCGATGGGCAACCTCGCCTTCGTCGCTCCCGGAGCGGGCGCACCGCCGCCCGGTGTCGGTGGAGGAGGTGGAGGAGGCGCTCCCCCGAGTGCGTCCCGCTCTCCTTCTTTCCCTCTCTTCGCGACGAGCGCCTCTCACTGACTCTGCCTCTCTGCCACAGTGCGTCTCGTTGGCGGTCCGATGGGCGGCGGCGGCTTCCCTGGCTCGCCGGCACCGGGCGGCGGCGGGCCGCCTCCAGGCATGGGCTTCACGCCGGGCACGGGCGCCAACGGCGCGCTCGGCGCCCCGTCGCGGTACGGTCCGCCGCCTGTCGGAGGAGCTGGTGGGCCCGTGCCGCCGCAGCCCAACTTTGGAGGACCTGGCACGCCTGGCGGTGCGTCCCCCTCTCTGTCCCTCCCTCGTCGTTCTGTCCTCGCGAGCGAGCCCTGACGACTTGCGCCGCTCGCAGGCATGCCGCCCCCACCTGGCTACGGTGGACCCGCCCCTCCTCCTGGTGAGTCTCGCTCGTCCGTCTCGATGGCCGACCGCGCGACTGCTGCGGCTGCGGGTCGGCCTCGAACTCTGCGAAGTGCGCATCGGCTCACCCCTCCTCTCCTCGACACAGGTTTCCGCCCTCCTCCCGGCGGCCTGCCTCCTCCTCCCGGTTTCTTCCCCGGCGCGACCGCCGCCGCCGCTCCTCCCTCGCTCGCCTCTCCCTCCGCGCCGCCGATGCAGACCGGCGCACCTTCGCCCGCACCAGCGGCCGGTGGCGGCGGTGGCGGCAAGCTCATCAACGGCTTGAACCCGGAGCGGGCAAAGATGCTCGGCCTGATCTGAACCGGCGCGAACGAGCAAAAGGAGGACGAGGTCGAGGCGGCGAGGACGAGGGCCGAGTGGAGGACCGCGATTCGTTGTCTCGTCGCGCTCTCGCAGCCTGTAATATCTTTCTAGCGAACACGGTCGCACGAGCTCAGAGCATCTTTCGAGGGCAAGAGAGCTGGCCGTCCCTCCACCTCGGTACCTCCCCGCCTGCGCGCGAGGTCGGCCCTCGTTCTCGCCATGGCGTCCACGACGCAGCTCTCGCTCGAGCCGCTGCAGCCTTTCGCCGGCGATGGGCACGACTCGGACCTGTTTGCGCGCCCGGCACGGCTGCGCGAGGTGAGGCTCGACGACGGCCGAGAGGTGTTCACTCGGTGCGTCCTCCTCTCGCACACCTCGTCTCGGCACCCAGATGGCTCACTCGACACGGTGCACTGCAGCGACGACCCGAAGAAGAGCCTGCAGGAGCGGCTCGCGCGCGTGTGGGCCGAGCGAGGCGACTACTCGGAGCTGTCCGAGGAGCGCATCCTCAACCCGGCCAAGGAGCACGAGCTCGCCGACAAGGAGGACAAGGACCCGCGGCCTACGGTCGACGACATCCGTGCTCTGCAGGAGACCATGATCAACAACCTCGCGTGCGTCCCCTCACTCTCTCGTTTCCCCTCCTCCCCCCGCCTCTCCTCGCTCACCGGACCTCTCGCCTCTTCTACACGCGCAGGCTCGCTCGAGGAGAGCTCACTACCGCCCTCGACCTCCTCTCGGTCCTGTCCGCCCCGCGCGACCCGCCCGACGTCGACGTCGCCTCGCTCCCCCTCCCTCAGCAGACCCTCTCCTTCGTCCCGACTGCGCCCCCGCCTCGACCGTCGACCGACCCTCAGCAGAACCCGCTCGCGCCCATCCCGCTCGCGAGCAGCCTCGACGCCCTGAGCCGCTCGGCGCGCGCCTTCTTCAGCGCGAGCGAGGAGCTCGTCCCGCTCTCGGACGAGGAACTCGCCGCGCTCGCCTCGTCGAACTCGGCGGCGGCGTCGCGCCCTCGGCCTCGTCAGCGTGCGCGCGCGCCGGACCCGTGGCCGACCATCCTGCGGCTGCACCACGGCGGCGCGCGCACGCTCGCGCCCCTCGGGGCGGGCAAAGGCGCGTCGCTCGCGGCGGGCAAGGGCGAGAGCCGCACGGCGCGCAGCGTCGGCGTCTTCTTCGGGGCGCAGGAGGCCGGCGCGGCGTGGCGTAGGGCGAGCGTAGCCGAGGTCGGCGAGCTGCTCGACGAGGGAGCCGAGAAGAGGAAGGGGAGGAGGATGGTGGTCGAGGTTGGGGTCGAGGGAGCGGGCAAGATGGAAAGGGCAGTGTGGGACGAGGAGGACGACAAGGCGCAGGACGCGATGGACGAGGAAGAGAAGGGCGACGACGTCGATCGGGTCGAGCGGGTGCTCAAGGCGAGGGGCAGGGCCGTCTTTGCCGAGGAGCTCTTCTCTCAGGTGCGTCCCTCGCCCCTCCTCCTCGCGTGGACAAGTCACTGATACTCCTTCTCGAGCAGCTCACGAGCGAAGCTCGTTCGGAGAGCGCTCTGCGCGCCGAGCTGCAGCTCGGCAGCCGCACCGAGGGCGACACGATCGCCCTGAGCGGCAGCGGGTGGACCGTACGCGTCACGATGGTGCGTCCCTCTCCCACACCCTCCTTTTCACCTCGAGCGGGCCCTGACCTTCGTGCGAACACGTAAACGCAGGCGACCACGCCCGACTCGAGCACCCCCTCGCACGCGACCGCCGCAACCCTCTCCTCCCTCCTGCGCCTCCTCTTCCTCCAGGAGTACACCGCCCGCCGCACCTCCACCCCCAATTCAGCGCCTCGACCGCTCCTCGCGACCGTGGCGGCGTACCTCGGGCACGCGCAGCGGGTCGACGCGCTCCGAGGCGTGCTCGAGCGGCTCAGGGCCAAGGCGTGCGAGGGCGAGGGTGAGGTGGAAGCTGCGGTCGCATTCGACGGCGAGGACGAGGGTCAGGGTGCGGGGCGGCAGGCGGCGGACGTCTTGCACGTGCTCAACGGCGCGAGCGTGCTCGGTGGGCGGGCGACGCTCCGGCTCGGCAAGAGGTGCGCTCTCCTTTTCTCTCCCGTCGTCCTGCACGTCCTCGGTCTGACTCTCTCTCTCGTCGTCGCCTCGCAGCACCGTCTTCACCGTCCTCTACTCGTCGCCGCTCCCTCCCTCGCCGCACGCCGCCGCTCAAGCCCCTCCGCCCAGCCTCCCGCCCTCGTTGCAGCCGACCTTGACGCTGCGCGTCCCTGGCCGTCCCGCCCCGCTTCAGCTCCCGTCGCTGAGGCACCTCGAGACGTTCTTGGGCGAGCAGGTCGACCGGGCGTGCAGGGTCGAGTCGGCGCGGCGCGAGAAGGAGCGAGAGGGCGCGGGCGAGGACAAGGACAAGGAGGGGCTGTAGCGACTTGGGCAATGCGGAGAGTGTCGACTCCTGCATCTCTCTCGGGTCGAGGCGAGGAGGCGAGAGGAGGACTGCACAGGCTGTGAGTACAAGTACAAGGACGAGGACGAGGTACTGCGGCGAGAGAGGGTGTCTACAGCAAGGAAGGGTACGGCTCGAGAGCGCTCGGAACGAGAGCGACTCAGGACGTCGCAGGCCTGAGAGCCCTCAACCGCTGCGCGAGCGCGTCCTCCTGCTCCTCGCTGACGGCCGTCCTCGGCGTCTCGAGCTGCGGCACCTGCTCGGTCGTCTTGCCCTGGAGCTCGTGCTGAATCTCGAGGCCGGCCTCGTCGGCGACCTGCGACAGGAGCGAGTCGATCTGGTCCGAGGGCGCGGCGATGGCCGTGTCGGACGAGAGGGTGCCCTCGAGGTAGCCGGTCTGGACGTCAAGGTCCTCGAACTGGCCCTCGAAGCGGTCCATGACGGCCGAGATCTGCGCGTGACGAGAGCGTGTGAGCCTGTTCATCAAACATCGCGAGCCGGACAGGAGGACGCGCAGGCCGAAAGAACCGGGCGTCCTCGCCCGGCGAGGAAGCGAAAGGCGGACGCACGCGCTCGAGGTTCATGTCCTGCATGGCGCGGTCCATGTTCTTGACGACGGCCGTCATGCTGCCCGTCACCTGGCGCATGGTGACGGCCGTCTCGACGCGGCTCGCGACGGCGTCGATGCGCGACGAGAGGCGAAGGAGGTTGAGGCTCTCGTTCTTCTTGCGGATCGCGTTCGAGGCGTAGATGCGCGCACCCTCGGTGTTGCCCTGCTGCAGGGCCTGTTTCAGGTGGTACGAGTGGTGTCAGCATGCGGACGGGCGGGCGGCCGAGGAGGAGGAGGGAGAGAGGGACGGGCGGACCTTTTTGAGCTTGAGCTTCTCTGTGCCCTCGTCCTTTGCGGCCTTCTTGGACTGCTTCTGGAGCTGCTTTGTCGTGAACTGCGGTGCGCGACGAGGGGCAGTGAGCGGGAGCCGAGTGGGGCGGTGACGAGTGCGAGGCGGACCTTGAGCTGGAAGAGCGACTCTGCGGGTGGGGAGAGGGTCACTCGAGGTCGAGAGGGAGAGGCTCGCAGTCGACGCACTCTCGAGTCCACTCGACATTGACGGGGCGGTGTGTGGGAAGGAGGCGAGCAAGGGGAGCTGCCACGGCCAAGTCCGGTCGGGCGGCGCTACTGGGACAGCGTGACGACGGCAGCTCGTGTGGATCTCGTACGAGTCTCAGCGTGACTGTATGGAATGCAGTGGAAGATCTAGCTACTCAAACTCGGCACAGAGGGAGCGAGAGGGCGAGACGAGGGCTCGCCGTTGGTCGCGCTCGGGGCAAACTCGACGGCGGCTCGCCTCCGGTCTCCCTCTTTCCTCTAGGCAACCCCTCAACCCCATTCACCGTGCGTCCAGTGCCACCAGATGTCGCCCACAGAGATGCCCTAGCTGACCGTCTTGCCCCCTCGCCGCCCCGTCCCCTCCCCGTGCGCCCTCGCCGACTCGTCCTCCTCCACCTCTCGCTCTTCTCGCCGCCGCCTCGACTCGGCCCTCTCGCACTCGTACACCCACCAGGTCATGGCCTCCAAGATCAGGTGCGTCCTACTCCCCCTCCTGTCCAGCACCCAGAGCGTCTCGTTGACCCTCGCATCGCGCACCCTCTTGCGCTCGTCCCCGTCCACAGCGTTAGCAGCGTGCGCAACAGCATCAAGACGATCCTTGACGAGTCGGCCGGCGAGAAGAAGCGCAACTTCGTCGAGACCGTGCGTCCCTACCCCCCTTTGCCTGCCGAGCGCCGACGCTGACCTCGTTGCGCCCGCCGACAGATCGAGCTCCAGATCGGCCTCAAGAACTACGACCCGCAGCGCGACAAGCGTTTCTCGGGCACGATCAAGTGAGCCCGCCGTTCACTCTACTCGCACGACGTCGGCGCGAGACGGGCCCGCTCAGGCGGTTGGGAGGGGAGGCCTGCAGGCGCTCGCGCTGCCGCTCCGCCGGCCGTGCCACCTGCGCCGCTTCGTGGAGCGCACCGAGAGGACTCGCACTGACCCTCTGCTGCTTCCACAGGCTCCCCAACATCCCGCGTCCCCGCATGTCGATCTGCATTCTCGCCGACGCCGCCGACATCGACCGCGCCAAGCTCATCGAGCTCGAGTACATGTCGGTTGACGACCTCAAGAAGCTCAACAAGAACAAGAAGCTCGTCAAGAAGCTCGCCAAGAAGTACGACGCGTTCCTCGCCTCGGAGGCCCTCATCAAGCAGATCCCGCGTCTGCTCGGTCCGGGTCTCTCCAAGGCCGGCAAGTTCGTGCGTCGCGCCCTCTCTCGCTCTCTCTCGTCGCTCGTCGAGCCGTCCCTGACTTTCTCTCTCTTGCGCGACTCGCAGCCGACCCCCATCTCGCACGGTGAGGACCTCGGCAACAAGGTCGCTGAGGTCCGCTCGGTGCGTCCCTTTTCTCTTCTGGGTCGCCAGCCAACCGTCGACTGACGCACGTACTTGGCGCACTCGCAGACGATCAAGTTCCAGCTCAAGAAGGTCCTCTGCCTCGGTGTCGCCATCGGCCACGTCGAGATGGACCAGGAGCAGATCCTCGCCAACACCATGCTCGCGATCAACTTCCTCATCTCGCTCCTCAAGAAGCACTGGCAGAACGTCAAGTCCCTCAACCTCAAGTCGTCGATGGGCAAGCCCCAGCGCCTCTTCTAAGCGCGCCCTGCCCTCTTGACCGAGCCAAACTGGCTGCGCCGTCGCCTCGTCCCGCTTCACTGCGGGGTGGGTCGGCGTCGCGGTCGGGGAGGACTCGCACGGAGTCGGAGCGACGGGAACAGACGAGGAGGAGCAACTTTTCGAGGCCAAGCCGACGACGTCCACGGACGGAGGATCATCAACACACACGCGCGCGCTGCCGTCACCAACACTCAGCACCCCTTTCTCTCCCCCTTTCCCCTTCCCCTCTCCCTTCCCTGCACTATTTTGTCGTGTGGCACGGGGCGAGGTTCGGGGCGCGGGAGCGAGCGAGGGACTCAGACTGGGTGAATGGGAGCTGATTCTACCCTCTCGAGGATTTTGTAACTAGCCACGGCGGTTCTTTCTCCCACTTGGCCACTTGTCCTGTGTCTCTCGAGAGCAGAGAGCTCGAGCTGTTTGTCACGGCGAGAGATCCTGTCGAGCGGCACCGCCTCTTGGACCTCGCTGTGCGAGCCGAATTCGGTCACGACGAACGCAATGCTCTCCCTCTCGCCTCTCGGCTCGCCAGTACAGCGCACCACCCGCACATCGACACCACGACCAGCATGAGGTGCGTCCACATGCCGCACGGCTTCTGCAGAGCCTCGCGCTGTCCCCCTTCCCCACTTCGACTTCATCAGCCCGCGCTCACGTCGATTCGATTTGTGCGACAGCGGCGGCACGAGCGAGTACCTGACTCAGTCGGCCATGATGAGGTGCGTCGGCTTCATCTCTGGCAAGGTCTCGGGGCACCCGGACGGGTCGACGAGCCGTCGACGCAGGGAGCTGACGACTTGCCTCGCCCGCCCGTCGTCGCCCTCCTCCCTCATCCGCCGTGCAGCTTCGGCCCGATCAACGCGATCCACCAGGTGCGTCGTCGGTCCCCTTCCTGTGCCCCTCGGTCCATGCGCTGACCTCTGCTCCCCCTCGCACCTCTCCCTCTCTTTCCTCGTCTCGTCGTCCGGCCACGCCCGCCTGCAGCACCTGTCGGGCCTGCACTGCTACGCCGACGACCGCACGTCCGTCGTAGCGGCGCACCACTTCTGCAGCTGCCAGAGCAAGGACGACGACGGCGTCGCTAAGCTGAGGTGCGTCGCGCCTCTTCCTCTCGCATCCCCTCCTCGTTGGCCACCTTGGCGAGCGTGGAGCTGATTGTTCTAGGCGGACGTCGGTAACGCAGGCAGTGCGTCATCTATGACAGCGACAAGCCCGATGCGCGCCTGATCGGGATCGAGTACGTCGCGTCCGAAGCGGTGCGTCCCCGCCCTCTCTCTCTCTCTCATCGGTCCCTTTAGCCGGGCTCGAGCGTACTGACCGTCTCGTCGTCCCTCCCGATCACGCAGCTCTTCAAGTCTCTGCCCGAGGAGGAGAAGAAGTACTGGCACTCGCGTGAGTCGCCTGTCGACGATCAACTCGCTCTCGACGCCGGAAAACGAGCAGCGCTCAGTCGACGTTGGCCTGGTCATTGACTCCCTGAACACGTCCGCAGACAAGTACGAGGTCGAGAGCGGGCAGCTCGTGTTGCGGAGCAAGAACTGGGTCCCGCTCGCGGCCGAGGACCTCGCTGAGCAGCCGACGATGCAGGAGCTTCAAACGACCTATGGCAAGGTGCGTCCCTTCTTCTCTCCTTCTCTCCTCTGTCGCTCGACGACCTCGCCCGACGAGCCAAGGCGCTCATGGTGCCGCAACTCGCAGACGATCCACACCTGGTCGGTCGACGAGCATCCCGACGTGCCGCTCGGTCCTCCTCGCCTCATGATGTCGTTCACGGCCGACGACCAGGTCGACCCGTCCGTCATCGCTGCGCGCGACGCCAACGAGGGCACGTCGCAGGCGCGCAAGCGGGACCTGCGCGCAGGCTACCTCGACCTCGGGTACGAGGTCGCGGCTGGTGCGGACGCGTGGGCGCAGGGCGGCAAGGGGCTCCGGTTCGAGCCGAGGGAGGTCGAGGTTGAGCAGCCGAAGGAGGGCAGGGCGACGGCGACGTGGAAGGGCCGGCAGAGCTTTGAGGAGGTGCTCGAGGGCAAGGGAGGGGATCCGGCGCCGGCGGCTGGGTGTCACTGAGGGGTCTCGTGGGCGCTTCTCTCGCCAGCACTCGACGAGCTGTACATAAGGGTCTTCACACGGCGAGCAGATGCGAGAGAGAGGGAGCGTCGCCCTGGCTGCTCACCGAGCGGTGCGAGCTGCAGGGCCAAGTCGAAGCAAGATCCTTCGTCGTGGCCTCTCTCTCCAGCTCGTTCGCCCGGGTAATGGGCCCTGAGAGCTCTTGAGCCATGTCAGAGACTCGGCAGCGCAAGCGTCGATGCGAACGAGTGAGCTGGCGAGCCCTGCGAGACGTAGCTCGCTCGCCGAGGCCAAGGGCGCGATTGCTCTCCGCCTCGCACCTCGCGCTCTCGACGCGGGCTTGTGGCAGCTGCCCAGTGGGCGTGTACACCTCTCTCGCCGTCGCCTCATCGCGCCCTCAATCCGCCACCTCCGACTCCCGCCTCGCCGCCCTCCCCACACGCCGCCGCCTCATCTACTTTCGTCGCTCTCGACCTCGGCGCGGCCAGGGCTTGCGCCGCCGCCAGCCAGTCGACCACCAGTTCCCCCAGTACCGCCCTCACCTCCCTCTCCGTCCACCCCATGACCTCCACGCCACGCCACCAGTTGCGCGAGCTCGGCTCGGACGATGTCGGTGTGGGGTCGAGCGCACTCGCCTCGCACGGCGCGTCGCGCGAGTTGGGCCACGAGCCGCAGCTTCGTACGACGCTGGGAGGGCGGCGCGCGATCGGACTGCAAGCCGGCGGCGAGGTCGGCGCGAGCACGTCGCGAGGGCGTGACCGGTCGCACGAGCTCGACTCGGCGCAGCTCTCGCTCGAGCGCACCACCGGCGGCGAGATGGCGGGTGTCTGGGACGAGTCGAGCGGGAGTGTGCCCACTGCGCCGTTCGGCGCCCCAGTCGTCCTCATCCAGCATCGCGGCGCCGTGTCCTCGCCGCAGGTCGCACTCGCCGAGGCGCCGTCGTCGACGCCCGTCTACAAACCGGCCTTTAACAAGACGGCCTATTCGGGCTCGGGCTCGAGCACGAGCGCGACGGCGTCGGCCAGTCGTGGCGCAGGCGACGCGCCGCATCGTCCCGTCGAGCGCATGTCGCGACTCTCGTCGTTCGCGCACCGCCTCTCGTCGCACTCGCGCGACACGTCGCCTTCCTCCTCCTCCCCGAGGCCCGCCGACGACTCGTTCCCTCGCCGCCCTCGGTTCCCGCGCCGCTTCTCGCGCTCCCTCACCTCGCTCCAGGCGTCCCTCCACGTGACGTGCGACGGCCCGCAAGACGCGCTCGAGCCCTCGCCGTCGGACGAGCCTGACGAGGGCAGCAAGCTCGCGAGGTGGCGCGCCAAGGGCAAGGCCAAGCTCGTCGCCGCGTTCAAGCCGCCGACGCTCGAGTCGCCGCCGACCTCGCCTCCTTCGGCGTCGTCGCCCTTTGCGACCTCGTCGCGCACGCCCGAGCTCGGCCGTGCCCCGTCCCGTTCGCGCTCGTACTCGGCGCCCCTTTTCCTGCCGCGAGCGCCAGCGGCGCCTCTCGAGCAGAGCCAGGTCGTCGCACCGGTCGCCGCCGATCCGCCTCCACTCGCAGGGCTCGCGAGCCCGGCGTCGCCCGGCCCCCTCTTTCCTCTCGGCGCCTCGTACATCGACGGGCGCGACTCGCCTGCGCTCGACGCCTTCGCCACCTGCCCGTCGTCCCCGATCGGCGACGCCGACCCTTTCTCTTCTTCGTCGCCGCCGAGCCTTGCCCGCGCCGCCGTGCGGCCTGCTCGGCGAGCCACCACGTTCGACAACCTCCCGCGCGAGGTGCAGCTCGGCGTCTTTGCGGCGCTCGTCGAGGCGTGCGAGGACGAGTGGCGGAGGGACGTGCGCGAGGGGAGGTGGGTCGGCAAGAAGGCGAGCGAGAGGTGGAGCGACGGGAGGGCGAGGGGCAAGCGCGAGGTCATCAAGCTCGGGCGGGTGCGTCGTGCCTTTCACTCCTTTCTGCGCGCTCTCGGGAGCGCGAGGACCTGACGAGTCTCGCCGACGGACGCAGGTTAGCCGGGCATGGCGCGCCCTCTCGCTCGACGGGCAGCTTTGGGCGACGGCCCCGGCGTCGAGCGTCCTCGGTGGCGACGTGTTCACGCAGGCGGGCGTTGCAGCGCTTCTCGAGTCGGCGGGCGACTTCTTGACGACGCTCGACGCCAAGGGCATGGGCGACACGCTCGGCAACCCGGCGCTCGAGCCTCTCCTGCAGGGCACGCCGACGAGGCTCGCCAAGATCGACCTCACCGGTGCGTCGCCGTTCTCTGCCTCTCTCAGCATCGACCGTCACTGACCCTCACTCATCTCGCCCGCAGGCTGCACCGCCGTCACCTCTTTCGCCCTCACGCGCCTCATCACCTTCTCGCCCGACCTCGTCGAGCTCGTCGTCCCAGGTCTGCCCTGCGTCACCGGCGAGCACCTGCGGGCGCTCGCGATGCACTGCCCTCGACTCGCCAAACTCGACGTCTCGCGCTGCCCCGACCTCACGGCGCACTGGCTCTTTAGCCTGCCGTACCCACCTCCGAGGTCGGCCGACTCGCGCGCGTCGTCGATCGAGCCGTCGATCGAGCTGTCGAAGCGGCGCGGGCTCAAGAGCCTCAAGGCGTCGGGCCTCGCCGGCATGGACCTCGTCGACGTCGGGCTCCTCCTTCACTGGCACCCGCACCTCGTCACGCTCGACCTGAGCTTCTCGGTCGGGCTCGACGACTCGGTCCTCGAGCGCCTCGTCGTCCGGCCGCAGCCGCCCGTCCTCGCACGACCTTCTCAAGTCGACGGCGGCGCGCGACTGGCCTACGTCCCGGCCCCGGTCACGAAGCAGTCGTACCCGGCCCTGCGCCACCTCAACTTGTCGGCGTGCAAGCGCATCTCGTCGGTCGGCCTGCACCACCTCGTCGGCGCGTGCCCCAACCTCGAGGTCCTCGAGCTGTCGCGCATTGGCGCCGGCCTGCGCACCGACGGCCTCGCACGCTTCCTCGCGTCGTGCACCAAGCTGCGCAAGCTCGACCTCGAAGACGCGACTGAGACGACCGACGAAGCGCTCCTCGCGCTCGTACCGTCGACCGTCGGCGGCGTCGTCACGAGCGGCGCGCCCAGCCTCACGCACCTCGTCATCGCCAACTGCCGCTCGTTCACCGACGGCGCCATCTCGGCCGTCGCGCTCGCGGGCGGCTGCACCGAGCTGAGGGTGCTCGAGGCCGACGGCACCGCCATCTCGGACCGCACCGCCAAGGCGTTCGTCCGCCTTGCCGCGCCTCGCGCCCTCGCCGCACAAGTCGCCGCTCTCGCCCGCCTCGGCGACCGCGACCCGCTCGTCGCGAGCAAGCACCCGGCGCTCCTGAGCGTCCTCGACGACCGCACGGCGGCGCGCCGCATGAGCCGAGACGTCGGCTGGGCCTCGATGCTCCGCCCTCGCAACGGGCAGCGCGGGCCCTGGACGAGCGCCGTCGAGTCGTACCACGACCGCGAGCCGCACGACATGCGCCGCGAGGGCGACCGCGACGAGTCGCTGCCGGAGCGCGACCGCAGGGCCAAGGGCGTCATCGACGAGTGCGACCCGGCCAGGGTCGTCGTGCGCTCGTTCTACTCGCACCTCGCCGTCGATGCCGCACGTGTCACACGCGATGCAGCCGTCGCGCTCGAGCGCGAGAAGGCGGCGGCGGCGAACTCGAGGGGCTCGTGCGCGGGCAGTGCGAGTGCTGCGGCGCCGGCGAGGGAGTCGCTTCTGCGCTCGAGGGCCCTGAGCGACTCGCACATCTTGCGACCGTCGAGGCTGCTCGACGACGAGGACGGAAGGGCGGCGTGCGTGATCTCATGAGCTTGCCTTTGTCTCTTTCTCTCCGTCGGATTCTCAGTCTGTCGCCTCTGTAGCTTTTGCCTCTCGTTCGCTCTCGCGTGCTGCACACCGTTCTGGGTCAAGCGTACACGTTGCACGAGAGAGAACACACAGAGAGAGAGAGGGAGAGGGAGAGAGAGAGAGAGAAAGACAAAGGGGTGTGGTACGGCAAGCGGGGAGTCGACGAGAGCGAGAGAAAGACGGGAAGGAGTGAGTGAGGATTACTCCGAGTCCGAGATGACGATGACCTCGCGCTTCTTCTTGTGCGGCGCGGGCGAGCCGGACGGCTCCTTCTTCGGGTTGGGCAGGTCGGCGGATGGTGGCGAGGGGCGCTTGAGCGGTACCGTCGACGGGAGGGCGGCGGCGGCGGCCTGCGGAGCGGACGTCGCAGCAGTAGCGGCTGCTGCGTGCGCAGCCGACGACGACGACAACGAGGGCGAGGCGACCGGCTTGCCGAACGAGAGCGCCGTCTGCTTGAGCTTGGGGGTGCCGCTCGAGCTCTTGTGCGACGTGTCGGACGCGCCGCCGCCCGAGTCGACCCGAACCATGCCCGTCGAGGACGACGACTTGACGTTGCTCGTGCTGGCGGCGAGAGACGGACGCGAGGCGTGCGAGTCGAGCGAGGATGCGGCGGTCGCGGAAGAGGCGGGCTTGACCGGGTTGGCGACCGTCGTCGGAGCGTGGCGGGCGCCCTTGCCGGACGCAGAGCTCGAGGCCGTCGTGCCGCGAGCGACAGGCTTGTCCTTCGACGTTGAGGTAGGCGCAGGGGCCTTGCGGACCGACACGGGCTTGACGACGTGCGCGGAATTGGCGACGGCGGCGTTGTCGACGAGCGCCTTCTGCTTGAGCGCGAGTGCGTGCTTGTCGAGGTGCTTGATGGCGTCGAGAACGAGGCGTGCTGGACCGGGAGCAACGTCAGTTTGCGCCCGAGGAGAGGAGGCAGAAATGAGCGGACAGAGGTGCTCACTCTGTTCCTTGACCGTCTCAACGTGCTGCGCCCGCTCGAGGACGCCTTGAGCCTCGACACAGCCGATCTGGATGGCCTGCTGCAGGAGCGAGACGACCTTTTGCTTGCGCGTCGAGGCCCGAGCGTCGTCGGCATGCTTCGTCTTCTGCTTCTTCTTGCTCGGCCCTGACGGCTTCTGCTTGCCGTCGTCGCCGACCTGGACGAGCTTGTCGTCGGCGTCGAGGCGGCCGGTCCAGTCGTCGTCCGAGTCGAGCTCGTCGCGGTGGCGGTAGTCGTCGCCCGAGCTGAGGTCGAGGTCGGTCGCGGTCGAGTGCGGCGAGGTGCCGCGCGTCTTGCCCTTGTTGTGGTACGCGACGTCGAGCTTGTAGTTGACCTGCAGGGGGCGATAGAGGTGAGCAACGGCGTCGAGACGAGGACGACGAAAGGGGGACGGGGACGCACCTCGGCGCGCTTGCGCTTGCCCCGACCGGCCGCCGCCGCCTGCGCCGCCTTGTTGGCCTTCTCGGCCTGCTGCTGCTGGTCGACGACCTTGCTCCAGAAGTCGTGCAGGTCCTGCTGGACGCCCTCGACGGCCGTCGGGACGGCGTCATCGACAGCGACGGGCAGGGCGGCCGGATCGTCGTCGCCGTCCTTCTGACGGGTCCACATCTGGGCGTGAGCGAAGGTGGCGGCCGAGTCGGACTCCTTTGCGGCCGGGTCGGCCGTTTTGGCGATGAGCTCGTCGATGTCGGCGTCGCTATACCGAATCGCAGACGCCTCGGCCGCCTGATCGTCGAACACGGCCTTGGCGCCGAACTGCGAGACGGGAAGAGAGAGAGAGGGCGGGAGACGAGGTCAGAACGGAGAGAAAGTCTTGTAAGAGAGGACCGACGACGCACCTGGAGCATGCCCTCGACGTCGTCCGACTCGTCCTGAGCGTCGATGCGTTGGATGATCAAGTGCTCTGCGAGGTCATGGCGACGGTCAGTCGTCGGCGCAGCGGCAAAGAGAAGAGAGAGAGAGAGGGGACGCACCGAGTCCACGCTTCTTCGAGCCGGCGACGAGGATCTTCTCCTCGCACGTGCCCTTGACGACCAACTTGAAGACACGCACCTGCACGAGAGAGATGGGTCAGAGACGCAGTGAGAGGGGCTAAACAGAGAGGCGAGGCGACGCACAGGCTTGGTCTGGCCGATGCGGTGCGCGCGCGAGATGGCCTGCAGGTCCTGCTGCGGGTTAAAGTCCTGGTCGTAGCTGCGGCGTAAGAGGATGTCAGGTCGCGTACAGGTCCACGAGAGGCGAGAGAGGTGGGCGCACATGATGACAGCGTCGGCCGAGGTGATGTTGAGCCCGACACCGCCGGCCTGTGCAACTTGAGAAGGTCAGTCTCGTTCTCGATGGTTGCGACGAGGGCTGGATGGTGGCTCACCCTCGTGCTGAGCAGGTACGCGAAGTACTTCGAGCCCGGCGCGTTGAACTTGTCGACGTCTGCGAGGCGAGGTCGCTCAGTAAGGTGGGAGGAAGAGAGCCGAAGTGGACGAGCGGACGCACCTCGTTGCCGGTCGAGCTGCGGCGTGTCGCCATCGAGACGCAGGAAGTCGACGTCGAGGCCCGACAGGAAGCGCTCGATGATGTTGAGCGTGATCTTGAACTGGGAGAACTGCGGGCGCATGTCGACGAGGTCAGAGCGGTCACGCGAGGGAGGAGGAGGAGGAGGAGGAGGAGGAGGAGGGGGACGCACGATGAGGACGCGGTGGCCAGCCGCCTTGAGCCTCGGGAGCATGCGCGCGAGAAGTACGAGCTTGGCCGACGCCTCGGTCAAGTTGCGGTGCGCGTCGCGAGCCGAGGCGACGAGCGGCTCCATGTCGGCGTCGACGAGGTACGGGTGGCACAGCGACTTGCGGAGCTCCATGAGGATGTTGCTGTGCGCGCACAGAGTGGCTCAGAGTCTCGTCGCGTCGAGAGGTAGGGAGGAATCTGGCTCGACGCACCTGAACGTGCCCGTCTTCTTCTTGCCCTTGGTCGCCTGCTCGCGCGACGAGCCCGACGTCTGGACGATCGTGCGGATGGCGGCGGCGTTGCGCTCGAGGATGTTGCGGTACAGGCCACGCTGCAGGACCGTCATGGTGACAGGGACGACGACCTCGATCTGCAGGGAGAGAGAGCGTCAGGCCGAGTCGACGAGGTGGACGAGGACGGATGGACGGACGAGAGGAGGCAGATCGAGCACCGTCTCCTTGGTGCGGCGCAACAGGTACGGGCGAAGCATGCCGCGAATGTTCTCGACACGCTCGGGCGTGAGCTCCTCGTACTCCTTGACGAGCTTTTCGACGCGACCATCTCGGTACTCGTCCGGGTCTGCGACACAGACAAGTCAGGTCCTGCACGCTGACAAGCGCACTCAGAGAGAGAGAGAGAGAGAGAGAGAGAGAGAGAGAGAGAGAGAGAGAGAGAGAGAGAGAGAGAGAGAGAGAGAGACGCACTGATGAAGCGGAGCAGGTTGAAGACTGCGAACGAGGAAAGGCGAGTCAGTTGTCGGCTGAGACGAGGTGAGGGAAACGAGGGGACGCACGCTCGTGGATGTTGTTGTTGAGGGGCGTGCCGGTCAGGATGATGCGCTGTGCGACACGCAACGAGGCGATGGCGCCGTACAGGAGGCTCTCGGGCCCACTCTTGAGGCGCTGACCCTCGTCGACGACGAGGCAGTCCCACCGGTCGACCTGGCGGAAGACGCGCGCGTTGTTGGCGAACGCCTCGTACGTCGCGAGGACGACCTGCGTCTTGAGCGCGCCGTTCGAGTCGAATAGCTCGTAGTCCTCGACGATCTTGCGCGAGTTGGCGTCGCCCTGCGAGCGAGTCGGGGAGGGAGGGTCAGTGCGGGTGCGGGGCGTCCCCGACAGACGAGGGCGAGGACGCACGTTGTAGGGCACGACGCGCATGCTCGGCGCCCACTGCGAGAACTCGCGCATCCCTGCAGGCGAGTGGCAGCGTCAGATTGGGCAGAAAGTGGGAGAGGGAGCGAGAGGTGGACGCACAGTTGCCGATGAGCGAGTTGGGCACGAGGATGAGGAACGGCCGAGCGCCCTCCTTCTTGTTGAGGTACGTGAGGAAGGTGATGACCTGGCACGTCTTGCCGAGACCCTGCGTGACGAGGAGCGAGCGTCAGTACAGGCCGAGGTCGGCGAGAAGAAGTCGGCGGGGACGGACCATCTCGTCGGCGAGGATGCATCCTTTGCGCAGCCACCAGCGACTGCAAGAAGGAGCTCGAGGTCAGGGTACGTCGTCGACCGAGGGAAAAGAGGCAGGCTGGGACGCACTTGCGCAGATAGTTGACGCCGGCGAGCTGAAAGTCGTGCAGGCGGTGGCCCTCGATGTAGTCGGGCTGCTCGTCGATCTCGACGAAGCGCGCCGGGTCTCGAGGCGCGTCGAGCTGGTCCATCTGCTTGACGCTGAGCGAGGGCACGCTCATCTGCGGGCGGCTCGCGACGAGGAAGGCCTCGTAGGCCGAGACGTAGTCGTCGTAGCCGGCCTCGTCCGACTGTGGCGGCTCCTCGACCGTCGCTGCAGGATGACGGCGAGTCAATGAGACGCACGAGTGGCAGAGAGGGGCAGAGAGGGGTAAAGAGGCGACGCACATGAGCTGTAGGCGAGGTCGCCCCACTTGAAGTAGCACTGCGACACGAGCTTGATGCTCTCGCCCGGGTCCTCGGGCAGGCGCTTCTTGAAGCTGGCGAACGGCGTGTCCACGCCCGTCTTGGGGTGCTTGTACCACACGTCGAGGACCCGGTCGACCGTGCGCCACGCCTCGGGGATGCGCTCGAGCGCGTTCGGGTCGGGCAGCGGCGCCTCGCCGGCGTCCTCCTGGTCGTCGGTCGGGTCGGCGTCCTCCGGGTCGTCGTCCTTGGCCGTCTCGAACTTGACGAGCGACCCACGCGCGAGGAAGCCGCCGAGCTTGCCCGGGTAGTTGGCGGCGATGAAGGCGTGCGGGACCCACTCGAGGCGGCGGTAGCTCATGTCCTGCCACTTGACGAGGTACTGCAACAGGTCGGAGAAGGGGTCAGTGTCCGTGTGCGAGGCGGCAATGCTCGACGCTGAGAAGGAGGAGAAGAGGGTCGAGCGCACCTTGACGTTGGCCCACAAGTCCTTGATCGACGGGAGCACGACCACCTTCTGCGTCTTGTCGTCGATGCGGGTCTCGCCGGCGACCGGCGCGACCGCCTCGTCGTCCGGCTCGACATCGTCGCCGTCGCCCTCGGGGAGCGGGTCCGCCTCGGCCCACGCGAGGATGACGTTGAGCGGCGCGTTCCAGTTGTAGCACTGGTGGCAGACGTCGTACTCGTTGTAGCTGCGGACGTGCTGCGCGAACGACCAGTCGGGCTCGTCGTTCTCGAGGCAGCCGTAGTGCGCGACGCGTTTGCACCTGCGGGTCCGGGCGCGAGACGAGTCAGTGCGAGGGTCGCTCGAGCCGGCGACGCAGGTGACGACGAGCTCAAGCTCGGCGAGGAGGGAGGAGGAGAGGGAGAGCGAGCGGAGGACGCACTTGGTGCACCGAAACATGACGCCGGGCTTGAGCGCCTTCTCGACCTCGTCGACGCCGTCGAGCTGCGCCGAAAACTCCTCCTTCTCGCCTGTGTCTCAAAGAGTCGAGTCAGGAACGTCGCCTCGGACGAGAGAAAGACGGTCGATGGCCGACTCACGCGCCGTGACCCTCCTCCCACTCAGGGCGCACACGAAGCACTTTCTCCCGCCGGCCTTCTTGCACATCGGGCATTTGGCGATGGTGAGCACGCGGCTCGTGTTGAACTCGCGCTTGGCGCGGACGGGCGCGGCGAGCGGCTTGGCCGTCGGCGCCCTGAGGGCCGCCGGCGTGGCGGACCCGGTGTGGGCTGCATCGGCGACGACGGCGAGGTTGTCGCCATCGGGCGTCTCGGCGGCAGGGTCGGCGGCGACTTTGGCGACAGGAGGAGCTGGAGGCGGAGGCGGAGCGTGCTTGGCGAGGTGGTCGGCGTTGAGCTTGTCGACGAGGTCGCGCTTCTGCAGCGGCGGCAGGCACAGGAAGTGGTACGACTGGCAGCTGCAGGGACAGAGAGGATCAGTACACGTCTTTGTTCACGGGAGGAGGAGATCGACAAGAGGAGAGGACGCACCACACGCCGCACTCGACCCACGAGCCTAACTTCTCGGCGCGCGCCTCCTGGTCGTCCGTGTCGTCGTCGAACTCGTCGCGCTTGCGCCTGCGACCGCCCTTGCGGTTCTTGCGGCGATTCTCGATGCGCTGCAGGAGGACCGAGGCCGGCTCGTGGCCGCACTTGCCGCAGATCTGCGAGGGGCGAGGGTGGGTCAGTTCGTCAAGGCGGGACGGCGCCGCTCGACGAACGAGAAGGGGACGGACCTGGCGATGGTCGTCTTGTGGACGGTCCTCCTCCGCCTCGCCCGCCTCGGCCCCGCCGTCCTCGACGAACACGTCGTCGTCGTCCTCCGAGTCCTCGACCGCCTGCTGCGCCGTCTTCCTCGGCCTCGCAAAAATGCCCAGCTCATCGCTCGACTCGCCCTTGCCGTCCTCCTGCTCGTCCTCTTCGGGCGAGCGTGTGCCCGTGCCCGACCGCGAGCCCGTGAGCGTCGCCGAGGCCCTCGTGATGCGCGCCGACGTCCTGGTCGCACGAGGCGCCTCGGACCGCGACGACGCGCTCTCGTCGCCGCCGCTGTCGCCGTCCGACGACGACGCGTCGCCCGAGCCGTCGTTGCCGAAGTAGCGCTTGGCCGTGCGGGCCGTGCGACGGGTCGAGCGGCGCCCAGCCTGCTGGATGGGCTTCTTGGCCGCCTTGGTCGTGCGGCGCGACGATGCGCGCGTCGAGCGGCGTGGGCCGTAGTCGTCGACGTCCGAGTCGGCCGAGCGGGCGGCATCGTCCGACGACGAGGACGAGCCCGAGGGCGCCGAGACGTCCTCGTCGTCCGGGTCGTCCGGGTCGTCGCTGCTCGTCGCCGCCTCCTTCTCCTGCTCCTTGTTGCCCTCGCCGCCCGAGCTGCTCGACGCGTCGCGCATCTCGACGTCGTCGTCGTCATCATCGTCGTCGCCCTGCTGGACGGCCCGCCCCTTGCCCTTGTCGAGCTTCTTCTTGGGCGGGCTCGGCGCGGTCGGCTTGGGCTTGCGTTTCGGCTTGACGACGATCTCGAGCTCGTCGTCGCTCGAGTCGTCATCGTCGAGGGCGGCGGCGGTGGCGGGCTCGCGCGAGCGGGTACGGGTAGGGGCAGGCGAGTGCGCAGCGTCGAACGCCTCGAGGAGCGCGGGAACGAGACGCTTGAGGTCGGTGCGAGAGCGCTGCGGGTAAGGGGGCAGTCAGTTTGCCGCTTCAACCGAGCTCTGCCGGTACTCGCTGCTGGACGGGCCCCGCAGCGGTCCTCGCACCGGCCGCATCGTCGACGAGGAGAGGGGGAGAGGGAGGGAGCTGGGGACGCACCTGCACCTTCTTGCCGTCCTCCGTCTTGCACATGTACAGTCTCCCGAGGCCCTCGGTCTCCTGGACGCGCAAGATCTCGCTCACGCCCCTCGCCTTGACGGGCGACGGCGGCGGAGCCGAGCGGTTCGAGGCCGAGCCCTCGCGCGCGCGAGGCGGCACGGACGCGCCCTTGACGTGCTTGTGGGTCTGCTGGAACGACGTGAAGACCTCGGGCGCGAGCGGGACGCCTTGACGAGGCGGGCGGCCCTTGTCCGATGAGGCGGCGGCGGAGACGGCTCGAGGCTGCTGAGACGGCTTGGAGCTGCCGCTCGCGGTGCTCCGAGGCCTGCTGTCGGCCTGCTTGGGCGGTGGCGAGACGGACCGCGCCATCAGGGCCGGCGTGTGTCGAGAAGTTGAGGAGGAGCAACGCGACCCGACGCGCGAGCAACTTAAAACGAATCGCGGTCGCTCTCGCTCTCTCGAACAATAACGGCGAGGCACTGCAAGGCTGATGACAGAGGCTTTGCAGGGCTACACAGAGACGACGCTGCGGCAAGGGAAGGAGACGCTCTCGCAGGCAAGGAGAGCTTTCCTCTCGCTGCTCTCGACAGCGCAAAGCCGCCGCCCGACAGAGCGGGAAAGTTCGAGCGGAAGCAGAAAACAGACCTCAAGACGCACAGTAGCACAGGTGCCGCACGCGCGCGGCGATGCGACCGTCGCCGCCGCGCTGCACGAGCGCACGAGCCGACGCCGCCTCGGCTCGAGCCCGACGAGTCGAGAACGCGCCCGCCGTGATGGCGACGGCGTGGAGGACGGAAGGCGAGAGCGACGGTCGAAGGTGCGAGAAGAGCTGAAGGGAGGGTGCGCGATGATGAGCGCGCCCCGAGCGAAGAGAGAGAGAGACGAAGAGGAAGGGCAGGCTCACGCAGAGACGGCCGACCGAGCGACGCGCGACAGACTATTTCACAACCGCTCGGGCGACGATAGTGGAGGAGAGGAACGAGGAGGGAGGACAACAAAGGGGAAGGAGGGAGAGGAGGGAGGGAGAGAGGATGGCGGGACGCACCCGAGCGAGCTCGGCGGGCTCAACGGCGGATGTACTGCTTGCGGCTGCGCTGCGGGCCGTAGCCCTTCTCGCCGGCGACGGCCTTGTGCCCGGCGTCATCGGCGTTGGCGCGCTCGTACGGGACCGTGCCCGTCTTCTGGGCGTGCTTGGCCTCGAGCGTCTGCGCCTTGCGGGCACCGATCGCAACCGCCTGGACGCCCGACGTGGCCTTCTTGATCGTCACGGGGCGCGTGCCGACGTACTTGCCTGTGGCGGAAGTCAGGAGTGAGTACGTCGCGCGAGAGGGAGGAGGAGGAGGGAGGAAGGGGGGCGCACCGTTCATCTCCTTCCACGCCTTGAGAAAGTCCTCTGGGTCGCTGTACGAGACAAAGCCGAAGCCCTTGCCCTTGTTGGTGTACTTGTCGCGGATGACCTTGCTCTTGACGAACGAGGGCCACTTGCCGAACGCCTGCTGGAACAAGTCGTCGCTGATGGCCGGGTCGAGGTCGCCGATGAAGAGCCGGAAGTGCTCTGCGCGAGAAGCGCACACGAGCAGCATCAGTGACATGCTCGAGGACAGGACAGAGAGACGCAGAGGGACGCACTCGGGTCCCACTCGAGGAGGCTCTGGTCCTCCCACACCTCTCCGCCGCCCTTGCGGAGCACGGTGGTCCTGGCCTTGCCCTTGTTGCCGACGGTCGCGACGGCTCGGCCTGCAGGCGAAGTTGCTGCGTCGGGCGTGTCTGCAGGCGGGTGCGGCGAGTCAGTCTCTGTGGAAGGACGAGGACGAGGAGGGAGAGGGAGAGACGGACAGATGGACGACTGCTGGGCAAAGCTCGGGTCGTAGCCGGCCTGCTGCGGGTAGGCTGCCGCAGGCTGGGCCGGGTAGGCGCTAGTGCTGGCTGCTGCTGCGCCCGGGTAGGCCTGCGGGTAGGCGGCGGCGTACGAGGCGGCGTCGGCGGGAGGAGGGGGGGCAGCCGGGTAGGTGGGCTTGGGCCGCTTGGCGTACGGGTTCGAGGACATGCTGGGCGAGGTGCTCGAGCAGCAGGACTGGCTCGGAGTGGTCGGTGCGAGGTGGGACGGGGCAGAGAGGCGACGAGGACGAGAGGGAGAGCTGGCTCCGGTCCTCGCTCCTCCTCTACTCGCTCTGCTAGCCGTAGGACAGTCACGATGAGCGCACCGTACAAGCAGTGCGTCCCACCCATCCTCTCTCGCACACCGCGCGGCCGCCCTGCGCTCCCCCTCCTCGTCCCCTCCTCCTCCCTCGTCTCCCCGCGTTGACCACCGCGCCTACTCGCTCCGCAGGGACCTGCCGCCACAGGGTGGCTTCCCCGCCATCAAGTACAAACGCAACCTCCCGACCAAGGGCCCCGGCGGTGCCCTCATCTTTGGCGTCGTCGGCGCCATCTGCACTTTCGGCTTCTGGCGCGTCGGCCAGGGCAACCTCGAGAAGCGGTGCGTCCACCGACTCGCCCGTGTTCTCTCTATCCCTCTCGAACAGCCCTGACGCCTTTGCACCCGAGCAGTGAGCTGCAGCGCGAGAGGGCGTGGGCCCGCATCCACCTCGTCCCGGCTCTCCTCGCCGAGAACGACCGCGACATCTACCGGAGGGAGCAGGCCGCCCTCGTTCGCGAGAAGGAGATCATGAAGGATGTCAAGGGCTGGGAGGTGCGTCCCTCGTCGCCTGTCTCTCTCGTCTCTCCCTCGCCGCTTACCCTCCTCTTCGCTCTCGCAGGTCGGCGCAAAGGCGTACCACTCGAAGCGGTACACGCCCGCATCCATCGTTGTCATCTAGCCTCGTTCCTCTTCTCTCTCTGCAACACTCGGTCGTCTTCTCTGTTCACCTCTCGGCCGCCAGTCGTGCTCGCGCTCGAGAGAGAGAGAAACGCTCGGATCTATTGCTCGTGCACTCTCAGGACGTCGTCTAGCAACGGCTCTATGACGCACGACAACCCGAGCGTGTCGTCGTGCCCTGCGTCCTCGATCTCGTGCCACCGACTCGGGTCGACCATCTCGAGCCGGTCGACGAGCAGCGCGCGAAGGTACCGTCGCCCCTTCTCCGGCACGAGCGCGTCGTCCTCGCCGCACCATGCGCTCAGCTCGACCTCGCGCCCCTCGGCCCTGAGCAGGTCCCGCAGGCCCTCAAACGCTCGCTCGTACAGCTGGCCCTCGTCAACCGCTGCTCCTGCTCCTCCTCCCGCCGCCTCGCTCTCGCCCGGGCAAACCCACCTCGCGCCGCCCTGCCGCAGGCACAGCATGGCCTCCTGGCCCATCGCGTCGAGCCCTTCCTCGATGGCCACCTGCATGCCGCGCGCGAACAGGCCGGGCGGGAGGTAGTAGCCGCCGTACAGGCGCTTGTGCGGCGGGCGCTGAGCGTTGAGGCGGCGGAAGCGGGCGAGCTGCTTGGGCGGCGGGAGGAGCTCGGGATCATCTTCTGCTGCTGCAGTCGACGCCGCTGCTGCTGTCGGCCGAGCTGGTGCCGCCGACGACGACCACGGGCCCATCGAGGCCCACCCGCCCCAGTCGCGCACGGCGGCGCTGCTCCAGCCCATGCCGCGCTCAAGCGGGCCCGCGAGACGCTGCACGGCGCCGGCGACCGTGCCGAGCTGGCCGACGAGCGGCGCCGGGATCCACCTCGCCGCCGAGAGCGCGACCGAGCCCGACAGCCACGGCGGGACGTACGGCGACGACAGGTGCCAGCTGCGCACGCTCAGGTCCTTGGGGAGGTGGCGGAGCGTGTACAGGGCGTACAGGATGCCGTTCGAGTGGCTCAGGAGCGAGAAGGTCGAGACGTGCTCGGCGGCGAGGACGGCGACGAGCGCGTCGAGCGACGCCGGGACGCGGTACGGCAGCGGGACGGGCGTCGACTTGCCGGCCGACGGTCGGTCGAGCGTGACGAGGCGCACGCCGCGCGACGCAAAGATGCCGTCGAGGAGCGTGGCCGCGAGGCGGTGGCCGCCCATGCCGTTGAGCCACACGACGACGGGCGCGGTCGGATTCGAGGTGCTGCCGGCGACGGCGTACGAGACGATTTGCGGCTCGAGCGTGCCTGCTGGAGCGTACGACGGGGTGTAGGTCGTCTGGCGGTGGAACTGCTCGCGGTGGAGGTAGGCGTGCGGGTCGAGGTAGGCCGGCGGGAGCGCCGACTGCTCGGTGCGCGCTGCGGTCGGGGTGTTGTCCATGCTCGGAGAGGCTGACTCGTGCGCTCAGTCGGGCGTGCTGGTGAGAGGGCGGTACTCGACGTGGAAGTGGGGGTGCCCGACGCGGCGCTGATGACGAGAAGGGGTCAGTACGCGCTTGACTGGGCGACTGCGCAGTGGAGGGGACGCACAGAGTCGAGAACGAGGGCTGGCTCGGCTGTCGGTACGACTGGACGAGGACGAGAAGAGCGAGGGGTGCTGAAGGTGGTCAAGCCGGCGAGGTGCTCTCTCGGTCGGATTGCTCGCAGCTGGCATGCCTCCTTGCTCGCTCGAGAAGACTCGCACGACAACTGGGACCAACGTTGCCGCCTGCTCGCCGCCGTCTCCTAGTTCTACAGCCACGCAGAGCCCTCCTCACGCGAACGTGCGCGTGACATTCTCCGTCTGCCAGATCGAGTTGGTCGCAAACTTCTTGGGCGCAATGGGCTCGGTCTGCGCAGTAGTCGAGACGACGAGGAGGACAGGTCGGGTGTGCGGGCAAGGTCGAGGTCGGGACGGGAAGGAATGTCGGATTGACGAGGGCGGGGACGAGGACGAGTCGCGGCGATGATGGAGGGGAAGGCGAGCGAGGCGAGGGCAGGGAGTGACGTTCATAAGGGGGAAGGGGGCGGGAGAGATGCGGTCAGTAAGCGACCACCGGTTCTGAGAGCAGGCAGAGGAGGACGCACCGACTGCCCTCGCAGCGAGCCGGTCAACCTCTGGTCACGCTCCATCATGCGCTCCTCCCACATGTCGAGGGTGTGACGGGTCGGCTGTTTCGATGGGGTTGCACGAGTCAGCCTTGCCTCGGCGAGGGCGTAGTGTGCTCATCGCGAGGCTCGAAGAGGCGAGGAGCTCACCTTGCCGTCGTTGGTGATGCGGCGCGCAGCCGACATGCCGGTGCCGGTGACGGCGAACATGACCGTCAAGAGACCTGTTGTGCGAGACAGATCAGCGCCTGGCGAGCTGTGGGTCGCGAACGAGACGTCGTCTTCGAGAGGACGCGGAGAGGGAGGCTCACCGAACGGGATGAGGGCCTCGAAGGGAACAGGCTGTGGGACAGGACATGATCAGTGTCTGACTGTTTGCTGGTGAGGCTCGGAGCTCACCATGGTCGAGTTGGCGTGGGAGGACGGGGGGAAGAAGAGCGAGAGCCGAGGAGGACAAGATGAGACGGCTCTCTCCTCGTCCACCCACCGCCGGCGACTGCTGCGACCCACGAGCGTGCTCTACAGACTCTTCGGTACCACCCAGACACTCCTCGCACATGCTGCGAGCTGTTCCCGCGCCCCCCCCTCTCCTCTCCTGCTCGCGCCTCCTCGGCGAGCACCCTGGCGTCCGTCCGCGGACAAGCCGCGAGTTTGGCTTGGCGCTTTTCTCCCGTCCTCTCTGCTCTCCCGCTGGCGGTCCGGCAGCTCTGCTTCTCTCGAGCACTCGCCAACCCGCGACGCCGCGAGCCTTGCCTCGTCTCGACGCTTTCCCTCTCGTCAGAGACGCCGAGCTCCGCCTCGCCGAGCCGCACCTCTCCCACCATGGTCGGCGGTCACATCATCCCGCTCGAGCGGGCCGTCTACTGCGCCAACCCGGACGCCGTCGAGACGTGCCTGCGCATCTGCGCCGCTCCCGACCAGGTCAGCATCGGTGTGCGCGTCGGCAGCTACCTCCAGGCCGTGTCGTACTTTGTTCTCGTGCTCGTTGCACCCGACGAAGGAGGTGTGCGTCCCTCTTTCACTCCTCTATCTCTCCTTGGCGGTTCGGAGCTGACTCTTCTCCTCCCGACGCAGGCTGAGAGCGTCTGGCTCGGCCTGTCCATCTCTTTCAGTTTCCTGTTCGCCCTCATCATGCAGCTCGTCTATGTGCGTCCCTCTCGCTCTAAAGTCGCGCCCAAGGAGAACGCCGCCTGACCCATCTTGCGCGCAACAGGGCTCGGTCACGCTCCACCACGCCGTCATCATCACGCTCCTGTCGCATCTTCCCTACATCAGCACCCTGGCCGGCATGAACACGTTGACGAGCTGTACGTCTCCTCGTTCCTCCTTCTTCGAGTTCACGCAGACTCGCACTGACCGGCCTTTCCTCGCAGACGAGGTGCTCGGACCCGCCGGCGTGCGCTTCCTGCAAAGCGGTCCGTCCCTCACTCGCACACGAGCCTCTTTCGCGCCTCGCGGACCTGACAAATCTCTCACGACCGCGCAGGCATGATCCTCAAGAGCGTCCTGACGGCCTTGATCTGGGCGGCGTGCCTGTGGGCCTGGTACGTCGGCCAGCTGCCGGGCTGGACGTTCCTGCAGTTCCGCCAGGCCAACTGCTTCTCGTCGACGTCGCTCGTCGTCTGGATGTACCCGGTCTCGCCCAAGGACGAGCGCACGACGCTGTCGACCATCCTCATCGTCACCTACGTGCGTCCCTCTTGCCCTCTCTCTCTTCCTCGTCCCTCCCCTTGCGTACGACGGACTGAGACTGTTCCCTCCTGCTCTCTCTTTCTCTCGCAGTCGGCCTTCTGGTTCCTCGTCCTGTGTCTCGGCTCGTACTGGACCCTCATCGCGCCTCGGGTCCTCTTGCGTCGCGGCGGCCACCTGCGCGACCCGAAGAAGAAGAAGGTCAAGGGCTTCGAGGCGCTGCGCCGGCGCGTCGAGGACGACATTGGCGACCTCGAGCACGAGCACGGGCATGGGCGCGAGCGCGAGCATGACGGCGCGGGCGAGTCGGGCGACAGCAGCGACGACGAGCGCAGGAGGGCTTTCATCAAGCGGAACCCGAAGGCGTACCATCGAGACGAGGACGACGGGGTGAGCAGGATTGGTTTCGCTCGCTGTCGACGAAGCCGTCTCGTCGAAACGGCGTCGCTGATTCGGCCGAGTCCACGTTCGCTCGCAGATCGGCCTCGCCATGATGACGCTCCGGTCCATGTCCAAGTCGCGCCGCACGCCCTCGCCCACCTCGACGCCCCTCCCCGTGTCCTGCTCCGCGTCGACCTCGTCCCTCCCGTCGTACCGCTCGAGCCGCACGGACCCGTCCCGCACCGCCGCGGCTCTCTCTGAGGCCGGCGGCGTCCAGGCGTCGCGTACGTTGAGCCCGCCGTCGGCGACGAGGGGCATGACGGCGCTCAGTCCGTGGAGCAAGGGCTTGAGGGGCAGTGACCAAGATGCGGCGGTACGATGGACGAGGAGGCAGGCCGAGAGCCGGCACCACTTTATCATTGTGCGTCCTCGCGCTCTTCCTTCTTCTTCCTCTCGACTTGTCGTCGAGCAAGCGGACGAGCCTCTGACTCTCGCCTTTCGACCCGCAGTGGCCCCTCGTCGCGCTCCTCCTCGTCTTCGTCATCGTCACGACCGAGCTGCAGATGGTCGCCAACGACGTCTTTACCGGCGAGATGGAGCTCGACTTTCCCGGCGCGTTGACGCTCGCGCTCGCGCTCCCGACGCTGTGGGCCGTCGCCAAGAGCGTCAACCGGATCCGCGAGGGGAGGCGGCCGACGCCGACGCAGAGGCGGGACGAGACTTTCTGGGAGGTGAGTCGCCGCTCTCTCTCTTTCTCTCGTCCTATTCCCTCGTGCCGTCCGTCGAGCGTTCGAGGACAGTCCTGACCCGCCGTCCGCTCGAACAGATTGCGTCAGGCGAGCGCGCCGCACAGCGCCGCCGAGCCGACGAGCGGCGACGGGAGCGCAGGGCATACAGCAGCAGCTCGTCGCACGAGTCGAGCATTGGCGAGAGTGCGAGCGAGTCGGAGCCGGTGGCGCGAGGGAGGAGCAGTCGGCGGTAGCGGCGGCGAGGCAGGCAATGGACTCTTTCTGAGCGGCGAGCCGTCTCTCTCTTTCGGAACGGGCGATGCGAGAGGGGTATGCTGTACATTGCGCTGCTGTGGAACGAGAGAGAAACGCTCAGGCGAGAGGGGAGATGAGCCTGCGCGAGGAAGGGGAACGAGGTCAGCCGAGATGACGAGAAGGAGGGTGAGGCGAGAGTGGGCGCACCTCATGATGGGCGGCCTCGGGTTGCTGGCTCTCCACGCGACGACGAGGATGGTCGGGATCCACCCGTAATGGACGACCGTCTGCGATGATGAGGAGGAGGAGGAGAGCGAAGGGTGAGCAGCCTGTCGCGAGACAGACCGAACTGTCGCTCAAGTGGGCGAGCTGCAGGCTGAGTCGAGTGAAGCGAGTGCGCACCTTTGCGACCTCGATGGCCTTGGAGATGCGCTCCTGCGAAGCGAGGCGAGAGTGAGGTGAGCCGGGGTCACGACGAGGAGAGGGGCGGGACGACGTCGGGACAAGGGAGGGAAGGGATGGGCGGCGCACCTTGTTGTCCTCGGAGAGACCGACGAAGCCAAACATGGTCCTGGTGCGGGTAGAGGGGGTTGGAGAGAGCCGAGGACGAGACCCATCTCATCTCGACAGCCTCACCTCCAGAAAACTACTCGCACCGCTCCCTGGTCACTAGAGCCACTAGCGTGCACTCTCTCCAGCTCTACTCTACCCAACACAGCCGACCGGCGCACCCGTCCCACCCTTTGCCACCTCGCCCTCGCCCGACCCCCCGGCCATGCTCATCGCCCGCCAGGCCACCCGTCTCGCCTCGAGGAGGGCTTCCGCTCCCTCGGTCGGCACCGTCCGCCTCCTGCGCTCCACCCCGGGCCAGTCGCCCCCCGACTCGGCCCAGAGCCAGACCCCTCAGCCCGCCAGTCCGCTCCCCGACTCGTCGTCGTCCACCTCGGCCCCTCGCGAGACCCAGACCGGCGCCACGGCCTCGGCCGACGACGTCCCTCCCCTCAGCAGCACCGACGCCCCCACCGCCGCCGACGCCCCGAGCCCGGCCTCGCAGGTCCCGCCCGTCAACGCCTTGTCGCAGCGCCAGAACTCGCTCGCCGAGGCCTTCCTCGACCTGCACCCGGACGTCTCGCCGCGCACCGACGAGGAGCGCCAGGGGAGCCAGTTCCCGGGCGAGACGACGGGCGCAAAGGCGCGCGGCGCGGGCAAGTCGTCGATCGAGAAGAAGCGCGCCTTCCTCGCGCGCGCGGCCGGTCTCGCGACGCTCGGCGGCCTCGCGTGGGCCGTGTACGACCTCGGCAAGGACTGGGACGACGACGAGGAGAAGAAGAAGATGTTTGCCCGGAGCGACGACGCGCAGGCCATCGAGGAGGCGCAGGAGGGAGGCTGGGCCGGTTGGTGGGGCAGGCTCAAGATCCGTGCGGCCGACCACCTCGACGTGCGTCCCCCTCTCTCTCTCGACGTCCTCGTCCCTTCCCTGACCTCGTCGTTAACGCCCGCAGTACCTCAACAAGCCGGCATGGGACCCCCTTCTGCCGCCGCCCTTGCCCGAGCCTCACTACCGCCCGTACACGCTCGTGATCGACCTCGAGGACATGCTCACGCACGACAACTGGGACGTGCGTCCCCCTCTCTCGTCTCTCGTCCCTCGCCCTCGTTGACTGACGCAGTCACCTCTCGCAGATCGAGCACGGCTGGCGGACAGCCAAGCGCCCGGGCGCCGACTACTTCCTCGCCTACCTGTCGCAGTTCTACGAGATCGTCCTCTTCACCACCCTCCCGTCTTATGTGCGTCCCTCTCTCTCTCTCCCGTCCCGCCCTCTCCGGTCACAAAGACGTCGTCCTGACTCTCGCGCACTCCCTCGCCCACAGCTCGCCATCCCGCAGATCGAGCAGATCGACCCGTACGGCGCCTACATCCCGTGGAAGCTGTTTAAGGAGGCGACGCGGTACAAGAACAACGCGCACATCAAGGACCTGTCGTACCTGAACCGGCCGATCGAGCGCACCGTCATGCTCGACGTCGACCCGGAGCGGACCCAGCTCCAGCCCGACAACTCGATCGTGCTCAAGCGGTGGGAGGGCACCCGCGGCGACGCGACCGCCAACGAGCTCGTCGCCATGATCCCGTTCCTCGAAGCTCTCGCCATCAAGGGCGTCAAGGACGTGCGCCCCGTCATCAAGCACTACGAGGGCAAGCACATCCCGACCGCGTACGCCGAGGCCGAGCTCAAGGCCAAGCAGGAGCTCCTCGACCAGTGGGAGGCGCAGAAGAGCGACACGAGCGTCAAGGGCTGGATCGGCTCGCTCTTTGGCGGCCTCACCAAGGTGCGTCCCTCGCTCTCTCTCTCTCTCCAGCCTTCGTCCCCTCGAGACTGACTCTCGCTCTCTTGTGTGCAGGGCACTATCCGCGATGCCCCGCCCGAGACGGACGTCGAGAAGGTGCGCAAGACGGCGCAGAAGCTGTACCTCGACGAGCAGAAGTACTGGCGCGACAACGCCGAGACGATCAACGCCCAGATCGAGGAGGACAAGCAGCGCCAGCTCAAGGAGATGTCGAGCTCGCTCATCGGCATGATGGGCCTCAAGCCGCCGGCGCCGCCGCAGCAGGCGTGAGTCACGAGTCGAGGCGAGGGACGAGGAGCGAGGGAGTGTGTATATTCGCAGAGGGAGACTCGCAACAAGCAAATCTGTACGACCGTCGCCGACCCATTGTACCACCCCCTCCCCTCGTAGTCGTCTGCTGCAACCTGCCCTCCTCTCCCATCTCTCGGACCGTCGTGAGCGGCCCCGAGAGCGCTTGCGACCTCGCTCTGGCTCGTGCGCTTCGAGTTGTCGAGCTGCGAGGGTGCGGCTTGGCGATGTCGTCGGGGTGGAAGGTGCTGTGGCGGACCTGCATGCGTCGGAGGGACAGGGAGAGAAAGAGAGTCAGTGAGGTTGCTCGGGACGAGGAGAACGGCTGCTTGTGCTCTTGAAGCGGGAGGGGGGCCAAAGGATCAGATCTGGCCTAATGTGTCGCCATGTCGAGCGCCTCGTCCTCGCCGATCCAGTCGAGCGCACCGCGCCGCCGGAACGCACAGCGCGAGGGAAGGGTTGGCGACGGCGAGTGAGGTCCGTCGAAGAGGGAGGGCAGGACGAGAGGCGCCACGAGAACTCGGATATCCATTCTGTGTGTGTCATCGTGTCGAGAGGGGCCCTCCTGCTTCGCGTTCGAGTGAGAGAGAGCTCACCTCGAGGTTCGAGTGCGAGTCGAGCGGTCGGGGCGAGGGCTCAGCCGGCGGGGATGCCGCGCTTGTGGTGCTTGACGGCGGCGAGGCTCATGCTCATGGTGACGAGGACGAAGCCGAGGAACTTGAAGAAGGCGGTGCGCGAGTACTCGCGCTCCTCGAGAGGCGAGCGGAACGAGGCGAACTGGACGGTGGGGACGGGGTCAGCGCGGGGCACGCACGAGGGAGGGGAGGAGAGGGTGCGCACAATGTTGCGCAGGTTGGGCAGAGCCATGGCGGTGTTGGTCGAGCGAGTCGAGTGACCGTCCTGGACGAGACGTCGAGCGACAACGACGCTTGGCTCCACCGCCGCGCCCGCTGCAGCACTAGCCGCTCCCGCTGAGCCAGCTTGCTCCCTCTCGTTCGCACTACAATGGCTATCGACAAGCGCGTCGTCGTCCTCGGCACCGGCGGTGAGCCCCAGCCCTCACACTCTCCCCCTCCCCCCCACTTCCGAGGCCTGACTCTTCCCTCTCGCCCCTCGCCTCGCAGTGGTCGGCCTTTCGTGCGGCCTCGTCCTGTCCCGACAAGGCTACCGCGTCCACTTCATCGCGCGCGACTTGCCCGAGGACTCGACCTCGCAAGGCTTCGCCTCCCCCTGGGCGGTCCGTCTCCTCGGCCTCAACCCTCCCATTCTTCCCTGTTTATAGACCCGAGCTGACCCTCTCGAGTACGTGCACGCAGGGCGCCAACTGGACGCCGTTCTACTCGCGGGACGAGGGCCCTCGCCAGGCCAAGTGGGAGGAGGCCACCTTTGCTCGCTGGGTCTCGCTCGTCCCGTCCGGCCTCGCCATGTGGCTCAACGACACGCGCCGCTACGCCGACACCGACGCCGGCCTCCTCGGTCACTGGTACCGCGACACGGTCCGCAACTACCGCGAGCTCCCGCCGAGCGAGCTGCCCAAAGGCGTCGCGGCCGGCGCCGCGTACGACACCCTGTCGGTCAACGCGCCGCTGTACTGCCAGGCGCTCGCGAGGGAGCTGCAGACGCTCGGCGCGACCTTCGAGCGCAGGTCGGTCTCGTCGATCGAGCAGGTGTTCGAGGGCCAGGACGACATTGCGCTCGTCGTCAACGCCACCGGGCTCGGTGCGTCCTCTTTCGCCGACCTGTCCTTCTCCTCTCCTCGAGCAGAGTCGCTCACCGTGTCTTCGAGTGTTTGCAGGCGCCAAGTCGATCGCTGGCATCGAGGACTCGGCGTGCCACCCAGTGCGAGGCCAGACGGTGCTCGTCAAGTCCGGCTGCAAGCGCTGCACCATGGACTCGTCGAGTGCGTCCCCTCGCGTCCTCTTTCGGTCTTGGTTCCGGACGAGACTGACGCTGCGCTCGTACAGACCCTGAGGCGCCCGCCTACATCATTCCGAGGCCTGGCGGCGAGGTCATCTGCGGCGGCACCTATTTGGTCCGTCCCACTCTCTCTCTCGCTCTCTCCCGACGCTCGTGCGAGACATGCCCTGACCTTGCTTCCGCCCATCCTCACGCAGGTCGACGACTGGGACCTCTCGCCCTCGGCCTCGACCGCGCAGCGCATTCTCACCCAGTGCCTCGCGCTCGACCCGTCCATCTCGACCGACGGCACGCTCGACGGAATCCACATCCTGCGGCACAACGTCGGGCTGCGCCCTGCGCGCACCGGCGGACCGCGCGTCGAGGTCGGCAAGCTCACGCTGCCACTCGTGCGCTCGACCGAGCCGGGCACGGCGCTCGCGCTCGGAACGGCTCGCCCTGCTCCTGCGGGCGCGTCGAGCGAAGCGGTGGGTGCGCCGAGCGAGGCGGTCAAGCGCGAGGTGACGCTCGTGCACGCGTACGGGTTCTCGAGCGCCGGCTACCAGCAGAGCTGGGGCGTCGCGCAGGACGTGCTCGGGCTCGTCGAGGGCGAGATCGGGCCGCCTCGAGCCTGGTGGACGCAGAGGGGCAAGCTGTAGTGCGGGTCGTGCGCATCGGAGCGAGTTTGTGTCGGCCTTCGCAAGTTGGCTCGAATCGCGGTGGCGGCGCAGCTCCCTCAACCTCTTCTCTCTCTTCCCGGACCGTCTCGCCGACAGTGAGCGCATGTCGAGACGCTCTTGTGCACGTACGAGAGCCGTCGCTCGGCTTCTTCTCGAGAGAAGAACCGCGAAGCGAGCGCTCATCCCTCGTCCAGAGCTGCTCGCAGGATGGCAGCTTGCGGACGACAGTCTCGTACGAGCCGAGCTGCGCTTTGACTTGGGTCCTGCGCAACCCGAAGCTGCGACGAGTTTCCGCTCGCTCTCGGCGAAGCGACCCCGAACGATCGCTCGTTCCGGCGCCGCTCTCTTTCTCGCACCTTGCTCTGCTCTGCACTGCATCTCGACTGCACCTCGCACGACACCACCACCGCACCACATCCCCCCCGTCCAACCACCAGCATGGTCCAGGTGCGCCTCGTCTCCTCCTCATCGCCTCCTCCGCTCCGTCGACTGACATCACAGCCTCGCCCTCTCCTCCCTCGCCCGCCCTCCCTGGTGCCCGCTCGCAGCAAACCGTCGACCCGAACGACCAGTCGCAGCACTACCGCGCCACCGTCGCAGGCGGCGCCAAGGGCGGCCTCGCCGGCCTCGCCGTCGGCGGTGCAGGAGCTGTGGCGCTCCAGCGTGCGGGCGTCAAGGGCTTCACCCAGCTCACGCTCCCGCTCAAGGCTTTTGCTGTCACGTGCGTCCCTCTTCCCCTGGTCCCGATTTCTCTGTGGCGCGAGCTGACCCTCTTGCCCTCCCTCCCCTCCTCACCCTCCTCGACCCGCTCGACCGTTCCGCACATCCACGCACGCAGAGCACTCGGCACGGCCGGCTTCATCATCTCGGCCGACAAGGCGGCGCGCGAGTTCGAGCTGTCCAAGTACGCGACGGGCTCGGGCACGGAGCTCGAGCGCATCTCGCACGAGCAGCAGCGCCTCGAGCAGGAGGCCGGGATCGCGCCCGGGTCGAAGAACAAGGGCGCGGCGGGACCGGTGAGCACCAAGGAGGCCGTCATCGAGTGGGCCAAGGAGAACCGGTGGACGGCGATGGGCGTGACGTGCGTCCCTCCTCTTCCTGTTTCTCAACCTCGGACGACACTGACTCTTGCCCGACGATGTCCCGCAACAGGTGGGCCGGCTCGATGGCTGCTTCGGGCGCATATATCGCCGCGACGCCGCTCTCGTTCGCGCAAAAGCTCGTCCAGGTGCGTCCCTCGCTCTCTCCCTTTCTGCACATCCCTCTCTGACGCCTGCTTTCGTCGTACAGGCGCGCATGGTCTCTCAGGGCGTCACCGTCGCCGCCCTCATCGCCTCAGCCGGCCTGAGCCAGATCCCGAACGCGCAATCGGGCAAGTCGGACGACCAGATCAAGCGCGAGGAGCGCGAGGACGGCATGTACGCCTGGAAGAAGGGCTCGCCGCACACGCGCAGCGACGCCAAGACGACCAACTGAGCACGCGAGCGAGCACGTTTGCCGGTTGCGCTCCGGCAACGCTCGAGCGACTCGGTCGAAGCCACCAACCTCCGACTCTCGACCTGTACCATCCATAGATCTTTGTCCGCCTGCAGTACATACATACAGCCTCGCTCGAGTATCTACAGAGAGAGCGAGAGAGCATCTCGATCGCGGCAAAGAGAGACGAGAAGAAACCGCGAGGCCGCACCGACCCTCCCTCGCCATCCAGCTCGGCCCTCGCTCACAGCTTGGCCTTGATCCGCCCCCGTCCGACCGCCTCGTCCCTGACCGAGTTGACGAGCGTCCCGCACCCCTCGACGAAGCACCGCACGTCGTCGCCGTCGCGCATGAACGGGCTCTGGTCAACGACGTCGCCGGGCGCCTTGCGGCCGAGCGCGATCGGGGACCCGGTGAGGATGAGGGACCCGGCGGGGAGGGTCGTGCCGTGCGAGAGACGCGCGATGAGCTCGGGCTGCAGGAGGGACGAGGGGAAAGGGTGGGCGCGAGCGCGAGGTCAGGTCGAGTGCGAGAGGGAGAGATCCCGAAAAGGCGGACGAGAGTGGGAGGGAGAGAGGACGCACGATCTTGATGACGAGGTCTGCCGTCGTACCCTTCTGCGCGAGCTTGCCGTTGACGTGCGTCGTGATCGTGAGCTTGTGCGGGTCTGCGCCGAGAGCTTCTGGCGAGACGAGGCAAGGGCCGAGAGGGCACCACGCTGCAGACGGCGAGCGTGTCAGTCTCGTACTGCGTCGTATCGGCGACGAGATCGAGGGGACACACTGTCGTAGCTCTTGCCCATGCCCCACTGGACGCCCTTTGCGCACAGGCCGCGCGAGGAGACGTCGTTGACTGCGGGCGAGGGGCGTCGTCAGCTCCTGAGCGGGGCAGGAGAGTGACGAAATACACTCACCGACGCAGTAGCTGTGTGAGATGTGGACGAGAGTCAGGAGAGGTGCGACCTGCGCGACCGCGAAAGGAGAAAGGCGGACGCACCCGCCGACGTAGCTCATGGCGTCGTCCTCCTTGACGTCCTTGGCGTCCTTGCCGAGCACGACGCACAGCTCGACCTCGTAGTCGTTCTTCTCGCCGTCGGCGAGCTTGGGGAGCACGATGGCGTCGCCTGGACCCGCGAGCGAGTTGGTCGCCTTGAAGAAGACGACGGCGACGTCGGGCTTGGGCTGCGGCTTGGTCGGGTCGGCAGAGTACTGGAGGCCCATGCCGCGGATCGAGGGGACGTGGTGCGGGGCGAGTGGCGGGAGGAGGCGCTGGACGGTGAGGCTGCGGCTCGAGGACGAGGGAGAGGAGGTCCAGGGGGACGACTGGTCGGCGAGCGGGCGAGCCGTGATGCGCTCGCCTTGGGCGTACAGCAGGCCGAGGTCGCCTTGCTGGTCAGGCTCGCCGTAGTAGGTCTGTGGGCGGACAGAAGACGGTCAGCCTTCGGGAGGTGGGGACGAGTGGAGGAGAGGGGGAGAGGAAGGGGAAGCGCACCTTTGCGTCCTCCTTTGCGACGAAGCGGACAAGGCGAGACCAAGCAGGCGCAGCCATTGCGTGTGTAGTGTAGCAGACCAAGCAGGAGGAGAGAGCGAGAGAAGGGCAAGTTGGTCCGCGAGTCGCCGTCGGCCCGTCGAGCCGCTCTCGCGCCCACCCTCCACCCACGCTCGCTCCTGAGCACACAGACGCAGCGTGGGCAAGTCCCACACAGGCTGTGGACCACGCGGCAGCCGTCCTCGCTGCGCTCCGCACCTCCGCCGAGCCGCCCCAGCTTCGTCGCGATGACGACCTTCTCGTCCCTCCACCACCGACCACCTCGTCCAAGGACCGCTGAACCACCCCGGCCCACTCCCACAACCACCTTCGTCCCCGCCCGTGCGCTCGGCGTCTTCGCCCACACCGCCCGCACCTCGCCCGCATCCACCGACGTCGCAGCCCGCCCGTTCAACAGCTCGAACCGCTCTCCCGCCAGGCTCAGGAGGTCTAGCTGCGTCGAGCGAGGTGCTCGCTCCGCATTGAGGAGCCGGGCCGGTGAGGCGGGCGGCCAGAAGCAGCGCCAAAGCAGGCGAGGTGAGCCGAGGCGGACGAGCGCGGGCAAGCGGCGGCAGGAGCAGCGCTGTGCGCGGCAGCGTATGCTCTGAGGGCGAGCACGGAACGGGACGGCGAAGCTCGCTGGCTTCGTTTGCGCGGTGGCTGGTGGCGCGACTCGTCGACGCTCGCTCGTGCTCGCCGTGCATGCCGCACGGCCGTGGCTCCATGCCGGCCAAGGCTGCGCTGCAACAAGCTCTAACTACCCGTCCTGCTGCCGCACGCTTGGCGCTCGCTGCACCGACGCAGCCGGGTCGTGCTCTCGTCGTCTGTCCGCTGCGGGTGGCGCGCTCGTGCGCCGGCGGCCTCCCACTCTCCTGCAGGTCCCGCCGCCAAGCGCCGCCCAGAACCGCTGCGGGCACACACTCTCGATGAATCGGCAAAGACGCGCACAGGAGCTGGCGTGCTCGATCGTCGTGCGGCGCCCGTGTCCGCGGCATGGCATCGCTCGAGGTCGTGCTCGCGTCGTCTGCGCTTTCGACGGCCGGTCGAGGGGCAGCCATGGAGCAGCAGTGCCGGCGCGCAGGAGGAACGAGCGCATGTGCGAGGAGTCGGGCGCACGTCGAGGTTATCGAGGCGGGAGCGGTCGCGTCGGGCTCCTAGACCGCCTTTTGCCCACGTAGTTTCGTTTCGTTCGAGTTGCAGCGATCGGATCGTCGTACCGACAGTATCGCTGCGCAGAGAGACGCTCGGGAAGGCTCAGCTGGTGGCCATGAAGCCGAGCCTTCCGTCGACGGCTGCTGCTGAGCGCTGAGACGAGTGTCACCTCGCTCTTCGAACAACGCTAGCCGCTCTCTCGACAGCGCTGAGCCCTCGAGCCGCCAATGGCCACAGCAGCACCCGTCGCACACCTGACGGCGCTCCTCGCCCCGCCGTCGGTCGACCAAGCCCGCACCTCCGCACGCGGCCACCTCTCGTCGGCCCTGCCGTCGCCGCTCACGGCCTCGCAGCTCGGTCCGACCCTCGCCAAGCTCCTCGAGCAGCAGCAGGCCCGCGCAGCCCAACTCGAGCGCGACCTCGGGGCGTCGCGGGACCAGAGCGCCGCCCTGCTCACCTCTGCGCGGGGCCACCTCGAGCGGGTCAAGCAGCGCACGGGCGCGCTCAAGGCGGGGCACGCGCAGGTCGACGCGGGACTGCGCAGTGCGCGCGACAAGCTCGTGTCGGGCCTCGAGGCGCGCGACGAGGACGGCGCCGGCCAGACGCTGCGAGAGCGGCTCGTCGAGTTGAGCGTGCAGCGCAAGGAGCTCGAGGCGGCCAGGACTTGGTTCGGCGCCGTCGCAAGGGCAGAAGAACTCGGGTGCGTCGCCGGCCTCTCCCTCTCCAGCGGCCGCACACCCCGTACTGACCTCCTCGCCGTCGTCACAGCTTCACCGTCCTCCGCTCGCTCGAAGCAGGGTCGCTCCCGCAAGCCTTCCGCGCCTACGTCGGCCTCGTCGAGTACATCAAGGCCGTTTATGCCGACAGCGACTCGGTCAAAGGCGCTCAAGGCGGTGCGGGCCTCGTGGCCCTCACCTCGCACCTCGTCGGCATGGCCAACTCGGTGTGGAGCTCGCTCGTGCGCGTCCTGTCCAGGTGCGTCCCCGCCTGCCTTTCTCGCACGACGATCTCGAGCCTGACCCTACCGCCTGTTCGCAGCCGACTACTCGGCAAGCTCGAGGTGCTCGGGTGGCCCCAGCCGTTCGAGGAGGCGCTCGACCCGTACGAGGACGCCAAGGTCGCCGAGTTCCAGACCGCCTTTGCCGACCTTCTCACGCTCGAGCTCGTGTGCGTCATCTGTCCCCCTCTCGACGAGCCTCGGCGCCCGTGAGCTCATCCTCCTTCACCACCCACCGCCACAGTCAAGCCAACAACCCGATCCCGGGCCCGCCCAAGACCGGTGTCCTCGCGTCGACCAAGCCCAAGCCTCTTCTTGCACTCGCGCCGCTCGTCCACCCGTTGCTGCTGCGCTTCAAGTGGCAGTTCGACGGCGACAGGAGCACAAACCGCATCGACAAGGTGCGCCTCACTTTCTCCTCGTCCTGGGACCTTCTGCTCTCTCTCTCAAGCCGCCTAACGAGTCGTCCTCTGCGCCGCAACAGCCCGAGTACCCGCTCTCGCACGTCCTCAACCTCCTCACGGCGCACGAGCGCTTTCTCGGCGAGGACATCCAGTACCTCCTCGACTCGAACGGCTTCGAGCACATCGACGCCATCGTGAGTATCTCGCACTCGCCTACTGTGAGTACGACACACTGACTCTCTCTTTGCGCCGCAGAACGAGTTCACGTCCCTGCTCCTTCCGCCTCTCGCCTCTCGGCTTCGGCACCACCTGCCGCAGCTCCTCTCGATGCCGCCCGTCCTCGCGCACACGGTCTACCAGGTCGTCGAGTTCGACCAGCAGCTGCGCAGCCGTGGTTACCGCCCGAGGACGTGGCCGACCGTCCTGCGTCCGGACGAGGTCCCGCCCGAGGAGGACGAGAGCGAGTGGGAGGGCCTCGGCGAGACGATTCTCGGACGCGACGAGTGGTTCGGCCGATGGCTCGACGGCGAGCGCGAGTGTGCGTCCCTCTCTCTCTCTCTCTGGACTCGTCGATGATGATCACCCCCTGGACCGGGAGGAATGAAGGGGGGAGCGATCCGAGACATCTCCTCGCCCAGGCCTCGTCGCGCCAGTCCTGATCATGTCCTCTTCCTCGCCAGCAGTTTTCGACCAGCGGTATTACGACTGCATCACCGCGACCGACGCGTGGCACGTCGTCTCGGAGGAAGACTTTGACGCCGGCGAGAGCGGCAGCGGGACGAGGCCGACAAATTCCGCGCTCAGGGTCAAAGAGCTCGCAGAGCAGCTCGCCGGTGCGTCCATACACCTCTCTGCGACGATCCCTGAGACGAGAGAGCCCCCTCCTGACCCGCCCCATCGCGTCGGCCCGCAGAACGATACCGCCCGCTCCCTCTGCGCCACACCCTCCCGTTCCTCCTCTCGCTCCACCTCCCTCTCCTCCAGTCGTACGCCGCACGTATCACGTCGGCGCTCGACGCGTTCGAGTCGTTGTCGTTCGGCATCCTCCCTGGCGCGCTCGGCCAGACGACGGCGGCGACGGCGGGCGTTGGCGGTGTCGTACGGCTCGTCCGGGCCGGCGTCAGTGCGAGGTGGATGAGTGAGCGGTGCGAGGAGTGGGGCGAGGACGCTGTGCGTCGCAGTCTTTCTCCTCGTCTCGCCGACAGAGGATGGACGCGCACTGACCCTGCTCGAGGCGCGACCCGCAGTTCTTCCTCACGCTCTACGAGTACCTCTCGACGGCCGCCGCGACGCCGGGCAAGCTCGACGACACGCTGCAAGATGCCGCCGAGGACGTGCTCGACAACAGCGAGGGCACAACGTTCGACCGCGAGCGCAAGACGTTCGAGTCGCTCGCCGAGCGCAGCGACGAGCTCATCGTGCGGCACTCGGTCCGCGAGGTCGTCAGCGACCTCAAGCCCTACTTCAACAAGTGCGCCTCGTCTCTCTTTCCGCCTGCAAGCGACCGCACCTGACATTGTCCTTGCGCGTGCAGGCGATGGGACGTCGCGAGCGGCGAGGACGACTCGGCCGACCTTTCCCTCAGCCCCGAGCTCATCTCGCCCCTCTCGCTCCTGTCGTCTCTCCTGTCGACACTCGTCCAGTCGTGCCCGCCCTCGACCCGCACGACCCTGTACCGCCGCATCGCCGCCGGCCTCGCCCAAGCCCTTTTCGACCGCCTCCTCGTCTCGCACGGCTGGACCGAGTCGTCGGCGCGGCAGCTCCAGTACGACCTGCAGCACGGCTTCCTCGTCGCGGCGCGCGAGGCGGGCATGCCGCAGAAGGGCCTGCAGCGAGGGTGGGACGTGGCGCGAGCCGGCGCGACCGTCCTCGCGCTCCCGGCCATGGCGAGCCAGCAGGGCGGGTACGCTCCCGGCGGCGAGTGGACCTTTTCAAAGGTCATGCAGGTCGTGTTCGACGACGACAGTGCCGGCGCGGCGGGGGAGGAGGGCGGCAGGTTCGCCGAGGTCATGGACGACTTGGGCGTCGGCGAGGCGCTGTCGAGGGCCGAGGTGCAGCAGCTCATGCGGCGCAGGCCCGAGTGCTGGAGATAGCGTGTCATTGCAATTCTCGTCACCCTCTCTCGATTTTCTGTGTTGAGCGAGCGAGAGCTCGTCGAGAGAGGCTGACTTGAGAAGGCCGCCCTCTCGCTCTCGCTCGCACGGACCTCGAGAGACAAGGAGGCGGCTCTAGGTTGTGCATGTCCACCGTGTGCTGTTCCGACCGAGACTACTCAAGTTAAGAGGCTTCGAGCCAGAAAGGAAAGGGGTACAACACACAGCGTGGCGCACGGTGACATGGGCGAGGGAAGGAAGAGGAGGGGGGACGAGGGGAATGGGGCCAGCTCGCCGCAGCCGAGGTGGGTTCGACGGTCGAACAGACCGTCGGCAGGGGCTGGAGGAAAGGCCAAGGGACTGGCGGCGACGGGAGGACGGCGAACGAGGGCACAAGTCCGTGTAGGGTGAGGATAACGAGGGGAACGAGGCGAAGGACGAATGAGGGGTAGAGCCGAGGGACCTTGCCGAGTTAGGCGCCGTAGCAGAGCACAGCCTGTCGGTCTTGGGTGCGCTTGCTGTAGTAGCCGGGCGGGCAGTCTGCGACGCGAGAGGGCCACGTCAGATCGGCGACGATGAAGTGGAAAGGCGAGGAGAGAGGGCGACGCACTGAGTTGGCAGTTCCTGTTGCGGCACTGCGGCTTCCCGATGCCGTTGTACGACCCCGGGCACACGTTGCCGACGGCGCCGCAGTTGCTCGGCGACGTGACGAGGCTGACGCACGTGCCCTGTGGCGTCGCGACATAGCCGTTGGCGGTGTCGCACACGAGCGTGCACACGTTGGCGCCGGTGCAGAGGAACGCGCCGTTGTCCGTCGACCCGCACGTAGTGCTGCCGCACGACGAGGAGCTCTGGATGCAGACGCCGCCGGCGAGGAAGTAGCCCGGCTGACAGCCGACTGTGCGAGGGAACGTGCGAGGAGCGTCAGGCTGGGTCGAGGCAGGACCCGAGAAGGAGGGAGAGAAGACTTGCCCTCGCACAGGTGAGTGACGGGGTCGCAGATGGCGGCGCCGTTGGCCGGGATGTCGTTCGGGTCCGTGACGGCCTTGGCGCACACCTTGCCTGTCGCGATGCGCAGCAAAGTCAGTCACGGGCGCACAGGTAAGAGAGAGAGAGAGAGAACGAGAGACGCACTCTGGCCACAGCGGTAACGCTTGAGGACGCGGGCAAAGAGGGCGCGACGGGCGAGCAGGCTCTTCGTGACACCCTCGCGCTCGTACGTCTCGGTGATGTGCCGCTTGAGGAGGGCGTGGGCCGCGTCGTGCTGTTCTCCTGCGCCGCGCCTCGCCTTCTTTGCGGCGGCCAGCTTTGCGCGCTTGACGCGGGCCGCCGACTTTTCGCGCGACTCGGGCGAGCGCTTCTCGACAGGCGACGTGTTCGAGTAGAGCGACGGCTGCGACGTGGAGCGGTGAACGAGATCGTTCCCTGTGTGTTGGAAGGATGGGCGCCCTGTCAGCTTGACGTCCTGCGGGACGCAGGCCGAGGAGGAGGAAGTGAGGACGAGGTCGGCTCACCTTGCAGCATGATGCCGGCTCGTGCGGTGGGTGCGAGGGCGAGAGCGACGAGGACAAAGGTCGACAGGAAAGCCTTGATCGACGGCATCTTGAAGGGAAGGACGAGGCGGGTGAAACGAGTGACTGGGAGATGAGGGAGACGAGGGAGACGAGGGAAGAGCGCCAGAGAGAGGGAAGCGGGACGAGAGGAGTGACGAGCACAGTGTTTGTTTGCAAGCATGTACAGCGCGTCTGAGAGCGCGCAGCCAAGAGTGTGCCTCGAGACGACTCCTCTCGCTTCGCGTCCGAGTTGAACGACCGGGAGCGGAGCGCGGGAAGGACCTTCTGTGGCTCCTGTCACAGGTTCGGTTCTCGCCGCTGCACGAAGCTGGCGACGACAGATTGCGCTGCGTATCGGCGCTATCTGGCTCGCGAAGAAAAGGAGAAGTGGACGCAGACTCGAACTCGCAAACGCACTCGGCGTGCTCGTCTCGACGCGACTCGCGTTCCCACGTTCGCTTTCCTACCTGCGTCTGCGTACCTCGAGCTGCTCGATGCGGTAGGCGCTGCGCGGTCCTGCCGGTGTGAGATCGCGCCCGAATGGAAGCCTGAACCATCCCCGACCTTCCCAAGTCCGCGCACGCACCTCTCCGTGTCCGTCGTCGACAGCGAGCGACTGACGTGCTCCTCGCGCTCGGTGGCTGTGTGCGTCCTACGTATCGCTTCCGAGGCGCGCTTGTGCCATTCCGCGGCGTCGCCGGGCCCGAGCCCCGTTCGCGGACGGGCCGGCAGCGCGCTCGCACCCCTCGACTTTCTCCGTCTTTCAGGAAGCGAGCCAGAACGCACGCCTGAGAGCTCGACCATACACGACCGTGCATGCGACTAGAGAGAGGAAGCAGGACGAGACCGGCGGTCGGCTGCACGGAGGCGCAAAGCGAGAGAAAGCTCGAGGAAGCCCAACTTGAGAAGGTCGCTTTCTCGGCTCTCTCGAGGTGGGAGAGACGGGGACGGTGATTCTAGGATTTACAGGTTCACCGCTATGTGCGCCCTAAATAAAGTGAGGGAGAGAAGGAGGTACAGGTGCCGTAAGGGCGAAGGAGAGTGGAAGGACTGCGGTACTGCTGGAAGCGCTAGAAGAACAAGTGAGGGGATGTGCTGGCCCGTCCGCCCTTGGCTCGAGTCCCAGCAGCCTGTCGCGCGCCGTCGACGTGTCCCTCGAAGGAAAGAGTGGGAAGGAACGAGTGGGAGGTGGGCGGGGAGGGTGAGGGGAGGGAGGGAGGGAGCGAACGTGGACCGGGTACCCAGATACAGCGAGCGAGGAGGACCTCGAGCTTATGCGCCGTAGCAGTAGAGCGAAGAGCCGTCGAGGGTGCGACGAAGCGTAGTGCCGTTCGGGCAGTCTGCGCGAGGGGGAAAGAGAAGGTCAGCTCGCGGCCCATGTTCGAGGCGCGAGGGCGAAAGGAGGGGACGCACTGAGGCGGCAGACGCCGTTGCGGCACGAGGACGAGCCGACGCCGTTGTACGAGCCCGGGCAGACGTTGCCGACGGCGCCGCAGTTGTCGGGCGACGAGCGGATGCTGATGCACGTGTTGTCGGCGGTCGCCATGTAGCCCGACGCGCGGTCGCAGATGAGGGTGCACTGGTTGGTGCTCGACGGGCAGATGAAGCTGCCGTTCGGGGTCGAGCCGCAGACCTGGCCGCCGCACGTCGGGACGTTGGCGATGCAGGCGCCGTTCTGGAGGGTGAAGCCCTCGGCGCAACCGACTGCGGACAGGCTCAAGCTCAGTCAGGGCTCAGGCTCGTCTGGAAAGAAGGGGGAAGAGCGGCGACGCACCGGCGCAGAGGTGAGAGATCGGGTTGCAGACGGCGCGGCCGTTCGAGGGAAGGTCGCTCGCCGAGGTGACGGCCTTGGCGCAGACACGGTCTGTTGGGGGGAGCGAGCCGGGTCAGCTACGCCGCTGCAGAGAGAGACAGGCTCGGGGGAGAAGAGGACGCACCGGTACCGCACCGGTAGCGCTTGAGGGCGCGAGCGAAGATGGCGCGGCGCTCGAGGTCACGCTTGGTGACGCCCTCGCGAGCGTGCATCTCGTCGATGTGGCGCTTGAGGAGGGCCTGGCTCTCGTCCTGAGCAGCCATGGCGCGCTTGGCCTTCTTAGCGGCGGCGAGCTTGGCGCGCTTGACGCGGGCCGACGACTCCTTGCGCGACTCGGTCGAGCGCTCGACGAGCGCCTCGTTGGTGTAGAACGACGGCTGCGACGAGCGGCGGACGAGGTCGTTGGCTGCAAGGACGTCGACGAGATAAGGAGAGGGGACGGGCGACGGCAGAGGTCAGCTCGTTGCGCTACGTCGACGAGGAGAGGGGGAGAGAGGCTCACCCTGGACCGGCGTGGCCTGAGCGAGGGGCGAGATGGCGAGGGCCGCGAGGGCGAACGCGGCGAGGCAGGACTTGATCGAAGGCATGATGGACGGAAAGGAGAGGAGGGATCGAAGGCACTGAGGTGGCGAGGCGAGGACGAGGAGGAAGTGAGGGAAAGAGGAGAGAGGGCGGGTCGGCTCGAGCGGGTGGACAGGGAGGGGCGAGGGAGAAAGAGAGCGTGTGAAGGAATCGACGCTGGGAAGGGCTCGATGGAAGAACGGGGGCGCGGAGGAGAATTGTGACCACGAAATGGAGCTTGGTGGTGGGAAGTCCGCCCAGCTCGCTCGCACGCGTGGGTTGCGAGGTCAACGTTCTCCGCGATCGAGCGAGAGGCACCTTCCGCTGTGGGCCTCGAAGGACTCGACGCTCGCCGATAAAGCCCAACGGACAAAACCGACGACCTGCCGCACTGGGGAGGCCCGACCGCGCTCGCCCCCCTTGGCAGGCCGGCCGACGGTGGAAGTGCGGAGGCCCCGGCCGCAGGCCGGTTGCTTCGCTCGCTTCTCCAGGTGTGATGGACCGCATGCTCTGCCGGCCAGCGGGGCATCGACCCACGCTGGGTTAGATGCGCCCGAGGTGCGCGCCTCTCCCCAGACTGGTTCGACCTGCGCTCGGCCGCGCGCCGTACGTCGCGGGATCGTCCTCTTTGGACGCTCTCGCTGTCGCTGTCGCTCTCTCGCTCGGGCTGGGTCTGTGCGCGCTCGCCAGAGTGTTGCCCTGAATGCCGAGCTGCAGCGCGTGGCTCGCACCTTGCAAAGCCTCCCGGTCCGTAAAGCCAGCGAGATGCACCGCCGCACGCGGCCTTCATCAGGCGAGAGAGGCGGCCACGTTCGCCGAGGCGGCTTTCCGATTCGATTGGATCAATCGTGCGAGCGCAGCCTTGATCGGCTTCGTACGCCACGCTTTTCCCCGGGAAGTCTGCCCCTTGGCAACCGGTTCCGGCGAGGCGAGGCTGGCAGGCAGGCAGCAGGCGCCGACCGCCGACCGGGTCAGGCAAGGTTTGCGCTCGGCCCTTTGCCAGCGAGCACTTGCACCCCGGCCTGCTTGCAGCTTGCTCTTGACGACTCGCAGCTGCTGCTCATCGCTCGAGCCCGAGCTGTCCAGCCTCCACCACCGGACGACGCCTCGCCGACCACTCTCGGGTTGGGTCCGAGCGACCTCGCCAGGGAGGGCAACCTGCTCTAGCCCAGGCTGGCGCTCAAGGTTGCGCTGCGAGAAGGACCCCGAGCTATCCCACCTCTTCTCGCTCCGCAGTCGTCGCTGCCGCCGAGGCAGAAGACTTGACACAGGCCGCTCGGGCCTCGGGCGAACGCGACGTCGAGCTGCATCGACGGCTCGTTGCGCCCGCTCTCACGTCTGCTCGAGCATCTCACGGATCTCACTCGGCTCTTTGCGAGCCTGCACGACACCGCATGACCGCTAATCACGACGGCGAGAGTGGCCGGATCGGAGCCTTCCCAAGTCGCTCTTCGCCTTCTCAGCCTGCTCTCGCCCGCCGTTCTCATCTCGCGTCAACGAGCACACCTTGCAAGTTGAGCTCCTTTCGCTCTCTCGATGAACTCGGACTCGCTGCGGATGCTGTCAACACGGCGGCCTCGCCTTGCGAGGTCCGAGCTCCGACTTTCCCATCCGCCGCGAGGGAGGCTTGCTCGCCGGCGGCACAAAACGTCCTTTGCGCTGCGCCGCTTTCATCTGCTTCGCTCCTCGGCAGCGAGGACCGCTCGACGACCTCTTAACGTCACGTCGCGAGCCAGCTATCGACGCCTTTCCGCATCGCTTTTCCGGAAAAGGCGACGCTCCTGAGCTGCAAGGGTCCGGCACCGTCGACAGAGCAGACGCTCTGCAGCTCCACCTACTCGACACCGTACGCGCGAGTGGGCAAAGTGGAACCCTGGCGCGAGCGCATTCGAAGAGCGCTTTGTTCTGCGGCGGCAAGTGGCGAGACTCGGCGCGCGGTGGTCCGCCTGACGCGACCTTGACGGCGTGGCAGCAGGCGGTGTCACGACAAGCGGTTGATCGATGTTCTGGTACCGCACGGGCAAGTGCAGCGCGAGAGACGCAGCCGACGCAGTTGACCCGAGGCGCGACGAGGGTTGACATTGGCCGACGCGCCCGCGGCCCGCCCGGTTCGCGCCCGGCTTGCATAGCTCCGAGGAGATGGCGCTCTCGCCGTCTTTGCCTGGATTTTCTACGCATGGTGGGTGCGTCGTCGCAAGCTGATCATAGTCTCGCTCAGCCTGGTCAAAGGTCTGCGCCTGCGAGATGAGAGCGAGCCTCGGAACTTGGCTACGGCGGAACGCGACCAAGCTCGTCGCGGCGGTCCGCTCCACAGCACCCCCACACCGCGCACTGCTGCCCAGGTGTGCAGTTTGAGCCTGCGACAAGCACCCGACAAGCTCTCAGCCCCGCCCGCAACCTCGACCGGCCGCAGGATGGCAGAGTTCGCCCGCCTGGTCGTCCCGAAGCCGCCGCGCACCTCGACCGAGAGCCAGCAGCAGAAGGAATCGGTCTACTGGCGCAGCTTCAAGGTGAGCCCCTCCTTGTCCGTTCTCGCAAGCGTGCGGCGCCCACAGGGTGTGGTGACCCCGGCTCACCTCCTCATCTCCACCCTCCTCCCTTCGTCCGCCTGCCACAGTCCCCCACGTTCCTCAAGTCGTACGCGCCCATCACCCACGTCCACTTCTCGCCATCTTCGCCCCATCGCTATGTCGTCACGTCCGGGACCCGCCTCCAGATCTACTCGCCCAAGACCAACCGCGTCGTCAAGACCATCTCGCGGTTCAAGGAGACGGCGACGAGCGGCGAGATCCGCACCGACGGCAAGCTCTGCGTCGCAGGAGACGAGGGCGGGACGGTGCAGGTGTTCGACATCAACAGCCGCGCTATTCTGAGGACGATCCGCGCCCACAAGCAGTGCGTCCTCGCCATTCTCTCGCCAGCACGGCGGCACACGATCCTGACGTCGTCCCTATCCGCAACAGGGCCGTGCACACGACCAAGTTCTCGCCCGGCGCAGGGACGCAGATCCTCACCACCTCTTCCGACACGACCGTTCGCCTCTTCGACCTCTCGACCTCGGCTCCCCTCCGCACCTTCTCCTCCCACACCGACTACGTTCGCGCCGCCTCCTTCGTCCCTTCCTCTCCCTCACTCGTCTTCTCCGGAGGCTACGACTCGACGGTCCGGCTGTGGGACTCGCGCGTCCCCGACAGCGAGGGCAGCGGGTGCGTCTGGGTCGGCCGTCACGGCAAGCCCGTCGACGCCGTCCTCGTCGGCGACCAGGGCACGATGGCCGTGTCGGCCGGCGGGCCCATCATGCGCGTGTGGGACCTCCTCGGCGCGTCGACGTCGCGCTCGGGCGCGCTTGACGGCGGGTTCGACGTCGAGGGCGGCGCCAGTGGGGCGCGCGAGGACGACGTCGAGGAGGACACGGGCACGCAGTACTGCCTCAAGGCGTTGAGCAACCACCAGAAGGCGATCACGTCGCTGTGCTGGGCCGAGTCGGAGCAGGGCGAGAAGCGGGTGTTGAGCGGCGGGCTCGACGGGCTCGTCAAGGTGTACGACCCGCAGGAGAGTTGGCGCGTGCGGCACACGATGCGGTACGGCGGGCAGGTCATGAGCTTGGCGGTCTCGGTGCGTCCCCATCTCGCTCTCTTTCCCTGGTCCGCTCGCGTCGGCGACAGACCCTGACCCTCTTCCTCCTCCTCTTCCTCTTCCTGCCTCTCGTGCCGCAGCCCAACAACTCGCACCTCGTCGCCGGCCTCTCGGACGGCTCGCTGTCGATCCGCACCCGCGCTGGCGTGGGCCGGAAGGCGGGCGTGCCCGTCGAGAAGGTGACGCCCTCGTTCGACGCCATGCTCGCCGGCATGGGTCAAGGCGGCGTCGTCTACAGCGGCAAGCAGGCGGGCGAGGGGCTCAAGGCGACGTTCGAGGGCGAGGTCAAGGTGTCCAAGGAGCGGCGGCGCAAGCTCACCGAGTGGGACCGCATGCTCAAGAGCTTCCGGTACGGCGACGCGCTCGACTCGGTCATGCGCGGCGACGTGACGCCGGCGACGGCCTTTGCCCTCATGGACGAGCTCATCCGCCGCGACGGCCTGCCCATCGCGCTCGCCAACCGCACCGACCTCACGCTCGAGCCCGTCCTGTCGTTCCTCGTCAAGCACATCACGCACCCGCGGTACTCGACTCTCGCCGCCGACATCGCGAGCGTCCTCATCGGTGCGTCCCGTCGTCGTCTCTCTCTCTCTCTCTTGTCGGCGACCTTGGTCCTGACGAGCAGTACGTCGTCGCACGCGCAGACATCTACACGCCGACCCTCGGCCTCTCGCCCCTCATCGACACGCTCTTCTCCCGACTGCGGCGCAAGCTCGACGAGGAGCTAGACTTCCAGCGCGAGCTCACGCAGGTCCAGGGCGCCCTCGACATGGTCTTCTCGAGCAGTGCACCCGTCTCGGTGCGGTAGAGCCACGAGCGGCGCGAGCGCACCCTGTCACGTTTCGCGGGCTCGGCCCCTGTTGTCACATCTCTCGCTCTCGGGATCACGTGCGCTTCGACGAGAGTGCGAGAAGCTGCTCTGTTGTTGCAGACAGCAGCCGAGAGAGAGAGAGAGAAAGAGGCTCAGGCGAGGGAGCGGGTATGCGAGCGAGGGGATGCGCGAGTCGTGAAGGACGAGGGGAAAGAGGGAAGGGAGAAGTGTCTGTGTACTACTGCAAGCGAGTCGTCCAGCGGTTGAGGGTGGGGGTGGGAGAGGGTGTACTCTGTACAGGCGTAAAGGCGGGAAAAGGCGTCTAAGGAGGAGGGGAAGGAAGATGGAAGGGGGCCGAGCGCCGACGTCGCTCAGAGGTTGACGCCCGACAGGTTGAGGTCGAGCGTGTTCTTGAGGATGAACGGCACCACGATGAGGGCGACGAGGCACGCAAAGACGGCGCCGAACAGGATGCCGTACCTGCGACGAGGTGCGAGCGAGAGGTCAATACTCTGTGCGGCGTCGTCGCTGAAGACGGGGTCGACGCGCAGGAGGAGAGAAGAGACGCACTTGGCGATGATCTTGCGGCGCATGCTGCGCTGCTTGATTGAGTAGAGCGGCGCGCGGATCTGCTTCGACGGACGAAGCCACAGGAGCGCCGTCGCGTGGATCGTGTTGAAGCCCGGGATGAGGGTCGGGATGGCGAGGAGGAACAAGAGGAAGTGGGCGGCGCAGAAGTCGCCCGAGAAGAGGCCCATCTCGACGACCTTGACGACAAACTCGCGCGCCGGCTGCGTCCACGCCGAGGCGCCCATGCCGTGACCCCACCACTTCTGCGAGGGTGCAACGCGACGAGGCAGAGCGTCAGGAGCTGCGAGAGACTGGCCCGGCAAAGAGGGGGAGAGAGCGAGGACGCACCCCGGTCCACCACGCGCGGTTGACCTCGTCGTGCTTGTACTCGCGAGAGACGACGACAGCGATCAAGATCTTGTAGATGCACCGCTGGATCCTGCAGGTGACGACCGAGGGGCACCGTGAGTACGATGTACGAGAGAGAGAGAGTGAGAGAGGGGACGCACGCGATACTGGCGATGAGGCCGAGGACGGCGTGGCTAAAGTTCCACCGCTCGAGGACCCACAGGAACTCGAAGAAGGCGATCATGCCGACGACGGCGAGGACATGGGCGATGCCGGCGATGACCGAGCCAAACTTGCCGCCGGCGCACAGCGGGCCGGCAAAGAGCGACGTGAAGAAGAGGACGAGGAGGACGGCCGCGTTGAAGACGATCGGGCCGAGGGCGACGACGGCGAGGCGCAACAGGCCCTTGACCTCGGGGTTGGCGAACGACTTGACGAACAGGTACGCGACCGAGAGGACGACGGCGAGGGCGAACGGCGATAGGATCTCGTTGACGAGGATCGTCTTCCACCTCGCGCGCGGCGTGTCGGGCGACAGCTTCTCGCTCGGGTGGCCGATCTTCTTCTTCTTGAAGCCCGTCACCTTGGTGCGCGACAGGCGACAGTAGCCGATCCACGAGTTGGCGTGCGCGCGAGAGTTGCCGCGGGACATCCACCGCAGGAACTCGCGGTAGTCGATGATGAAGTCGCCGAGCGAGAACTGGTGCGGGTTGAAGAGGAACGGCGCGATGCAGAGGGCGACGATCGAGATCCAGAAGTAGATGACTGCGAGCGCGAGGAGGGCGAGGAGGGACGTCAAGTCGGGAAGGCGCTCGAGGAACACGAAAGAGAGTGAGAGGGGGACGCACTGTGCGGGATCCACAGCGTCAACGAGATGTAGAGGAGCATGAGGAGGGTCCTCAGGCCGAGGTACAGCGCCGGGCCGGCGAACCTCGAGTAGAGGATGCAGAACGAGATGCGCGTCGTCGCAAAGCCTCGGCCCGTCGCGATGTAGCGCGCGCCGCCGTACGACAGGTTGTTGATGACCGAGTTGCTCGAGATCTGGGTGCTGAAGACCTCGAAGAAGGGCGACAGCGACAGGAAGTGCTTGCCGAGGCGGATGACGGCCCGGATGACGCCGCGCTCCGTCAACTCTTGCAGGAAGAGCGGGAGGAAGGCTGCGGCACGGTGCGAGATACATGTCAGGGGCTGCGGTCGAGGACGAGGGGCGAGGGACGAGGGCAGGGAGCGCACCGATGATGAAGACGATGAAGATCGAGATGACGCAGCGCTTGATCCAGTCGTACACGGGTACGAGGTTGTAGCAGCCGCCCTGGCCGCCGACGAACTGGCCCGACGACGTGTACCGGCAGATCGGGAGCTGGCTGTTGAGGGTGCCGAGGTACAGGAGCGTGTACATGAAGAGCTGGACCGACAGGATGACGAGGATGTTGTTGATGTGGAAGCCCGGGTGGCCGTAGTAGAACGTGAGGAACCGGTCCATCGGGAGCTGGGTCCCGAGGTAGTAGTACTCGCGCGAGAGCATCTGCTCGCCCATGCCCGACGAGACCTTGGTCGTGAAGTTGAGGATGGTGCCGAACCCGAGGTCGCGACCCTTGCCGCACTGTGGGCGGGAGGGAGCGCGCACGTGTGAGCGCCAAGACAAGACGAGGACGAGGGGAGGGAGAGAGGGCGAGAGAAGGGACGCACCTGGTAGTACTCGGTGTGCTTGATCTTGCCGCCGCGCTCGTTGGCGAGCATGCCGGCATAGATGTCCTCGCTCAGGTGCAGGCCCTTCTGCGCCTTGGACAGGCCGCCGCGCGTCGTCATGAAGATGGCGTTGAGGAAGTCGGGGTGGCCGTAGTGGAGCTTGCCGCCGAGGTAGGCCATGGAGCGCGCCGCGAGCGTGCCGAACGTCTGCTCCTTGCCCGCCGCCACGTCGCCGAGGATGCCGATGTTCTCGGAGAAGATGTACTCGCGCGCGCCGACGATGGCGACCGGGTTGTGCGCAAAGTCCTTGGCGCCGTCGGGCGAGTACGGGTTCTTGGGCGACACGTGGTAGCTCTCGAACTCGCCGAGGACGTTGCGGATCTTGAGGCACTCCTCGAGGTAGTTGTCCTGGTTGGCGTCGATGAGCTGGATGTACTCGCCGCGGTGGAAGATGACGGCGTGGTTCTGGTTGTCCGACTTGCCGTCGCCCAGGATCGGGTTGCCGGGGAGCTCGATGCGGAACTTGGGGCGGCGGCGACCGTCGGGCAGCATCTCCGAGTGGCCGTCGATGAGGGCCGAAAAGATGCGCGGCTCGCCGCCGGCCTGGCGCGGGCGCTCCTCGTCGAGGTACGCGATCTGGAGGTCCGGGTACGCGCGCAGGAGGAACTCGGTGTTCTCGATCTCCTCCTTGCTGAACTTGGCGTAGCGCTGCATCGAGACGACGAAGCGGAACTTGCGGCGCGCCATGCGCTCGAGCTCGAGCTCGAGGCGGTCCGTGTTGGCGCCGAAGAACTGGACGACCTCGGGGTTCTCGACGCGGTACATGAGCTTGATCGCCTTCGAGTAGTTCATGAAGCCCGACACGGTGCGGTACAGCGTCTGCGCCCGCAGCGAGGCCCAGATGCGCGTGCGCAGCGTGTACTCGGGCGCGGCCGACTTGAAGCCGATCGTGTAGAACGGGATGTCGTCCGTCTTCTTGTCCGTCTTCTCGTCGACGTCGAGGTCGGCCGACTCCTCGGCGAGGATCTTGGTGTCGCGCACAAAGTTGTCCCACTCGATCGGGTGGAGCTGCTTGAGGTACTCGAGGAGCGTGACCCGCGTGTTCTGGTCCTCCTCGCGGATGATCTCGCGCAACGACAGGAGGATCTTCTCCGAGTAGTGCGGCGTGAGGACGGTAAAGGTCGGCATGGCGTCGACGCCGAGCGGCTCGGGGATGGCCGTCGTGAGCGACTGGGCGAAGAACGAGATGCGGCGCGACGCCTCGGACCCGGGCGGGAAGAACTCGGTCTTTGCGCCCTGCGAGACGAGTGAGAGCGTGTCAGTACGTACGTCGTCGCGGCAGAGGATTGAGTGGAGAGAGGGCGCACCTTGTCGTCCTGCGAGATGAAGAACATGGGCGCCCGGAGCATGCGCTTGCCGTCCTGCTCGGACGGGACCTGGTGGTACAGGAGGCGCTGGACGTGGTCGATCGACAGGAGGTGCTCGCGGTACATCGAGATGATGATGGCGTTCCAGATTTGCGAGACGAGGACCTTGGGCTTGTACTTGATCTCCATGTCGTTGGTCGCGAGGAGCTTGGCGTAGATGCGCTTCGGCAGGCGCTCAAAGATGTCTGTCGCGGCGACTCGGAAAGGTCAGCCTCGTCTTGCGCATCGTCGTCGAGGCGACGAGAGAGGGTGGGAGGAGAGAGAGCGAGGGACGCACCCTTCCACGGCGTCCAGATCGACAGGCCGATAGAGAACGAGCGCGTGACCGAGTAGACTGTGCGACAGAGCGAGAGAGAGTCAGGACCGGGTCGAGAGTGGGAGAGGAGGGAGCGCGAGGGGAAGAGGGACAACGAGGGGAGGGAAGGCACGAGGGGGAGGGGAACGAGACGGAGAGAGAGAGAGAGAGAGAGGGGAGGACGCACCCGTGTTCCAGATGACGTACCACAGGAACGTGTCGAGGAAGAAGAGGCACACGTCCATGCAGAACATGATGGCGAGCGCGAACGCCGGCTGGTACCGGCACAGGCCGTTGCCGAACAGGGCGTCGTTGCACGTCTGGACGCGCATGCCGACCATGACGCGGACCGGGTTCTCGAACGAGAGCGTGAGGAAGAAGTACGACTCGGTGAGCTTGCATCCGAAGATGAGGACCCAGAGGAGGATCGACGCGACGCGTTGGCGGGCGAGGAGCTTGGGGTACGACGCCGTGAACGTCTGCGACGCGAGGTACTTGCGCGACTTGCCCGTGACGCGGTCGCCAAAGAGGCGGCCCGACGGGATGACCGAGAACATGACGACGAAGACGACGGCGAGGGCGAACTGGACGATGCCGACGATGAGGGCGGCCTGCGACGTCGAGTCGAAGCCGGCGATCCAGATGGTCGGGGCGAGCGTGATGGCGAGGCAGACAAAGAGGGCGGCCATGCGGCGCAGGAGGTGCGACGTGTTGTTCCAGGTCGTCGGGACGTACGAGTACTCGGCGGCGGTCGCGGCGATCTGGATGAGGGACGCGACGGCGCCACCGAGCGCGACGACCGACCACCGCAGGGCGGCGGGAGGCTCGGTCTCGGTCGAGCTCGTGTAGATGGACGGCGAGTTGTAGGCCTGCGGGTGCGCGAGAGGGGGGGCGGTCAGGTTCAGGGCCTCGGCTCGGTCGCTCGCTCGTTAAGCGCACTCGTCGCTCGTCGTCGTCGACAACAAGGGAGAGAGGGGACGCACGGTGTACATCCAGTAGACCGAGATGTGGAGGACCCAGATGCGGTTAAAGTTGACGAGGAGGTGGAGGAACGAGCGGCGCTCAAAGTACGTTTTGAAGAACGCCTTGTGCCACTCGATCTTGTCGAACTTCATGAAGCGCTGCGACGCCGGCACGTCGACGAGGCGAGTCTTGTCGGCGAGGACGATGCGGGCGAGCCCTTCCGGGTACCAGAAGAGCTGGTTGATGTCGTCGTACCCGATGATGTCCTCGTGGTCCTTCTCGCGGCGAACAAAGACGCCGTCGTTGACCTCGTACCCTTGGTCGCGGATGAAGCGGTACAGGGGCCGCACGACGGCGCGCAGGTACAGGCCCTCGGGGACCGGGTCGACGCGCTCCTGGCACTCGGGCGACCGGTAGTAGTCGTCGGCGCACTTGAAGATGAAGCACAGGCACTCGGGCACGAACCGGACCTGGGCCGCCTCGCCCCAGCACAGGAGGTACAGGGCGAGCTGCCGCACGCGGTCGTACGCCGACATCTGGAACATGGCCTGCTGCCAGCGCTGCTTGGCCGAGTCGAGCGTCTTGACCGAGGCCGGCGTCGCGACCGCCTTGACGCCCGCCTTGCGCGACGCCTTGCGCGCGAGCCGCGCGACGCCGTTGTTGGCGAGCCCGATCGCGTCGTCGAGGTCGAGCTGCGCCGCGAAGTACCACTTGCGGTAGTTGGCGTGCTCGCCCCCGATGTAGTCGGCGTGGAGGGTGAGGAGGGCCTGGTTGGGCGACATGCGCGACGCGCGCGAGTCGAGCTGGAGCATGAGGTGGTCGTACATGTTGCGCATCGAGTCGCGCTGGAACCCGAACTTGTTGGCGAGGTCGATGAAGACGTCCTCGATCTCCTCCTTGCTGAGCGGGATGTCGGCCTCGGACGACCAGGCCGGGTACGGCTCGCGCAGGCGGGCGAACGACGCGTTGGCGCCGCCGCCGCCGGGACCGCCGCCGATGCCGCCGCCCTGCCCGCCGCCGCCCTGGTAGTGCGCCGACGACGACTCGTAGTCGCTGAACGCGGCGGGCGAGTCGCGGCCGCCGTTGTTGCCGTGGCCGGTGCTGCTGAACGGGCCGTGCGGCTGCTGCTGCTGGTACCCGCCGGGGGCGGCGCCGCCCGAGTACAGGCCTTCTTGCGAGTCATCGGCTGCGAGGACACAGAGAGAGGCTAGAGTCAGTCCCAGGAGCTCGATTTGCGGGGCGATGGCGAGCGAGGTCGAGCCAAGCGGCGCGCTAAGGTGGGAGAGGGGAGGGGGGAAGAGAAGTGGGACGCACCACGGTAGACGCCCTCCTCGGACGCGTACGGATCGCGGTGGAAGTCGTCTGACGAGGTCGACTCGTAGGCTTGAGGCTGCGAGTAGAGGCCCTGCTGCTGAGGCGGCGGCCCTTGTTGCGACGACGCGGGGTGACCGTGCTGCGAGCCAAAGGGGTCGTTGCGCGCGTAGCCTTGCGGCTGCTGGGGCGGCTGGTACGCCATGGCGTGTAGTGGACGGGGTGATTGAGCGTGCGCGCGAGCACTCGCTGGCCGAGTCGTGTGCGGTCGAGGGCGGCGAGGGGCGAAAGGCGACGAGAGGGGGGGTGCGGCCCTTGGACGAGGGGGCGGCGATGGAGGCTCTGGCGCGAGCGAGGCGCGAGTCGGGTGTGGCGGGGCGGGGTGTGCTGCCAAGGTGCGGGTCGCTGAAGCACGCGCAGTCCTCGCTTGGTCGAGGTGAGGAGGAGAGGGGAGGGGACAACCAGCCTGGCGCGCGGGTCGCGCGCTCTCCGCTCAGTGTGCGACACGGCCTCTCTCGATCCGTCTCTCTCTCGCGCGAGGCCAGTCTTTCGCACACGAGCACCTGCATAAGCTTGTAATGCACTTGACCCGCACGCCACCGCCCGCGAAAGCTGTCGCCGCGAGCTCGCACGGTCGCGCCTCCCCCGCGTCGAGCACGCGCCCCGTGGATGGCTGCCCATCAACCGCTCGGCTTGACGCTGGCTCGCACGGAACTCGTCCGCTGCAGCGCGCTCGTCGATGCTCAAGCCGAGCCGAGCCCGTAAAGTGCCGCCGCCGCCGCCTCGCCCGCGAGTCGCTCAACTTGGGTCCGCGTCCTCTCGTGCGAGCGCGCAGTAAAAGGGCAAAGGCAGGCGAGAGATGCACTGCAGGGTCGGGAGAGAGTACAGGGGCCCAGACTGAAAGGCGAAAGGGGAACACCGCGAGCGCACGCAACCCTGCGCTCAGTCCTCCTCCTCGTCACTGTCCTCGTCGCTCTCCTCGCTCGCCTCGTCGTCGTCGTCCTCGCCCTCCTCGCTGCCGTCCCCCTCGACGCGGTCGACCCACGCCTTGATCTCGGCGAGCGCCTCGCTCTCGTCGAGCTGCTCCTGCGTGAGCGCGTCGACGCGCTCGCCGAACGTCTTGCGCAGCGACGCCTCGAACCGGTTGAGCGCGTTGCGCGGGACGGCCTCGGCGAGAGGGCGGTTCTGCGAGCGACGAGCGGCGTGTGAGGGGTGACTCGAGAGAGGAGAGGGGCAGGAGAGAGAGAGAGGGTGGGACGCACGTCCTTGAGCTCGTCGAGGAGGACCAGGAGCGCCTTGATCGTGAGGTCGTCGGCCTCGTCGGGCACGTACAGCTTGGGCAGCAGCTGGCACCACAGCTTGCGGCCGTCCTCTGCGGGCGCGGAAAGGTCAGGGTCGCGTGCAGGCCGCGGAGGAGAGAGAGAGAGCGAGACGCACTCTCTTCGGACCGGTACAGCGCCTTGACCATCTTGACGGCAAGGTCGACCTGCACGCTCTCGTCGGGCTGGATGCCGTCAATGTCCCTGTGACGCGACCGCAAAGGTGAACATCAGGTTCGCTCGACGAAGCGCAGAGAAACGGTGACGACGCACATGGCCTTCTGCGGGTCGGTCCAGTCGACGAGCTGTGCGCCGATCTGCAGCGGCGTCACCATGCTCGACTTGTCCTTGGTCTCGTCGTACACGTTGCGCAGCACGTCAAGGCACTTGATCATGACCTGCTCGAGGAGGAGGGAGAAAGAGGGCGGTCAGGCGCACGATGGGGAGAGAGAGGGGACGAGGGAGGGAAAGGAGGGACGCACGTTGGCTACACGACGCTGGTTGGCCGGGTTCGAGTAGCAGTAGACGGGGAAAAAGTACGACAGGCACTGCCGCAGCTCGGGGTTGTCGGCCGTCTCGCCGGCAAAGTAGAGGAGGACGAGGCGCGACAGGATCTGCATGGCGTACAGAGGTCAGTGTGCGCCGTAGAGAGGGGAGAGAAGGAGGGAGCGAGCGCACCTCCTCGTCCGTGACCATGCCGGCGAGCATGAGCTTGGCGATGCCGACGACCGCCGTCGCCGCCGCTCGCGGGTCCTCCTGGTCGAGCGAGCTGCCGAGGAAGCCGAGGATGATGTCGGTCTGTGGGCGAAGGTCTAGCTCGTCAGTCTGTGCGGCGACGGGCACCGAGAGACGAGAAGGAGGAGGGGAAGAGGAAAGGGGAGACGCACGCCGATGCCGCGTTCCTCCCCAAAGTTGACGCCGTGCAGGACGAGAAGGTCAAACAGCGTCTGCAGCACCTTGACCTGCATCTCGCCGACGGTCGACTCGCTCTGGCGTGCGAGGAGGAGGAACGAGTCGAGCGCCATCGACTGCGGGCAGTGAGACGAGTTGGCTCGGTCGGCCGGCACGGAAGGATGGAAGAGAACTGAGGGGCGCACCTTGTCGAGCAGACAGCAGAGCCCGAGGCAGACGAGGCCTTGCGAGCGAATCTCGTAGTCCTTGGTCTGCACGGACGGGACGATGAGCTCGGCGACGAGGCCGTGCAGCATCGAGTTCTCCTGCAGCGCCTGTGGGTACGATCGAGTGTCAGTCAGTCGCGACGGGTTCTGGAAGGGAGGAGAACAGAGAAGCGAGGACGCACGCTCATGACGCGCTCGAGCAGGGCCCGGACGACGAGGAGGCACCGCAGGTCGAGCTCCTTGCGACGCTCGGCCTGCTGCGGCGCCTGCACCTTGGCCTTGCCCTTCCCCTTGGCCTTCTTCCTCGCACGTGGCCCGCCCTCGTCCTCGTCCTCGCTCTCCTCGCTGCTCGAGCTCGAGTCCGAGTCGTCCTGCTCGCCGAGCTCCGAGTCGCTCGTGACGAGCTGCGAGTCGGCGCGCAGCGACTGGACAATCTCGACGACGATGCGCATAAAGTCGCGCTCGGACGTGCCCTTGAGGAGGACGTCGAGGCACTTGGGGATGAGCGACGGCGGAAGGAGCGAGTGCTGGAGCATCTCGCCTGCGGACAATGACCGACTGTGAGCACTTGAGGCAAGGTGAAAGAGAGAGAGAGAGAAGAGGGGACGCACGCATGAGCTCAAACATCTTGCGCCGGCCGATCTCGTCGCCGTAGTCGAGGTTGACGGCGACGCCGACGAGCTCGCCAACGACAAACTCGCCGGTGCCCTCGCGCTCGTCGTTGCGCTCGTCGGCCTCGAGAGCGACGACGAGCTGGGTCCACGAGGCTTGGAGGTGGTACGCGAGGGCGGTGACGACGGGCTCGACGTCGGCGAGGAGGGGCGACTCGGCGTCGCGCAGGTGGTTGAGGTAGACGCGCACGAGGAAGGCGGTCGCAGGCGTGAGGGACTGGTAGAACGAGTCTGTGTGAGGGAGAAGGGTCAGGTCGTGCGCCGGCCCTGAGGCCGAGACGATGGGGAGGAGAGCGGACGGACCGTCAAAGTCGACATTCTCGACGAGGTCGGGCCGGACCTCGAACAGCGCCTCGAGCGCCTTCTCGGCGACGCAGAGACCCTCGTCCTGGTGCAGGTCGAACAGGGCGACAAACTCCTCGAGGATGGCCTGCCCGTCCTGCTCCTCGACAGCGAGCTGCTCGACCCAACGGCCGACGAGCTTCCTCGCCGCCTTGCGAACCGCCTCCTCGCGATCGCGCAGGCCTCGACCGAGGACGACCTGGCGCTGGGCGACCGTGAGAGACGCGAGCGGGATCTCGGCGAGGACGTGCGAGAAGGCGAGGCGGCGGTTGGTCGTGTCGACGTCGAGCGTGCGGCGGAGGAGCGCAGGCAGGGTAGTTGGCGACGGGATGATGTTGAAGAGGGCGGCACGACGGACCTCGCTGCGAAACAGGGAGGTGTCAGTCTGGTCGAGGGCGAGGAGACGAGGCCCGAACGGCCCAAGGAGACTCACGCCGCCGGATCGTGGCTGAGCACCTCGACGAGCACCTCGGTGACGCTGCGCTTGTCGCCCTTGTCCTTGTCGTCTTCATCGTCCGAGTCGTCGTCCGAGTCGCTGTCGGCCGCACCCTCGTCGGCGTCTTGCAGCTTCGAGAGGGCGACGACGGCGTGCTGCCGAACCGACGCCTCCTTGTCCCGGACACGCTCGAGCAGGGCCGTCTTGAGGGTGCGGTACGACTCGTCACTGCGCGGAGGAGAAAGTGCAGGGGACAGAGTCAGTACGCGCTCGGTACTTGAGAGAGGTGGCGACGCACTCGATCTCGCCGAGGCTGTTGATCATGAGGGCGACGAGCTGGACGCAGCGGTACCGGGCGATCTTGCTCTTGGCTTGGAAGCCCCGAAGGAGGAACGCGAGGAGCTGGGCGACGAGGCGCGAAGCCGGACCGTCGTCGTCGTCGTCGTCGTCCTCCTCATCGTCGTTGCCCTCGCGCTGCTTGAAGTCTGTGTGCGCGGCAGACGGGTCAGGCTCGATCTATCACCTCAGGAGATGTCATCGGGACGCACCATGCTCGACGGCGAACCCAACAAAGCCGGCGACGAACTTGACGACCCGGTCGGCCTGGTCGACGCCCTTCTTGACGCCGAGAGGGAACGCGCACATCTCGCGAAACTTGTCGCCAAAGGCCTTCTCGCCCGACAGGCGGATCGAGCGGCCGTCTGCGCTCGTGGTCGTGACGAGCGAGCACCGGAGGAAGAGGGCGTGGAGCGAGTTGATGAGCTTGCGGTGCGAGGCCGTCGTCGCCTGCGCGCCGCCGAACAGGGCGGGCAGTTGCTGCTCGAGCACTGGCAGGAGCGAGTCGACCGTGTCGGGCTCGTGCGCCTTGCCGCGCTTGATGAGGGCGGGCATGTTGATGGAGCGCGAGGAGGTGGTCGCGGCGGGCGAGGGGGCGCGTGGAGGGTGGGCGGTGGCGAGGCGGGCGTGCGTATGTGCTGAGAGCTCGCAGGCAGGTCGTACACTGCAGCAACCTTGGCGACGAGGGTGAGAGGCGGTGCGAGAGGCCGGGGTTGAGCGAGTCGCGTCCGAGGGGAGCGCGCCGACAGCACCTCGAAAGCTCTCTCTGACAGCCTGCGCAAGCTCTCACGAGGTGTACAGTCACTATCCATGCTATTGCAGCCCGCGACAGACCCCCTTTCTACGACGAGACGACGCCGAGCTCGCGCAGCTCGCTCCGGAACATGTTCATGCGCTCCGCCGCGTACGACAGGTAGTCGAACACCTCGCCGACCTCCTCCATGTCGTCGAGGTCGACCAGCTCGTCGGCGTCGTCGAGCCCGAGCTCCTTGACCTGGTCGACGAGCGCGCTCGGCGACGGCGAGGGGGACGGCAATGGCGAAGGAGCGGACGACGTCGCGCGCGAGCCCCTCGCCGCCTTGTCCTTCCACGACTTGATGCGCGCGAGCAGGTCCTCCTTGGCCTGGACGATGCCCCACACGGCCCACTGGGCGTGGCTGCTCGGCTGCCACACGCGCACCTCCTCCTCGAGCCGTTCGACCCGCGCGTCGTCGCGCCCGCCGCCGCTCGCCGCGCTGCCCTCGCCCGACGCCGGACCGTCAAAGCCGCCGTCCGAGCCGATGTAGGCCCGCAGGAAACGTGCGCGCTCCGACTGGGTCGGGTACGTCTGGTGCGCCGACAGCGAGTGCGACAGCGACGGGTGGTGGTAGTCGGCCTGCCACTCGCAAAAGTGGTTGGCTGCGCGCACGAGAGGTACAGGGAAGAGTAAGTGAGAGGTCGTCGGGGCCGGGCGAGAGAGAGAAGGAAAGGGGGGGACGGACCGATGTCGAACGCGCGCGGGTTGGCGCCGGCGTACTCAAAGTCGACGACGATCAGCCTCTTGTGGGCCCCTCCCTCGCGCCTCGCCTTGCGCTCGAGCTCGTCCTCGGCCTCGCGCCCACCGCTCGTCGGCGTCATGAGCAACAGGTTGCCGTACTGCGTGTCGTTGTGCGCAAACACGCGCTTCGAGTGGCCCGACGCGCGCTCCTGCGCGTGGACGAACGCGCGGTACAGGCGCAGCTCTTGCTCGAACTGGGGCAGGTTGAGCGCGGCGCGGATGGCAAACGTGCGCGTGACCGACGCGAGCGGCGGGACGTGCTCGGCCGACGTCGACGACGAGGTCGACGCGCCATCGTGCGAGAGCGGCCCGGTCGGCGACGAGGCGGCGGACGGGGTCGAGACGAGGCGGGCAAGGCCGGGCAGCTGGGCGAGCTCGTCGAGCTCGCGCAGGACGTTCTTGGCCTCGCGCGTCCACCGCGTGATGTTCTCCCACACGCACAGCTTGTGCTGCTTCTTGGTGCGGCGCCGACTGCTGCTGCTGCCCGTCCCTCGACGCCTCGAGCGCTTTTTGTCGTCGGCGCGCGACTCGCTCGCCTGGCGGTGCGGGAGGAGCGCCGGCGAGGACACGAGCGACCGCGGCGTGCCGAACGAGTTGAGCGTCGACACGGACGCGAGCGACGACGTCGAGTACGACGACGAGAAGGACCGGACCGACGACGACGACGACGTCGTGCCGAACGAGAAGACGCTCGAGCTCGACGACGTCGAGTAGACGCTCGCGCCGCTCACGGGCGACTTGTTGCCGCTCGCGCTCGACAGCGGTTTCGGGCCCGGGCGCTCGTCGTGCGGTACCGGTGCGCCGCTCGGGCTGCGGCTCCTGGCCCGCCTCGCGGCGCGCTGCTCGCGCTCGCGCTCCTCGTCCTGCTCGCTCCAGGGCGGCACCATGCGGTCGAGCTCGACCGAGTGCAGCTCGCGCATGCGGCGGCTGATCCACCGGCTGAGGCGCGCGTCGCGCATCTCGTCCTTGTCGAGCGCGCGCGAGTGAAAGTACTCCTCGACGCGGCCGTTGGCGAACGTGCCGAGGACGTGCGGGCCGATGCCGTACTGGGACGACAGCGTGTGCAGGATGTGGAGCTCGTTGCGGCGCGAGATGAGCGAGCCCGACGAGGGCCCGTAGATGCGCAGGAGGAGGGTCGGCGCCGAGAGGACGACGCGCTCGGTGCGGGTGCGCGGCTCGGTCGGGGTCGGCGGCGCCTCGGTCGACAAGGGCGAGTTGGCGTGCGAGTCGGGCGGCGTGTCGTCCTCGGTCGGGAGGTAGCCCGGGAGGCTGCTCGTCTCGACGACCGGGGTCGACGGCTCCGAGTGCGGCGACGACGGCGTGTCGTCGCGCGGGTCGTGACGCGGGACGGGCGTTTGGGCCGCCTGGCGCCCGCGCTCGAGCTCGCCGAGGACGGTGAGGGGCGTCAAGACCCGCGGGCCAGCAGGGAAGCTGAGCGCTGGCCTCGAAGGAGAAGTCGAAGCTCGAGTCGGGATCGCTCGGAGCGCTGTACACGCCGGGCGACTCGACCGTGACGGCGACCTCGACGTCGCACTCGGTCTCGGGGACCGAGACGAAGAAGACGGCGTTGGTCAAGGCGCCCGAGATCTTGTGGATCTGGATGAGGGACGGCGGCGTGTCGGGCGGGAGCGAGACCCAGCCGGGGATGCGCAACTGGTCGCGGAAGAGCGGGAGGAGGAGGGCGAGGAAGTCGTCCTGCTTGTACTGCCTGTGTCGGTCACGTGGGTCGTGTCAGTCTGAGAGTCTCTGACTCGTCGCAGGAGCACAGGGACAGAGGGAGCGAGACGCACTTGGCGTCGAGGCGGAGGTTTGAGCGAGCGACGCCCTCGACGTGACCGTCCTCGAGGGTCCAGTCCTCGACGTCTGCGTCCTCGTCGAGCTGGTCAAAGTCGTCGTCGTCCTGGCTGTCGGACGCGTCGTCGTCGTCGTCGTCGTGGTCGAGGTCGAGGTCGTGGTGGTGGTCGTCGTCGTCCCACTGGCCGGGGGCGAGGAACTCGAGGTCGTTGGGGATGTCGGGGTTGCGGTAGTTGGACTGGAGCGTGAACGAGTCTGCCGAGTTGCGGTTGCGCGAGCTGTGGTGGTGGTGGTGCGAAGGGTGCGAGGGGGCGAGGAGCGGCGAGGTGGACGGGATCAGCGACTCGTGCACTTGGGACGGCATTGCGTGGCCGTGCTCGGTGCTCTGTAGCCTGCACAGTCGACCGCGAGTGAAGTGAAGAGGTTGAGCGTGCCTCGCTCCCCGTCGTCGTCGTCGCGGCCAGTCCCCGCCGGCTCGTCGTCGACACGCGCCTGGTGCCGCCCTGAGCTCGTCAAGCTGCTCTTGTTACAGCTACCAGTACCCTCGTCCTCCCCGCACCCTGCCCGAGGCCGCCCTCGACCCGCTCGCCTCGTCACCCCACCTCAACGTACCGCAACACGCTGTCGAGCCGACGCGGCCTCAAGTTGGGTACCTGACTCGGCCAACCTCTCAACACTGGCCCGAGTGCTTCATTGTGCGTCCCCTACTTCCCCCTGCCGCGAGCCACACTCGACCCTCGCCACGGATGGCCCGCGCCGCGTCGTCTCGGGCTCCGACGGCCACTCTCGCGCCTCAATCTACGCTGCCTGGCCCACACTAGACAGACGACTGACTCTACGCTATGCCCCGCCACAGACCGCCATGGCCGACTCGGTGCGCTCGCCGCCGCGCTCGCCGCCCGTACCCCTCCCTCCCTCGACCCGCCTCTTTGCTCCCTCTCTCGGCGCCAAGCCCAAGCCTGCAACCGACAGCGCTTCGGCACCTTCGTCGACCTCGCCTCGAGCTAGCGGCAAGCGCACGCCCACGTCGCGCATGTCGTTCCGCCGCCTCAGCTTCTCGACCGTCGGCGCAAGCGGCTCGTCCACCTCTGCCGCCTCGCCCGGCTCGTCGACCCCGTACAGCAGCTCGACACCAGCCTCGACCACGTCCGACGCAGGCGGCTTCACGTTCGTCCCGTACGAGGACCCTGTCGCGGCCTCGTCGTCCTCAAGCGCGCTCGGGCGCATCGTCGCCGACGCGTTCGACATGCGCGACATGGCGAGCCAGCTGAGCGCAATCGCCGACACCGCCTCGAGCCCGTCGTCGTCACGGCCCATGATCAAGCTGCGCACGCCGTTCGTCCACAAGAAGGCGCGCATCCCCCGACCGCGCACCAAGAGCGGTTCGAGCACGACGATCGAGGTGCGTTCCCTCCCTCTCCCTCTTCCCTACGCACCAGATCTGACTCGGTTCTCGTGCAGGACCTTCCCGACGAGCTCCTCCTGCGCATCTTTGGCTTCCGTGAGCCGAGCCTCTCCCCCTGAGCCCGACGAACTACCGAGTCGCTGACTCGCCGAAACCGCGTTCGCAGTGAACGACTGGCAAGGGTTCCGCCCGGTTCCTGGCAAGGACCTCGACGAGACGCCGACGTGGTACACGCCGCCGCTCCGAGTTGGGCTCGTCTGCCGCCGCTGGCTGCCGGTGCGTCGTCCTCATCTCTCTCTTTACGGCACGATGATCGAACAGACCCTCTCGTGCTGCTCAATTCCAGGTCAGAGTCGACGTACTTACACTCGTTGTGCCGCACAGGTCGCACGCGCGCTCTACTACCGCTTCCTCAAGATCTCGCACGTCGAGCGCGTCTCGGCCCTGCACGCCGCCTTCCTCGCCAACCCGAACCTGCCCGCCGCGGTTCGCCACCTGTCGATCGACCTCCCGTACGGCGCTGGCGCCAAGCTGTCGCTGTGCGCCACGCCCGAGCCCGGCGCGACCGCCGAGGGCACGGTCCCCGAGGCCGACCACAGCCCGGTCAAGAAGCGCAAGCCGCTCACTCGCGGCGACGAGCTGCGCGCCGTGTTCCAGAGCTGCGCGCACCTCCTCAGCCTCGAGATGAGCGGCGTGGCACCGGCCCTCCTCCTCGGCTCGTCGTCGTCGCGGTCGACCACGTCGGCGCTGCACCACCTGCACCAGTTGCGCCTGTCGACCGTCACGCGGTTGACGTTGCGCGGCGGGACCGGCGCCGTCGAGCGAGGAGGCGACGGCGTGCCCGTCCTCGACGCCGCGAGCGTGCGCGACGCGCTCCTCGCACTGACGGGCCTGCGGTCGCTCACGCTCAAGGGCTTCGCGTCGTCGCTCTCGCCCGACGGGGCCCTCGACTTTGCGCCGACGAGGACCCACCTCGGCCTCACAGCGCGGCCGCTCCCGCTGCGCGCGCGCACGAGCGCCCGCCTCCCGCTCGAGCGCCTCGCGCTCGTCGAGTGCTGCATCTCGGCGGCAGACCTGCGCGCCCTCGTCGAGCAGTGTCAGCGCGGCAAGCTGCGCTCGCTCGCCGTCGTCGACCTGTGGGACGCCGACTCGGCCAAGAAGAACCGCCGCGAGGGACGGCAGCATCTTCCGAGCGTCGAGTCGCTCCACGACGTGACCGACCTCGTCGCCGGCAGCGTCGAGCACCTCCGCGCGACGCTGTACAACTACCCGCCGGCGACGGACGTTGCAGAGGCGGCGGCGAGCACGGCGCTGCGCTCGCCCGAGCGGTCGACCTCGCGCCGCCTGCCGCCCGTCGGGTCAGCTCGGGCAGGAGCAGGTCGGCCCCTCGATGCCGCCACCTCCGTCGAGCGTGCGCGCAGGCCCGTCCCGCCAGCCGGCGAGCGGCACATCCTCGACGGGTTCATCGCGCAGCTCGAGGGCCTCAAGACGCTCGACATCGGCGGCTCGGTCGTCTCGCCCGCGCTCTTCGCCCCTCATGCCCACCCTTACTCGCACACCTACCCTCTCTCGTCTCTCGGCCTCGAACTCGGCGTCGACCCGACCGGCGCGACGAGCCGCTCGCACCGCGACCCGCCCGGGCTCGAGCTGCACCTCGCGCCGACTCTGCGCACCCTCACGCTCCGGTCGTGCGACCTCCTCCCACCGTCCGCCCTCGTCCCCTGGCTGCGGTCCCTCGCGCTCCCCTTCCCGGCCTCGTCCACCTCGTCCTCCCTCCACCGCTCGCACCCCTCGACCTCTGCCCCTCCTTCTGCGCCCTCTCGCCTCTCTCACGGTCCCGCTCCGCCCGCCCTGCGCACCCTGCGCACCCTCGGCGGCTCAGAGCACGGCTGGGCCCGCCCGACGGCGTGCCTCGAGGTGCAGCGCGCGTGCTGGGCCGCCGGGATCGTCTGGACGAGCGGCGGCGGGTCGGGACCCGACGCGGGCGTCGATGCGGCTGCAGGTGGAACTGCGGGCGCTGCGGAGGAGGCGGCGACGTCGTGGCGCCCGGCGGTGGCGGGCGCGCTCGGCGGTGCCGGGCGCTCCACGATGGCGGCGCCGGCGTCGCTCAGCGGCCCACCCGGGTTCCCGCAGCAGGCGCGCACGACGACGACGACGCAAGGCGTGCCCGCACAGGAGTACTGGGCCTGTCAGAGCTCTTCGAGGCTCCTGCCTCGCTCGGGCGGCGGATGGTGACGAGACGAGACGAGGAGGTCCGAGCGGCTCAAGGTTGGCTCTCTCGGTCGGTGTGCCGTCATTTGCTCGTTTTGCCATGCAGTGTATCTTTCCTCTACCGTCTCGGACCCGTCGAGAGAACGTGCGGGACAGCGATCGGTCGTCGTTGCACGAGAACAAAAGGCGAGGAGAGAGAGAGAGACAGATATGAACGAGGATGCGAGGCAGTGTCTACGACGACGACGAGAGGTGCGAGGGGTACAACAGGAAATGATATCGAGAGACGCTATAGGACAGAGTCGGGCGCGCCGCCCTCACACCGTCAAGGCGCTCGACCGACCCGCACCGGCGCCGACCTGGAGCTCGAGCTCGCGCGACGGCCGGCGCTTGCCCTGCTGGTCGCGCAGCGCTTGTTCGACACGCAGGGAGAGACGGCGCTCGGCGCCGATCGAGGGAGAAGGGGAAGAGGAAGAGGCGGAAGAGAGGGCGGTCGAGCTAGTCGAGGTGCTCGAAGGGGTATCGACGGATGGCGACGGCGAGGGAGAGACGGCGGCCGAGGTTGCGGGTGCCGGGACGAGGGGTTGAGCAACAGGTGCGGGTGGGCTCGACGGCGTGAGGGAGAGTGCGGGCAGTCGTGCGGGCGAGGGCGTCGGCGACTCTTGAGGCGACTCGCCCCCGCTCAGGATCGAGAGGGCGGGCGACGCCGAGCCCGGCGGCGAGACGAGGCGGAGCGACGCTGATGGTGGCAAAGGTGGGACGACGGCGGCGACGGCGGCGATGCCTGCCAGCTGCGTCGAGATGCCGCGCGGCGGCGACGGGCGCTTGTCGTCGTCGTCCTCGAGGTCCGTCGCCGCGTCCTCGAGCTCGATCTCGCCCTCGTCCTCCTCGTCCTCGACGTCCGAGCCCGAGCCCGCCTCGACCGACACGGCCCACCGCACCGGCGCGGGCGACGCGAGCTTGCCGCCCTTTGTGCGCACCCACCGCGGCGCCGCACGGTCCGCTCCTGGCGAGACCGAGTGCGAGCGCGCGCTCCACGGCGACGAGGCGGCCGTGTTGGGGCTCAGGGCGCGCCGACGTGAGGGCGACGCCTTGTGCGTGGTCGAGTGGTGGCCGACGACAAAGGCGGGGGAGGACGAGCGGGCGGTTGAGGAGGAGGAAGGGTGCAGGGAGGCGGGTGAAAGTGCTCGGCGTCGACGGCCGAGCGGCGAGGGCGAGTTGGACGAGGTACGCGAGGTGTGCGCCGACAGGTGCGGGTGGTGGCGCTGCAGGCGCCGCGCCAACGGCTCGGCGTCGTCCTCGTCGATCTCGAACGCCGACTCGTCCTCGTCGGCCGTCGTCGCCGGGATCGCCTTGCCCGGCAGCAGCACGTCGACGGCCGCACCCGCCGTCGCCGCCGCCGGTACAGGCTTGGCGGCGGGCGATGCCGCCGCGCCCTTGCCCCTCGCGACGACAAAGTCGCGCGTCGAGCGGTACCCGCCGATGCCGCCATGGCCCTGCTCGCCCTGCATGTCGGGCGACGCCCACCGCTCGCGCAGGGCCTCGAGATCGCCGACGAGTGACGGCTCGGCGATGCGGACGTGCTTTGCGGGTCGAGCGGGCGCGAGCGGCTCGTCACCAGACGAGGTCGAGGGCGACGGGGCGGCGAGGGCGCTCTTGAGGCAGCTGCGCAGCCCTGGCGGCGGCGAGGTCGAGCGCATGCGCCACTTCTGCGCGTTGTCGAGTGCGTCTCGGGCGTCAATGTCGGCGTCGGCGAGGACGTCCTCGTCGCCAAACTGGCGGGCGGGCAAGAGGCGCCGGCGCCATTTGCGGGCAAAGACGCCCGTGCCGCCGTTCTCGCGGCGGTTGAGGATCGTGTTGACCTCGGTCGGGGTGAGGGTGCGCCTTGGCGGGAACACGACGAGGTTGGTCAGGAGGAAGACGACGACGGCTGCGGGGAGGATGAGGGTGCGTTTGCGCGAGGTCAGCGGCGGTTCGCGCTCGGTGCACTTTGCTCCACCGTGCTCTGATGCGCCGCCTGCACCTCGCCATGCAGCGCACAGCGCGTGACGAGAGAGATGTGCGCGCCGCACGTGAAAGGAAGGGGGGCGAGTCGGACGAGAGGCGCTGGCCCTGGCCGCGACTCGTGCTGGCGTGGGCACCCGCCCAGGACCTGCGCAGTGGAACAGAGGGCTCACCGATTGCGCCTGCGAGGGCAAAGAGGGCGACGAGCTGGACGAGGTTGAGGGAGCGCCGTGTCGTGAGCGGGTCCTTGGCGAGGGCTGCAGGGTCGAGCATGGCGGCACGGGGCTTGCACCCGCGTCTGCGATGGATGCTGGCGTGCAAGGCTGAGCGGCTGTGCGGCTGTTGCAGGGCGGGAGCAGAACGAGCGAACGAGCCGACGCGAGCGAGCCGGCAACCTCGGCTCGGCACTCGGGAAAAATCGTTGCAGGAGCCAAAGAACTCAACGAGGTAGTCAACTGCACGATGCTGTACCCAGATCTGCCATCGAGGCGCGAGAGAGCGAGGACGACGAGGCGCAGCTCCCTCTCCACGCTCCTTCCACCTCGCTCTTCTACCAACCCTCGCCTGCGTACGCAGAGCCGTCCACTGTGCGTCTCTGCTCTCTTACTCTCTCGTGCGCGCGCGAGCGAACCCGCCTCGAGCCGTCGTCGTCGAGTGCGCCTCGTCAACCAAGGTGACGAGGGCGGTGCACCTCGCTGTCATGGGCTGCTGCGGCCAGTACCGTGCGCCTGGCGCAACAGCGAGCACTGCAGGACAGAGCGGCCGGACACTGGCAGCGCAGCACTGACACTCGCCTCCTCCTCCTCCTCCTCGAACACAGCCTCTCCTCGACCGCCCAGTACCAGCTCCGCCAAGATGGGCGTCTTCTTTGGACTCGGCTCGGTCGCATACTTTGCCCTCCTCATGATCAACGCCGTCGCCGTCCTCAACAAGGAGCGCTTCCTCGCCCCACTCGGCCTCACGACGGCCAGCTTCCAGCAGCAGCAGTCGTTCGCCCAGGGCTCGGCCTACAACTCGGGCTTTGACGCCTACGGCATGCCCGTCCAGGGCAACATGGCCGGCGCAGGTGGGCAGGAGGCCGGCATCAAGATGCGCGCCGTCCAGCTCGTCGACGCCGTTCGAACCCTCATGCGCAGTGCGTCCAGCTTCCCCTTGTCCTGCGGCGCTCCTCTTGTCGCAGTCCTGACACGTTTCCTCCCTCTCGCAGTCCCACTCATCCCGATCAACATCGTCGTCATCGTGTACGAGGTCTTGTTCGGCTGAACGGCGCTCGTCCGGCGTTCCTCCCTTTCCCCGTCCCCCCTCCTCCTGTACCGATACCCGCCGCAACCACTCGTCGACTCGATACCCTTCAGTACGACCGCGACATACCCTCAGCAGACGAGCAGGACGCCACCAGCATCGCCGTCGCGCACCTCGCGCTCCTCCATCCCTCTCGCCCGCTCGCCACGCCACCGCCCTCCTGCCCTCGCCGCCCTGCACGAGCATATGTGACAGACAGAAGTGGAGGCTTTGCCGGTGTGTGCAGGGAGGGAGAAGGTGAGGTAGGGCGTGAGGAGGACGCTCGTCGTCGAGCCGGATCGAGTCCTGCAACCGCCTCGTTCAGCCAGCTTGCGCCGTCTTGACCGTCCGTGAGAGTCGTGAGAGTGTTTCGAGAGTCCTCACGGGGCAAGAAGCAGGTCGTGTCTGCCTTGACGACCTTGTCCTCGCCTCGCCTCCTCGCCCTCGGCTCTCGCACCAACCTGTCGCCGTCTCGTCACCCAGGACAGCCTCGACGAGCCCATCCATCTTCAGTACCTTCATCATGGCCAGCACTGCTCCCGTCGCCTCCACCAGCAAGGGCCCCATCGAGCCGCAGACGGTCCTCTACTGCGCGAGTACGTCGCCGTCGTTCTCTCTCTGCAGCCCCTCGGGCGGCGATCCAGCCGGTGCGACCGTGAACTGACCTTGCTCGGGATCACAGTCTGCTCTTATCCGCCCGAGTACTGCGAGTTCAACTCGAAGAAGGCCAAGTGCGTCCTCCATCCTCATCAGTTCCTCGTCGCCCTCCCTCCTGTCCTCGGCCCTTGAGGCTGACGCGCTCGTTGCGTCCACAGGTGCAAGGCCTGGCTCGAATCGGCCCACCCGGCCCTGCACGCCAAGTACTACTCGGAGAGTGCGTCCTCCCCTCCCCTCCCTCCTCTCCTCCCTCTCTTTTCGCCCGCAATCTGACCGCCAGTCTCTCTCGTGCGCGACAGGCGCTCTCGAGGACAAGCTCGCCAACTTGACGGTCGAGCAGCGCGCGGCACTTGACAAGGACCTGGCCAAGAAGGAGAAGAAGGAGGAGCAAAAGGCCGAGAAGGAGAAGGCCAAGCAGGCGGTCCGTCGGCTCTTCCTCCCACCCGTCCACTCTCTACCCTGCGTCTCGAGTGAGATGGAGAGCGAGTTTGAGCTGGTGATCTGGAGCGCTGACCCCCTCGCACCCCCCTCGCCGCACCATCTCGCCCGCAGTCGGCCAAGATTATCCTCAAGCGCATGGAGCGCAACAAGAAGAAGTACGTCACGTCGGTCCAGGGCCTGCACCACTTCAACGTCGACCTCAAGAAGGCGGCCAAGCTCTTTGCCAACAAGTTTGGCGCCGGCGCGACCGTGAGCAAGACGCCCCAGGGCGACGAGGAGATCTTGATCCAGGGCGACACGAGTGCCGATGTGCGTCTCGCCTCTCTCTCTCTCTCTCGCTCGTCTCGTCTCGTCTCGTCGCGGGGCTTCGCTGCGGCGAGGTCTCGCTGCGTAAGTTGGCGGCAGCGAGCGCGACTGACGAGCCCTCGCGCGCCCGCAGGTCGAAGAGATGCTCCTCAACCAGGAGGACAAGAAGCTCGTCGCCGTGTTCGGCGGCAAGATCTCGGACAACCAGATCTCGACCGTCATCGAGCAGCCCAAGAAGAAGACGGCCGCATCCGAGGCGGCGGCCGCAGCGGCTCTCGTTCCGGCGCAGTAGAGCCAGCCTCTCGAGGAGCGTGCAGACGAGCGAGAACGAGACTTTATTGGACAACAACAAGGCGACAGGGAGAGTACGACGAGAGAGAGAAAAGGAAAGGGAAAGCTGTGCAACTCGTCCCCTCCTGCTGCGACGACGACGACGAGCTAGAAGACCTCGACCTGCGTCTCGAAGCCGCAGCCGACACACCTCTGCGTCCCGACCTCGCCCTCGACGTCCTCAAACTCGTGCGTGTGCTCGGCCTCCTGGCGGCGGTGCCACACGTTCGTCTTGGTCTTTTTGCGCAGGTCGTCGAGCTTCTTGGCAAACTTCTTGTTCTTCTTCTGCGCCTTGTCGGCCTCGCGGCGCTCAAACTCGGCGTCGAGCGCCTCGGGCGAGCCCCACTTGCGCGCCGAGAAGGCGTAGTCCTCGACCTGGCACCGCAGGAAGAGCATCATGTTGCTGTACGTCGGCCGGTGCGGGTTCGGGCGCAAGAGGTGCGGCATGAGCTCGGTGTCGCGCAGCTCGGCTGTTGCGCGAGGAGGAGGAGAGTCAGTTCTGGATAGACGAGGGCGCGGCGAACGAGACGAAGAGGGAGAAGAGGGACGGACGCTCGGTGAGCAGGTAGTCCTCCTTGCACTCGGTCTTGGTGAGGAGCGAGTACGAGTCGGGGCGGTCCTTCTTGCACTTTGGGCAGCACCGGATGCCGAAGACGCTCAGGAGCTGGTCGTCGAGGTCGGCCGTGCCGCAGTGCTTGCACTTGGGGTTCTCCTTCGGGTCGAGCGCCATCGCTGCGAGGGGACGGTCGGCGGGTCAGGGCGGGGGCCCTTGGCGGCGACGTCGAGAAGGCGAGATAGAGAGGGAAAGAGTCGACGCACTCGCTGCACGAAGCTGCCCCTGCTTCCTCGCGTTCTCGAGCCGCTTCAACTTGAGCTCCTCCTGGAGCTGGCGCTCCCTCGCGCGCTTGGGGTCGTCCTCCTCGCCCTCGAGCAAGAAGCCGCCGCGCGAGTTCTTGAGGGTCGACAGGTCGTACTCGACGTACTGGCCGATGCGGCTCGGGAGCGGCGCGAGGTCGGCAGAGCCATCGGGGCCCTGGAAGTGCTTGACGGGCGAGCGGGCCGAGGAAGGGCCGGGTGCAGGGCCGGTGAGGGCCGACTGGAGGGCGTTGTGGGCGCCGCGGACGCCCTGGGCGGTGGTCGTGGCGGCGTAGCGCAAGGCGGGAGCGGTGGGCGAGGTCGAGTCGGCGGGGAGGACCTGGAGCGGGCGCTTGCCGAGGGCGTTGGGCTGCTGGTGGGTGAGGGCGTGCTGGCGCTGGAGGCGCTCGCGCTCTTGTAGCTTGGCCTTGGCTGTCCGAGGGAGAGCGAACAGTCAGTGAGACGGCAATGATGCTGATGAGAGCCGGACGAGGTGGCGCACCCTTGAGGCGGTTCTCCTGGAGCTTGCGGACCTGCTCCGGGGTGAGGTCGAGGCCAGCAGGCAGGCCAGCAGGCGGCGGCGTGGCCATCGGGGCGAGTGAGGCGGTGTGAGCGGAGCCGAGCGGCGGCGAGTCGGCCAGCTCCCAAGTCGTCCAGAGTTGACATCTCGCACAGTAGCTTGCTCTCGCTCTCGAGTTCTGCTACTCTCTCACGCAGCTCGCGAGCCCAGAGAGAACTGAGCCGGCGCCCGACTCGCGCTCGGCCCTCGAATGTTACAACACGGCGTCGCTCTCTGCATCTGGTCCTTCCGCCCTGCTCGCGACCGCGAATGCGCGTACGTCAAAGCCCTGTCGACACAGAGAGGCACGTCAGTCGAGTCGTTAGAAGTGAACGGCGCAGAGAGAGAGCGCAGGACGCACCTGCTCGAGCCCCTCCTCGCACCCGACCTCATGCCGCGACCGCCGCTCCGCCCGCCTCGGCTCCCTCCCTGGCCGCCTGCTCTGCACCTCCAGACACATCTCCCGCCTCGGTGACAGCTGGCGGGCCGAACGCGTCTGCCGGCGCCTGGTTCTGCACGGTCGAGAGGGCGCCTGCTCGTCCGCCGGGGTCGGAAGAGGTCAGCGCGCGGCTCGTCGGTCTACCGACTGCGAGAGGAGGCAGAGGTGGACGGACCTGGAAGGATAAAGGTCGCTGGACCGCGCTGGCCCTCGCCTGGGCGCGTCTCGTACCCCACCTGGAGCTGACACCGTGGGCAAAAGAGCCTCCCTGCGAGCAGCGCACTGAGGCGTATCAGCGGCCGACCCTGGGAGAGTGAGGGACGCCGATAGAGGAACGTGTGCGACGCACGCTGGAACTCGAACCCGCCCTCGCGGTTGACCAAGACGCCGTTGCCCTCCTTGCCCGCCGCGCCGACCTGGGCCGCGCCGCCGACGGCGTCGGCCTCGCCCTTCTTGGCCTTGGTGTCGGGCTTGACGAGGTCCTTGCCGACCTCGGACGCGTTGAGCTTGTACACGCGCTGGGCGGGCCCAGAGTTGGGCAGGACGAGGGCGCCGTCGGCGGGTCGGCGGGCGAGGGCGGCGAGAGGGGCGTCGAGGACGAGGAGGAACTCGCCGCATAAGCAGTAGTGCACGTGGAGGTTCTGTCAAGGTGATACGCGGGGCGCAGGAGTGGAGGAAGGCAAGGTTGGGCGAGTTAGCGATGAGGATGGAGGAGGGGCGAGGGGGAAACGAGCGAGGCTCGGGAGGGGACTCTGAATCACCTCTGCGCTAGAGTCCTCCTTACTCTGGGAAATGGCGTGACGGCCGCCTCCTTTAGCCATGGTGAAGCGAGCGGAGTGTGACGAGACCAAGCCGACGAGCGCGCAGCGTGCGGGGTGCGCTCTCTTGCTCGTGGGCGGACGACTCGCTCGCACAGGCTTCCCGAGTTCAGTCTGTGTACAGCCAGTTGCATCCTCCTCGTCGCCGCCTCGTCCATCTCTACTGCAACCTCCCTCGCTCGCCCACTCTCCCCCTCCTCGCGCCCGCTCGTCGTCGTAGATGTGCTCGGTGAGGAGCGACCGCTTTACCGGTAGGCTGTAGATAACGACAAGGAGTCAGTCACGGGCCGAAAGAGTCAGGGAGGCGACAAGTGAGAGAGGACGCACGGTGCTCCGACTGGAGGGCGGCCGCGAGCTCTGCCTCCATCCGGTCGCCGTTGGCTGCAAGCGTCGACGACAGCGTGAGTATGCGAGTCGCTGTGAGGCACAGAGGGGACGAGGGACGCACCGAGCAGCTTCTCCTTGTTGTAGAGGAGCTCCTCGCGCGTCTCGGTCGTGTACTCCGTGTTGGACGCTGCGGACGGCGGCGACGTGCAAGGTCAGGCTCGGCTCGGGAACAGGGCGATGGAGCGAAAGGGGTGGACGCACACTCGACGATGGCGTCGACCGGGCACGCCTCCTGGCAGAACTGCATGGCGGGGAGGAGAGTGGCTGTCAGCATCGGCTACAGCATGAACGACGGTCGACCTCGCAGCGCGAGCGCGGCCGCCGAGTGAAGAGAAGTCGCCGACGTACGCCGCAGTAGATGCACTTGGTCATGTCGATGTCGTAGCGGGTGGTCCTCCTCGCGCCGTCCTCGCGCGCCTCGGACTCGATCGTGATGGCCTGCGCCGGGCAGATGGCCTCGCAGAGCTTGCAGGCTGTGGTCGAACGAGGGTCAGGTCGTGTTCGCAAGGGGTGCGCGCAGGAGAGAGGGTGGGTGGGACGCACCGATGCAGCGCTCCTCACCCGAGGCGTAGCGGCGCAGGGCGTGCTCGCCACGGAAGCGCGACGAGACGGGGCCCTTCTCTGTTGGCGCGAATCGACATTCAGTCTCGAGTCGTTCTGGACGAGGAACAGGAAGAAAGGGGGCGCACCAAAGGGGTACATGATCGTGTAAGGAGGGCTGTCGGTGGAGCGCGGCGAGGAAGGTCAGTACTGCGTCCGCGCTCGTCTGACGAGGTGGCGGCGAGCTCGACGCACCGGAAGAACTGAGAGTGGAGGCGATGCACGAGGCGAAGAAGAGGTCAGTGGCAGGCCCGAGGTGGGGGAGGATTGGCCACTCGCGCGCTCAAAGGGAACGAGGGGAGGGGGAGAGGCGCACCTGCTCGAGGACGACGGCCATACCTGGGCGGGTCGAGGTAAAGAGTTAGTGCTGCGCTCTCCGAGATGGACGAGGGGAGGGACGTACCGCGAACGATCTCGGTGAAGAAGAAGAGGGAGGCGGCCTTGTCGAGGGCAGAGGGGCCCTTGGAGTAGTCGGGCGTCTGGGCGGCGAACTGGGCGCGCTGCTTGCGGACGGGTGCTGCGTGGAGCGGGGCGTGGCCGGGCTCGGTCGGGCCAGTCTGGGGCTGGGCGAGGCGGGCGGCGGCCGAGGTGGTGAAGGTGCGCGGGAGGAGGAGACCCGGGGCGAGGACCGAGAGGGGCGCGGCCGGGCGGGCGGTGGCTGCTGCACGGAGCGTGGTACGGGCGAGGTGCGACTGCATCCTGGGCTGGCAGCGACTGGGTGGCGGGCGACGACGAGCGGTGGAGGGAGGGACGACGAGATGGAGGCGACCAACGAGAGGCGACGAGAACTGCCACGCCCCCTCGTCGCCCTCAGAGTGCTTCAGGCGGTGCTGCAGCTGCTCCAGGCTAGACTCGTACGGTCCCTAGAGTCGGCCGCGCGAAATCTCGAGGTGGTCGCCTCGCCTCCTCGTCGTCGTCGACCAACTCGCTCATCTTGACCTCTCCCTCGTCGACTCGCACCCATGGCGGCAAAGGCACCGACAGAGCAAGGTGCGCTCCCTCTCTCTCTCCCACTCTACAGACCGGGCCCCGCTCACGCACAGCCCCACACAGAGCTCGCGCAGCAGGTCCGCCTCCGTCAAAACGAGCTCCAGGCGCTCGTCTCTGTACGCTCCAGCCCGCACGCTCGTTCGCGCGATCTGTCACTGAACCTCGCATGGACCAACCTGCAGAAGATCAACGAGCTCGAGCGCGAAGCCGAGGAGCACTCGTCCGTCTCCTCCCCCTCTCCCTTCTCCCCAGCTCGTCCCGCCGCTCACCCTGCCACTCACGCACCCAGGCTCGTCCTCGACACCCTCCAGAAGGCGCACAAGACGGCCCCGGAGCGCAAGTGCTTCCGCCTCGTCGGCGGCGTCCTCGTCGAGCGCACCGTCCAGGACGTTCTCCCGCAGCTCGAGGGCCAGTTTGAGCAGCTCAAGACGGTCCTCGAGACCCTCGCGGCCCAGTACAAGATCAAGGTGCGTCGTCTGTCTCCGCAGGAGGTCCTTCGGCGAGCCTCGCCGCGTACTGACCCTGTTCTCCTCGTCCAACTCGCACAGGAATCGGCGTTCGGGCAGTTCCAGCGCGACAACAACAGTGCGTCCTCCTCTCTCTCGTGCTCTCCGTCGCCCTGTCAAGCCTACTGACACTCGAGTCCCGAGCAGTCGTCCTCCGCCAGCGGTGACCCGTCGTCGTCCCCCTCCCCTCGCACTCTGTACCTCCCCCTCGTTGTCCTGTAACATCGCCGCACCTGCTGTTTCTTGCACACACTCTCGAGATGTCGTCGACGAGGAAAGTACCTCCTGGACACGTGAGCTTGCGCACTCGCTCGCTGGCGACGTCGCCGCCTCGCGCAGCTGCAGGTCAAGGAGCTCGAGCGGCCCGAGAGCCACGAACAGGCAGCGAGGGAGGCCCGAACGGCATCGAGAGGTCATGCAGGTATCTCGGCGGGGCGTGTGCAGGTCTCGCTCGTCGTGCGGTGCCGTCCTCTCGTCGCCGCTCAGTCCTCCTCCAGAGAGCGGCTGCAGCTTCTCTTCGCGAGCATCGGCAACGGAGACCTCTCAACAGCTCTCGATGACTCTCGGCTCTCGTGTCTCGGTACAAGGAAAGAGAGAGAAAGGGCTGTGTAGAACTAGCAACAGGAACGACGAGGCGGGGGGTACGACGACGACGGCAGAGAGGACGGACGAGACGAGGAGGAACGACAGGGCTAAGCAGAGGGGGGGGAGAACGGCGTGCCATCAAGCGAGGACGAGGGCGAGAGGGGAAAGCTATGCGAGGGAGAGAGGGAGGAAGAGAGGGCGAGAATGGCTCAGTTGAAGAGGTTGAACTTGGCGAGGGTGCCGCCGACGACGAGCGTGGCCGTGCCCATGCCCCACTGTGCACGACGGAGAGAGGAAAGAGTCAGTACGACCTCGAATCGCGAGGGTCGAGAGACGGACGGGGAGAAAGGGGAAGGACCGCGATCGACATGGGAAGGGAGGGCAACAAGGAAGAGAAAGGCGACCACCGACGCACCTTGGCGAGGTTGACGATCTCGCGGTCGAACGGGAGGATGTGGTGGCCCGAGTTGGCGAGCGAGTCCTCCTGCTTCTCGATGCGCCACTTGTCGTCCTCGCCCTTGACGAGGTCGAGGCGCGTGAGGAAGCGGATCGTGAACGTCTGGAGATTGAGGAGGGGGAGAGGAGAAGAGTCAGCGAGGCGGACTTGGGAGTACGCCCTGACGAGCGCGAGAGAGAGAAAAGGGGGAGGAGGGCGCACCGGGTTGAGGCGGTCCGGGAGCGGGATGAACGAGAGCTTGAGGTGCTCGGTCACGTCGAGCGTGAGCTTCTGCTTCTCGATGCCCTTCTCGACGTAGATGCGGTCCGACGCGACCGAGTGAAAGTCGAAGCGCTGGCCGTACGAGAGGACGCGCAGCATCTTGTACGCCGCCTTGACGCCGTCGCGGCCGGCCGCCGGAGGCGAGTTGAGGAGCGGGTAGACCTGCGCGAGCGTCGAGAAGGTCAGCTACGACTCGAGGGCCTCAGGAGGGGGGAAGGGAGGAGGAGGGCAGGAAGCGGACGGACGAAGATGGCCTGCTCGTCGAAGTACTTGTCCACCGCCTGCAGCATGTCATTGGCGTCCTCCTGGGCGGCGCACTCGAGGACTGCGCGGCGGATGTCGGTGACGGGGTTGTCCATCTGCGAGCGAGGGAGGCGAGGATGACGCGGGGCGAGGGGGAGTGTGGGATGCGGTCAGGCGGCGTGTAGGACGCTGACACAGGACAAGGGAGCTCACCTTGAGCTAGTACGAGGGTCTGTGCAGTCGCGGAGGGGAGAGAGGGGGAGGGGGAGGAGGGAGAAGGGCGAACGGACCGATGAAACCGAGGCGAGCCAAAAGTGAGGCGGCGCAGCTCGCTCACCTCGGACTGGCTCGCGACGACTGTGCAGCTGTGCTACACTCTCGCACACAGTCGGGAGCTTGAGCGCACGAGCGGAGAGAGAGCTTGCGAGGCTCGAGAGCGCGAATGCGCGTGACAGGCTCGTGCTCTCACGCAGCTCTTCTCGGGAGACGAGGACAGTTTCTAGTTGCGACAACAGGGACAGAGACAAGGTAGGGGAAGAACGACGGGCAGTCGGCGAACCCTCGACCGCGCAACAGGGCGCCTCACCGCTTCTCGCTCGCCGCCGCCGCCGCCTCGCGCTCACGCTCCTCCTTGAGTGCCCTAAGGCGCGCGAGGTGCGCCGCGCCCTCGTCAATGCTGTTGCGGGCCGGTGCGGCGCCGAGCGAAGCCGGTGCGGGATCAGGCGGCGACGCCGACGCGCGGCCCTCGTCGACCGAGTCGCGCCATGCGGGCCCGCGCCCCTCGGCCGCGACGCCCGTCTCGTCCTCGCGCCGGCGCTCGTCGAGCGCCTCGACGACGTCCTGGTCGGGTTGGCCCGGCGGGCCGTCGTACAGCGGCGGCGGCGGGACGGCCATGCTGCCCGGCGGGGCGCCGAGGGCGGCCGCGAGCGGGTCGGCCGTGTCGACGTAGGCCGGCTCGACGATGCGGCCTGCGTCCATGCCGGCGCCCATGTCGCCGTAGTACTGCATGGCGGCGTTCTTGCCGTCGGTGAGCTTGACCTTGCCGTCGGTCGCCTTGGTCCACGCCCACGTCGCGTCAATGTTGCCGCCGGCCATGCCGATCGTGCCGAGCTGGCCGAACGCCTGGGCGCCCATCGTGACCCACTTGCGGTTGACGGCGAGGAGCTGCTGCTTCATGGCGTCGAGGGCGGCGGCGATGGGCCCACCGGCGACGAGCGGGCGGCCCTGCTTGGTCTGGAGCTTGCGCTGGATCGACAGGAGCTTGGACAAGGTCTCGCTCGGGAGGTTGCCTCGACGAGACTTGCTGTAGACCTGTCGTGCGCGGGGAGAGAGTCAGCGGTCGTGGCTCGACTCGAGGAGAGCGGGCGAGGGCGTGCGCTCAGGTTGGCCCTCGCGCGGCTTGGTCGCCCGCTCGAGCTCGACCGGTGCACGCTCGCGAGAGGGAAAGGCGGACGCACCCAGGCGTGGAGGATGGAGAAGGCGACGTGCTGAGGGATCGGGTCGGGCTTGCTGAGGAGGCGGACGACTGCGAGGTGGGAGCAGGAGGGGGTCACGGGTCAGCGAGGGGGAGGGGGTCTGTTGGAGTGCGAGTGAGAGGAACAGAGTGGACGGACCGTCTTCCTGAGTGAGCATGGCCGCAGGCCGGTAGAGGTGGGGTTGTCCGGGTGGTTCGAGGATCGACCGGCGGCGAGGGACGAGGGTCGCGGTTGCGGGCGGTAGCGGGCTTGGTCGAGAGGGAGCAGGCAAGCTCGCAGTCGAGTCTAGCAGTCGAGCGAGTCGGGGTGGATGCAAGCGACGAGGGCGGATCGTCCCCCGCGGAGGAGGCGCTCCTTCCTCCTCCCTCTCCCTCCACCAGCTCTGCCCGTCACCACAGAGCTTGCCCAGCCATGCGCTTGACCCCGATCGTCGCAGGCGCAGCCGCCCTCGCCCTCACCGCGTCTCCGTGCGTGTCCCCTCTCTCGCGCCTCGGTCCTCATCCACGCGCCGCTCACCCTCCCCTTGTCGTCCCCCACAGCGCTCTCGCATGGACCAACCAGGACCAGTCCGTCCCACTTTCTCTCTCTCTTGATCCACCCCTGTCGGCGCGCGCACTCACTCTCCCCCCTCCCCCTGCAGCGAGATCTTTGACCTCGTCTCGTCCCTCGAGGGCGCAGAGGGCAAGGGCACCACCTTCTGTGCGCACCACCTCTTCGTCTACCTCGCCATCCACCCCCGAGAGAGCTGACTCGGCATGCGCGCCCACAGACACGTTCCTCAACACGACCCGCAGCGCGACCCCGCAGGAGATCAACCGCGCGTACCGCAAGCGCTCGCTCGAGCTCCAGTGCGTCCCCTCGGCGTCCCTCGTCGCGCTCGTCGTGCCACACTGACCCACTGCTTCCCCTCGCCGCAGCCCGGACAAGAACCCGGACGACAAGAAGATCGCGGACCGCTTCGCTCGCCTCGGTGTCATTGGCAACATCCTCCGCGACGACGAGAAGCGCAAGCAGTGCGTCCCTCTTCCTCCCGACTACTGTCGTGCAGGCCTCACTCATTCCCCTGTCCTGCAGCTACGACCACTTCCACGACAACGGCGTCCCCAAGTGGAGGGGTGCGTCCTCTCCCTCTCGTTTTCCTCTCCCTTCTCGACCTCCTCACTGACCTGCCTCCTCCTCCTCGCAACAGGTACCGGCTGTGCGTCTCTGCGCCTTCTACCGAGGTCGAGACGAGCGCGACTGACCTCGATCGCGCCCCGTCACAGACTACTACTCGCGCTACCGCCCGGGCCTCGGCTCGGTCCTCGCAGGCCTCACCGTCTTCTCGTGCTTCATCCACTACGTGTTCCTCTACATGACTTTCCGGGTCCAGAAGATGCGCATCAACGCGTGCGTCCCTCGGCTCCCTCCCTCGCGCCCTCGTTCCCGACCCTGACGACCCTCGCCCTCGCCCTGTCCGCAGCTTCCGCGAGCAGGCCTTCGAGGCGGCGTGGGGCCCGACCAAGAAGCCCCTCGCGGGCAAGCGCCGGCTCAAGACCAAGACGGGCGAGCAGGGCGACGCCATGGGCATGCCCGGCATCAACGGCGGCCGGCCCATCGCTGGCGGCAGCACGCTCGAGCTCGCCGTCGAGGGCCCGGACAAGGTCTACGTCGTCGAGAACCGCAAGGGTGCGTCGCTCGCCGTCTTCCTCTCTCTCTCTCTTGCCTGCGCGGACCTATCCTGACCCTCTCCTCCTTCTCGCTCGCAGAGACCCTCATCTCGGAGGACCTCGTCACCAAGCCCGTCCTGCGCGACACGTGGCTCCCTCGCGCCGTCCTCAGCCGCCTCGGCTACGAGACGACGCCGTCGGCGCCGGCCGCCTCGACCGACTCGTCGTCGACCTCGACCTCGAGCGCGAGCGCCGCCGCGCGCAAGTCGTCGATCAAGAAGTCGTACCGCAAGCCGTCGCCCGAGGACAGTGCGGGCGCGACGAGCGGCGACGACGCGACGAGCGGCGGCGAGGACGGCGCTGCGCCGGCCAAGAACCGCGGCCCGGGCAAGGGCATCGAGGGCATGGGCAAGGTCGGCGGCAGGAGGCGCAAGACGGTCCCGAGGCCGACGCCCAAGTCGACCTGAGCGCGCGCTTGCCGCCGTCGTCGTCGTCGGCGTGCGGGCTGGCGGCGGTCCGAGGAGGGGAGGGGACGGAGCAGGGGGCAGGGTCAAAACGCTCGCACTTTCATCGCAACTCGCATGGTCTCCCACATCCTCGCGCGCTGTCGGCCCTGTCGGAGATTCCGTCTCTTGCGAGCTCGCATGGCTCCATGTCGCCTTCCCTCGAGCGCGCTCCATGTACCCCTTTTTGTCTCGGGGAGGTGCTCTTTCGTGGACGTCCACGAGGAGCCTTGCTCGCTCGCCGTCTCTCTCACTCTCTCTCTCCTCCCCTCTGCACCTTGCGGACGTTGCGCAGCTGCACGCCGCCGTCGGCTGGCGCGCTCGCGCCGCCGACACTCGGCTCGACTCGCGCTCGCGCACAGCTCCCGGACGCGTCCCGCCGCCTCGAATGCGTCGCCGGCGGGCCCACCTGCGTGTCCGGCTCAACCAGCCCCCCATCCCTCGTCCTGTGCGCGCCGAGTCGAGGTTGCTGCGGGCGTGAACGGCCGGTTCGAGCGCTCGAGCGTGATGCAACTCGTTCCTGCTCTCGATGGCGCGCCGGCTCGTCAGCTTCTCGCGTCGAGCGTGCACGCTCTCGCGCTGCGCGTGCACGGCTGCAGCGCACGGTCGAGCCGGACGAGGTGGACGGTGCCGCGCGTTTGCGCTGGATCCGGGAAACGCGGGGTCCCGGGTGCGCCTGATTCGATTGGCTCGTGGCGACGCGGCGCGTCTCCAGCTTCCGAAGGCGGCGGCCGTCGGTTCTCACGGGCCTGCTCGCTCCCTGTCCTGCCACTCGACCAGCCCGCGCTCGCTCGCCCCGAGCTGCCAGCAAACACAGCTTGCCTCCCTCACCCTCCTCCACCACACCGCGCGCGCCGTCCAGCACCATGGCACCTCGACTCGCCGCCGCCGTTCAGCCTCGAGCTGCGAGCCGCCCGTTCGCCCTCCTCGCCCGCCTCGCAGCGAGCGCGCTCGCCTTGTCGTCGCTCGTGGCCGCACAAGCGCAGCTGCCCTCGTCCACCCCTCAGCCGTTCGACCTCCCGCTGCGGTCCTTCCACTCGTCGCCCGTCGTCTCGCCCGAGCTGCGCGTGCACCTCGCGCCGACCGACGAGGCGTCGACCGACCTCGTCACCTTTATCGGCGTGCGAGGTGCGACGGCGGCAGAGAACGGCAACTTTGGGCCGTACCTCCTCGACTCGCGCGGCGAGGTCCTGTGGATGGGGCCCAAGGGCAGCGTCCTCAACGTCGGCAAGCATACGTACCAGGGCCAGCCCGTCATCGCCTACTACACCGGTGCGTCCCTCGACCCCTCGTCGTCGTCGTCCTCGTCTCACAGGACGCGAGAACTAACCTGCGCTCGCTCGCACGCAGGCACCGAGGAGCACCCAGGGTTCGGCCGAGGCGTCTACAAGCTGTACGACCAGAGCTACCAGCACATCGCGACCGTCGAGGCCGGCGGCGAGCTCACCAACCTGACCGACCCGCACGACGTGCGTCCTCCTCTTTCCCTCAGTCCCTTTCTCGCCGTCCCCCGGCCGGTCCCCTGACGCCTCTCTCGCGCCCCGCCTGCAGTTCCAGATCACGCCCGACGACACGGCCGTCATCGAGACGTGGATCCCTCGCGAGATGGACCTGTCGCCGCTCGGCGGCCCGGTCAAGGGCGGGTTCGCGTTCGACTGCGTCATCCAGGAGGTCGACATCGCGACGGGCGAGCTCCTGTTCCAGTGGCGCTCGATGGACCACATTCCTCTCACCGAGACGCTGTACGAGCTGCTCGAGCCGGCCGGGACCAAGTCACAGCGTGCGTCCACCTCTCTCGCCGTCTCGGTCGTCTTTCCCGCGCCGTCCCTCGCTCACCCTTTTTCTTCTCCCCTCGCGCAGCCTTTGACGCTCATCACCTCAACGCCGTGTTCAAGGACGAGTCAGGCAACTTCCTCATCTCGCTGCGCGGGCCGTCGACCGTCTACTACATCTCGCGCGAGACGGGCGAGATCCTGTGGCGCCTCGGCGGCTCCAAGACGAGCTTCAAGATGGGCGACAAGTGAGTCGTCCGCTTCACACGCCTTCGAGGACCGTCACGAGCGACGACGGATCCTGACGCCGCTCTCGTCGCCGCAGCACCGACTTCCACTTCCAGCACCACTCGCGCCTGCACGGATCGGGCGCGTCGTCGCCTTTCACCGTCACGCTCTTCTCGAACGGCGCCAACCAGTTCCGGCAGACGGCCGACCAGGCGCGAGCGGTCATCCTCAAGGTCGACACCGACAAGATGCAGGTCGAGCTCGAGAAGGAGTACCTCCCGTCGTTCAAGATGCCGTGCCCGAGCGAGGGCAGCATGCAGATCCTCGACAACGGCAACGTCGTCGTCGGCTGGGGCATTCGTGCGTCCTCGTCTCGCTCACTTCTGCGTCCTCGTCGACGCTCGCACCCGACCTGACACTCCTCTCTCGCACGCTCGCAGGCCCGCAATTCTCCGAGTTCACCGAGGACGGCAAGCTCGTCCACGACGTCCAGTTCGGCCAGATCGACGGCCGGAGCGACCTCGACCACTCGTACCGCGTCTACAAGGTGCGCTCGGACCCTCCTCTTTTCCCCAACTTGGCCTTCCCAAATTGACGCTCTTTCGCCTCGCCTCCTCGCAGGCCTCGTGGACCGGTCGCCCTCTCACGCCGCCGTCCATGGTCCTCGACGAGCACTCGTCGGCGATGGCCTACGTGTCGTGGAACGGCGCGACCGACGTCGCCTCGTACCGCCTGTACGCCGGTCCCTCGCCCGACACGCTCCTCCCCGCCGCCTCTCCTCTCTCGCCCTCTTCGTCCGAGCCCGAGAACGACAAGCAGGCCCTCGACGCGACGTACGTCGCCAAGTCGTCGTTCGAGACGCGCATCGACCTGCCGCACGACCCCGAGGCGCGCTTCGTCGCCGTCGTCGCGCACGACAAGCACGGGCGCGCGCTCCGGTCGAGCGAGATCCTTGACCGCAAGGTCCGCGTCGGGACGGGCCTGTACGCCGACGTCGATGCGCTGTGGTGGGCCGAGAGGAGGAGGGTCATCGAGCTGGGAGGCCTGAGCGTCGTGCGTCTCTCTCCCTCTCTCTCTCTCTCTCTCTTCCCTCGCACTCTCCCTTTCGCTAGCCGTGACCGACACTGACACTCGTCGATGACGCAGGTCTTCTTTACGGTCCTCGCGTACCTCGCTCGTCGCCGAGGCTTCCTCGCTCGTGCGAGCGGCTACGGTGCGTCCTCTCTTTTCTCTTTCGCGTTCTCGCCCTCTCCTCGTACAAGGTCCTGACGCATCTCCCTCCCTTACTGCCTACCCTCCTCGACGGTCGACAGCCCCCTTGCACGCCGGCTCGCTCTCGCTCCCGACGCACTCGAGCACGTCCTCGCCGCTCAAGACGCCGCCCGTCACGAGCGAGTCGCGCATGTGGAGCCCGACCGGCGAGTGGGCGACAATGCCTGTCAAGCAGGCGTAACTCTCGAGGTCGGACGGCCGTTTGCGGTGGAGGTAGAGACAGACAGGAGGTTGCAGGGGCTGGCGGCGAGGGCTCGGCACCGTGTACATCAGAGCATCGACGATCATCTATCTTCGTCATGCGCGAGAGCTGCGAGAGCGTCAGAGAGAAGAGTTCCGGCGAGCACTCGCGCCGCAGCCTCGCATGCTCGGCGAGCCTGCTGGTCTCGAGCCTCCTCGTCTGTCAGAGAGAATAGGACGGTCGAGCGCTGCACGTTGCTCGTCTCACCCGCACGAACATGCTCTCGAGGGCTGCCAAGGCGGGACCGCTCTGCTCGGACAGGGACGAGGGAGAAAAGAGTTGCCGGCACAAGAGGCCTGAGCACGAAAGGCTCTCGCAGCTCTCGATGGGACGAGTCGCGCGACGAAAGACGCTCGCGACGAATACGACTCATTGCAGACGCTCGCAAGGGAGGGTTCTACCGCGCTCAGGTCGTGATCTGCCCCAGCAGCAGCCACTTTGGCTCCCTCGCCGCCTTCTCTCTCGCCAGCGCGCGCTTGTGGGGCCTGAAAGCCCGGCCAACACCAGACGTGCTCGACGAGGTCGTCGGGTTCGAGTGGTCGGACGCGGAGTAGATCGAGCCGGACGTCGTCGTGGTCGGCTCGAGGGTCGGATAAGTCTTGAGGAGACGGCGGAAGCGGACGGGCGCGTCGGCCGGGAGCGCAAAGATGGACGGCGAGATTTCGAGGACGCTTGACGAGCTGGGCCAGTCTGGGTTGTCGAGGTCGTGGTCGACGCGGACGTGCGGCGTCGACGTGGTCGGACGAGGCGCGAGCGGCAGGGCGATGGCGCACGAGTCGTCGCGGGCGGTCACGATCGGCTCGGTGTGCGGGTTGCAGAGGCCGTAATCGGCAAGGAAGATGTCGATGACCTGCGTGCGGTGCCGAGTCAGGTCGCGTCGGTGCGAGAGAGGAGGGAGGACTGCGCGCACGGCCCTGGACTCCTCGAGAAGCGCAGACGTGCGGACGGGCTCCGCCTCGTACACCACGCACTCGACCAAGTCGTCCAACGTGAAGCGACGCGGTCTGTCGGACGGCAGGCCCTGGTGCACCGCGTACCTGTACACCGCCGCCCGGTCCTGGCACCACCCGCACATGCAGTTCGGGTCGAGGTGCTGACGCACGAACGCGTCGACGCGGGCGGCCCTCGCCTCGTCCGACAGGAACGTCTTGACAAGGTCCCACACCTCGCTCGGCACCTCGCGGACGTCCCTCGCGCCCGTCGACGAGCTCGTCTCGAGTCGGACCTGGTCCCGCCTCGAGCAGATGAGGTCGATGGCGCGCACCGCAGACTTGACGTCGGCGTAGGCGGCAGCCGTGAAGCACAGGCTGGTGACGGTGACGGTGATGCCGTAGAAGAGGGTCGAGGTGCTGAAGCTCATGAGGGTTGAGGGAGGAGGGTGGGGGACGAGGGGAGGGAAACGCGGCTGCGGCTGGAGTTGCGCGCGCGAGAGCGAGTCGGGGAGGGCTCTGCACGGACCAGAGAGTCAGTGACCGCGCAACGACGAGCTCAGTGCGAGGCGAGAGGCTGCTCACGAGGAGGTGTCGAGCGCGAAGCTGAGCGCGTACAGGCGCGACGGCGACTCGACGAGGCGGCTGGAGGACGGCAGCAGTGCGCGTCGAGCGTTGATGGGGCCTCGCTGGTGTGAAGCTTGCACCGCAGGAGAGCGTGTGAGAAGAGCGAGGCAGCGAGACGCCAACGGGCGACCGCGTCGACGAAGCAGCCGTCTCGCCTTTGCAGCAGGGTCCGCACTCTCTTGGCCAGCTAGACGAGACAGTCACTCTCTTATGCAGCAGGCTGCCGAGGAAGCGCAAACAAGGCGAGGCCACCGCCGTCACTTTGCGATGGACGACCTCGCTCGAGCTCTCCACGAGGATGCCGAATGCTCGAGGTTCCAGTGCACATACTACAGCGTGGGAGAGAGGAGGAGGGGAATCAGGCCGACGCGGCCTTGACGGCTTCCGCAGCCGCCTCGTCGAGGTTGTCGTACGCGAAGATCTTCATGTTGCTCTCGCGGATGAGCTCCTTGGCCTCCTTCTCCTTGGTGCCCTGCAGGCGCACGATGAGCGGGATCGTCATCTCGAGCTCCTTGGCCGCGAGGATGATGCCCTCGGCGATAACGTCGCAGCGCATGCTGAGGGACGCAAAGGCGAGGGTCAGTGCGGGCTCCTGTCTCTCGCGAGCCCGACGGCCGCCACGAGGAAAGAGGGAGAGAAAGAGGAGGAGACGCACATGCCGCCGAAGATGTTGACAAAGATCGACTTGACCGAGCCGTCGGCGAGGAGGAGCTCGAACGCCTTCTTGACCGCCTCGGCCGTCGCTCCACCGCCGACGTCGAGGAAGTTGGCGGGCGAGCCGCCGTTGAGGTTGAGGACGTCCATGGTCGCCATGGCGAGGCCGGCGCCGTTGACGAGGCAGCCGATCGAGCCGTCGAGCTTGATAAAGTTGAGCCCGTACTTGGCCGCCTCGACCTCGGACGGCGCCTCCTGCGTCAGGTCACGGAGCTTGAAGACCTCCTGCGAGATGACGACGAGGCGTGTCAGTGAGGGAGTCGAAGACAGAGGGCGAGAGGCGAAGCGAGAGGGGACGCACCGCCTGCCTGAAGTCGGCGTTCTCGTCAAAGCCGAGCTTGGCGTCCATGCACAGGACGTCGCCGCCCTCGACCTCGGCGAGCGGGTTGATCTCGATCTGCGTCGCGTCGCGCTCCTTGAAGAGCTGGTACAGCTTGATGAAGATGTCGGCCGCCTTGTCCTGCGACTCGGGCTTGAAGCCGAGCTTCTGCGCAATCTCGCCCGCGAGCTGCTTCGAGAGGCCCTCCTCGAACGGGATCGGGGTCGTGATGATGGCCGACGGGTCGTCACGTGCAACGTCCTCGATGCTGCAGGTGGCGAGCGAGCGAGGTGAGGGTGTGCTCGCCGGAAGAGACAAAGAGGTGAAGAGGGGCGAGGACGCACTTCATGCCACCCTGGCGCGACGCGACGAGGGCCGGGCCACCGAGGCTGCGGTCGTTGAGGATGGCGACGTAGTACTCGTGGGTCGGCGTTCGCCTCTCGGCGAGCATGACGGCGTTGCAGACGCGGCCGGCGGCGCCCGTCTGCTTGGTGATGAGGTTGTGGCCGATCATCTGCTCGGCGAACTTGCCCGCCTGCTCAGGCCTGCGAGACACGGAGGACGTGTCAGCCTGCACGATTTGGCAGGTGGATCGAGGGACGAGGGGACGCACGAGTCGACCATCTGGACGCCGCCCTTGAGGCCGTTCGGGCCGTCAAAGTGACCCTTGCCGCGACCGCCAGCGAGGACCTGCGCCTTGATGACGAGCTTGTCGGCACCTGCGTGGCAGAGGAAACAGGGTGAGTACCGGTGCCGCCGCTGCACCTCGAGGAAGGGGGAGAGGATGAGCCGCACCGAAGTTCTGCGCGACCTGCTTGGCCTCCTCGGCCGAGAAGGCGGCCTTGGACTTGGGAGTCGGGACGCCGTACTGTGTGCAGGCGGGCACACGAGGTCAGTCAGGGCACCTTGAGAGCGAGGGAGGGAGGGGTCGAGGTGATGAGGAACGCACCTCGTTGAGGAGGTTCATCGAGAGGTACTCGTGGATGGACAGGTTGCGGCGCTGGTTGCCGACAGCTGCCGAGGGCTGCACAGTGCACAGGGGAGCATCCCAGGGAAACAGGCAAGGCGAGGTCAGCTGGACCAACTCGGAGAGGGCCGGCTCGCGCGCCGCCGTCTGGCGTGGTCGACGCTCGAGGCGAGGTAAGCGGAGGAGGGGCGCACCTTGAGAGCCCTGGCGCGAGTCGCAGTACGCAGGCAGGTCGAGAACATGGTGCACGCGGTGGGAGATGAGGTCGAGCCGGAACGTGAGGTCGTCGTTGGCGCGGTCCAGGGCGAGCGGAGCGACCCTCGAGATTAACCTCTCGCTACTATTGCCTGCAATAGTAACCTGCGCCCCGTCCTTATTAGCCTCTGGCGCGCGCCGCCTCGACTCCCCCGACCGCTCGCTCTCTCTTTCTCCTCAGCCAACCGGCGACGCTTCACCTGCCCCCTCTGAGGCGCTTCCGCGGGGTAGGCGGCATCCCTTGACACGTCCACTCCGTGCTCTGCGCTCGCCTCTCTCGGGAGGGGGGCCGCACGACGCCGCTGGACCTGCCCGACCGTTTTCCAGACCGACCCACGGCAGCCATGAGTCTCCTCGCCCGGCTACCTCTCCACCAGGCGCGGAGAATTAGCGCAGCCGACATGCACCCTCGACGCCGACCCGCACGCTCCCGAACCGCGCACGAGGAGACGAGGGCGCGACGCAGCGAGGCGAGGCGAGGCGAGGAAGAGGAGCGAAGGGGCACGCAGAGCGGGACGAGCTCTCGTGCGCGGTGTGCAACTGCAGCATGTTCTTCTACACAGATCCCGACGAGAGCAGCCGGCGCCGTCTACGAGCGAGAGAGAGCGCTCGCCTCGCTTCGTTCTTGCCCCCGGACCTCTCGCTCTCTCGCATGGCAGGCTCTCTCTCTGGCTCTCTGCTGGAACGCCGAGATCGTGAGCGGACTCGATAAACATTGCAAGTCGTCCTTGGCCCTCTGCCTCACGCCGGCCCGACCTTCTTCGCGGCCGGCGACCCGTCGACGCTCTCCTCGTCGCGCTCGCGCTTGATGCCGTTGCCGACGCCGTTGCCCTTGGCCGTCGACGCACCGGTGCCGACGACGCCGTGCTGAGGCAGCGTCGTAGGCGGCATGCCCGGCGCCGCCATGCTCGGCCCCGCTCGCCCGCCGTTGCCGCCGCCGCCGCCGCCGCCGTTGGCCATGCTCATCGCCATGCGCTGCTGCATGACCTGGAGGTTCTGCAGCTGCATCATCATCATCTGCGTCTGCTGGAGCTGGCCCTGGAGCTGCATGCGCATCGGCGGCGGCATGACCGGGTTCTGGAGCATGCTCGACAGGCGGAACGCGTTCTGCTGCAGCATCGGCAGGGACGGCAGGCCGGCGCCGCCGTTGGCGGCGATCATCTGCTGCTGCATGAGCATCATCTGCTGCTGCTGCTGCGCCTGGAACTGCTGCTGCCGCATCATGGCCGCCTGCTGCGCCGGCGTCATGCCGTGCGCGAGGCCCGGGCTGACGACGGGTGGCGGCGCCGGCTGCGGCGGTGGCACAGGCGTGCCCGAGGTGGCGCGAACAGGCGACGCAGAACTGGTCGTGGCGCCCGCGGCGGCGACGGCGGACGCGCTCGGCTTGACGTCGCCTTTCGAGGCGCGGTCCTCGCCGGGTCGAGGTTGGCGCGGGTTCAGAATCTGCACGAGGGGCACGAGAGAGGTACGGCGTGTCAGTGTAACACGCAAGGCGAAAGGTGTGCGGGGCGAGGGAGAGAGAGAGAGAGGCTCGGGCGCACCTCGGGTGCACGCTCGGGGAAGAGCTCGTCGTCGTCCTTCTTGACCTCGTCGAGCTGGACCGCCGGCTTGACGTCGTCGCCCTCGCCGTCTGCTCCCTCCTCCTTCTTGAGCGCGGCCGCCTCGGCCTCGGCCTTCTTGCGCTTCTCCTCGGCAAGCCGCAGCCGCTCCTCCTCGGCCTCGCGCTCCTTCTTCTCCTGCTCGAGCGCCTCCTTGCTCGCCTCGAGCGTCTCCTCGACGTACTTCTTGCACCGCTCGCGCCGGTCATCGTCGGGCTTGAGCTTCTCGAGGCTCTTGACGCGCGTCTCGCACTCGGGGCAGAGCATGTCGTTGTCGAGGAGCGCGTTCGTGACGCACTCGTCGCAGAACGACGTGTTGCAGCACGGCGTCAAGGTCGCGTCGCGCAGGAGCTTGGAGCAGACGGGGCAGGTGAGGTCGGGGTCGGTCGGCGCCATGCCCTGGATGTCGTTGGCCGAGAGGTTCGACGTGAGGGCGCGGTGCGCGAGCCAGGATGCGCTGCGGGTTGACGGAGGCGGCCGAACGTGTGAGTAACGCGTCGCGAATGTCGTCGCTGGAAAGAGGTAGAGAGAAAGAGGGGGCGCACCTGTCGGGTCGAGCGACGACGAAGCCGCCGTCGGCGGTGACCATGACGCCGCCTTTGACGCCCGGACCGCCCTCCTCCTCCTCGGTGCCGGGTAGAGGCCCGGCGACCTCGGTGAGGAAGCTTTTGGGGATGCCCGTCGTGCGCTTGATGCGAGGCCGGTTGTCGTACGCCGGGTCGCTGTTCTTGGGGCAGTCCTGGATCCAGTGACCTGCGAGCGCTCGTCGGCGTCAGGACGGATTCGCTGAGACATGAGACAGGAGAGTAGGACGAGAAGGACGCACCTTTTTGGCCGCAGCGGTAGCAGATGTAGCCGGGAGGAGGGTCCTTGCGCGGCATGTCGCGAAAGTTGGGCCGCCCGCCGGGACCGCCGGGTCCACCTGGGCCGCCGCCGCCGCCGCCGTCGCCGTGATGTTGAGGAGGAGGCGGCCTACCGCCTTGCCCGGGCCGAGGGATGTACTGGGCGCTGCGGGGAGGAGGACAAAGTCAGTCTCGTCGAGTGGAGAAGGGGGACGAGCGCGAGGCTCGAACGGCGCGACGACAGAGGAACGAGCGACGCACTGCAACATCTGCTCCTGCGTTTGCTGCCACTGCGAGCTCGTGGCGGCGAACATGGCCGCCATGGCCGAGGCCTCGTCGCCTGAGGCTGCGACAGGAACTTGAACGTCCGACGGGTTCTGTCGCCGCGAGAGGAGAGCCAGGGACGGGAGAGAGAGGGGGACGGGCAAGAAGGGACGACACGAGACAAACGTGAGAATCTGATTGCGAATGCGCGCCGAGACCGAGGCAGACAGAAGAGGCCCGTGCGACAAGGGGAGGGAAACGGACCTGCGGAGCTGCAGACGGGGCCATGTCCTCGCGACCGTCAAACCGCTTCGAGTACATGTCCTTGTTGAACCCTCCGACACCTCCTCGCGGCGTCGGCGCCGCACCTCGGCCGTCTCGGGCGTTCGAGCCCGTGTCGTCGTTCGAGGCCATGTAGTCGAGGGCGTTGCCGCGCCCAGGCCCTCGTGCTGGCGGAAGCCGACGCGCAATGACCGATGTCGACCGAGGAATGAGCTCGCGGTCGTTCTTGTACTCTGCGCGAGGGAGGAAGGGGGAGGAGGTCAGTGAACGGCTCGACGACCGGCTCTTCTGCTCGGGCAAAGGCGGCTCCTCGACAAGTCGCAGAAGGCCGACGGCTGCATTTCGCATGGACGAGATCTAGTGCCCTCCTTGGCCCCATGCTGCACCCGCTCGAGTCGACCCGGCGGCAGTCGCCCGCCGAGCCGCAGTTCTCCGCCGTCTCGCCCTTCCACCGCCGACCGCTCCACACGATCCAGAGAGGGCGAGACGGACGCACCTTCCTCGGTGTCGGCGTGGTAGATGGCAAAGTCGAAGTCGGCGCCCTTGCCCATGCGGTTCTCGGCGATGATCTCCTTCTTGAGGTCAAAGACCGAGATGGCGGTGCCGTCGAACGCGATGCGCGACGGCTCGCGCTGCGACTTGAACTTGTAGAAGACGAAGGACGAGGCCATGGTGGACGACTCGCGGCCGAGGCGAGGAAGAGGCGGACGAGAGGGAAGGGAGGGAGGGAGAGGAGGGGGAGGGGCAAGGACGAGCTGGCGCAACGACGGGCTGGCAGTGCACACTCGCAAAGGACGCTACGACGATCTGCGCTAACTGCTGGACCCTCGCGTCGGTCCTGCGCGGCGAGTTGGCGGAGCTCGAAGTCGAGGTCGGGCTGCTGACGAGGACGAGCGGCGATGAGGGCTTTGCGAGCCGGATGAGGGTGTGTTTGACGGCCGGGGCGGACGCGAGAGTCGAGTTGTCGCAATATAGAGCAGCCGCAGCGTGTCGGGCGGTGTGTAGGAAGAGCGAGATGAGGGGAAGCTGGGAGAGGTCTCTCGGGCTCACCGCGGACGGGAATTGCAGTCGCTCTCCTCACCTGTGCTGTCGGGCGTACCTCCTGGCGCAGTTGGACAGGTCTCTGTGCGGCACACGCCAGCCCTCGAAGCCAAACAGAGACGAAACCAACGCCCTCTCCTCCTCGACTCCCGGACCTCGAGCCCGTTCTGAGTCTCTCTCGTCGCTCGCTCTCGTACAAGTCCAGAAGGAGTGAGGGAACGTAATGCGGCTGCTGGTTACACGATACAAGGGACAGCGACGACCGAGAACGAGGGAGGCGAGAGCACGACGCTTTAGACGAGGTTCGAGGGGTAGGCAAAGTCCGTGGGCGGGACGAACGTCTGTCGAACGAGAGCAGGTCAGTCTCGGGAGGCACGAGGAAGAATAGAGGGACGAGAAAGACGCACCTCCTTGATCGAGCGAGGGTTGGCCCAGCGGGTGAAGAAGCTCGGCGAGCCGGCCTTGTCGTTCGTGCCCGAGCCACGAGCGCCACCGAACGGCTCTGCAGGGACAGAAGGAACGTCAGGATCTCGACTGTCGTCGGGAGAGAGATAGAGAGGTTGGGACGCACGCTGACCGACGACGGCACCAGTCGACTTGTCCTGCGAGAGGGGCAAAAGGGCGAGGGTCAGGCCACGTCCGAGGACACGTAGAGAGAGTGAGCGCAGGGACGCACGTTGATGTAGTAGTTGCCGGCCGAGTAGCGAAGGAGGGCGGTCGCCTTGACGGTCGCGGCGCGGTCGTTCGAGAAGATGCAGCCCGTCAGGGCGTACGTCGTCGTGGTGTCGATGAGGCTGCACGTCTCCTCGAACTTGGCGTCCTCGTAGACGTAGACGGTGAGGACCGGGCCAAAGATCTCGTCCGTCATGGTCGGCGAGAGCGGGTCCTTGGTGAGGATGACGGTCGGCTGGACGAAGAAGCCGGTCGAGTCGTCGCCCGAGCCACCGGCGAGGACCTCGCCGCCGGCCTGCTTGGCCTTCTCGACGTAGGACAGGCACTTGTCGTACGAGGCCTGCGAGCTGCGGGGCAGGGACGCGAGGGGGATGGGGGGAAAGGAGGAGGGAACGTGGACGAGATGGGGGAGGAGGGCGAACGAGGTCAGTTCTCGCGCGCAAGGCAGGACACGGGCGCGAAAGGGAGAGGGGAAGACGCACATGACGGGGCCCATGAAGTGCTGGAACTCGGAAACCGAGCCCTGGCTGATCTTGGCGACCTCGGACAGGAGCGTCTCCTTAAAGTCGCCGTCCCAGAGCGACTTGGCGACATACAGGCGCGACAGCGCGCTGCACTTCTGGCCCTGGTACTCGAACGCGCCGCGGATGGCGCCGATGGCGGCCGCACGGACGTCGGCCGACGGGTGCACGAGCTGGAAGTTCTTGCCGCCCGTCTCGCCGACGACGCGAGGGTAGCTCAGGTACTTGTCGATGTTGTTGCCGATCTTCTTCCACAGGTGGCGGAAGACGTGGGTCGAGCCCGTAAAGTGCAGGCCGGCGAACATGCGGTGGTCGAGGACGCGGTCGACGAGCGAGATGGTGGCGTCGCCGTTCGGGGTCGGGAGGAACTGAATGACGTTCTTGGGGAGGCCGGCCTCGAGGAGGATCTGGAGGACGAGCCACGACGAGTAGGTGGCCATGGGCGACGGCTTCCACACGAGGACATTGCCGACGAGCGCGGGCGCGCCGACGAGGTTGCCCGAGATGGCGGTGAAGCTGCGAAGCGGGCATCTGCGTGAGCTCCTCGTCCATTCAGACCTGGGAAGAAGCGGGAGGAACGCACTTGAACGGCGTCACGGCAAAGACGAAGCCCTCGAGCGGACGGTACTCAACGCGGTTCCACGTGCCCGACGAGTTCTCGGTCGGCTGCTGCGTGTAGAGCTGCTCGACCTGGGCGGCGCCGAAGCGGAAGAAGTCGATGAGCTGCACAGGAACAAGAGGCAAGTCAGTGGGGCTGCTCGGGGCGGGTGCGGGAGAGGCGCGAGCGAGAAGGCGCACCTCGGCGGCGGCGTCAATCTCGGCCTGCCAGACGTTCTTGCCCTGGCCGAGCATGGTCGCGGCGCAGATCTTGGCGCGGTACTTGGTGCTGATGAGGTCGGCAGCCTGTGTGCGGTGCGAGGTCAGCCTCTTGCGCCGGCTCAGAACGGCGCGGACGGGCCCAGAAAGGTGGGGAGCTCACGCGGAGGAAGATGGCGGCGCGGTCGTTGAACGGCATCGACTCCCACTCGGGCTGCGCCGCGAGAGCGTGCTTGATGGCCTCGGAGGCGAGGTCGGGCGTCGAGGCGGCGAACGTGCACAAGTCCTGCTTCTTGTTGTGGGGCATCGGCTGCGACGAGCGCTCCGTGTCGAGGCGGACCTGCGGGATGCGGGCAACGAGGTCAGTGCGAGTCGCAGGATGATTCTTGAGAGGGCGGGACGCACCTCCTTGCCGCCAACGAACGCCGGGACGTCGAACGGCGCGGCACTCTCGAGCTCGGCAATGGCGTCCTGGAGGGCCTGGCGCTCCTTGGAGCCGGGAGCGTAGCTCAGGTTGGGCTCGTTGCGGACGACGGGGAGCTTGTAGTGGGCGTTGGTCGAGGCGGCCATGGTAAAAGGCGGGTGGTGGTGGTGGGAGGAAGAGGGGAGGAGGGAGGGGAAGCTGTGGGACGTTCGGGGCGACTCGTGTGAGCGACGAGGTGCGGCAGAGGAGCGCAAAGAGCAGACGGTTGCGGCTCACAGTGTCAAGAGAGCCTTGAGGGAGGAGGGAAAGGGAGAACAAGCCCCGAGGTCCACGCCGCCCTCGAACTCGAGCTCGGCAAAGCCGACGTTTCGCGAGATATGCTCGCCCCGCGCCTCGCGCTTGCCCGACCTCTCTGGAGCTCCTCTTGCTCACCGGACTAACTAACTAGGGACGAGCAGAAACTCTCGCTCGCCGACACGAGCCGCACGAGGATAAGGACGAAAACCAAGTACTCGCTCGAAAATGCACAGACCGCCTCGTTGTCGACGCACTCGTCGACGCTACGAAAGACATAGCGACAGAGGCCAGCTCTCGACGCACAGGCCAGCTGCCCGACCGCCAACTCACCGCCGCACCGGCGCCGTCCCGATCCTGCTGACCCGAGGCTTGAACCTCGCGCCCGACGACGACGACGACGGCTCGCCCTGCGCCGCCGGCTGGGTCGCCCCGAGCGGCACGCGTGCCCTCTGAGGCGCCGACGTGGACTCGAGCTTAGGCGCCGTCGAGAGGCGGCGGTGGGCCGTGCCGGACGAGGACGAGGCAGGCGGGAGGAGGGACGAGCGCGGCGCGAGCGACTTGCGCGGTGCGGTCGAGGCGGCCGTGCCGGACGCTCGGGACGCAGGTGCGGCAGCGGTGGCGGCGAGGAGCGGGCGCGACGAGGGCGCGACGAGCGAGCGTGAGCGCACGAGGCCGCCGCCTGTCGAGGTCGCCTTGGCCGACGTCGACGACGAGGCCGCACCGCTCAGGTCGGCCATGCTGCGCCTCGATGCAAGACCTGCACTCGACGCCGTAACCGTGGCCGGCGCGCGCATGCCCGGCTTGCCCGCGAGGGTCGCGCTGCTCGAGCGCACCATGCCCGACGACGACGACGAGGGTCCGGGCGTTGCCCTCGCGAGCTCGCGCTGCTTGCGCTCGGACCTGAGTCGCTCGAGCTTGACCGCCGTCGAGTCCTTGCGCTCGCCAGGCGTCTTGGGCGGCTCGGACAGCGAGCTCGAGAGGGTGCGCGCGGGCCCGGACGAGGTCGACGAGGCGGCGGTCGGGCCGGGCAGCATGGACGGCCGCGGTCGGGCGAGTCGGGGCACAGGTGCGGTGGAGGTCGAGGGGGCCTTGGGTGCGACAGGGCGGCACGGCGTCGCGCTCGACGAGGCAACAGCCGACGACCGAGCCGAGTCGTTGGCGGACGGGCCCGCCTTCTTCTGCGCGCGCAGCTCGTCGAGCCGCCGCTTGAGGCGCTCGGCGCCCGTCTCCTTGACCGACGACGGCGGCGGACGGATCGCTGCTGCGCTCGTCGGCGCCGACAGGCGCTGCGGCGAAGGCCCGACGTTGCCGATGCCGAGAAGGTCGCCCTCGGCGACGACGACAGGCTCGACCACGGCTGCGGCGCTCGAAGCGACAGGCGAGAGGGCAGAGGACGAGACACCGCCATCGAAGAACGAGCCGAGCTCGGTGACGGTGCGGGTCGAGCAGGCGAGGGTGGAAGTCGACGAGTCGAGCCGAGGACGGTCGACCTTGGTCGGCTGGATCGGGCTCTGCAAGCTGAGCTCGAGCGTCTTGGTCGACTCGGGCTTGAGCATGGCAGTCGGCGGGCTCTGGTCGAGGCTGTACGGGAGGGAACGCGGCAAGTCAGTGTAGGTCCACCTGAACGGGCCGGCGAGCGAGAGAGACTCGAGGACGCACATGCCCGTGCCGAGCTCTGCGGTGCCCCACCTCGTCAAGTCGAATGAGTCCTGCGACGGCCCTTCTGCCGTCCCGCTCCCGCTCCCACTCGACGCGCTCGTGTCGGCGACCCTGCCGCCGCCGTCGCCCGGACGCGGCGTCCTCGCCTCGTCATCGTCGCCGCCGAGCCAACGCTCGACCTGGAGGCTCGCGACGCGAGGCTTGACGGGCGAGTCGCGGTACTCGGCGAACGAGGCGGTCGAGGCGTTGAGGAACGAGACGTCGTCGCCCGACGCGTGCTGCTCCGGGCTGAGGGCGAAGAAGCTTGACTCTGCATTGAGCGTGGCCGAGACTTGGCGAGCGCGAGTGGCCGGAGAGGAAGGGCCGGTGATGGTGCGAGTCGACGAGGTGAGGTCGGAGGGGAGGATAGACGGCGGGGAAGGGTACGAGGACGAGGTCGGGAGGCGCGCATGATCGATCATCGACTCGCCGAGGCCGTGTAGGAGGACCGACATGCCGCCGCTCGTCTCGCTGAGCTCGCCGTCGTGCGTCGAGTTGTCGGCGCTCGCCGTCTGCGGCACGGCGAACGAGTCGAGCGTGACGTCTTGCTGCCGGAACAGGAACGAGCCGCCCTCGTCGGCGAGGAGCGAGAGGTCGTCTGCGCCGAGAAGCGCTGTCGACAGGATCATGGACGAGTCGCCTGCGTACGGTAAAGGTGTCAGTGAGGGCGACGGGGGAAGAAACGACGAGAGACGCAGAGACGCACCCTCGCGGATTGGGCTGCAGTCCTGCACGGGCGCAAGCGTCGCGGCCTTGCGCCTCTCCTCCTGCAGACGTGTCATTGCGCTCCACCGCCGCTGCGCAGGCTTGACCTGGACGGGCGGCGCCGGCTCGTTCTCGGTCTCCTTGTTGTCGCACGACGTGGTCGAGGGCGACAGTCGGCGGACCGTCGGCGGCGGCGACAGGTTGGCGAACGGGGCCGTCGAGGGCGTGATCTCGCCCGAGTCGAACGAGTCGTCGAAGAAGGAGAACTTGAGCGGGCTCGGGCGGCGGACGTTGGACGACGAGAAGGGGGGCGGACGAGGCGGGGTGGGGCCGCAGATGTCGATGAGCGGGGGCGGGCTTGCGGCGACAGGTAGAGGTGGTGGCTGGCCGAACCGACTGGCGCGATCGTGTGCGCCGAACGCCTTGGTGAAGGGTGTTGCGGGGCCGAGGCGGAGCTGGAGGGAGGGCTTGAGGGTGGGTCAGCGCGAGGGGCAATGGGTGAGTTGGGGGGCCATGGAGCTCACCTGGACTTGAGGGACGTCTGCTGGGTCGGCTGCACTCGCGTACGGGTCGAGGTCGGCGAGCGAGAGGCTGCGGTTGAGCGACTCGGGGCGGCCGACGAGCGACGGCGACGGGTCCATGTGCGGCAGTGGAGGCGAGCGGTGTGGGTGCCTATGTACTCTGACGTGATGCTGAAGGTCGCTGGCCTCAGCCAGGGGGACAGCGAGGTGGTGGTCGAGGTTCGAGAGGATCGAGGAGGAGAGGGTCGACCTCGTCTTTCCGTGTTGCACCCTCGCTTGCTCTGCGGTGCCTGTACAGCCTCTGCACTCGTACAGACAGGGCCACACTACACCATGGTGCGCTCGTCGTCGTCCCCTCGACTTCCCCCGTGTCCTCCTCCCTGACCTCACGTCTGTCGCACTGATGAACAGTCGGTCACGCTCCACACGTCCCACGGCGAGATCAAGGTCCGTTCACTCTCTCCCTCGAGCGACCGCTCAGCGACTGACCCGTCCCGCACCCACAGATCGAGGTCTTCTGCGAGACCGTCCCCAAAGCTGCAGAGGTGCGCCTACTTTCGCACCCACGCCAGACCCTCGCACCTCCTGACGACCCCCCACGACGCCTGCCGCAGAACTTCCTGGCGCTGTGCGCGAGCGGCCAGTACGACGGGTGCCTGTTCCACCGGTGCGCCACCGCTTTCCTCTCCCCCGGTCGTCCGTCTCGTCCTCCCGCCTCGGGCGTCCTGACCCTGTTCTGGTCACTGCAACAGCAACATCAAGGGCTTCATGATCCAAACCGGCGACCCGACTGGGACGGGCAAGGGCGGCCAGTCCATCTGGGGCCGACCGTTCCCGGACGAGGTGCGAGGGACGCTCAAGGTGCGTCCGACTCGCTCTCTCGTCCGCCTATCCTGTCCCCGTACACACTCGGTCGAGCACAGAATGATATCCAGCGAGTACGGTCCTGCGCCAATGCGCTGACACCGTTCCCTCTGCAGTTCAACCAGCGCGGCATTGTCGCCATGGCCAACTCGGGCCCCGATACGAACAAGTGCGTCACTCGCTGCCTCTCTTGACAGGCGCAGCACCTCCTTGCGCTCGAGAGCAACTTCTTCGGCGGCCTCTGACGCTCCTCATCCCGCAGGTCGCAGTTCTTCATCACCTGTCCGTCTCTGGTTCCTCTCGCCGACTCGGTCGGCCCGTTCTCTGACCCTCCCCCCTTCCCACAGACGCGAAACAGTCTCATCTCGACACCAAGTACAGCATCTTTGGACGGTGAGCTCCGCAGATGTCTACCTACTCGTCCTCGACGTCTCGCTCAACCGCCTTTCGTGCTTCGCGCAGGGTCATCGACGGGACCGACACGACGCTCGACGCGATGGTGCGCCCTACAGCTCCCTCTCGACACGGTCAGACGGTCCTAACGCTTCTCGCGCCCGCAGGAGAAGGTCCCGGTCAACGACAAGATGCGGCCGCTGCAGCCGATCAAGATTGAGCGGGTGCGTCCCCGCCCGCCTGCCCATCTCACCCTCGGTCCCATCACTCGTCAGAGGGCGCTACCGTGCTCTCGTTTCCCGCTGACGCGCTGCTCCTCCAGGTCGAGGTGCACGCCAACCCGATCGCAGAAAAGCAGGCCTGAGGCGGCCCGCACCCGTCTCGCTCGTCCTGTATCTTGTGTGTACTGCTTCTGTGTTGCAACCTAGTCGTCTGCGAGTGGAGCCTGCTGGACAAACGAGAGACAGCGGGCGAGCGAAAGCCAATCGATCCTCGCGTGCTTCCTTCGCTCGCCGACTTCTTCGCTCCTGCCGCACACCGCTCTGCACTTGCACCGCCAGCACATCAGCAGCACTCGCCCAGCACGAGCGCACCGAGCCGGGTCGAGCCGTTACAGCGCCACCGCGTTCCTCGCCCGCCTGTGGCCACCCTCGTCAGCCTCGGGCTCGAGCCCTCCGTCGTCCCCCGAGCACGCCCGAGCTAGCCAGCCAGCAGCCCAGCGCACGACAGCGTCCCGCCATGGCGTCCCACCAGCACCCGCACCAGCCGTCGTCGCCCTCGCGCCCCGCTCACCGCCGCGTCCCTTTCCCGATCTTCGAGGACGACCACGCCGCGCCCTTCCACCCGGCCCAGCTCCCCTCGGACCACTTCCTCGCTCAGCGACCCGTCACCCCTCCCCGCCCCGACTCGGTCATCGACCCGGTCTGGCTCGACGGCGCTCGCCCCGACACCTCGTCCCTCGCCGCCGCCGACTACGACGTCTCGGTCCACACGGGCTTCCTGCCCGCCGACGAGCCCGTCCAGTCGCTGCGAGGACTCGGCTCGGGCTGGGACGCCCTCGAGGGCGCCCTCGAGCAGGTCGAGCGCGAGGCGGCCGTGCCCGGTGGGGCTGTCGGGAGGATCAGCGGGCGGTGGATGCACGGCGTTCGCGAGGTCCGTCCTCCATCCTCTTTATGCGCACCCACCGATCGTCTACTGACCGCGTCATTTGACCCGCTCGCAGTTGCCGCAAGCCTCGGTCGAGCCGCTCACGACCCTCCCCCTCCTCCGCCGCGCCCACGTCCTCCTCGCCCACCTCGTCCACTTTTACATGCACGGCACGTTCCCGTCGCAGTCGGTCGTCCCGGCCTCACTTGCCGTCCCGCTCGTCCAGGTGAGCGACCGCCTTGGCCTGCCGCCCATCCTCACGTACGCCGACACGGTCCTGTGGACCTGGCGCCTCACCGACAAAGCCCGAGGGCTGCGCGCCGACAACGTCGAGATCACGACGACGTTCACCCAGACGCCCTCGGAGCGCGCCTTCTTCCTCCTGTCGCTCTTCTGCGAGCTGCACGGCCCGGCCATCCTCCGCCTCATGTCGGCGACGCTCGACGAGGTCTTCTTCGCCGACCGCACCGCCCTCGGCCGCATCGCGAGCTACCTGCGCTCGATCGCGAGCCTCGTCGACGAGCTCACGGCGCTCATGGCGGCGGCGACGTCGTCGACGGGCGGGTTCGGGCCCGGCGCGAGGGAGCGCATCGTGCCCGAGGTCTTCTACTGGGAGATCCGGCCCTGGTTCAACGGCGGCAAGTGGACGTACGAGGGCGTCGGTCCGCACGGCGAGGACAAGGAGATGGAGTGGGGCGGGCCCTCGGCGGGCCAGTCGAGCCTCGTCCACGCGCTCGACCTGTTCCTCGGCGTCGACCACATGCCGCGCGCCGCTCCCGCCCCCGGGCACGGTCACGCGCACGGTCACGCGCACGGCCACGGGTCGCTCGCGCGCGAGCGCAAGGTCGAGGCGTCGGCGTTCCCGGGCACGTTCCACGACGAGCACGACGAGGACACGGCGGCGGCGGTGCGCGCTGCGGCGACGGGCGGGCCCAAGGCGGCGCTCCACAAGGCGCCCTCGGACGCCACCTTCATGCAGCGCATGTCGCACTACATGCCCAGCCACCACCGCGCCTTTCTGTCGCACCTCGAGTCGCTCCACTCGCCCAACCCGCACGCACCGCTCGCGCCCGTCCTCCCCTCGCTCCGCAAACTCGCCCGCCGCCACCCGCACGAGCTCGGCTCGGCGTACGACGGCGCCGTGAGCGCCATGAAGCGCTTCCGCGACGCCCACATGCGCCTCGCGACCGTCTTTATCGTCCAGCAGGCCCGGCGCGAGCCCGCTCGCGAGTCGGTCCACTGGGCCGAGTGGGAGGCCAAGCGCGTCGCCAAGGAGCAGGCCGACGAGGCGCGGCGCATGCAGGGCGCGAGCGCCGGCCGCGGCGAGGCCGACAAGCTCGTCGGCACGGGAGGGACCGATCTCGTCAGCTTCCTCAAGCGCTGCAGGGACCGCACGGTCGAGGCGCTCCTCGGTGACGACGATGTGCAGGCGCAGGCCTAGCCGCAGGAACAGCAGCAGGAGGAGGCGCAGGCGCAGGTGCGGCTCGTTCGCTGTCGGGACTTGTACATAGATCAGTGCTCGGGCCGTGGTTCGCCCTTGTCGTGTTGTACGACCGCGCAAATGGACACTCGCATTCTCTCCTGCTCTCGCAAGAGTCGCTGTTCACGAGAGTGCCTCGCCGCGCAAGCCGGCCGTGCTTCTCTCGCCCGCACCGCCCCGGCCGCCCCGCGCCTCTCCCTCTCGCTCTCTCGCACCGATCGACCTCGCCCTCGGTCCAGCTTGCTCGAGCAGCTCCAGCGCACCCGTCACCGCACCGCCATGGCCGACCCCGAGCGCATCCAGCCCGTCGTCATCCCGTACCCGGCCCTCATCTCCGGCGACTCGTCCTTGGCCTCGCTCGTCCAGCAGGGCTTCGACTCGAGCCCAGACGCGCTCGGCCTCGTCGTCGTGTCCGACTTGCCGCCCGAGTTCCCGCAGCTGCGCCAGCGGCTCCTCCACCTGTCCAACTCGTTCGCCTCGCTCCCCGCCGCGACTCGCGAGAAGTACGCCCACCCTGGGAGCCGTTTCTCGGTGGGCTGGTCGCACGGCAAGGAGGTCATGAACGGCAAGCCCGACCTCCTCAAGGGCTCGTTCTACAACAACCCGTCGTACGACCTCACGCCGGGCCTCCACGACGGCGACGAGCCCGTCGCCAACATCTGGCCCGACGAGCGCGGCGTCGAAGGGTTCGAGGAGGCCTTCAAGGAGCTGTGTGCGCTCATGGTCCGCATCGGCATCCTCGTCGGCGCGGCGTGCGACCAGCTCGTCGGCAAGACGGCCTCGTCCAAGTCGGTCGAGCAGCTCGTCAAGGAGAGCCACTCGAGCAAGGCGCGGTTGCTGCACTACGTGCGTCCCCCGGTCTCTCTACTCTCGGACCGGCGCGGCGAGGGTCAGGTCGTTGACGAGCTCGTTCTGCGCGCAGTTTCCTCGAGACGGCGCGTCGTTCACCTTGCCGCCCTCATCCTCGGTCCCCGACGAGCCGTACAAGCCAGAAGAGGTCGACGACAGCTGGGTGAGCTCCACGAGCCTCTCGCTTCGTCCAGGGCCGCCTCACTGACGACCTGGACCTGCAGTGCGGGACCCACATCGACCATTCCCTCCTCACGGTCCTGTGTCCCTCCCTGTACCTGTTCCACCCCGATTCTGCGCCCCTCGACCCGCTCGTCATCCCGGCACCCGCACCCTCGACCGGCCTCTTCATCAAGACTCGCGGCGGCAAGGTCGTGCAGGCGACGATCCCGGCCGACTGCGTCGCCCTCCAGACGGGCGAGACGCTCGAGCTCCTCACGTCAAAGCGCCTCGCCGCGACGCCGCACTTTGTCAACGCGACGGCGGCCAACCTCGGCACCAAGGCGCTGCAGGCGATCGAGCGCAAGAAGGAGGACGAGCCGCAGACGTGGGGCCGGGTCGAGAGCGGGTTCGTCACGCGCGAGACGCTCGCCGTTTTCCTCCAGGTGCGCCCTCCTTCCTCTGCTTCTCTCTCCAGTCGTCTCGTACCGACCGCGTGTGACGCACCGCAGCCCAACCACGACGAGGTCGTCGCCGACAGCGGCGAGACGTTCGGCGAGTTCTCGGCGCGCGTGTTCAAGCGGCACTACGACGAGACCGAGTAGCTGGGCGAGCGGGTGGAGAAGGCGGAGGTGTGACCTTGCAGCGAGGATTCGAGTTCCCTCGCGCACCGTGTGCCGAAGCTGCTCGAGCCTCGAGGTGTCGCCCTCGCGCACGAGCACAGCTGTCCCGTCTGTGCCCACAATGCGAACACTTTACGAGCTCGGAAAGCGACTCCTGCGGAGCGCTCGACGAGGTTTGGGCGTTCAAAGTCGATCCGCGTCAAGCGAGAGCCGAGACCGTTCGCGCGAGAGCAGCTCCTCGCTCTCGCCCATCGCGCACGCCCGCTGCGTGCTGCTCGAGCACCGACCCTGCGAGCAGTGGCCGCACCCACAGCAGCTGCACTCGCCCCGCCATGCCCGCCGCCGACCGTGGCAAACCTCCCGATGTCGCCGCTCCTCCATCTTCATCACTGTTGCCGCCCGCCGTCGCTCGCGTCCGCAGCGACGCCGCGTGGGACGGCCAGAGCAAGGGCAAAGGGCGAGCGTCGGACTGCGCCCAGTCGCACGAGCAGGCGTCGCTCGCGCGCAACGGCGCCCAGGTGCCACCTCCACCGCCTTCGGTCCGTCGCGGGTTCCCCTTCCTTCTCGAGCGCGCCAGCTCCTGAGCGCCACACCTGACACACGCTCTGCCCCGCCTGCAGCAGAACAGCGACTTGCACCAACCGCCCTCGACCACGTCCCAGCAGCAGCCCGACTCGCTGTCGACCCGTCGCCTCGGCGCACTCGGCATCCCCCTACCCTCCGACAGCGGCTCCGAGAACGGCGACGTCAGCCCCTCGAGCACGTCGTCCAGTGGCTCGCTCGAGGCCAACCCGCCTGCTTCACCCGTCGTCCCTGTCTACCACGAGCCGCCAGAGCCGACTTACTCGCGCGGCGGCAGCACCAGGTCGGGGCCGAGTACGCGCAGCGGGACGCAGGACGGTGGCGCCTTCGTGTCGGAGCAGAGCTTCAGGGACATTGTGCGTGCCTCTCGCTCCTCGGTCCTGGTGTCCAGGGACCCGTGTCTGACCCGATCTCTCCCCTCCTCCCAGGTCGACGATTTGACGCTGCAGAGTACGTCCTCCTTCTCTATCACTCCTCTGAATGTGACAGCATGCTCACGTCAAGTTTCCGCCACAGACCAGAAGCTCAAGGCGCGCCTCAAGCGCTTCGAGTCGGCGAGGGTCCCGAGCAACCTGCGCAACGAGCGCCTGTTCGAGGTCCGCTTCTTCGACGGTTTGCCCAAGTCCGTCTCTCCCCAGGATGCCTCGTCAAGGTCGGCCACTGACTAGTCGCACCTGCAGACAACGCCGTCGCGAGATCGAGGGCTTCTTGACCGACTACGTCCAGACCCTGTCTACGACCGCCTCGTCGGGCGACCTCCTGAGCTCGTCCTCGCGCGTCAACGTCAGCGGCGACGTCAGCAACCACGACAACACCGAGTCGACGTCGTCGCTTGGCGCGACCCTGCGCTCGTTGCGCAGCTCGGAGCGCGAGGCGCTCGGCAAGGAGGCCCTGCTCGCCGCCGGCAGCGGGCCGAGCGCGGGCGCCGACCGGTCGGCGACGGGTTCGGGCAGCGCGTCGGGCAGCGGCGGGAGGGCGCAGAAGGTGTCGAGGGAGCGGAACGCTGCGACGATCGAGCCGCTCGGCGCCACCTCTTCCCTTCCCCTCCCTGATCCTCCCGCCCTCTTGCGCCGCCCGACCGACATCTTTCCTCCCGAGCGCGACGTCCTCGCCGCCCCCTCGTTCTCGGGCGCCGAGCCGCTGTCGACGATGGGCACGGGCAGCGGGATGCGCATCTCGGACCCGACGTCCAAGAAGCGCAAGCGCGCGCCCAACACGTCCGAGGAGGCGCCGAGCCCCGAGCGCGTGCCCCGTGCCCGCCGCACGGCGAGCTACGACGGCTCGACGAGCAGTCGAGACGGCACGCCCGACCCGGAGCGGCTCGAGTTCGTCATCGTCGACATGATCGAGCGCCTCTTCTCCGAGTCGCTCCCGCTCGACGACCCCGACCACCCGCACCAGTCGATCCCGTCGCCCAACCCGCTCCACACCGAACCGCACCCGCTCCCGGCCCAGTCGTCGACCAACACGGCGTACCTGCGCGCCATGCTCGTCGCCGACGACGTCCAGGCCCGCGGCGGGTGGCTGTACCTCAACCTCGTGTCGACCATGGCCGCCCTGCATCGCCTCAACGTCAGCCTCGCCACGGTCCGCCACGCCCTGCGCACCAAGAGCACGCTCGTCGAGGTGAGCGCCGAGGGCAACAAGATCCGGTGGAAGGGCCCGCGCACGAAGCCCGCGCCGCGCATGCAGGACGCCGCCGCCGCCGACGCCAAGTCGACGTTCGGCATGGGCGACATGGAGGACAACGCGATCGAGGCGACCCGCATGCAGGGCGTCGAGGACGCCGAGCGCGAGCAGGAGCACCGCCGCCACGTCGTCGAGGGCGGCGGCCGAGGGTCGAGTCGCTCGAGCCGCTCGAGCAACGGCGTTCCCGACTCGATGTTTGACGAGCGAGGCGGCGGCGCCCGGTCGGGCTCGGGCGCTCGTGTCGCCGGCGAGAGCGGGTCGGGCCGGCCGTCCAAGGGCTCGACGGCCCCGACGTCGCAGTACCCGTCGATGGGCTCGAAGAACGGCTCGAGCTCGCAGGGCGACAAGCGCCTCTCGGTCGGCCACGCGCAGGCGGTGCTCGAGGCGCACGACACGGCCTCGAAGTGGTCGCCGCTCCCGCCGTCGACTCGCGCCGAGCTCGCCGCCGCCCCGCCGGCCCCGAGCGCGCTCCGCCACTCGGTCAACGAGCTGCACGAGGTGCCGGGCGCGTCGAGCGGCCATGACGGCGCGCACGTCCTCGGCTCGTCCGTCCAGCCGGCCCCGAAGCACCTCCTGTACACGCCCCTCTTCGTCCGCCGCAACGACTCCGAGTCGGAGAAGGGCAGCAACGACGACGCCTCGGTCGCGTCTGACGTCTCGGCCGAGGACACGCGCCCGGCCAAGCGCCACAAGGAGGCCGGCGGCGTCGTCTACTTCGCCAACCCGCTCTTCTACTCGGACCTCGCCGGCGACTCGGGCGCGCGCATGCAGGCGCTGCAGGACCGCATGGGCGACATGGTCGCGCCCGAGGCCGTCCTCGGCGCGCCGTCGAGCGCCGTCGCGAGCGGGTCAACCGCCCCCGACGCGGCGTCTCGGTCTCGATCGAGCCTGACGCCTTTGAGCGAGCTCGGCACGCTCGACTCGCACTCGATGAAGCTCGACGGCGTCCTCGAGTGCGCCCCGGCGTCGACGGCGGCCTCGGACGACGCCCGGTCGGCTGGGTCGGTCCTCGAGGGCGACCTCGCGTGGGACGCCATCGAGGCGGTCGACATCGCGCCGGCGGGCCCGTTGCCCGCGAATCTCGAGGACCACGACGTCTTCCAGATCACGCCGTACCCGAATCTCCAGCTGTCGGGCACGAGCGACGACGTGACCGCCGCCGACCACTTTACGACCCACACCAAGCACCTGTACCCTCCCCTCCCTCCTCGTTCCCCTCGCCGCATCTCGGCGCTGCCCAAGCGCCTGCACTCGTCATCCGCATCGATCCTCCCGCCGCCACTCTCGGCGCGCAAGCACTATCCCACCCTCGTCGCCTCGACTTGCATTTCGTCTCTTACCCTGCACCACCACCCGTCGGTCTGCGTCCGGTTCCCTCGCCACCGCCTCCGCATGTCGTCGACCGCCTCGAACTCGGACGATGGCGACGACGTGCGGGGCAGCGCCTCGCCGACGTCGACCCAGATCCGCCGCCTCGCCAACGCGCACAGCGGCCTGTCCGGCGCCGACTACCTCATGTCGCTCGCGCTCCCGCTCAACAACTGGGCACCCGAGCTGCGACGCGGCGCGAGCACCGAGGAGCGCGACACGAGCGAGGCGTTCCGCACCGGCGACAGCGCATCGCTCATCACCCTTGATTAGCCTCCCCTTTCCCTCCATCTTGTTCCTCTCTTCCTTGGGCACCCGGGCAGGTGTTGTAGGACTCGCATACCGTCTCGCTGTACCTTCTGCACTACACGCATCTATCTCTTTATCTCTCTCTCTCGTTCTCGGTCGAGAGAAGCGGCGAGGAAGGGTTGGAGGAGGACCGAGCGGCCGTGCGGGATGGCGCACCTTGCGGGTCGCTCTTGTTGTACGACCCCTCTCGCTGCCCTCTCTCTCTCGGTGTGCGCTCCCTCTAATCATGTCATCGGTTGTCGTTTCAGCGCGCGCTCGCCCGTCTCGTCTCTCGTGCACCTGCGCCTCCCTCGACAGCTCGAGAGCTCGCTTTCGAAAGCCAGCTCGGCGTCGCCTGTGCCGCTTTCGGCTCGAGGGTGGACAACACGATCTTGAGAAGAGTCTGACGACGCAGAGAGGAGCGTAGAGACGCTCGAGGAGGAAGAGCGACCGACCGCGAGTCGGCCTTCTCAAGTCGAGCCTCCTCCCACAGCGGTCGGCGCAGACTTATGAGCCCAGGACGAGCTTCCGCAGCACACTCTCAGAGACGCAAAGAGACTGCTCGCGAGAGAACGAGCCAGAAGAGAGAGCTCTCGCCGTCTCGCCGACCTCGGACTCAAGTGAGCAGAGCAGGAGGGCCAACTCGCGCTGTACACGACAAAGTAGCTCGGCAAACGCGCTCGATTGCATCGCAGACACCTCGTCGTCCGATCTGGCGTGCGCAGGAGGCCGTAACCCTGCTAGATCAAGAGCTAGCGTTTGAGCGAGGGTGCGGAGGATCCCCCTGTCTTTTGTAGGTGGCCGGGCGCACGGTCGCTCCGCAGGGGTGCGCGCCGTGCGAGCGGCTCACCACAGTGCGCCCGCTGCCCTCAGGGGCACGAGAGGGCGGGCGCAGCCTCGTAAAGACCCGTCCGCGACGGCTCGACTCGCTGAGCCGCCGGGACGAGTGCGACGACGAACGAGAACTCTAAACGGACCGGGAGAGCTCGCAGGTGACGAGAAGAGCTATGGGAGAGGATAGAGCGCCTTCGCGCGGCGCAGCAAGGGCGCGAGGGGAAGCTTTCGGGGCCGAGAAGGGGGAGGTGCCATCGAGGGCGCGACCAACCTGCGGTGCGAGGTCGAGAGGATCAGTGCGTGGCTCGGCGAGGAGCACAGATCCATGTGAAGGTCCTGCAGGGAAGAAAGAGTGTGTGCGTGACGTACAAAGGACAACATGAGCCGCCTCGAGGTCGAGAGCCCGCCTCGTGCCGCCCAGAAGACCGCCCTGCTCGCCTTGCGCAGCCGTTTCGCCTGCAAAGGGACTAGGTCAGTCCATCAGAACCCCTGCATCGCGTCGCGACGTAGCAGAGGGGGCGAGAAGAGAGGGAGAGGGGGGCCAAACACGGGGAGGCGGGGAGGAGGTGGACGCACCAGTCGCCCACAGCCCGCGCAGCGCGGCCACCTAGCCCAGTAGTCTCCTTGACGCTGCCATAGTCCTCGACGACGATGCCCACAGCCCCATGAACCGTTGCCACCAGTTGAGAGAGGTCGGACGACGCGAGTTGCTGATGAAGATGCGACGCGCCCTGCGCCCTCGGTAGCCGCTCGCGGCGGCGCGGGAGCAGGCCCCATAGATAGATGATGCGATGCAGAAGAGCTGGACGCGCGTCGGCAAGGCACAGCATCGGTGCGGCCGAGTTGAGCGTGGAGGACGAGGTGCGGGGCGCGAGTCGTCGAGATTACGACCTCGCGCTTGACTTTTGTATTCGGCAATAGCGTCGAGGTCAAGCCTAGCGAGATTACAACCCGAGCTATCATCGCATAGCTTTCGGCTCGCTCGAGGGGAGGGTTTTGACGAGGGCTCGAGCGCTTTCTGCGAGTCTGCAGCTGGACGAGGATCGGGTGCGACGTCATCGAGGGCGACCGACAAGCTTCGGGTCTACTCTCGAGCTTGCGCGGCCCCGGGCGCGACAAGTCCGCGAACGACAAGCGAGAAGAAGGGTCGACTTGAGTCGAGGAGGAGGACGAGGTTTTGCGCAGTCAGCAGGTGTCGGCGCACTTACTCTCGCTTGTGGGACACTCAGAGAGACTCGAAAAGAGAGCGCGGGAGCAGAGGAGCCGACAGGAAGAGCTGTGTTCGAGTCGCTCCTCGACCAACTTGAGAAGGGAGGCGAGGCTCACAACTCGCGCTCTACAAGGTGAAAGGGCTCGGGAGACGCGCTCGATTGCATCGTAGAGACGTCCTCGTTCGATCCTGGGCAAGCAGAACGCTGTAACCCTGCTAGATCAAGAGATAGCGTTTGAGCGAGGGTGCGCAGGATCCCCCTGTTTTTTGTAGGTGGCCGTGCGCACGGACGGGCCCCGAGGGGCGCAGCCGTGCGCAACGGCTCACCGGGGTGCGCCCGCTGCCTACCGAGGGCAAAGAGGGCGGGCGCGGCCTCGTCAGACCCGTCCACGACGGCTCGGCTTGCTCGGCCGCCGGGACGAGTAGCTTTCACGGGGCGGGCAGCTTGGTCCTCCGGGGCCCGCCCATAACCTGCAGAGGGCGTGTCGGCGTCGACAGGGGCCGGCGCGGGAGGCAGGAAGGGTACGAGGGGAGCTTTCGGGGACGAGAAGGAGGGGATGCCATCGCGGGCTCGGCTAACCTGTGGCGCGAGGTCGAGAGGGTGAGTGCGTGGCTCAGGGCGGCCTGGAGTCCCGGCTGTAGGCCTTGGGGACAAGGACGAGAGCGAGGGGGACGTACAAGGATGCAGATGAACCGGCTCGTAGTCGACAGCGAGCCGCACGCCGAGAAGAAGGCCGACCGCCGCTCCTGCGCAGCCGCTCGACCTGCGTCAGGACCAAGTAAGCTCCACTGACCACCTGACTCGCGTGTCGCGTCGGCAGGTGGAGCGGGAGAAGAGGGGGAGGGGGGCCAAACAGAGGGAGGCGGGGAGGACGAGGACTCACACGTCGTGCGAGGCTCACAGAGCGCTGCCGCCTTGTTGAAGCGCTCCTTGACCCTCCTCGAGCCCTCATGGCTAACGTACTAAGCTCTCATGTTTCACGTACTAAGCTCTCATGTTTGAACAATAAAATTAATATAAATCAGCAACTTAAATAGCCTCTAAGGTTTTAAGTTTTATAAGAAAAAAAAGAATATATAAGGCTTTTAAATCTCATGTTTCACGTACTAAGCTCTCATGTTTGAACAATAAAATTAATATAAATCAGCAACTTAAATAGCCTCTAAGGTTTTAAGTTTTATAAGAAAAAAAAGAATATATAAGGCTTTTAAAGCTTTTAAGGTTTCACGTTCTCAGTAGTGTACAGAGTGGCCTCGCCGGCGTGCAAGCCCGCAGGAAGAGTGCTCTCGCCTCGGACCTCGACCGACTCGAAGACCCCGCCGAGGAGGTCAGCTCGCGCTCTGCACGCATGTTCTCGCTGTGAGCCGACACGAGAGCGAATGCTACAAGATGCAGATACGATGCGAGCTCTACCAAGCCGTCCGTCCTCCCTCGTCCTCCTCAGGCCGACTTCATGGTCTTCTGCTTCTCGGCGTGCAGGATCACCTTGCGGTCGACAGCCATGCCCTGCGTCACGAGAAGGAGTCAGTCATCGATTCGGCGAGACTCGAAGACGAAAGAGGAGAGAGCGAGGACGCACCTTGCGCCTGCGGACAGCGTCCATGTACTTCTTGGCGACGTTCTCCTTGTCGGCCTTCTCGCCGAGGTCCTCGAGCTCCTCCTCGGTCGTCGGCACCCAGTACGGGTCCTGGTCGAGCGTCTCGTATCCGTGGAAGACGAGCTGGGGCGAGGCGGCGCCCGAGGTGCGCGTGCGGATCTCTGCGAGGACGGAACGGGGCAGGGCACGGTCAGGAACGACTCGATCGAGAGGACGAGAACGGCTCGAGGATAGAGAGCGAGAACGAGGTCGCACCGTCGGCAAAGCCGAATGACTCGACAACAGGCAAGAGCGCCGAGACGGTGAAGAAGGCCGTGCCCTCCTTCATCTCCTCCGAGACGATGCGCCCCTTGCGCTTCGTGACGACGCCGTACACCTTGCCGAGCACCTCGCCCGTCGCCCGGATGTCGCACGAGTAGGTCGCGAGCTGGAGCCGAGGCGACCAGTCGAGGAGGCCGTTGCGGAACGCGTCCTGGCCGGCCGAGATGAGCTGCCCTCGGGCGTTTGACCACCGTTGCCGAACTGCAAGATCGAGAGACTGAGTCAACTCGGATTTGCAGGAAGTGGGGGAAGAAAGAGAGGGAGAGGAAGACGCACCCGAGGCAATGTCCTGCTCGCCCGGGTTGAGCTCGACGGCTTCGAGGAAGTACGCCATGCCGACGACGGGCTCGGCGCACAGCGGACCGCGGTTCATCGCCAACTGGAACGCCGTCTCAAAGTTCTCGTCGAGCTCGCGCACGTCCGGGAGGCGCTCCATGGCCGACGACGACATGTCGACCTCGGTGAGCGACTGCTTGAGCGTCGACAGGTCGATCTCGCCGGCCGAGAACTCGGTCGAGGCGAACTCGCGTGCGAGGGTCGGGTCGGAAGGAGCGGCGAGAGGCGTTTTGGGTGGGGTGAGCGCCGAGGGGCCGCCGCCCGGCGTCTGGAGGGCGGACGGGATGGCGGCTTGGCGCTCGAGGCGCCGGCGGAGCCTGCACAAGTCGCAGCATTAGTAACGGCTACTTCGGGGGCGAGGGGCAGACAGGGCAAGACGCACGAGCGAGGAGAACCGGCAGTCTTGTCGACGAGGAGGTTGGGCCCGACCCTGCGAGGCCCGAACGCCCACACTTGGTCGGCCAAACCCGCCCACTCCCTCCCTGCCTCCTTCAGCAGCTCCTCGAGCTTGATCCAGAACTCCTCGACCGGGACGACGGCGCCGCCCTCGGGCTGGGCGGCATCGCCCGCCGCCACGTCATCGTCGTCCGACTTGCCGCTGCGGCGGTCGCGCTGCAGGCGCTTGAGCGTCGCGGCGTTGGCGGAGAGGAAGTTGGTGATGGAGGAAGGAAGAGGTGCGGCGCGCAGGCTGAACGTGACGAGGCCCGACTGGACGGCGCCGAGGACCGTGCCGCGAGCTTGACCGGCCGTCTTGGGCGGCGCCATGTCTGCACAGGGTGCACTCGAGTCAGTGCCCGAGCGCGCGAGAGAGACGAGGGAGCCGAGGACGCACCGACACCGTGCACAGCCGTCTCGCGGAACGGGACGATCGGGGGCGAGACGGTGATCTCGATGCGAGCAAACCGGTCGCGCAGGTCCTTGAGGCAGCGCTGCGGACGAATACGCGTGAGTCAGGTCTGTTGGCTCGTCGGATCACGGAAAGGAAGGGAAAGAGGGCAAGCTGAGGGACGCACCTCGAGGTGAAGCTCGCCGGCCGTGAGGATGACGTGCTCGCCGGTCGGCTGGACGAGCGTCTCGACGCAAGGGTCGGCCTGGTTGAGCAGTCGAAGGCCCTCGACGAGCTTGGACATCTCGGACGGGTCCTGCGGCTCGAGCGCGACTCGGACGATGGGGGGTGCCTGCGAGCGGGCGAGGGAGGGAAGTGCAAGGCAGCACTGTCAGAGACGTTCTTGAGGACAGGGAGGGACGAAAGAGGACGGCGAGACGTACCGTGTTGGTGACGCCAGCGAGGTTGACGAGGCAATCACGGTCCTCGTCCCGAGCGGCGCCCTCCTTGACCTCCTCGTCGCGGCCCATGCCGCACAGCGTCGCGTTGCGGAGGACGGTGCCCTCGAGCCCGCCGACGGCGAACAGGTTGCCGGCCTGGACCTCCTTGACGGCGAGGAGCTCGCGCCCCATCATCATGTACAGCTGCTCGACCTTGACGGGCGCGAGGTGCTTGGCGTTGTGCGGGTGCGATGGCGCGAGGTCGGCGTTGTACTTGGGCAGGACGGCGTACAGCGTCTGGCCGAGCGACACGGTGCCCGAGTACAGGCGGGCGAACCCGATCAGGACGTCGCGGTGCGCGTCGTCGGCGCTCGGGCCGCCGGCGGCCGCCGTCGCGGCGGCGATCTGCGCCTCGTAGTCGCGCATGACCTGGTCGGCCTCGTCGAGCTTGCCCTCGTCGACGAGCTGCTGCTTGCGCTCCTTGGCGTCCTTGAGGAGCTTGGCCCGGGCGCGCATGTCGTCGGCCGTGAGCTGCCGGCGCTGGTTCTCGGGCAGGTCGTCGGCCTTGACGGCGAACATCTTGCTGACGTACGCGACGCGGAACGCCTCGGGATCGTCGGCGCCCGAGAACAGGTCCGACTCGAGCTTGGAGGCGGGCGCGATCGCCTCGTCGAGGTGGCCGAGCTCGGGGTGGAGCATGCGCGGGACGCGGAACGCCTGGGCGGCGGCCGGCGGCGGCACCTTGTCGATGATGGCCGAAAAGGCGGATGGCGCGAGGGGCAGCCACTGCGAGAAGATGGACAGGAGCAGGTTGCGCGTGTCCTTGGCGCGCAGGTCTTGCGGGCGGACCTTGACGCCGAGCGACGCGATGATCTTGTCGACCTTGACCGGGTTCCTGCGAGAGGAGAGGCGAGAGAGAGAGAGAGTCAGAGAGAGGGTCTCGGTGAGGGACGAGGCGGAAGAGGAAGGGTTCGACGCACGGGTTGAGCGAGACCGAGTCGTACACGGCCCAGATGTTGTCGAGCACGAACTGGACGAACAGAGGCTTGAGCTTCTTGCCGCTCTGCTCCATCTTCTTGCGACTCAGGACGCGCTTCGACTTTGGGTCGAGGTACCACTCGCCCCACAGGCACCTCCCGAGCGCCTTCTCGCTCAGGCCGAGCTTGGCCGCGTACAGCTCGGCGAAGCGCGCGATGCGGAACGCCCAGCCGTCACTCGCCGACGAGAAGACGACGTTGCCCTGCGCCGGGTCAAAGTACAGGGCCGAGTCGTCGCGCTCCTCGTACGGCTCGTCGCTGCCGGCGGCGGCGGCACCGTCGGTCCCGGCGGCGTCGTGCGCGTCCTGGGCCGCCTCGGCACGCTCTCGCCTGCGCAGGTCCTCCTCCATGCGCTCGGACGAGTAGAACGAGCCGACGACGGCGTTGACGTCCTCGATGATGCGGTTCAAGTGGTGGTACGCCTCGATCGGCGACAGCTTGATCTCGGTCACGAGGCGGTCGAGCTTGTTGATGACGAGGATCGGGCGAAGGTGCGACAGGTAGACGGTGCGCAGGACGGTGACGGTCTGTGCGAGGGAATCGCGGGCGAGTCAGTGACTGGATCGATGGAGGAATGGGGGATGACGAGGGGAGAGGGTGACGGACCTGCGTGCAGACACCCTCGACTGCGTCGACGAGAACGAAAGCGCCGTCGCACAGCCTCGACGCCGTCGAGACCTCGCTCGAGAAGTCGACGTGGCCGGGCGTGTCGATCAGGTTGATCTTGTAGTCCTCGGTCGGCGCCTTGTCGCTGTCGCCCTCGACGGCCTTCTTGGGTAGCCGCCACCGAAGGCTGACGGCCGAGCTCTCCATGGTGATGCCGCGCTCCTGCTCGTCCTCGCGGCTGTCGAGGTAGCGGATGGTGCCGGCGAGGCGGGACGAGATGATGCCGTTGGCGGCGAGGAGCGAGTCGGCAAAGGACGACTGCGTGCAGCGTGTGAGTCAGTGTCTGGAGGTGCAAGGAGAAGGACTCGAGCCGCCGCACCTTGCCATGGCTGGAGGGAGGGAGGGGAGGGCGAGGTCAGCTCGAGGTCGCACGAGGAAGTGGACAGGCTCAGGCTCACTCGACGTGGGCGACGATGCAGATGGTGCGGGTGCGTTCTTGTGGAATGGCGGCGGCCATTGCTGGCAGAAGAGGAAGAGGAAGAGGAGGCGGTGAAGGGGAAGGGCGACCTGGGGAGGTTAGACGGGTCAGTGCTGTCGTCTGAGCCGGCTGATGACTGGCAGAGTGACTGTAGTAGTACACGCGGTGGCCTGCATCGCCTAGACTCCGAGCCAGGGGAGGGCGGGCAGGGTTGATGAGGAGAAGAGATGAGCTCACCTCGGCGGAAGAGACGACGACGAGGGGGAGAGTGCCGGTGCGGGAAAGAGTGTGGTCGAGTGTAGCAAGGTGTTCTGCCCTGTAGCTAGTCGGGCGGGGCTGTCGACGAGGAGGAGAGGAAGCGATGACCTCGTTCGTCCACTCGACTCTCGCGCCGTCCACTCGACTCGACTCGCTCGAGCTGCGCAGCTTGCCCGTCCAGCTCCAGCCAGTCTAGCTGTCGGTCCACTCGAGCAGCGCGCAGCCGCCGGCCGCCCCCGCCACTCTCGCCGCCGCACCGCCTCGACCGACCTCGCTCGCTCCACACACACCGCCCGACGACCACCTGCAGCACGCCAGAGCACTCCAAGACGCTTCAAGTAGCACCCCCGACACGCCCATGGCGTCGTATCCCCCAGCAGCAGACGCTCGCCCCCTCGCGGCGCGTCACAGCCTCGCAAGCCCACCCTCGGCCACCTCCTCCCCCTCCAACTG